AGTATTTTACGTGCCTACCTATTTTAAAAGTAACTTATAGTTATCGGATGCAAAATAAATCGCCCATCTACAAGGCGGTGATGTCTAAATGGCCGGGTTAAGAGGCATTGTTCACAGTGAGTCATTTGCTGATTTCAGAATTCGAATAAATCCTCGACACCGCAGATATTTTAACATGTTGTTTAAGTATTCTAATCTGTAGGTACTATTCCTGATAAAAACCATCAATTTCGTTTCTGAAGCCGTCGCTCGTTACCAGCAAGAAATTCAAATTTCTTTTGCTCGACTACTAATACGCCCAATTAAATAAATTATCAATTAAAATAATTGGACTGAAATTAATTAAACAAGACGCGGAGAATATTGTGGGAAGTGTAGTTTCCTCGATATCAGATAACGATGATATTCGCTTATAAATCTCCACATCTTCGATGTGTTTCGCTTCAAATCAACATTAACAGCAATTAATTTCGATTCCTTAGTTTATGAATAAAGTGCACAGACGCGCAGAGCTGGATCCGGCGCTTTTTTCCGGCGCAACGCCCGCTGGAAGATGCTCGCATCAATTCCGGCGATCCCAAAAAAGCGAAGCGCTTAAAAAACTGCTCGGTTTCCCCGCAAATGAACAATAATCCCGATGATATCGCCGGATTATTTTGCAACTGCGGTAGCCGCAAGATCGCATTAGTTCGGCTCTGCGAATACGTGTGAATTTAAAACTCCTTTACTTCGCCTGTGTGTGTGTGTGTGTGCGTTCATATATGAACACCTGTAGGCAAAATTTTTATAGTGATCCAATTAGCTGATCGCTTTTACACGTAAATGGAAATTAGTGGTTTTTAATTTCGTTTTATTAATTAGCAGAATTCTAAAATGCAAGTACCTGATTTATAAGCGAGTACCAAGGAGTGTCCAATGCGATATTTCATAAAAAATTGAATTATGTATTTTCATTAAAATAATATCATTTGGATGTGTACTTTTGGATGGATGCATTGATACCTATACTCTAATTTAAATAATTAAATACTGTATAAATAACACCTGCGCCCTTTAAATATAAATTATAGTATTATTTACGTATAATTCCACTTGTATTAATGATCTCGACAAGTGGGTAATTAATTAAAAATTATTATTCCCATTGATTAATATGTTTGCGGGAGCGATTTCTTTTCTTCTTTCATTCTTAACGTATAACGGCGGGATTTTTTTGGTGTTACGTAAAACCGCCGAGAGTAGTAAACACATTCTATGAATAGTTTATTATCAATAATTAATAATAATTCTTATATTTATTGTTCGTCTTGATTTGTTGCCACAACTGCTTTTCCTATTGGTGGAAAAATGTGTACTATTCTGGTTTACAATCCCAGATACATTTGCATTACGTACTTACATACAATCAGATATCTCATATAATACTATTTTCTTGGGGATTTTTTTAAGTTCAAATGATATATGTGTGTATCTAGATACTGGTTAAGTGCTGAACACCTCCGGGCCTGATGTATGAAACTAATTATGGCCGTTATCAGTGAGATATTTCAGGCAGATAACGCCGTTTACGTGTAAGTGTGTAACCACAATTTGTGCATGATCTTTTGCAAATATCACAGATTATGTAATTGGCATTTCGGCTTTTCTGGTGAATTTCAAAATGATGATCAGTCGTAAACGTAAATGTGCATGTGCTATGTAAATTTATGCATTTATCTAAGTATAATATCTACCATGTATAATGATACAAGTATTCGATAAAAATTAATATAGTTTCTAGTTTATTAAAAGATAAATATGGGATATAAGTGGTGGTGTAGGTGTATGGGCATATGTTTAAAAGTAATAGATTTGGCATTTTATTTTCGAGATTAAAATTATCATTCTGCTATACATTATATAAAATAATTAACATGTAGAGGTATTCAAATTTAAGTGTACCTATCTACGTATAGAATTTAAATATGAACCGAGTGATTACTTGAAATCATATTTTATGCAAAACGTGAAAACGATTTTCAAGTCATATTACACTCGCATTAAGATTTTACTGCAAGATTAAAAGACACTCTCGATGATATTAAAGTAATTTATTAAATTCGCACTCACTATTGGTTGTAATTACCCGCAATTTCTATATCATTTAACACCGGTAGCGAGTTTAATTCGACATAATATCAATAAACTTTTACATCTATAATGTAGGTATTTAAAAATGTGTTTTACCTCTCGATATGCAATAAGAGTGTGTAAATTGATTTTATTTTTTAATTATGTCTTATATGCCACTATAAAGGTATTAGATTAGAATAAACACGATATAAATATTTTAAAATAAATTTGTAGGAGATTCGAGTCTATAGGGTGAAAAATTTATAGAGTTAATAGTAATATAAAATATTAATTACTATTAATTTGTTTTACATCTTACATCATCCTTATTAATAATAATTGCATTATTAAATACAGTTTACACAGCTCAAATATGAGACTATATTAATTTTTTCCATCAAATCAACTGAAATCCTTTATTTTTCATCCCTATTGAATCATCTCTAATAAGACATCAACGCTAGATAAAACAACAAACCCACTAATACCCACTTATATCTACACTATACTCACATTTTTCCGAGCTCCCATCCACACACCCGCAATTAACCCAACATCGAAGGAACATTTTCAAAATTCAAAAAATCAAATAAAATAAAATACCATCACAAACCGCCCCCGAAAACCGCGCACTTATCCCGCAAACAATCCGAACGCCAGCACCGAATATCGCCCCGTCGGGACGGTTCGCGTTTCGGAAAAGAATTTCCCCGACAGCCGATCGACGAGTAAAATTTTTACGGTTCCGGTCACTCGATTGAAGTCATCAAGAGCGCGGTTAGTTCGTGAGTGCACGCGAAGAACAATCTCAGCTGGGCAAGAAACTGGATTATTGGCTCCCGCCATCGCCGTCATATCGCCACACGTATAGGTACTCGCCAGCACCTCCGTCGAGAGGGTTAACGCTCTGCATAGGGGGTGCACGTCGCCCTGATAATACGCGCCCATATCTATCGGTAATTGAATTATAACTGATTGTAGAGTGCGTTTCGTTGGGTTAAATTAGTGCGATTGACTCGCTTGTATCAATTAACAGTGGAGGTAATTATTAGTTTTACTTAATAATTGGAGGTAATGTGATCAATAAACGTGTTTGCGTTTAATTATATACAGGGGGTTACTGGATTAAAAAAAATAAATCGATCCAGCTAGACGAGTTCTATACGTATTTGCATAAAGCTAGCAATTTTTGAGAACACCCCAGTTGCACGCCAAACGGACTTTGGGTTATGCAAGGGGGATGATCGGGGCGAATGTGTTAATAATGCAAATCTCTTTAAAGGTGCAAATGGTCAACAGTTCTTAGATAGAAAGTTTTGGGAAAATATTTTTGTTGATGCTTGATATTTAGCATTAAATGTTAGAAGGTTTAGGAATGCAAAAAAATAAAATAACTAGATAAATTGTAAGCTTTTACTAACTAATAAGAGTGTTTAAAAAATTGATTTTTATATCAAAGTCTATAGTTATTAAATGATAGTATAGGTATATACATTGTTGTCAGATGAATATATTTTACCGAAAGTTGTGAATTTGTATATTGAATTATGTTATTGATAATATCTATTCCAGCAAAATGACTAGTAATTTCCTTTAGTCAATCTATATACATATATCTAGGTAAATTTACGCGTCGCCTCTGCCAATTCCCGCGGATTATGTTACCGTATTCGATGAGTTTGTTTAATGATCCCGTGCAGGATATTTAATATCGAACATCTGCAACTGTCATACACAAAAATGCGCATCACATCGACGAGATTGCATGCAATTAATTTTATCGATGGATTAATTGCGCGTTCTTCTGGCAATCCGAGTTTCATTAATATCGCGACCAGAACTCCATTCCATTAGAACCATTCCGCAACACCTGCTGATCGAAAAACGTTCGCGATATGGTAATTGTGGGATTTAATGCGAAAAAATGGCGCGAAATAATTGATTAAAATTAACGGCATCCTCTCTTGTGCCGGTTGATAAAACGTGGCGGTCGGGTTTTTAAATAAAATTTATTATCTTAATCGCGCCGCTACATCGATAAAGCACGGTCGTATCGCGTAAGATACAACTCGGAAATTATTATCTCCACTCATTTCGGTCAGTTTATCTGCTGCGAGTCCGCTTCACCATCGGTCCAGAAGTCTTAATTTAATGTGTATGAGGATATTCTATTTTATCTTTCCATTCCTGCGGTCGAAGAAGTCTTATTACAACAGAAATTCTATAACGTATAAGACACCGGAGGTTACGAATAAATTTGTAGGCGTAAATTCTGTGATTTACGGCGGATCGGCCGCCTCCGGCCATAAAACTCCGCGCTAAGATTGGTTGCCGTTTGTTAGAAAAGTACTAAAATTCTTTCGCTTCGAAATTATCGTAATTTTTACTCAGCTTTTTTTTTATTCACCGCGAAAGAACATACGTAATTTCTCGTTCTCATTTCACACACTAATTAAACTAATTAAACGCGCTATATTTTATTAATTAACTAGGCAAGTACTAACTCTTTTTTTTATAGTTTTCTCTAAGTGGAAATTTTTGAGCGACGCGATCTCAATCTAAACCAACCAATGAACACGCTAAAAATAAATCACGGAAATGTGTATAATCAAACAAGTTTGGTCTATTTAGGTGGCGTAAAATTACATAGATTTAATTGTAATTATACGTCCGGCGAAACATCTTAATTTTTGGTGTATTAACGGCACCGAATAATTGCGTCATTCATAAAAACTGGTTACTACGAGATCGTAAATTACAGTAAATCGTTCGTTAAAGAAATTCGACGTGTAATCGATCATTAAACAGGTGCGAACATTTATTGCAACAATGTGTATATGCACGCGAAACGAGAATAAGTAAGAATTATTATTCGAAAATTCGCGGGATTATTTGCGGAGTTTAATTAGTCTATCGGCCTCTCGATAACCGCTTTCAACAGCGCCTTGCACGCTGGAATAACGATGGATGCTGGTGGCCTCTCCTGCGAATTGTATAAGAGGCTCTCCAAGGGAGTTCACTATCGGTTCCTGCAAATTCCTGCGATCTTGGTCAGTCGTTTTCAACGAAGCAAACGAATTGGTTCCGCGGAAATTAGGATTCGATTTCCAGTTGGACCTAGACAAAATAATTAATGTTAGTTTAACCAGCATTAAATATATCAGAGTTATTTATTACCTTAAGATTGTTATCGGTTTTAAAACATCGAATAAATGTCCAAGAAATAAATTTAGAGTAAAGTAAATTCCGTCTTTTAAAATTTCCTGGTCCATTTTCTCGATTATTGGTACTAATTCGCCAGTGTACCATACTAGTAGTACTTTCGAATCTGGTACTGCGAATATGTGAAAATGCTCGGTTATCCAAGACTCGCCTTTCTAAAATTTTTTACTTCATTAATTAATACGTGCTATATTAAATTATTAACTTACTGAATTTTTTGGTCCAAAAGGAAACTTAATAGTGGCATCAGCTTTGTCCTTATCGGACCAAATAAAGTTAAAACCCGGCGAATTTCCCCACCAATTCGCCTCAAAAGAAGCGAAAACTTTAAGCACAGCTCCGTAGCCAATATTTCCAATTGCAGTTAACTTAGAAGCATTCACCGGCGGCTCAAACATCGACTCAACGTTCTCTTTCAATACTCCTAACGAAGAAGTTACTATAACCCTCTTGGCTGGATAAACCGAGTTATCGCTACAAATCACCTTAACAGGCACGTTCTTAGTTAAAGCATCTCCGTATACAATTTTTGCAACTCTTTTGCCGAGCAAAATTTTATCGTTTATGCGATGTTTGCGCGTCAGAGCGTCGAAAAACGAAGAAAAACCATCCTTCCAACCGTAGGCAAACCCTTGTTTATTGTAGTAATCCGGATCGTACGCTGCAGCAACGCTCCAGGAAGCAGCCCCTCTGGTTCTTAGCACCAGGTGTGATAAATAACTCAAAGCATCGCGGGATATACGGAGCTTCTCTTGGCTCTTGTTGTACTTGGTGTTTATTACTTGAGTGTACCTAAAACGTTGCCAGTTGAAGCAAATTATCTACTTGAGAATGGGTTCAGGTGTCTATTGGTATTCACTTAATACCTTTCTTGTAGAGCATCTCCCAGGTTCTTGGTGGAGTCTCTCAGCTCCCCTTCGGCGTCACGAAATATCCCAGCCAGTTCCCCGGAAAATTCGTAACTGATGTTCCTCCTGTCCGAGTGGTAAAACTGCTTGGGGAAGTGATCGCGCCGGAGCATCTCCAGCAGGTTCCATTCGGATAATTTCTCGTAGACGATGTTGCTCTTCTGACCGTCGCACCATTGGGCTCCCAAGTCCAATTTCGTGCCATTGGAAACGACTGTGTGTATCCTTCCCCCGATTCTGGGCTCCGCTTCGAGTACTAGGACATCCTGGTACCCGGCTTCAAGGAGTGCCGAGGCTGCAGTCATTCCGGATGCACCGGCTCCGATGATTACCACTGCATCGTCCATGCAACGCGCGATTTTAATTCTCGAAACGAGCAAAAATACGGCGAAAATAAAATCAAACTTGACCATGGCGATCGGGGAATTAATTAGAACTGAACGCTACTAAAATCGATTTGTTTGTATTAACCTGTTGACCTTTTAATGGCCCGTACAGTGTTGGAGAAATTTCCGATTCGAAAGGGGTCAATGTTTTTGTTTATAATGTAGAGACCATTATAAAAATTTTCCTTAATTGCGTTTAATGTAAATCGCTTGGTTCTCGTTCGATTAATCATTGTAAAACCACCAATGCGTTGCATTATTCTGATTTTATTATAAAACGATTATTAATTGGAAAAAATCGCCGCTCGTAATAATCAATAATACCTTTATGAATGCTATTAAACTTGTTAAATTGATCTATATAACTACGCGGCGTGAGAAATATAATGACAATAAATTAATATTGGTTAATAATAGATTAGATAGGTATTGATTTCGAAACGCAATTCGCTGAGGTTATTATTTATGATTTTTCGAATGCCGTAAATAGTGGTGTATATACCGCGTATTAATGTCTTTATTCTCATAATACACGTGCAATAGTAAAAAAACCGGTGCGAACTTATTTTCCGCAGAAAACCCATTGGAGTAATTCACCTGTGAAATTTTAATTACAAATCGATCGTTTAAGTCGCAAAAACGGGGCAATTTTATAATAAATTTAACTTTATTGTAAATTAGTTTCACAGACGATAAATTAGGTACGTAGGTGTTACACTAAAACACATTCGTTTTTTATGGAAAAGGTATTTGTTATTATAGCAATATTTAATCAGCGATGCCAGTGTTTCTTCTAAAATTTAAACTTCGAGTTCATTTATATGGCATTTAAGTACGTTAGATATACCGGATGTAGTTAAACAATTACGATTCGAAAACCTCATCGATCTCTCGCAATTCAACGCTTTCAGTACGACCGGTCAACTTGGATCTTCAATAACGAACGGTTATTTCGATACAATCGTTACAGGTGGATACATATTTGCGATAGATATCTGAAGAATAACTTTGTTCAAATAAGAATCGTCGCATTCGAAACCACCGAGAGAGATTATCGGCATCTCGATCGATATGTACCTTCTGGAGAGGTCAATCAGCAACTGTCCTTTATCCGATAGAATCGCCGGTCATTAATAACTTGAGGATTTTTTGTTCCGGAGCGCCGAAGAATAATGAAGTCGTAATGTTAAGGAGACGTCGGAGGAGCGTTCCGGCGTAAATTTCTTTTCTCCGCTCGGAACGTTCACGAAATCAAACAGATGTAGGTAGTACCGTGTAGCAGAGGGATTCGTTCGAACGGCTTATTGGTTATTAATTTTTCGTGATTTACGCGTCACAACCGGTTTCCAACAACACGCGTTTGATAATTTGCATGCGTCGGTACTCGAACGAAGGAAAAGTCGGCGTCCGTTTGATCCGCCCGATCGGTACGCTTATATACGAATATTTATCCGCACGCCTCGGTACTATATTGTTCTATGCGGGCTACTTTCCGACTTCCTCCCGTATAGGAAGTAAGGCACTCCTTGTAGCCAACTTTTAATAGCAGCTCCTCCGCCCGCATGCAGCATAAATCAAACACCGTTTTCGCGAAAAAATTCGTCCGGTGGTTCCCCTTCCAGATCGCCACTTTACCATTGCAATTTATCTCCTGACCACCGCCGGCGCAGTTGTCAAATCCCTTCGATTTATTACCGCCGTTCTATACAAAAAAACGTTTCGTCGAAAAATTTTCGCTTCGCTCAAAAACGCGGTAGTACCATTAAATCACCTCGCAACCAACACTTCCACAATTACACAAACATTTTTTACGCCGTAAAATCGCTTACTTTGTGTGGTACTACGTTTCGAAAATGTTCTGGAACGTTAAAGAGCCGATGGTGGATTCGGCAACAATGTAAAATTAATGTTCCGTATTGAAGTACTACCGCATGCCACGAGCACGGGTGCGGGAGCACCTCTCGTGAATATATTTTTTTTATCCTTCTCGTTTGTTCTTATTCTTCTTGTAGCGGCTTAAAGGCCGATACCGCTGCCGCTATCGACATCAGCCCATGCTCGGACCCATAGGCACCCGTGGAAATCCTCCAAATGAGATAATACAGATACAAACACAATGTAATCGGGCCGCTTCTTTCTTTTCTTCTCCGACCGCGAATTCAGCGAGGACGAGCGCAATTATATCTGTTCGAATTGGCGTCGTGCGAATTTCCTTTCGGCGCGGCCGGAAAATGGCGGTTTTAATTGGGCGGAAAAGCGAAGAAGCGCATTTTTGCGGCGAGAGCGTAATAAAGAAAGAGCAGGCGAACGGTCGGTGAGCACGCGTGGGGTCAAAATCGTGGCGCCCCTGGCACGGTGCATGGGCACATAGACGTAGGAGAATTCATGAATTGGGACGCCTTCGAAATCCAAGAAACGGTTTCTGAATCGCTCGATTCCTTTGAATTTCCAGCGCGACGCGCAGCTACATCGATATGGAGATATTTATGATGGATTGACCGGCTGGTACGACTCTAACTAAAATGTTAATAGCCAGATAAATTTCAGCTGTATAATCTCGTTAATGTTACAAACATCAAAATAGCATCTCATACGCCGGGTTACCATTCTATCAGTTTATCCGACATCTCTTTGTTCGGAGAGACGAGGTAATGAAATCGACTATTGCTTCCCGTTATATATTATCTGAAGTATAATAAGTATTAAATAAGGAGGTTGTTTGTTGTTTATCAATCTACGATCGGCCTGCATACATCAATGTCTCCAATTTTTTGATACCTGGCGGAATTTGATGTCACTCCGGATACAGAATCGCCTATCGTTCAATCAATTATTCCAAACAAAACTTTCATACGCTTTATATTTGATAACCGGCAATCGTTAGATATAACCGAGTTGTCAAATCAGTTGTACAATCGGAAATTAAAGAGCCATTTCCAGCAGAACTAAAGTGTTGGCCATTTCAATAAATTGTTAGGCCGTTAATTTTTTTATTATCTCATTACATACGTACTCGTATAACTGAATGATTGTGAACGTTTAGAGAGTTAATAAAATATAGAGTAGCAAACGATCAATTTTAGGTCGTTAATTTAATTCCCTTCGGTTTCGCCGTGGCTTGTTCCAGTTTTTCTGACAATTCGACGCAAGGATTTAAAGAAAAAGGACGAGCTGAATTGCGCGCAAAAAATTTGTTTCGCTAATGCCGCCGTATTTTTCCAGGACCATTTACTTTTACGGCGTCGTAAACATGCGCTGTTATCTGTTGACGTTTCCTATAGAAAATGGCATAAAATGACTACTGAAACTAAACCATGAACCAACCACTTGCCGGTATTGATTCCATAACTATGTTTACGTGACTCGCTAGAAGATCTCTTCGTACTTGCTTCAAAAATTCTTGTTAAATTGTGATAACGAGTGTCTCAAGTGTTCAAGCAAATTATCATGAAAGAAGATACATATCTAATACAAAAATTATTAGATATAAGATAGAAATTAATAGCAATTAATTTCCATACTTGCACAGAGCAGTAAATTTATTTACCGTGTTCTTTGTATACAATAATTATACCAAACTAATCACAGAAAAAAAATAATGTATTCCCTTAGAAGTATTTGTTGTCCATAAACGAGCTTTAATAGTTAAATTTATTGTGTAAACGTATATTTCACATCTAAAACCATTAAACAACTATTCGAAATTTTAATACTAGCGATTATCTGCATTAAAATAATCTAGATTCAGCAGATGAAAAATGCAGTATATCTATGAGGGCACACGGTATTTACGCACCAAGCCGCATAAAAGCTCGGTGTAAATTTGTTTATGCTCTATTGGAACGATTTTAATGAGAAATAGCGAATTTATTTGTTTATTGTGAATCGACTGTGAATTTTAAAACAAATGCATATCTGATAGTACTCGAAGGAACAACAATAACAAATAACTGTTGAGGTTGAGAGCGTGTTTGTGTTTATGCAAACACACCTGAAATATTACCAGATAACATCGAAATTATGTTCTGTTAAGTAATAAATTCAGTGCTTATAGGATTATTTATTAATCGATAGTTGGTATCTATTGAATTAATTGTAATTGTTGTAATTAAGACAGGATAAAAGTTTGTTTCTAATGGATTATTTAGTACTTTTGCGTTAAATAGAGCAGTAAATTTCTCACTGCTCTACCCTTTTTTTACTTAGTTTTTACTCCCTACTTTGGTTTACTTTAGAATCGCAAAGAAAAGAACCCCTTAATACAGGGGAAGCATATTAATGATTCAGGTTAGTAACATAAGGGTTGAATAAAGTAGGGCTGATTAACATTAAAATAGTATAAAATTTATCTTCAGTTCAAGAATTGTTGAAAATGTAGTACCAACTGTTAGATAACTCTTTATTCATTTATGTACTATGTATTGCCTATATACTAGATTCTAATAATAATAGTACCAAAGCATTAAAGCCTTATTTACACAAGAATAGTACCAGCACTAATATTATCACTACAAACAAATCCAATTAGTGAATGTATTCTCTACAGCCAAAAAAATTAACATCTTTATCAATGCAGAATACAACCAAAATAGTACTATTTGTACTAATTTCATGATGTAAGCAAGGTTTAAGAGTGCTAGTTGAGTTGCATAAGCAAAGTGCATGAAATATTCCTTACCAAATCAAATCCATATTAGCGATTCGAATCCGTTAAAAATTAATTTTCGCAATTCTACGTAAACGCCAAGGAATCGCGTTGAGTGTATGCGATTACTCATAGATATTAAAACTGTTAAATAATTATCAAGCATTTACATAGCGTATTTTATTTTAATTCGGTCTAATTTATTAAAATGTATCTAATTTATTCCGCTGTGAGTTATGCAATATCGACCTATCCTTTTTTCTATGTAAAGGAACAGTAAACTCGGTCAAAAAGAACGGAAATAACTTTACTAATGAGTGTAGAAAATATTTACAAGCGTATTTAAGTGCTTGAAGATCCAATTAAACACAGAAATGATGTAGTAGTAAAATGACAAATTATAATGATGCAGATAAAATTAAAGGCAGAAGGATCTGCAAGGTAAGATATCTACCAGATAAAACTATTGTGTTCTAATTCGTGCGGATATTTCCACGCACTCATACGTATGCAAAACATAGGAAACGAATTAGCATTTCGAAGAAACCGATCGATATTATCGAATTTCGTTTTCGAAATGCATGAATTCAAGAACGGAATATCCAACAAATATATTCAGATAATGTTTATTCGAGCGAGAGCGATACGAACGCAAGGTCAGAACACGCAACTACATAATGAATTGTTTCACTTTTACTTCCTCTATTCTTTTAATCATCCGAATTTAGATCACTCCGATGGAATATACAACGGCCTCTTGCCTGATGGGTGTGCAATCGAATTTCTCGGAAAGGCCATATACCGACGAGCACCGCAATAATTTTTCATTTTCCAACTAAGCACATAAAATGACTGATAAATTTTCATTGAATCGAGTATGCAGGGCATAAATTACGATTTCCTCATCCTGTATACCCATAATATTAAAATTGATATTACTAAGTATATTTTTCATTATAAAAGTTTCATCTCGTATTGAATTTTTATATAGGAAAAAGTAAATGTAAATGTGAACTACTTTTAATTGATTCGTATCTAAACACCATCGATACATAAATATACAGGGTGTGTACGAAACGTGTAATATAGCATCACTTAGGCGATCTAAGTGAAGACAGAAAAACACCAAGTTATAACAAGAGAGGGGTCTCCCACAATTACCACCATCACATCGTGCACTTACATTCTGCGTATGGGTTCTCCACAGTCGGCATCCTCGGCCAAGATTCAGTCCAATTTCACGCACCTCGCTATACAGAGTGTTTAGATCGCGCGATATACCTCGCTTGCAGCCTGGGCGATTGGTTCGGTGGAGCTGGATTTGTAATATCAGTGCATTGGTATTGGTAGATCGATCGTTTCGACGGGTTCCCGAACGCCCGAATGAGCGGCTGGATGGTGTCGAAAAAGGTGAGACGAAAAGAAAGCGGTCACCTAGATTTTTTTTTTGTCTAACGATCGGCGGAACGTTGCATAAGTTTTGTTTGGCTTTTATGGTTAACCAAAGGTTAATTTAATTTGGCTTAAAATCGGAGTGGATGGAATTTCGTTTCGTAGAAAGTGTAGGAGAATTTTACGATTTCAACGAAATTCATTAGCGATTTGATTGATTTCAAAAATTTTACGATTTTTTTTGTAAATTTATGCGCTTGATTTAACTGCCTTTCGTCGGGTAGATATTTTAAATAAGTACTCAATTTACCATGAAAAATTGCCCAATAATAGTTCGTAAACCCATTAATTTTCGGTTTTTATGAAGAATAAAATCTGAATAAATTACAAATTAATTTACAACAATTTTTATCACATATTTCATCTTAGATTTGGGTTACTTTTACTTTTCTCTGATAAATTATTTATTTTTACAGCAATGTTGTAAGACCTAAATGGGCTATTTACCTACACCGAATTATTTCATTCAAAAAATTTTTTTTAATTTTAAATGTATCAGAAATGGTCGAGTATTTATTATTCTACTGGGTATTTACAAAAATCAAAAACTTTTAATGCAATAAATTAAACAAGGACGATAGTAAATAAACTAATTAAACTCATTCATTACACAGCCGAATGACATCACAAAATCAATTTAATCGATAAGAAAACAAACAAAACGCTATTAAATACAAATTCTAACAATTTATTTCTTCAACTACCAGCGAATTTCATTCACCTTTAAACGCGATTTTCGCTCGACGGCCAAACGGCAATTAAATTTTCAGCGTATTCGCCGGCATTGAGCGTGACAATAAAATCGGTATCGCGAACGAAAGGAAAACCGTTTACCCGCGGCCGCAGAAAAACGGAATCGAGGTCGCTAAACGAATATTATTGCCCGCGAATGGGCATTTCGAAAAAATATTACCACCGCGCTCCGGATAATAAACGGCGATTTGTATCACATTGGGATGATTTATTCGAAAATTATGTAATTAAGGAAAACGTGTAGGTACACCTACAAGGCGATTCGATTAAATGGAATATTAATAACTAATGCCGATATAATTTATTGTGCTCTTTACTGGCGTTTTGTTTGCTTGTCGTATACAGAGCGATTCAAATTCAAACTGAAATTTACTGTTGTATTAATGGAACATCCTGTAATTAGATGATTTGTATCGACTTTAAAAGCGTTCATTGAACATGGGCAAGTGCAATCCGTTCACTTTCATACGAATCACGTTGAACTTTCAAGAATTAGGTGTACTCGTGTCGCAAACGAACTCGCTAGTCTTAACATGTTTACTGTTCAACAATTATGCTAATGGTCGAACTGAAATAGATTACACTCGACTTTTTTGCGGCAATTATGTCTATTGTAATATTTATATTAGATCTCTAGTTATGTATAGATACAGGCGATTTTAATATTCAATCGACAATCAATTTAACGTAGCGTTATAAATAATGCCAGTACCTACGGAGGGATTGCGTAATGTCGTTGTAGCAAAACAAGCGCGTACGCTATGTCAATTATTTGCTTAGTATAAGTTTGGTAATGATGAAAAAAACTTTTATTTTTCTTGGGTAGATAACTAGGTAAGTAGGTACCTATTGGGTATAGCCAAATTAATGTAAGAATTATCTTAAAAGGGGCAATTATTAAAATGATGTGATTAATACAAAAGTTTGACGTTTGGGTTCAATATTTTTAATTTGACATTTGAATGACAGCCACAGGAGAACTTGATTAACGTGAACTAACGACATCCATAACTTTTTAATGTCAATTAATAAAACAAGGATAGTAGATTTTGAAAGACACTCCAAAAATAAATATTTTGATTGAAATTTACAGCTCTCTATAAAAATTATAAACTTATAGCATCTAATTGGATTCCATTTTTTAGTTAATCGCAAAATTTTCGCGTTTCATTAAAACGTCAAATTTTGACATTTCGCAGCACAGTATTTTTATGTTGACATTTGAACGACAGTTTATCATCATGTTCTACAATAAAAAAATAATAAATCAAGAGTGCGCGAATCGATAAATAATGTCGCAGCAAATTGATTTCTCTCAATGGTGATAAAACTTACTAATATGTAATAATTATCTCGATAAATTGCGGCTTGATTTTTCCGACGTAAATGCATTCGACGCGACTTCGATTCGCGCTTTTCTGGTAATGAATTATTTATCGTTTGATTTATCGGCGTCTGCAGCTGGTTAGAAAGTCTCAATCGGGCGGGAATCCGGCGAATTAGCCGAATTCATTAACGGATTTAATTTATTTAAATGCCGGCGTTTTAGAATAAATTTCGACTCGTCGCGAGAGGTTAAAGAAAGCGACATTAACGCGCCGTGGAAAGTCTCCTCCATCAAAACCGCGACGCGGATTCCGCAATAACATCTGTTTGTACACAATTACATCTACCTCATGCTCGATTTCAGGCCCTACGAACCCCGCCGGGACCCGCCCGACAATGAACCAGCGCTCCCCCGTCGCTTGAACGATGGCCCTCCTCAACTACACCGCTCCCTTTTTGGGCGCCCCCAGCCCGCCGGCCCCGAGCTACTACCAGCCGCCGGCCCACTACGACGCCTACCAGACCCACCAGCAGGGCTACTCCTATCCGCCGCCGCAGAAGCCCTTCCTGGCCGAGGAGTATCCCGCGTACCAGCGCAGCCCGCCCGGCCGGCAGGAGCACCGGCACCCGGGGCGCGACTTCCGCGGCCGCCCGGGCTACGACCAGGACCGCCGCGGCCACGACGGCTACAATAGAGTGAGAAACGGCGGGACTAAGAGTAGAGTGCCGGTGGATTACGACTACGAGGAAGAGGTGGAGGAGAAGGGCCGTCGCATCCCCGTGACGCCCATACAGGGGCCCATTTATATCAAAAACGGGAGCATACCGGTGGTGCCGCTCTACTCGTATCCAGTTTTGAGTAACGGGACGTTCGTGCAAATACCCGTAAGTAAAACTTGAATCGTTAATACGCACTGTATTCGCTCTATAATTGGCGCTATTTCTTTATTCTATTAGAAAAAAAAACTTATGGCAACAGATAACAAAGGTATTATTTAATTCAATGTCATGTAACAATTATAGTAAAACTTTTATTGTGTATCGTAATAGGCGTTGTCGATGTGAAAACAAACTCGGTTTACACAGGAATTTCAAATCCAAAATTCATTTTGGACAGTATCAGCGCACCTTTTTAACGCTAATCAATCCTTTCAATCAATCAGATCCTTTCAATTGACAGTTTTACATTGGTTATTATGGAGTAACTAAGGAGATTCTTTCAATTGACAGTTTACACTGTTGTTATGGAGTAACTATGGCATTGTTTATCTTTTAAAGAGACTCTTTAAACTGATTGATTACTGTTAAAAAAGATCCCCGAATACTGGCCTTTGGAATTCGAATGTATGAAAGATATAAGAGAATTATTTTTTTTTAATTTGAAGAGAAAATATTAATCTATTAATACATTAAGAAATATAATTCCTTGTGCACAAAAAAGGTTTCTTCCTCCCTTTAAAATAACCGAAACTTAGTGATAAAACGCGATAATCATTAAAAAATCGAAGAACAGTAAGATTTAGCGATTGCTGTGTAAACGTAGTTTATCTTGAGAACTCTCGTTTGAATTGAGCCAGATCGATCGTTAAATCGTTGACAAATAGATAACTGAAACTGGAACTAAATAGACCGAGGTCGTTGTTGATATTAAACAATTAAACGTGCGTTCCGAGTGGATTTAATTGCGAGAAAAATTTAGTGTTGCACCTACTATTGCAACAGTAAACGCAGAGGTCTTTTTTTCGTTCGAACAATGGAGCAGCGAAATGAACGAATTAAAATTCCTACCTGTAATACCTACCGCGATTTTTTATAAAAATTTAATTAACTAATAAAACAGGTATCTATTATAGTAGTAATAGATACGATTAAATAAAGGCAGGTCGGTGTGTTGCACTTAATTATTTTAATAGAGGTAAACATTATTAACTTTTAATGAAATTTTTAATTTGCGAATTTCAATTGAGTAATTGGGTAAACATCGAATAAAACTGCTGGTTCAGGATGAGTACCTGCAAGGTATTAATTAAATCGATTAAAATCGGGCCAAACCCACCGCGTACGCCTCGATTTTCACGGAAGAAAGATCAGCAAAATCGACCTTGCCAAGCGCATCGGCACTTTTTTTACAATTCAAGCAATTTTACTTCGTTCGATTGCCGGTAATTAGTTTGTACCACGTATCATAGTCGTTTGGTCGCTCATCGCAGCAGAATGTGGTCGAGGGCTCCGAAATTGGGATTTTTCACCAGAACCTTGGGAATATTCCTTCTGTCGCAGGTACGTTTCGAATTTATCAAATTTTCAAAATTTTATATCCCTAATTTACTGAATTAATATTGTGCAATCGATCGACTTGCGTCGAAAATTTGCAAACTATTTTTTACTAATTTTAAAAAATGGTGGATGCGCTTGATTCCTCCACCATTTTCTTGAGGCGAGTAAAATATTTTCGATCCAAAATTTCGTATAATAAACGAACTCTGTATGGTTTTATAGTAATTATAAAACTCAGAAAAGTCTTCTTAAAATTCCACCGACCACTCCCGTCGCATTGAAAGTCAACCGGACCCTAAAAGCCTTCATGAACAGCGACGAGAAGGTACTCACTAATAAAACCATTTGTTGTTTCTCGCAACGAATATTAACAATAAAGTTATTAAAATTAGATACGCCGACTCACGTGTCGCTCCGACCACATACCAATAACCCGATCGTTATCAATCGGGAATAATTAACGTCTCGAGCGGATTAATTAGCCGCGTATCCTTGGAAGAAAATCGTATCAATCGGATTAAATCTTTGTTTTTGCCGTTCGAAACAACAGCTCGATTAGTTCCTGATACGCGCTCGATGAATTATTCGGCCACAAATTCGCGACGATTTGTTTAACCTTTCCTCCTGTTCCGCCTAATTAATTCGAAAATCGTGAAATAATTGAGCGTTTTCGCGCGATAACAACGATTGCGATTCAACGGTATTGTGATAGTATCGGCTCAGGTATGGAAAGCATTGAGGTAGCGCAGGAAAGGTCGTTTGGAGTACTTATTAAAAACGTGATTGAACGAAAAAAATAACTAACTTATTGACGCGATTTTTTTAGCTTCGGGTCGTTTGCTTTACGGTATTATTGCTGGTAATTTAACGAGAACTGCATACACTAACTGCCCATTGATTTATTCGCTCGTGCAATAATCATTTCTAGCAAAGAGACGATTTATAGGTTCTGTTTAACAATATTATCCTAGTTTATTCTCTTAATACGTGTAGTTAAGTTTGTATTCCTGGTTTATCAATTTTTATAAAAATAATGCAATAAATCAGAAGCGGGATAAAAATGAAAATAGTAGCAACAGGTCTGTTTGACAAAAACACATCGGTGCTAATTATTTCGTAAGGTCACAATCGTGAATTGTCTTTCAAATTCGATCGGTCAAGGCTGGAAATTTCTTTCAATTACTAATTATCTCTAAATGTACAGCGGATTTCTATTTTGGTTAAAAATTAAAAAAAAATGATAGCGGTCGATTTATCTAAACCGCTTCCTCGGCGCGAATTAGATTGCAATATTGGAGAATGCACTTAATCGTTACGAAATCGCCACGAAAATTTCGATGTACTACTAATAATTGCGAACGGTACAACTTTCTTGTCAACATCCGTGATTTTTGATGACCACCGTTGAATTTAAAACGGTTTTAATTAATAATAGAAAGCGCCTTTTCCGCGCGCAAGCACATCCCAATGGCGACCTTTAATAGGCACTTAACAAGCCAGATGCGTCTAGCAGATTTTCTCCCTGCTTTAACTTAACTTCAACAGCGCCCGGCTTTGATAAAGCTGTTTCGAAATCGCGTCGCTTTATTATTTATTAACCGCGTTGAATTGACCCTGCTCGGTAAAAGTAAATCATAAAAGCGGTTGAGGGTGTTCGGTATGCGGAAAAATTCGATATACGACAATAAATCGTGACCTCAAACCAATATATTCTCTGTTAGTCATCCGGTTCTAAAGGTAGTACTCGTAATAAATTCGATTATTACGATAGAGTCGAGTTTGGGATAATATCTGTAAAATTCCTCGGTTCATCCTGAAATAAGTTGTATTGTGTGATACACTTCTTTTGTCGTGTATCAACCGCAGGGTTTTCCCGTCGTTACAATTTTTTATGCACCATCCTGGTCTATTTATAATGTCCTGGTACAGAAATCCGCTTCGTTTTTTTCGCTAAATTTATCGGTAAATCCTCCCGTACGTACATCGTATGACTAAATTCTCCCAGGATATACAAAAAAGTACATCATCCTCGCCGAAATAGGAAGCACACGATAACGCGACAAATGGTGTAACGAAATAATCGATTCCGTTCAATAACAATAAGTATGTCAAGCGTATCCGCGCTACGATTTTCCCGATGAATCAGATTTAACCACGAACATTGAATCGTAAATAGTACCTGTAGAAAAGCAATTTAAACTGTAATTAGCACTTGGTAATTGCCAAGTGCGCTCGGGAGGACACTCGGCGAATTCCTGCGAATAAAAGGAATCCCTGCGATTGGTCATCGCACCAAATCATTTTATGATCGGATATGTATTTAGAATTTGTTTGATTAAAGGAGTTCTTTGTAACCAATTAATCGGCAATTTCACATTATTTTCGTAATGTGATAGCATTTCAGAAATATTCCGCCGACGGTATAATCTCGTTTGTGCGTCTTATAAATAGATCTGAACGCATAACTTACTTAATGAAACGTTGAAATCTCAATTTATTAGGTAACAAATAAAAATATCCACTAATTATGTAGCGGCAGACGGATTGCGTAGCCGTAAAATTTCATTCAAACGTAAATGAGGTCAGTATCCGACAGGTAAAATACAAATGCAAGTGTACTCGAGCCAATTGATGATTTGTTGAATACAAAAAAATAATTCACTTTCTAAAAAAAATTGAAAATCCCCGTCCTTAACGCACGAAAATATCGCACAAATTATTATTCATTTCAGATATTATGGACAGCATTATCTGTAGCATTAGGATTAGAATTAAAAGGCGGTTACATCCGCGGAGTTCCTTGCATAATACGCGATCTACAACTCTATTGTCCCACCGCAGGAAACTCCTATCCACTGTAAGTACCCGATACATTGTAACCGCTCGTCCGAACAATTCGCGCTCCGTTTCAGGGATCGCATCGAGTCGTTCATCGACGAGAACAAGGCCCTGATGAAGCGGATGTACGGGGAATTCGACATGCCCTACTACGACGACTCCTACGGCCAGGAGGGCTCCTACGGCCCGGGCGAGGGCCGCAGGAAGCGGTCGGCCAAGCCGGGCGTGCCGGACCTGCACACCGACCCCGGTCCGGACCCCGTCCACAGCTTCGAGAAGCTCTTCTCCAAGAACCGCAGCCCCCGGCAGAACTTCAGGAATAACCAAAGCTCCGAGAGCGGCCGGATCGACTCCTGCGAGAGCAAAATCGAAATAGTGACGCCGTTCTGGGCGTCGAACTCAGCGGGGAAAATCCGTGCCATAGTGAACACGCAACATTTCGAGCAGGCTATACACCAGGAAGTGTGCGCGTAAGTTGCAGGATTCTCGCCGGTTAACCGGATTAATTGGTGTGTTGTTTGCAGGAGACAATCGACCAAGCGGTGTCAAAACGACTGCGGCTGTGAACAGAAATACAAATGGCATCGGCTTCTCGCCTACGATCCTCAGAACGACTGCAGAGGCATCTTCATGGACTGGTTTCTTTTTCCTTCCTGCTGCGTCTGCAGGTGCGCGCCGTAAACCAAAATTCCTTCCTACCATTTCTACTTACTTCAGTTTAAGACGGTAATTTTGCCCTAATTACTCGATTAAACTGAACTCTCTGTTTATTAGGGTATTGTAACGATTGAGGAAAAGTTATAGCTGTTATAGCGTGTTTTTTCCTATAAAAATTAGAATTAATTGTAGATGAATTAGATGATACAACTTGGGTAATTGCAATGCTAGCGAATTTAGTCTTCAGTGTGACTGATAACTATGCTGTAGATGTATATTGTAATTTCTCGTTTTAGTTGGTACTAAAATTTAATCTTTTGTTGTTGGAGTCATGTAGGTAAATAATGGTGTTGATTAATGACAAGAGATTAAATTGTTATTCGCCACGAATATTCTACTCCTACATTATTTTAATAGTTTTATGTAAGTACAGTAATTATTTCTTTGTGTTTGCTATCATAAAGCAATCTTTAATTACGTGAGTGTGTTGGGTTGAATGTTATTTAGGAATGTGTGCAATAAATTTTTTTTGGAAAATTTGTAATTTTTATATTTCTAAATTTGTTAATGATTGATCAAAATATCGCTGCCATTTTTTAATGTAAGTTTGTAGTTTTAATAAGTTTTATGTTTTTCTTATAGATATATATGTATTTCCTTTTTACCATTCTTCTGTATTAAATATTAAATGTTAGTTGAGAATTTATATTTTTTATTACCTATCAAAAACTCGCTTAAAGGGAATGTATAATTTATTAAAAACTCTAATTCCATACTAAAACAAATAACAAAAATACAGTTACAATTTACAGAATAGAAATGAATTAAATCCTTAGTGTAAAATTATATTCTACTAACAAAATTCAGCACCACATTTCCAAAATTATACTGGGAAAGATAATACTTCAAGTAGGTACTCCCTTTTAAATAAATTTTGCATTTTACCTGAGCTTATCTTATAATAAAGTTTCTTTTTAAAGTGAAATTAACTTGAAAATTATCAGTAGCACGAGTAAAATAATCTTAATATTTGGAAACCTGAGAAAACTGAACTTTCATCCATAAGTTATTACATAACAATGTTATATTTACAATTCAAATAAATAGTATGTATGCACTTACTTAGAGGCTTTTCACATGGTGCAATTTATTGCAATATATGCAAAACTACGCATTTGAACGTTTGTATTTTAACTGCAATGCAACATTGCAACAATTTATTGCACCGTGTGAAAACGCTTTTATGGTTAATTAATTAATTGTACAAAGTACAGACTGTTCCTAATTCTATTAAATAAATTATAAAAAAATAATATATACAAACAAACTGAAGTTAATCTTATCTAAGTGTGTACTTAAATGATTAAATGAAATCTACCATAATAAAATGAATCACAATCGTATATTATCAGATATTTTTTAACAAATATTTTACAAGTAAATCACTATTGAGCAACCAAACGCATTGTTCCGTGTCTTTTTAATAAATGAAAGAGAATTTAAGTAATAACTTATTTAGCTTAGAAAAAAATCGTCATAAATACTAAAAAATATTACACTCAGAGAATTCGTTAAATAGACTAGCATTTTTAAAACTATACCAATGAATCGTTACAAGCATTTCAGATACTCGTCGGTCAAATTTTCCTCACTCAACGCTAACAATTTTAACTCCTTCTAACTCCCAAGTAAATGGCTAGGCAAATAGCTACTAAGAAACAGGCACAAATTGTGTACAAGACCACTTTCTGTTGGAGGGATCTCATTATCATAGAATTCATTAGTCTTCCTGATCGGCTCAAATCCTCGTCTGCTTCTCTTAACTACAAGAAAATTTAAGTAAGCAAAATATTGTAAATTACAAGTAACTTACTCTAGATCGAGTCCTCTGGATGGTTTCCCTTTGTTCGGCCAAATTTTTCATCACTTGGTTCCCGATGTCTTCCGTTTCGACCACCACCCGATACCCTTCTTCCAGTCGCCTATTCGATCGTTCCAGCCTCTCGGAGTTATCCAGCAACCTTTGTTTTTGATCTGACGATATCCGGACATCGCTCAGCTCCTCGCTGCTGTCGTACAGGATGCCCTGTTTAACGGACCTCGCTTTAATGTAATCCAGTGTCAGTCTTTTTAATTCGGCCCTGTAGCAGTCTAATTTCGTTCTGCACCTCTGCTTCTTGGATTGCTCGACCTCCCGGGCCTCCAGCTCCATTTGCTCCAGCTAATCGTAGGAATGTTAATTAAGATATTATGGGTGGATTTAGATGATTGTACTTACTAATTCCTGGGCTTCTTCGACATGTTTTTCTATGTTCGAGATAAGCTGTCGACGGTCTTCTATGCGAAAACAAGAAATCTAATGAGTAACCCACTTATAATGTTTACAAAGTAAAGAGAAGTGTAAATGCAATTGTACTTACTTGAAGCTGAAGCTGTTAGTAGCCCTACTTGAGCTGTAATGTCGGCAGTTAAAACAGAATATTGCTGTTCATAATTTTCAAAAAGTGAAACCATTTTGGGTTTCGATTTTTTTCAATCACATTTTCAAGTTTCATTGCATTTTGGAGTTGGGGTTTTTTGGAGATCTGGGGTCCCTAGATTGTGACAATGACAGTCAGCTGATATTCGCTAAACACCCCTAACCATGAAGTCTCAATTTGATATTAAAAACGAAGAAGATTTGACGTCTTGACGAATGACGTTTTCTATGAGCACATCAGTAACCTGTCAAAGTTAGGGAAGGCCAAAAAAGAAAATCAAGTTTTCACTTTATTCCCCTTTTTTTACCTTATTAATTTTCGATCGACAATAAAAATTCGGCATAAGAATAAGACTGCGGCGAAAAAACAATCATGGTATTTTTTAAACCTTTCTATTAACGGATAATTCGCTGAAAACTAATTCAAAATTTCCTTGGACGAAGAATACATTCTGTTTATTTGCAGGATCCCCGAGACAATGGGTCCCTGATAGCCCTCGAGCAACTCATGGAGGAATTCTTCAATCCCTTAACGAATAACAGTAGAAAACAAGAAATTGAGCAGCAACTTAACTACTTCAAATCTCTGCAGCACCTGTGGAAATATTGCTTCCATTTCTTGTCGAATACCTCCAATCAGTATGTAAAAATGTTCGCCTTATCATCTTTAGAGGTAAAAGATATTATTTACATTTTAATTCCGCATTTTTGATGTCCAAATGTTTTTAGACTGTGATTAATCAACAATGGACTAATATCGAGTGGTCTGCGAAGGAAGAAATAAAAAATTTACTCCAGAACTACTTAGTGGAACAAGGGCCTATGTCCCCTCATTTTTTCAGATACAAATATTCTAAATTAATCATCGATATAGCCAAACACGACTGGCCCGTTAGGTATCCAAATTTCTTCAATAACATCCTCGAGGTGAGTCAAAATAGATTTATAAAACGCAAGATGTAATAAGTACTCTAATTTCCAGTTATTAAGAAACGAGCCGAATCAATTAATAGGCTTGACTCTATTAAAAACGACCAGCGAGGAATTCATGAGTATACAAGCGACTTACAAATCTAACATTAGAAAAGAAGAAATTAAAAGACTGTTGCACCAGTACATTCCTGTTGTTTTCGAATTACTAACTAACATTTTAGACAATCTAGGTAAGTACAATGCTTCGATATCGGGGAACTTCTAAAAGAAAACACGTTTTACAGGCACGAAACCGAGACACACTTCCACTGCCACTCCGCCTCCATCACCGGCTCATCCCTCATCATCACCCACGCTGTCTCAGAGCCTGGTGACCGCCTCTTTCAGGCCCGACCCGAAAACCTTGACCAAAGAAGCCTTAGAAACCGTACAGCATCTGTTTTCTTGGGCCCCTGTGCAAAGAATACCATCGCAAATAATCAAAGCGATTTTCACGTTTACCAACGTCTCTTCATACTCACAGGTTTGAAGTGCTGTTAATGCGTTTCGAATTGCTTGTAAAAGTATCATTTTTGTAGGATGATGATGATATGTGTGTACTGGCCATGTCTACTATAAACGAGCTGCTTTATCGGAAATGCACTCCGCCTAACACGCAAGATTTTTATTACCAATTGTACCATCACACTGTTGATTTGCTGAAGGAAATTACGAGTTCTCCGAATAGGATAGATTCTTTGGATCCTGTGTAAGTATAATAATAATATCCTGCTGAGAGCTGGGTGTATTAAAATGAGCGTTTTTTAGATTTATTGATAAACTATCGGAGTTGTTAATTCTCCTGATCGCGCACTTTTGGAGATTGGAAACCGTACCGGATTTCTCGGCTTTGGAATTGCTGTCGCCTTTGTTCCAATTGACCTTGCAATTGGTCTCCGTGAAATCGTATTTGTGCTGTTTGAACGTTTGGGCGACTTTCGCCAAGCAAATCAAAACGCAAAACGATCGAAAGTATTCCGATGTGTTCTTGACTTTGGTCACCACCTTACTGAAGAAGATCCAATTCACCTACAACTTCAATCAGTTGAATTTGCTAGATGATAATCAGGTAGACGAAAATGTAAGTTGTATAGGAAATTATTTTTTGGCAAGTATTTAATGTTGTGTATGCGTAATTGCAGGATGAGACGGAATGGCAGGCGTTTTTGAGAACAACGATTGAAGTTATTGCGGTAATTGCTGAATATACACCGGCAGAAACGTTCGGTTTAGTTGTGAGTAAACTTAATTACAACGTGGTTACTTATAAAAAATCTCGAAATTTTCAGCTCTCCTCGTGGAAAGTTTCCTACGATATTTTCCGTAGTTTAGAACAATCTCTAGATTATCAAAATCCTTCGTTAAAACTGGATGTATCGGAGACCGAGAGACTGTCGTACGTTTTTAAGGATTTTTCATCGCTCACTCAAGCACTCACTAGGTACTAAACTACCTTAATTATCGACTTATTCTATTTAACAAATCGTTTTAGATTGTCCTCTATTTACGTGGATCATTGCCAATCGCCCATTCCCGTTCTCAACAGCATCGTAGAGAAACTACTAGAATGCGCCTCTCTGTTCAACGAGACTAAACTGTTCGATTTCATCATCAGGGAGGGAGATACAAGACTTAAATCGTCGTTCATAGAATTGTAAGTAATTTTTACAAGGTAAAAATTCCCCTAAATTCACTTCTGTTTCCAGGCACAGTCAACTATTGTGCGGCATAAAAACCCTTCTGCCGTGGACCACTCAGAAGAACAGCATAAACAATTACATCATGACGGCCATCTTGGACATCACTCTACCAGTGCTGCGCAATCAGAACACGCTATCGTCTAAAATAAAACTATCAGCGGCCCATCTTCTGCTGCGTTTCACCGACATCGTGCACGCCCCTCTGCTGCTAGCGGCGCCATCGGTGGTGCAATTCATACAAGTCGCGCCGAACTTGACGTTCTGTGATAAGCAAACGGTTTGCGTGGTGAACAGCTCGGTGACGAATTTGCTGTTGAAGCCCTGGGGGGAATTGAGCCAAGAGGATTCCAATCGCAGGACTTCGATGATCGACGCGTTCTTCGAGAACCTCACGAAGGATTTCAGGAGCCTGGATTACCACCTGGATTTCAGGAGCTGTCGCGAAGACAGGACGCTCCAAGTGGTCGAGAACACCCTGCCCTCTTTGTCTGTGATAGTCGAACGGTGCAAACATTACCCGATAGCCTCGAAGAAATTGCTAACCGCCATACTGAAGCCTACGATACAGCACGGGTTGTATCTCTTCCCCGTGTTTAGCAGCAAATACGCCTACAAAGAGGCCTGCGATCACCTTTTGACGTTTTTCTTGAACGTGATGGGGGTGATTCAACAGCAATTGGGGGAGGAAGAAACCAAGAATGCTGTTGGGGTGTTCATGCATGTTAGTTTATTGATCCTACGGAAGTATCGAATTTCGAATTATCGGTTATTTTGCAGGTGACGATGAATGAAAGGCAGAACTATTCGTTATGCGGATTGGATAAATTGTTGCAAATCCTGCAGCTAATCATCGAAGCTCCGGGTAATGGTTACAAAACGTTTCTACCGAGTGTTCTGCAATTAAGCATGGAAAATATTTATCCGGTGGTTGTGTTGCAAGGAAGAGATACGCCTGAAGTTTTTGTCGCTTTGTTATCGCTATTGTACAGGTAAATATTCGTATATACAGGGTGATTATAATATAAAACGGTTGTTATTTTTAGTATTTTGCTTCACCGTTGGCAGTATTTCTACGTTTCGCAAGTGAAGCTGGGCTATTCGCCCGGTTGCAGCGATACCGATCAAGGCATCGAGCATCCGCAGAAGCCCGAACAATTGTTGGCTGTGTTACAGGTTTTCGGACAGGCTTTGCTGCAAGAAGATTTGAACGTTTTCCACCTAAGTCTGGCCGCTTTGGAAGAGCTGAACTCCAAATGGAAATTGTACCATAAGATGCTGTTCCGTCAACAGCTTCTGTGCGAGTTCCTGACGGTGCTGCTAAATTGCCTGTTGGATAAATCGCAGAATTCCCTATCGGACGATATCCAATTGGCCGTGTACAATATGGCGGCTGTGAATTTCGAGGATTTTTACGCGACATTCCTGAGGAAATTTGTGTGCTGTATGGCCGGCGTAACGGACGAGCAACGTAACGCTTTGTTAACCAATTTCCATCACAATTGCGACACCGTAAGTTGATAGATTGCTCGGAAATTTCGCTAATTTTTTTTGTTGCAGGATATGCCCACGTTTGTGCGTAATTTGCAATGTTTCGTGAACGAGTCTCGTCAGTACAGAATGTGCAATGTAAGTTATTCGATGAATGGATGTTAGATAATTCTTCATTAAGATATGATGAGTGTAATTGTGCAAATTCGACGCGCGTAAGCGAGTAGGTATTGGGAAAAAAGTACTAAGAAACGTAAGATGTAGATCTCAGTTTGGTAAACCGATAAGGTTATATGTATAAAGAATGTTTTATTTGATCGAATTTAATTTCTTATTAAAGTGTAGTACTTCTTGAAGGCTTTAATGAGCCCGTAGAGGTACAAATATTAGGTAATTATTTTGAAAAAGGGTTATTTATTTCTTTTTTTGTTCTAAATTTGTAAGAATTTAGTAATTTATTAATAGTATTATTATGTTTAAAGAGTATTAGTTCTCGTAATTCCAATGGACTTTTTAAATTACCGATGCATCATGAAAATATTTTAAGACATGCGTAATTATTAATTGTTGTAAATAATCGACGTACTCTTAATATTACATTTTTAATGTAAATTCTATTTGTACAGACTGTTGTGTACTTGTACTTTTTATATGTTCATACTTTCAAATGCTCAATAAAATGTATTGTAATATTGAAAGCGCTTCAATCTTCCCCTACCAATTTTTCGCAGTAATATCGATTAATTTCGATAATCGTGGTGATTATTTTGTTTGTTCTACGTTGTAAATAATCCGATTAAACAAACGTGTTAACGAAATCCTTTCAAATATAGATAAAGCACTCGTTTACGCTCGCAAAGGGGCTGTTTACCCCTTTCACCAAAGGCCTGAATTGAGAAAATCACTCTGCATATGCCCAGAGAGTTTATTATCCCGGGAATCCCCCGGGGTCGACTACGTTTACTTTTCCTACAACTTCGCTAAAAAATTAGGTGAGGAAATGCGGTTTGCGTGATGTAATTAGTAATAAATTTAAGAATATTTTAGGAAATTTTCAAAAAAATCGTTCGAGTACTTTCCGAGAAAATCCAGAAAAACCTTTCGATTTTCCGATAGATCTCGTCGATTTACTTATAGCATTTTTTCCGCTATTTTTCTCTTCAAATAAAGCCTTAAAAAACACACCAATGAGTCAGTCAATGAAACAACGTCGCCTACAGGAAATTTCCTACCAACTAACGAAATTGTACCCAAAAAAAACACTATTGAATATATTGAAACTAACTTTAATTGACTACCCAATCCAAATCAAAATCAACGATCCGATCGAACGGCGCTCCTCTTCCCTCTGCCAGCACTGAACCCTAGCGGCAGTTTCTTCTCGTACAAGACATCCTGATGGTCCCACGGTCGTACCGGCCGGTAGTTCTGCTTCTGGCTCGCCTCCAACTGCATTATGTAATTCCACAATCTGTCCTCCTCCGAATCGTAATCGTACTTCTGTGCATCCCCGGCGTCGTAAACTCCCGCACCAGCGGCGTCCGTCAGCGATTTTTTACCCCGCACCCCGACGAACCCGTACGGCACTGTCAGCACCGAATTCAGGGCGATCGCTATCAGCATCGTCAGCAGCAGGAGGTTCATTTCGGGCGATGTTTGGTACTGGAAATTAAAAAAAAAAGCGAGTGATAGAGCTCACTGTAGAGTGGAGCTTGTAGAGTACAAAAGTACACTTAAAAGCTCACTGTGGGTAACGTATAAAGCTTGAGGGAATTGCTTGGTGTACAAAGTTTGCTTCCCAAGCAAATTAAATCAGTTAATTATCACCCCCAATACAAATTACCCGATTTAATCAATCGATGTATTTACAAACTTACCTAGAGGTTTATCTTCTAATCGCGATGCTTCAGGTATTGTAATTGAATCAAAGCGAAATCACACTGATCTCCTCGTTTACCCGGCGTTTCCCTTTTATACGAAAATCCGGCCCAGTTTAATTATATTTACATAATGAGGGATCGTTTAATTGAAGTATCTTGTATTAATTTCGACTGGGACAACAAAGAGCCATATTGAACAATCATGAGCGCACGTAGAAAACGCCGTCGCGAGATAACGGGACAGGTAAATGCGACGCGTAGGGCGTCGCGGCGTCATTTTGATGTCCCGTTTGTTGTCACCTGTTGCGCCATTAAGGAAGCGCGAAAATAAAGGGCTATATATAATTTATTACAGGCATATTAGTGCATAAAACTGGAAGCTTTTTTTACAGGAAAATTCCTTCTTTTACTCGCCACTGAGCTTCCACTATCTCATTATCAAACATCGTCGATTTACCTAGTGTAAATGCGAAGGGTGATCGAATTTTTGTGTAAAACAAAGTCCATTATCTGCAATTAAGTTTATTTTACGGCGTATGGTGGAATTGATTGCATTTGTAATGTTTTACGAACGATTAGTTGCGGGGAATTTTTCGATTCCGCCCACTCGCTAATCTTTCGAATTTCGTTAAGATCTAAATGCTGTTTTTTTCATTTCTGTTTTTGCCAATTCTTTGCTCTTTACTAATGCTTTAGAATGCGATTTAATATCGAGTATCTGCTAAATAAGTGCACCTATTACGTGTATTTATACAAATCGCTGGCATTCTTGGGATGGTTCGATATTTTTGATGAAATTTCCAATGCCTTTCGAATTCTATTATCAGTAAGTTCGCTGGAAATAGCGCTTCAACAGTACGACAGGTATATTGTACATTTATTATTTAATCAAAACTATTTTAAGTTCCACTAATTATGTAAGTACTTATTTTGGGTTTCCCATTAAAATGTTAATTTATTTCACGCGTTATTTTGTATAAAATGTAAGCCAGCAAAACGATACAATTTTAATATTTTAGTTTTTAAGACCTCCTGGGACAGCAAATATCTGGAACTTCGCCGGTTTTTTTGAGACACCCTGTACAGTATTATTCTATTTTCGTCCCCGTTTCCTGTACGTTTTAACAAACAGCTATTGGTTCAATAAATGCGCTAATAAGGGCCACAATAATCCTGTTAAAGTCGAGGGCACGTTACGGATGCGCTCTAATCAATAGGGGTTAAAGTTAAAGCTGTTTAGAAATAGTTAAGTAAACTACAATTGAACTAATAAAACGTACGGTAATATTTCCTCCAAAGGAAAAGACACCCCATGCGATCCAACCAATCGCAGAGCTCTCGGTTATTGGATGATTCCTCCAGCCGTCCTTTTCCAACGCAGGGATATCTTCCCGTACTGTTGCCAAGTTGTGCAGTTTCTCCCCATAACTCCTACTTACCCCACCTAATACTTTTAAGAATACAAAATTCGTGCCAGTTTCTTCCACAACAACTTAGTTATAAGCAGAAAAAGTAGAGTTAAATGCACCAGTGCTCTTGGTTAATTGTTGTGTTCTGTAAGTGTTGCATCGGGGTAGGTAGGGAGATTGTCAGTGTAGGAGAAGCGGCAACGGCGCGGGCTCGGAGGGGTTGAAAGATAGAACGTCGAAACTGTTTGACAAGTAATCTTCCGTGGTCGTGGTAGTTCCGAGAAAACGTGTCCACCGAGGAGGCATATTTGCAATGTGCATTGTGGCATTGCGGTCGGTTTGTTCGTTCGACAATGGCGATTCGAACGAATATGTAAATATGTAAAGCGGCTCATTAAGATAGTCGATTTTCGTTGGTAATTTCGCGACGGGTCGGTGCGTGTGAGTGTGTGTGTTACCTATTTTTTAAGCGTTAGATTTCGAATGCCGACGTACAAGTGCCTGGTAGATTAGGATTAATTAACGGAGGGAGACGGGAAACACCTGTGATTATTCGATTTTACCGTCGTCTCGTCGGTTTTGTTTCGATAGGGGCAGAGAGGAAGCACCGTCATGTTCGCATTGGGGTTGATTTACAACGCCACGAAGGCCAGTTTCCAAATGGTCCAGGATATGGATTTCGGCGACGCCAGTAAGTCTGCTATTACGATCTGTTATCGCGTCGACTTCCGGTGCATTATCGATGCGAGTAATGTGCCAAGAATCAAAAATTTTGGGTTTTGAGAAGGAAAAAATTTGTCGCCCCCGGGTGGGCTCGAACCACCAACCTTTCGGTTAACAGCCGAACGCGCTAGCCAATTGCGCCACGGAGGCTTTGGGCTAGTGCGTTTCAATTTGTGTTTATAAAATGGATGTAAAAAAATTGCTTTTTCAAAAAAACATAGGCGTAGGTGTCGTGTGGAAATAAGGAAATTTAATTACGAACATTGTTTATTTCGCAAAAAAATTCGAAACATTCATCAAGTCGAGTCCACAATATAAAAAATGTATAAAAAAATTATAAATTCAGGATTTCGAATATTAATTTAATGGTGATTATTCGAAGTCTTATATCGAAAATCTCTTAGAATATGTACCATAAATTTCCACGAATTAAATATGGTGAACCTACATTAGCAAACGAAAATTTAGAATCATCTGTAAATATAAATATTCTTATCAATTTACATGTTATCTATCAAAAAGCCACTATAGTAATTACAATGAATTCGTCTGGCCTGGCTGTATACAGAATATTAGTATAAATGTTAGTCTAATAAGTAATTAGTGCTTTTTTATCGAATTAAGCAGACATACATATTTGGTAAGCTTTTATATTTCTCTTACAATTTTCGCACACCTCGTATACATACACAGAACATTTTACCATTATCTCCTTTAATAACAAACAAACCGCAATAGACACAAACAAACTGATGCATTTAAAATAATAACTATAAGATACTAGTTATAACGGTTTCAAATTTAAGTTTTATAAAGTAGACCACCCTGTATATTTATGTAGCACCTATATCAAACACTGAAGTCCAAACGTACATAGTAAATAACAGATTCAATCACTGTAGATATTAGTCTCTAGAGAAACTTAAAATATCAGCTCCATTTTCCCATCACAGTATCGAAGTACTAGTTTGGCGAAATTTGGCCCACCCTGTACAATTCTATCATAGCTCTATTATAGTCGCATAAAAGCTATATGTAGGTGAACGACCCCGGCACTTGGTCAGTGTAACAGCACGACAACGAACCGGCTATTGATCTCTCTCGGGCCTTCTTGTAGCTATAGCGCGAAGAGAGACGAGACGGCCCCATAATAGCGCCTAGTACGGATAGTACCGAGATTAAAATCGAGAACCGCTCCGGCTCGATCCTTCCTGGTGCGTCACAAAGGATACCGGAGGATTAGAAGAGAGTACTGTGAACTTTGCTGGCGTCCGCTCGGTATATATTCTATCTATTGGCTGTATGCAAAAATGATATTGCCGGGTACTAAAAAATTATTATCTGCCGCGATGTCCTCGATTTGGCTAACGGGCGTTTAACCTAACAAGGTCAAGCGAACGAACGGTTTGATGATTGAAGCGAAAAGCGATGAAAAAAAAACGCGGATTTGCCATCCGGGCGGTTGCGGTACCATTTGTGGACCCCCGAAGGCACGAGGCGCTGGGGAATGTTTGGTTATACTGATAGAATATCAGTCGTTTAGGTACTGATTACAGTCGTTTAAATATTCATGATGGATAGGTAAATGTTACATTATACAAAGCGCTATTTATAATCGATTTTCGATTATAAAAATTTCCTTTTTATTTGTAGAAAAATAGATCAAATAAACTTTTATTTACAAACGTTAATAACCCCAAACACAACTGATAATTTATTCAAACAATATCCAAATCCCTTTTAATTAAAACAACGTAGGTACTCGACTCGACAAACAAATACTTATTACAAATACATGAAAAATTCGATATAACAGCAAATATGTAGTAGGCGATATAAGTACCAACAATAGTACCATAAGATAGGCGATGTTAATATTATACCAAACGACTCGGTAAATACTAACTGTAATAATACCATTTGAGATTTAGAATGGTCCACGAAGAGAGTCACACGTAAGTACGCTGTACTCGCCGGCGGTACTACTGCTAATCCTTCGTCGAATTTCCCCGTCGAAATCGCGAAATAATAATACAGCAATAATTGGTGGTACTGTAAAACCGGCGAAACGGACGAAATGGTACTCGGGCACTACTGTTAGCTCGGAGCTCAGATTGTTAGTTTATTGTCTCTTCCGAAACGGTGCTGGGCCGATAAATATGCCGCGTTTTGGTGCGATTGAAAAGTGAATTTTGTCGATCGGTATCGTACCGGCGGAAAAAAATGGAGTACTTCGCCAAGAAGTGTTTCAAAACCGGCAAGGCCATGAGGGAGAAATCGCGCGACAAAAGGGCCAACGAGGAGAAATTTAACGAGCGCAACAATCGTAAGTTTATTGGCTTTTTTTAATGGGAAATTGCGAAAATTTGAAACTGTTTTATGGTAAAAGATATACAGTGTGAGCCAGTATAGGGGTAAGTGCAAATATGTTTGCAATATGAGTTGAACAAAAGAAGATTATTAAAACTACAGTGATAGGAGTGAGAAAGTTGCAATCACACAATAGTCCATATTAATAAAAATGAAGCATTTACTTTGAAGTAAAAGGTAGAAGCAAAAGATAAGAGAAAGGTTTTAAAACCATAAAGCTTTTTGCTTTAAATCAACAGCAGGGTCCTCGAAACAAAACCTCTTCCTACGCACTTCTTTTTATGCATATATTTAAAACAATTCCTTCATTTTTTGTAAGCAAAAGGTTATGCTTCTTTTTATAAATACGACCTATTATCACCCTTTATTTTTCCATTATAAGAGACTAATGGAAGTTATCTTTCTTGCACCTATATTGCGTACAAATTTGCACTGTCGAAGACATGAAAAGGTTTTTCCTTTGGTAAATAAAGAGGTTTTAAATTGCCCCTGTATGACTTTCGTAGCTTTCTGTGGGGTGTAGTTGATTCTCCCTGTATTTAATGTAAATCAACAAACTATCCGATTTTCCACATGCGTTTTTTTTGGCCGGAAAACGGGACATATGTGCGAAATTCGCGCTTAATATGAGCGTTTTTAATCGAATCCGAAACCGCTCGCAGACGAATCTAAAAATATCCGGAAAAAAACCCCGACCTAAAATTACGCACGTTGTTTATAGTTGTCCACACACTGCCCATAGGCCGATGCACCGTTGACAAATTCGTAAGTTTAATCGAAAAAATATTTCACTTACTTAGTTTTTGATTGTGCATTTTCATCGAATTTTACGCACGTTCACTCTGCGATTGTATTCGACATATTCTGTTACGATTTCGAGGCGAAAATAGCCTCGTAATAAATAACCGAAGAAACAGCGCTGTTATGTATTCGATATTTTTATAACACAGATTTCTGTTTACGTTCCATATCTAATCCCTGTACATTTTTCTCGCCTCCCTCGTAGAGATCTAAAAGCAGTTTGTGTGGTTCTACGAGGGCGATTCGATATAGTTTTGAATACAATCATTTTGTATAAAACGAGCGGCCTTGATGATAAATTGATTGAATAAATAATTTATATTTCTGAATTATTTCTTAGTTTTAATTCTTGATGCGAAATCAATAATGTCACCTTATTTTATAGTTTCTTCCACTGTATTTTTCCGCATAACCATCGAATCAATAATAGAATAGTTAATAAGCGTGTCTAAATAGTGAACTAATGAAAATTTAATTACATTTTTGTTAATTACACTCATAATGGTAAACATTGTCTATTGTCCGCCATGCAATTATCGAATACTCGCGTGTACACCCATTAAATAAACTCTATTTATTTATTTTTTCTATGAACACTCAAGTCCCATTTATTAAATTATTTGCGAGCGAATTCAATTAATAATAGTACAGTTAAATTCGAATCCCGTTACTCCCATCATAATGCATCCGCTCTTTTTATGTCCGAATTTATAGCACCAAAAAAAATCCATTCTTTCTTTTACAGTGGAAACCATGGAGCGTTGCCTTCTGTACATAGGCGGCGGCGCGGGGGCCTTGGCATTGACCGGAGTGGCCGCCGCCTCCGCCTATTACCTCGCCAAAGGCCCCAGCTGCACGCCGGAAAGGCCCCTGTTTCCCTTGGATGCTCAATGTATCGAAGAAGAAGAGGTAAGATATAAGGTCCAGAGATGTAGATAAAGGGGTTGGTTTGTAAAAGGGGTTCAAAGGGGTGGATTTAGTGTAGGTTAATGTATCGAAGAAGGGGTGAGATAAGGTCCAGCTGTAGGAAAATGGAGGTTTTAATACATGATTTGTATAAGAGGTTCAAAGAGATGGATTTAGTTTAGGATAATGTATTGAAAAAGAAGAGGTAAGATAATGATCATCTGTAGATAAGGGTTTGGTTAATTCATGATTGATATGAAGTTCAAAGGGGTTGATTTAGTATTGGTTATTATATCGAAGAAGAAGAGGTAAGTATATAATTTGTAGTATAAATTTCAGGAGTACATCCTGCAATGATGATTAGTGTGGGTTTCAAAGGGGTGGATTTTAGTGTATTGTACGGATCGATAGATATTCTGTATAGTTTATAAATTATTAGTAGAATCGTTTGCGTCATCTGGAAACCGTTTATAAAACGCTTGGGTTATTTTATACGATTTGAATTGCGTAAAGCACTCTGGGATTTTGGTCGCAAGCACTCTCCTCGTCTCATATCAATCTCGATATATAAATAACGAAATTCGCCAAACGTTTCGTTTCCGAACAAATCTGCGTTGTAACAATAACATGAGGGCATCGGGCGAGAGGCGTCGCGACGCTAATTCATTCGCGGCGCTTTAAGGAATATAAGGCTATTAAGCGACGTGTCGGCTCAAGGCCCGCGCTAAATGAGTCAATTAAAATAAAACCCGAAGAAAATATCGGTGTAGTAAATATTTTTTGAACAAATTCGAGTGCCAAATTATTTATTAAGTGTTATATAAATTTCGGTTGAACTTGAGAATTGGCCAAAAATCTCGTGACGGCGAGTGAGTCAAGTCGTTTCGAAATCGAACATCATACATGTTCAATCCCGTGGAGCTAATTTTATTTATTTATTTATATTGTGTGCGGTGATATTTAATTTTTTTTTTCGGTTCCTAACGAGCGCTGTACCGTCGGTGCGGAAGTTCTGTGCGGAATCATGCGGATTTTTAGTACCGTTGCTCTTTAATCGAGAGGTGTATTTTTTGTTTATTTGAAAAATGTGCGGCTGTTGCGGTTGCAAAAGCACCCCTCCGGTTACCGTGCCTATTAATTTGAACAACCAATCCGATGCTTACAATTATAAAGTAGGTACATTTTCTTCTTAAACAAAAGTTTAATTTAAATAAGCAATTTTTGAACTGAAATACATTTGAACGTTAAAGGTATCTTCCACGTGAATCTTTGCAAGGTTGCAAAACAGCCTAAAATAACTCAAAACAGTAAACACCTTTTTCACGATGATGCAAACGTAATCTACTTACATACTCGCAAAACCAATTAGGCTTTTGCTCGTGATAATTTTCCTCGGCGACCTTCTACAAGTTCCCGAAATAGTTCCCTTCCTAACTCTAACCATGGAGCTGCAGTAGCGGAAAAACTACTCGGTAAAAATGACATTTTCGGTATATATTCCAGGGTGCAGATGTGATTCGAGTGTCGAGGTTCTTCACCCACGCGAAGGAAGGAAAATTCATCAGCTACGCCTACTCGGACGCGAAAACGTTGTACGAGTCGTTCAGGAGAGGCTCGAAAGTATCGAGTAAGTACAAATTAATTCGAAATGGTAAAAGGGCGGAGAGTTTGGCATGACCGCGAATCTAATGGCGAAAGTCGATAGGTCAAAGGTGACGATGTAAATGTGAGTGGGAAGCTGGATGTTTGCTCTTCTCGTTCACAGATCGAGTCTAATTTCAAATTGGATGTTTGTTTTGCACTTTGGTGTGTAATTTTGCACGGAGAGTCCTCTTTCAATTAGTCGAAACGATGCTTACCTCTGCATTGTAATTTTTTTGTAGTAGTATTGGATTCGTTTCTAAAAATACAGCGAGTTCAAAAATCTACCACCCACGATAATCACAAGATCCTACAGTCTGTTGGCAGCGATTTTCTAAACTTTGCAACTGCGATTTATGCCATTCATTTATCTCAAAGCACGCAACTCATATCCCCAAATCCTACAAAATCAAAGGAATGCTCTTCCAAGGACATATCTTTGCCTGGGATTTGGCCATATAGCACAATCTCCGAAGGTCTTCAAACGGTAATTTTTGCGCAGATAACGGACCGTGCTTGGGCTGGCGAGAATCCTATTCGAAGCCCTACCAATGGTTGAACTACAACGAGGCCTTGCTGAGGGCGAAGAACCTCGGATCCGGCCTGGTGGCGAGCGGTCTACCGCCCGGCCAGAACACCTTCGTGGGCATCTACGCGCAGAACTGCCCCGAATGGATACTCTGCGAGCAAGCGCTCTACTGCTACAGCATGGTGCTGATACCGCTCTACGACACGCTCGGTCCGGAAGCATGTGCCTTTATTATCAAACAAGGTACTGAGATTCTCTCTAGCTTCGTTCGATCGCCGTTATCGGCCGGTATTTTGTTTGATTGCAGCCGATATTAGCACGGTGGTATGCGAGGACGAGGGCAAGTGCAATTTGCTGTTGGAGAAATCCCCCAGGTGCTTGAAGAAGCTGATTGTGATGAGAGACGTGAGGCCGGCGGTGAAGCAAAAAGCCAAAAACCGAGGCGTGGAAATCGTGAAATTCTCCGACGTCGAATTGATGGGAGCCAAAGGCAACCACCAAGAAGTTGTAAGTAAAACACGATTTCCTAAAGACACCTTTAGCTCATTAAAATTGTTTTTTTTTTCTATTATGCAGCCGCCGAAACCCTCTGATCTCGCCACCATATGCTACACCAGCGGAACGACGGGCAACCCCAAGGGCGTGATGTTGACCCACGAGAACATTGTGGCCTCTATGAGCGCCGTTATAATGCAATTCGGCGACCACAAACTGAAAAACACCGACATATTGATCTCGTTCTTGCCCCTGGCGCACATGCTGGAAAGATGCTGCGAGGTAATTTCACGCAAATTAAATCTACCCGTTCTTCTATTGACATTGCTGGTGTTTTTAGAACGCCATGTATTGCGTGGGAGGCGCCGTAGGTTTCTATTTGGGCGACATTCGAAGGCTATCCGACGACATGAAGGCGCTGAAACCCACTGTCACTCCGGCTGTTCCGAGGCTACTCAACAGGATATACGATAAAGTGCAATCCGACATTAACGGTAGCTGCTTCAAGAAGACCCTGTTCAACATGGCTATGAGCGCTAAAGAGAAGGAACTTAAAAGGTTTTGTAAATGCACTTTTTTAGCACTGAACATTCTAATTTGATGTGACTTTTATAGAGGTGTAGTTAGAAAAAACAGCTTCTGGGACATGCTGGTATTCCGAAAGGTCCAAGAAGGCATGGGCGGCAACCTGAGGTTAATGCTGGTGGGATCGGCGCCACTAGCAGAGAACGTGCTCACGTTCGTAAGATGTGCCTTGGGGTGCTTGGTGAGCATTCGACCGCCATTTATTTACCAACATATTACCGCGTAATTTCGGCGCAGGTGGTGGAAGGTTACGGGCAAACGGAGTGCACCGCTCCCATCACGCTGACCATCCAAGGGGACCACACGCCCGGGCACGTGGGCCCCCCGGTGGCCTGTTGCTGCGTGAAGCTGGTGGACGTGCCGGAGATGGAGTACTGGGCCAACAAGAACCAGGGCGAGGTGGTGGTGAAAGGTACGAACGTGTTTCAAGGGTACTACAAGGATCCGGAGAAGACCGAAGAGGTGATCGACGAGTTGGGATGGCATCACACGGGAGATATTGGAATGTGGTTGCCGGTACGTTTGGTGCTATTATTAATATTGTTTTAGGAATTTTATGTTGGTGTTTGTTGTAGAATGGTACGCTAAAAATCATAGACAGGAGGAAGCACATCTTCAAACTGTCGCAGGGTGAATACATAGTTCCAGAAAAAATAGAGAATATATATATTCGTTCGCAATACGTTGGCCAAGTTTTTATATACGGAGAGTCGTTGAAAGTAAGTTTATAAATCCACGGTTAAATTCATCGCTTTGTTAAACGCATCTTTTTTGCAGTCTTGTATAGTAGGTATAGTAGTACCGGACGTTGATGTGATCAAATGTTGGGCGCACGAGAACGGCATACCGGGCACTTTGAGCGTCCTGTGTGCCAATCCGGAGGTCAAACAGCTTATTTTAGACGATATGATCATGTGGGGCAAAGAGGCCGGATTGAAGTCCTTCGAACAGGTACCGTACAATCGAAATTTTCGCCAAATTTATAAGCCATTTTGCCCAGTAACCAAAAGTGGGTATAGTACTTGGGGAACTGTATATACCGTGCTTCATTCACGATTGCAACATGGGCATTTCTATGAATTGAACAAAGAAAGGCACACTGTACCTTGCTGTGCCCCAAATGCTATAAAAACAGTGACTATTGTTGTTATTACAAGTGATTTTATTTATTTTTCCACAGGTCAAAGATATTTACCTGCACCCGGACAATTTCAGCATCCAAAACGGCCTGTTGACTCCCACGATGAAGTCGAAACGTCCACAGTTGAAGGCTTATTTCAAACCACAATTAGACGATATGTACAGCAGACTCACTTAGGTTACATACATATTTATTTCCGTTTTTTCCCTAGGTTTCTTGAATTACTTTTAAGTAAAATTCGTAGATTTAGTTATATTAAGCACGATACATAGCATCATTGCTTTAAAAGTGAATAGTAAACCTTTTCGGGAGGGTTTTACACCGATTGCTTGTAGTGTTGCCATCATTTTCAGACAATAAAAGAGATATTAGATTTCGTCCATTATTAAAAGTTTATCTAATGAATTTTATTGCACGTTGAGCAAACAGGTACGCATTTAGTCACACATTTTCCATTCGATTCGTAATAGTTGAATAAAAAGCAATGGTGTGTAATCTTCTTTAATAAGCTAAAAGATTTAAAGCAATAACACTTTAGTCAATCTGAAAGGAGTTAAATGAATTTGAACTAGCGGCTGTGGTTTGTGCGAGATATTCTTTTTATTTAAAATAAACTAGTTGAGGAGAGAACGATATGAAGGATCGATGAAACAAATACTTGTTCTTTTTTTATTATATCCACTTGTAGACGATTAAATTTAATTGAAAATTTTGTAATCGTACAGTTAGGAAATCTTCAACACTTGTGAAATTTGGTAAAAGTATCAAAATAAATGTTTCAAATTACTACTATATTTACGTGTTTTGATTACCCCCTTTCGTGATATCGAGGAAAAAAGCACAAAACAACAAAAAAAACTAAAAGTTATAAATTTATTACCATCTATTTTTTAGCTTTAGTAACAGCTTGTTGGGCTTTAAGAACTTTAACAACGATCTTTTGCTCCTCGATGAGGAAAGCTCTTACGATCTTTTCCTTGACGCATTTGTGGCACAGAACACCGCCGTAAGCCCGCTTTACGGTCTTCTTTCTTCTGCACAAACGGGACCTTTCTTGGGGTCTAGCAGGAAGGATACCCCTGAGTTTGTCTTTGCATTGACCGCATCTCGGGATCTTCTTGGGTTTCTTCAGGTATTGGTACACCAATTTACCACCAGGAGTACGAACACTGCAAGAAATTACGTATTTTTAATAAACAATTAAATACCCTATAGTTCTACCAATTAGTTTATTTGAAGTATCAGAAATAATGAACGAAAAGGGTTGTAATCACTAGGTATCAGTACTCTAGCCTAAGTTTTTCATCACGTTAGAAAGAAAACATAACCTAAATATACCATTTGTAATAAAAATAACAAATAGTTAAACTTTTACTGGATTAATTGTTTGTAAATTAAGTTAATTTTCCGTACTTACATTCGCCTCCTGTTGGATTTTGTGTTGTAAGACAATCGTCTTCTAAAAACTAACCGTTGAACCATTCTGCTCTAAAATAAAATAATCTCAATTAGTGAATTGAATAACTACACGTTAAAATCGTGAAGTAAGATTCACGGAATTCAACACAACATCATTATAAGTAAAATATTTATTTTAAAACACAGATGTTTGAAGATTTATTTTTTAAAATTACTAACCTCTTCGAGCTTAAAATTGGAAAGAGTCCGAAATACGCTTGCGCCGAATGAGCTGTTTTGACATTTGCTCAATGACAAGATGATAAGTGACACATGCAAGTTCTAATTCTCGGCCATTTTTGACAATGTTGCCAAGTGGCAATTAAGAAATTTTGAAAATTGAAGGTAATCCAAAGATTCTATTGAAGTAAAATTTTAAAATGGAATATTAAAATATCACGCGTATTATAAAAAGTGTAAAAAATGTAATTCTAATTCTTTCAGAATTGCTATTGGTTGATTAGTGCTGCCACCTACGTCAAACTCATGTGTCAAATTGTCATACTTGTCTTTTCAGTTTCTCATTTCTTCCACATTCTTTTTACACGTTGTTGTTGAGGGGTGAAGTTGTATTTTGGCCTTCGGTTGGAGAAAGTAGTAAAAATGTCCGAAACCTTACAGCTAAAAGGAACCCTTTTGGGACACAATGACTGGGTTACGCAAATTGCGACAAACCCCAAATATCCTGACATGATTTTATCGTCATCTAGAGGTAAAATATAACTTAATCCTAGTTGTAAGTTTTCGAGGTTATAATTTTAAATCGTGGAATATAATCGCAATCTTTCATTAAACGTTCAAGTATAATGAATATTTCGCTTGCAAATATCTTATATTACAGCCTTTAGTGGATATTTTTGTGTTTTCGCAGATAAAACTTTAATCGTTTGGAAATTGATACGTGAAGATACCCAATATGGAGTACCGCAGAAACGTCTGTACGGTCACTCTCACTTCATTTCTGACGTCGTGCTATCCAGCGATGGAAACTACGCTCTGTCTGGTTCCTGGGACAAGACGCTCAGGCTGTGGGATTTGGCTGCCGGCAAAACTACTAGGCGTTTCGAAGATCACACCAAGGTTTGAACACCACCATTTTCTTGCTTATTATTAATATAATAAAGCGTCTCAACAATTTGTTTAATTTGTTACAATTTTTGAGACTGCTTAGCCAATTGGTATCGTTGGAACATCTAATCATTTCCTATCCACAACAGCTAGAAGATTTTTTTTTTTATTATTTAACTCATCGTTCATCGTCAGAAGAATGAAGCCATTATCAAACTGTAAGTATCGGATTAATTTACTATTGATTAGTTTCCTCAAAAGCACCAAATTTCGAACACTGCCGAGCGAAATTTGGCCGTCAAGTAGGAATATATAAATTATTTACATGGGTGCGGATGAAATGTATGCCTATTTTCGTTCCTCAATCTGTTAAATGACATTGCTTCGAATCAAACGAGGAGCTCCGTTCATTCTGTTTCCCATAGATTTTTTTGATTGTATATTCTGTTGTGTTATAGGACGTATTGAGCGTTGCATTTTCTGTTGATAACAGACAAATCGTGTCTGGTTCGAGGGACAAAACGATCAAACTGTGGAATACATTGGCTGAATGCAAATACACCATTCAAGATGACGGCCACTCCGACTGGGTAAGTTTATAATTTAATTCGTTTACCCTTCCTCAAAGCGCCGATAAACGTTTGTTCAATGGCATTATTGGTTGTTGCATGGAAGAAGATTAATATGAATTCATGGGTGAGAACGAAGGGAAAACGACCTTTCGTTCCACAATCTGAATTTGCACAAGCTCTATTATATTTATTTATTTAACTTTAAATGGCTAATATTGATCGTTTGTAAAGGTGTCTTGCGTGAGATTCTCCCCCAATCACGCCAATCCCATCATCGTCTCAGCTGGTTGGGACCGTTTGGTGAAAGTATGGAACTTGACGAACTGCAAGCTAAAGATCAACCATTCTGGACACACTGGTTACCTTAACACGGTTACGGTTTCGCCCGATGGAAGTCTCTGCGCTAGCGGTGGAAAAGACTGCAAAGCCATGTTGTGGGATCTGAATGACGGCAAACATTTGCACACTTTGGACCACAACGATATCATTACCGCATTGTGCTTCTCGCCAAACAGGTAAATTTTTTAGAAATTTGTAGTAAATTTATGCGAATTTATTATGATGTATAAAAACTTTAACCGCTTGATTGAATCTATGAGAGGTTAGCGGATATGGGACTGATTATTTATAGACTAATATTCCGTTGTGGTTTTGTTTTGTACAATTATTTACGTGGATTATTCGTTTAAGGTATTGGTTGTGCGCTGCATTTGGACCTTCCATTAAGATTTGGGACTTGGAAAGCAAGGAAATGGTCGAGGAACTTAAACCTGAAGTCGTTTCGCAAAACATCAAGGCTGAACCTCCTCAATGTTTGTCTTTGGCTTGGTCGACAGATGGTCAAACTTTGTTTGCTGGTTACTCTGACAACATCATCAGAGTATGGCAAGTCAGCGTTTCGGCGCATTAAAGTCTTTTATAAGTTGATAAACAGTTTTTAATAAAAAGACTGTAAAAGTATTGGAGTTTCATTCTAGGTTGTACATATATTATTTTTGTAAATAAATTAAAAAATAGTTTATTTAAAATTTAATTATCCTTTGAACTTAGTTTATCGGTATGGTCGTTTTCCTATTTTGCTTCAATTTCTTTTGAAGAATCGTTCGATGTGTCTCTTTTTCGTTTCCCTTGATTCCTTTTACTCTTAGGATTCGTTTGGTCACCGATCCTGAAAGGCAATAATTAAATATAAAATAATTCCGTAACGAATTCTTACATGGCTGTGTTTCTGAATCCAGGACCCCAACATGGCAGAGGATTTTCCTGGAACCTTAAAATTCCCGACTTCCTAGACGGTGGATTAGCCTCGGGGTGCATATTAAAACTATACTCTTTATCAGCTGGTTTTGATAATATCCCTGCAACAGGTGTTCCTTCTAGAAGCCTCTTTTTTGACACCGGGTGCGACTTTTCCCAACAACGCATTATATCCCATATTACCTGCAGATTGATACTTTTATTAGAAATCCAGATTATTAACCAATTCTATCTACTTTTGTAGGAGCGTCAGTTTTTATCGAAGTCTTATTCATGTGCGAAAACGACACCCTGTAGCCAGCGTTAAGTATAGCCGAACTAAAAAAGAAATACACCATAAATACACAAGTATTTTATATCTCCAGTACCAGTTCACTTTACCGGATCGTGTTCATTTGCGGGGTCTCCAAATGAAGAGTACCGCACAGCTTTTCAAGAGTATAATACAAAGGTACATCGATTAGTTCCTCGGAAATAACTGTTAAAATACCCTGCATTCTACGGAATGTTTTCAACTTATCCATGTCCATTTGTAAAACTTGCTGCACGAAATCGGGAGAGTGTAAAGGTGCTGACCATATCGGCCCTCCCATCTGAAATACTTTCGTTATTAAAAATATTTAAATGGTGAGTATACTTACATGGTGTGGATGATTGCAGTGTTCGCACTTTCTATCCACAAAAGGTCCAGTAGGGATTTTAAATTTGACCAAATTACTATTTTTTTCGTTAGCTTTAGTAATTCCTAGAGGTTGGAGGGTGAAACTATCACAACCGGTGCATTGGTAAACATGAGACAATTTACTAAAAACGAAAAAATTAAAGCAAATTCGAAATACCTACAAATCACCCACCTAGTGCTAAATTTGCATTTATACTGTCCCGAATGCACCCTTACAAACACCCTAATGTAAAAATCGACTGAAAGGGACAGCAGCGGTTCGATGTATTTACCGTATCTGTTCGCATGTGATTCGATACATTGCAGTAAAATCCTAAGTGCCATTTCGTGGCAACTTTTGATCCTCAGCGAAATAGCTCCGTACTTAGTGTAGCTTGTTTCAGGCGAATTACCAGCCAAAACTGCCATATCTGTAGCAGTTACCAACAGCAAACCTCCATCAGCAATCGCTTGAATAGCTGAATCCAGGAAAATGGATGGACAACCGTATGGATCGAGATCAATAACATTAAATCGGTTCTGCTTGTGTTGGTACATCAGCATTCTGCGAGTAGCGAGAAGATAATGAGCAATGTGTTGAATTGATTGTATCTTACTTACACTGCATCGCTGTGACTTGGAGTAACTAAATGTTCAACTTTGTTATTTTTAATGTTATTTCCAATGTCTTCGACTGCTTTTAATTGGAGATCGTTTGCAATGATTTCTCTGACACCGGGTATTTCTTTAGCATATCTGATGCTTCTTAAGCCTGTAGCAGATAGGGCTTCTAATATGTACAAGCCGTTGTCGCATTTGGTTCCTGCTTGCCAGGAATCGCTTCCTTCGGCTTGTAATTTTGGATTTTTCGATAATTTCTCATTGTGAAGTTGTTTGGCGAACGCCGAGATCACCGTAATGCTAAAAAAACGTGTAATTATCATCATTCCAATACAAAGATTGGTTGGTTTACCTTAAATCTCTATTAAATTCTTGAACTGGATTGTAAAACACGTCTCCCCTAGTTTTAATAACTGCTGAACCTTCAGTTATTTCGTGTAAATTCTCACTGTTATTCATTATTGATAGTTTCATATAAATCTGCTATAAAATATAAAATATTTGTTGATTTTTATCTAACGAACAACGTGTTTTTTATTTACATTGGTATTGAAAACTGTCAAAAACTTCAACTTTGGCCGGTGGCCTCGGACGAATAAGATGTTACGTTCTTTATTTTACAAAATAGCTGTCATTCTTGTCAAGTCAAAGTTGAATGTCAATGTCAAATTTCCATATATATTTTTTTCTTGAGTTTTTTTTATTTCTTGCTTACTCCCTCGCTTGTCTTTTGCGCGAAATTGCATATTACGCGAAAAAATGGGCCTACATAAGCTGTGAACGTGTAGTGTTTTTATAGTGAAAAGAATCAGGAAGCTTTTTAACTGATGAAATTCATAGCAAAATTTGAAATAGAGTCTTCATAGATTTGTCAAATGATTTAAATCTTTCGATAGTTTATTTGCTTTATAATGGAAACGGATGGACTAGAGGAGAATAAAAACCCTAAGGAAGCTGATAAGGCGACGAATGATACGAAGGATCGTTTAGATAAAGCTGTGATTAACAATTCGTCCACAAAAAATCGAACTGTTGAAGTAGTGGATCATGAGGAAGACGATGTACCTGGTGACTTTTTCGACGATTTCCTGAAAGAAGACTTTATGGCAGGCTTAGACATAGTAGACGAAGATGAAAGTGAAGAGAAAGGCGATAATGCGGAAGCATCCGGCAAAAAGAGCAAAGACAAGGAATCGGCCAAATCATCCGATTTAAGGCGCATGCTAAACAACAAGGAAAAAAGGATAAGCGAAACTGACTTGAGAAACGTACTGAAAGGGAAGGATTCCCAAAAAGCGAAACCGCCCGAAATGCTGCGTAGAGACCCGAACAAAACTAGACGGGACATCGAACGTGACAAAGTCAAATGCGAACGGGACAAAGAGAAAAAAATCATCTCGGAGAAGCTGAAATTAGTCGAGACCGGCTTAGTACCGCCCGGCATGGAAATGGAAACCGATTTAGAAGAAATAAAAATCCAAAAACAAACCATGCAAAGCAATAACGGCGACCCGACAGCTAAAAACGATCATCGATCGTCTTCGACGAAGAACAAAAGATCTACCTCGAGCAAAAAGATCGGTAGTACCAGCGAATCGTCGCCGAAAAGAAGCAGCAGAAGACTATCAAGAAGCCCAAAACGAAGGGCAATAAGCCCTTTAAGAATAAGACGTAGCCCTATTCGACGCAGCCCCTTCAGACGAAGATCCAGAACCAGATCGAGGGAGAGGCCGTCGCGATCGAGCAGAGAACGCCACATCATCAGATCGCTGGAAAAATCCCTCGATCGATCGATCAGCCGATCGAAAGAGAGATCCCCCCGACGGGGCGTCGACAGATCCAAAGAGAGGTCCCCCAGACGGCGGTCTCCGCTCACGCTCCGGCTGGACGACAGGAAGCGCAGCAGAAGTCGCGACAAGTACAAGTACTCGCCGAGGCGCAGGCGATCCCGCTCGGTGACGCCTCGCCGGCGGCGCGATTTCGACCGGAAGAAGAAATCCTTCCTGGAGGAAATCGCCGAGAAACTGAACGAAACGAGGCCGGCCGTTTACCAGCCCGTCATGCAGCCCTACGCTATGCCCCATAATATGGTTCCTAATGCGATTCCCGGGCCCGTGCCGGCCCCCATGCCCGTGCCCAATCCCATGATGAACCAGTTTCATCCGCAGCAACAGCAGTTCGATCTGTACGATCAGAGCTTTTTTATCGGTACATCCGTGCCGCAGATTAGTCCTGTCACTCCTGCAATATGCCATACTCCTGTAGTCGATAATAAGACGAACCTGCAGCCGATGTTGGTTCCCGAGCCGAAAACACAGGAGGATTTCACCAAAGTAATTATATTTTTTGTTCTATATTCATGTTGACTGGATTAGTTATTCGGACTAGTCCGGTTATTGTATTAAGTATATAATTATTTGTGATTGTTATGTAGTAGGATAAATGGTTTAAAATAGGTGAAAATAAGGATTTATTTCGTTAAAACTCTTTAGTATTTGTAGGTAGATAATTTTTATAGTTTATTGTTTGCTTATATTTTTTTATGAAAGGTACATTAACAGGTTATTGAATTGTGATTGTATGATTTTGTTTTAGTTGTTTCAAGATAAGAAAATAACGCTTACAGAATTTTTATCGATGACAGCCAAACCAGAGGGTAAGTTGAATTTTTCTTGTATTAAATGCTACAATATTATCTAATAGTTTTATTAGCAACATATTTCTCTATGCGGTTGTAAATTTTTACTACAGTTCGTAGAAGATTTACTTGTGATATATCTCTTTGCATTATGTCTGATGATTCATGATTTTGATGAGCGTGATATTGGGGTTTTGGTGCAAATTTGTACATAACATGCGCGTTGCTTTATTGGTTATTAATATCTTTTTTATGCCTAGTATATTCAACGAGTACGGAACAAATGAAAGAAAAAATCAAGGGTAAGTCAATCACTTCTATTAACAAATTTTTATTTTGCAATACTTGTCGATAAAATGCGAGAAATAAATGCGTACGAACACGTAGTTTTTGATTTGTATACGATCGCCCTCCCGTTTGTAATCATTGTACATGACTTTAGTTTACATGAATTTAAAGGCCGTTGTAAAACAATAATTGTACTGGATTGCAGTAATATCGAGGTGTCAAGACGCTATAAAATATTTGGAAAGTAGTGAAAAGAAGTTATACGGGCCGTTGATCGTGCGCAAATCGTCGGCGCCCAAGCCGTCGCCGAACAAGCACAAATCGCCGTTGCTGAGGACCGCCGAGCTGCGGCTGCCCTTCACCGAGATACCCAAATCGGGCGAGGACCATCGCGCCGACTTCACCGGCTACATCGACGGGCTCCTGCGCCACCTCGGCCTCGCCGACGACGACGACGTCGTCATCGTCGAGGAGGACGCGCCGCCGGCGCCGAGCATCTCGTCGGCGCGTCGGCGCCCCGACGTGGCCAGCAAGTGGGCGCAGACGGAGGCGCCGCGGTGCCAGGAGTGCGAGCGGCGCAAGAACACGAAGCGCCGGAGCGTCGGGACGCAGTGCGGCGCCGACGGCGTGTCGTTCTCGGTGGGCACGCAGGTGAGCGACGACGATTTCGGGGACGCGTTGCCGCGCAGCCGGTCGCTGGCGGCGCTGACGCCGGCCCAGCTGCTGGCGCGGTCGGGCGTGTCGCAGGGCGGCAGGAGCGTCGAGGACGACGACGTGGATTTGATGTTTCCGCAGAAGACGAGGCCGCCGGGGAGCTACCAGATGGGCGGCGGGCAGTTCCAGCAGATGTGGGGAGGCGGCAGGATGAGACAGCAGCCGCCGCCGAGTAGGGACGCCGGACGGTTTTTCAATAATCTCTATTGAGTTTTGTTTGATTCATTTTGTTTATCATTATTATTGTGTATCGGATTATTAGAGCGTTTGATTGTACATATTAAGATTAGATTAGTGAATTTAAGGGTATGTAGTTGATTGTAATTTTTTAAAATATACCGTTGGTTGTTTCGATACGTTTATTTTTTTTCTTTGTAACTTTTAATGCAATTCTGACTATATCTTAAGTATTTTTTGTTTAATTTCATTAATAGATAGTTCTACAAATTATTTGCCATTATGGATAATAAAGCTTGTTTTTTACTCGTTTCATCTTATTAGAGAATTCCATTTTCCCTTCCTAATAGTCAAATTTTAAATGCCCCAACAGATCCCTTATAATTCGTTTCGTGAATGGTTTGAGTGCATATAAAATTTCTCTGGATTTACTAACGGATTCATATGGGTAACCAAAAGTTCCATGTTTTATCTAGGAAGCCCACGGCAAGTATTAAAAAATCCAATTATATGGATAAGTGCAAATTTGTTTGCAATATGGTCAATTTTATGAGTTGAACAAAGAAAGATACAAAGGTTAGAGTGAGAAAGTTGCAATCCCCCAATAACACTCTATCTTTTTCCTTTATATGAAACTAACGGAAATTGTCTTTGTTGCACTCATTTGCACTATATTGCGTACAAATTTGCGCTTAACTGTATAATTGTGATAACTTGCCAAGTGCTTGCTACATTGTTTTATTTTTGATAAATTTTGATAAGTGTTAAGATTTAGTGGTACATTGTTTCATACATTAAATTGTTAATTTTTAAAAATAGCATCAGTTTTTAAATAAAAATTGAAAAAACTGTTTTGCATTTTACTTATTTTTAAATTTTAAATATGTCCGCGCTATTACGTCATAATAATCATTGCTGCCAATATAAAAATATTTTTCTGAGTTCAAGTGTCGTAAAACCGCAAAGGTAGAGATTACTTACGAAAAAATCGAAGAAATTTGAAGTGACAAGTGATAGGAAACGTTGGTGATTGGTGAACAACGATTGTGGAAATAAAAAAAAAATAAACAATCAAATCAAAGTAACCTATTCTAAACTTGTCAGTTAATTAATTGAAAAAGTCATTATATTAAATTTTATAAACAGCAATTATTGCGATTCTATATTCTATGTAATAGCGACTGATCTCTATTTAGGAAGATAACTTACCGTTTCATATAGGTGAGTAGTGGTTTATCACACAATAATACGTTACATTTAAATTTTATTTCTCATCTAATAAAAATTGAATGATTATTCTTTAAATTTTATCATTGCTTCGTCTTTACTAACCTAAAAAGTCCCCTTTTAGATAATTAAAATGGAAAACCCAGACATCGTGAAGAAATCCCGTGTCGATTTGTCTTCGTTGCCTACCAGGCAATACTTGGATCAGACTGTCGTACCTATTTTAATGAACGCCTTATCGTACCTCGCCAAAGAACGTCCAGACGATCCCATAGGGGCTTTAGCCACGTTTTTAGTGAAAAACAAATCTGCCTATGACAACAACTCAGAGCCTGCCGGATTTCCAGCAAATGAAGTAACCACTGGTGAAGAGAAATCTTAAAATTTAATTTATGTAGAGATTTGAGACTACTATACATTTTTAATTTTATTTCAATAAATCCTTTTGATAACGTCCGTGTTTAATAGCTGTAGTAACTAGTGTTCGAGGCCAATTAACTTTTCGAAAAGGGTAATTAATAGTATACACACAAATAATTGGAATATGTTATTTATAATCTACAAAAGAATGTAAATTAAATATATTACATGTTGAGTAAAAAATGAACGATAATACAATTATTACACTCCTCTATTAGGCAGATCTTTGACTTTGTAAATTCTGACTAGCCAATGCTCAGTCGTATAAGCTTCTTCCAAAACGTCCAATTCGAAATCTTTGTTACCGATTTCAGCACCTCGAACTCGATCGTAACCAGGAGGCCTTCCACCTAAAAGACGCCAGTTCAACAACAATCACAACCATCAAAACAACGAATTACCTTCAGTGTAAACCTGCCCGAACCGGTAATAGCACATTTTGTACATCAAACAATTTAGGAGAGTCGGCGAACCGTCTTTATCCACTCGAAATTCTCCACTGGGGGAATAATAATCCCATTCCTTGATGTGCGCACCTCTATCAGTACTACCACCTAAACATCAATAAATTATATAAAATGTATTGTTCGCAGGTAGTCCAAATACCCACCAATTCTCACCATCCATAAGAACTTGTTGATATCGTCTGAAGAATAACCCGTAAGGCCACCAAAGATGACTAAAACGTAATCCACATCCAACTCCTTCATTATTTCATATGCCTTCTCCTCCGTACTGGCCATCGCTTGCCCTACTCTACTTATATGCGTGTTATTCCAGGTATTGTTATCCACCAGTATAGTCCGATTAGCCATAGCTGTTATCTGATAGCCGTAATCCCACCAAGACATGATGCGGGCATCTTCGGGCGTGTTCATTTTCAACCTAAAAATGAAGTTATAGAAAGGAATCGAAAACTATTTTGATGATGTTTACCAGTAGTAAGCTTCTCTGAAGTCATCGAAGATTATTTTGCCACCATCGTGCGATCTAGCACTGAGGACGATACTAGGAGAGCTGTAGGCTTCCGAGGTTACCCAGGTACAATGGAAAGTGTAGGAAATCAACAAAATGGTTACTACAGCTACGAATGCGGTGGATACTTCGCTTTGGAAACTGGCATTAGCATCAGATTTCTTGTATTTCTTGTGCTCCTGTTGCTTCGTTGTATCAATGTCTTTCATGAATTTCATCAGTAAATGGGAGACCGTTATGCCGCTTAGAATGCACATTATAGGCGATAGCACCAGCATCAAACGAACCATCACTCCCTAAAAATATTGCATGTAAGAAAATCGAATGTTGATACAACAATGTGAAACTTACAGCAAAGTAAATGCTCGTTACACCGTACAGAATCATAAAAATATTCTCGTCCGTTAGCTGCTTAAAACAGAAGTACAGTCCAGCCGGGAAGAGGAACACCAGTATTTGTAAATCGAAATAAAAGGAACTCCAAGATGTCGGCTGATGCTCCGACACACTAGCTATGATAGGTATGTGATTTTTGGCGTACGAAGGATCGAGCAGCGAATAAAACCTTCCCGTCCACGGGGAAATTTTACCGGAGATCATCAAAACACTCCCCACTGTTACCGTAATCATTCCCACGCTGTACGTTATGAAATTATACAGCGTTTCGAAATCCGATTTGGACAATTTGCTGCGCACGTAATCCACAAACGCCAAGATCTGGCACAAGCCGAACACTCCCAAGGCCTGGAAAACGAGGAACCAGTTAAAATTTATCGAATAATTCCTAACGTAAACTTACCAACATGTGTTCAGAACTTTGTACAGGCTGGAAACCAACGAACGATATTTGCATGGACAAAATGGTCCCTACACAGTACAAGGTACTGTAAGCTACGTAAATTCGATGACTAAAACGACCGGTTATCATTAAGGTGAGTACATGAAGCGGTATTAAATTTATTAGGAACACGTATCCTCCCCATGATGAAACCTACAAAAAAATATATCCATTTGTATCGCGAAAAGATAGGAGAGTAAGTCCCTGAATCTTACCATATAGAAATAAGCTAGAGCGCTTAAAGTACCCCAGTAAATAGTACCGGTTTTCACAGCTTTAATCCAAGTGTAATAAGTCAGCAGCATGCAGAAAATTGCAATTCCTTCGTTATCGTAACTACCAGCTACGGACCTACTGATATATCCAGGTACAATAGACACAAACGCGGCGGCTACCAAACCGGCCCCGGAGTTTTTCACCTCTTTGGTGAGTAAATACGTTATGATGGTAGTAAACGAAGAGAACAAGGGCGCGAGGAATACGCAGACATTTCGAATATCTATCGTGATGTTCAGCAACCAGCAGAGATGGTATAAAACCGTCGAAGTTACCATTAAACCCGGGTAAATGGTACCTAAAAGTAACAATACGAATTAGAGTATTCTTATTTGATTTATAGGAGTTCTCACCTCCTATGATTCTTCCTAGAGGGTACCAAGCTCTGTCATCGAACCAGTTGTGAAACGAATAGAAACCTTGCTCGGCAAGGTACTTAGTCGTGCGGTAGTTGAAGTAAGGATCGAATTCATGAATAACGCTCTCGAATCTTAACACTGAGAACAATCTCGTAGCAAATGCTGTAAAAACATCCAACAGTTGGTGGTAATAGTACAGTAAACATTAATCAAAACTTACATAGAATAGCAGCTATAGTTAATATAGTTAGAGTAAGGAGAGTTTGTTGCTTTTCGGCGTTCTGTTGCTGAGGAGCGGGTTTCTTAGTTGAACCAAACATTTTTTTAATCGCAAACTCAGGTTAGAGCCGGCATATACGAATTGAAACTGAGGTATTTTCGAATTTATTCTACTAAAATAAGCTACTCGTAAATGTATGTACTACAAAACCATGTCGAAACGATTTTTTCGGTAACACCTACACACTTATCAACTCAAAGATACATTTATCACAAAAATTTTCTCATTGAGCTTATTTGTTGGTGTTGGGTTGGCTTTTTTTAGGGAAGAACTAGATGTTGAAAAAAAAAACTAAACTGACAATTGACAAACGACATTGCCAGTTTCAGTTTTCAATTGGGGTTTTTATTTTTTCAAAGTTGATCAAAAGTCACTATAAGTCAAAGTCATTGATTTTGGTTATGGCTGTGTTAAAATTTTCTGCTTTTCCAATTGATTTAGCTAATTAATTAAAAATGAAACACTATAATCCGTTAAAGGGATAATAAAAACCAACACGTCTTCTCTACGAAGCTGTAAAAATGCCGCAAGTACGGTGTCCCGCAATAAACAGTCAATGTCGAAATGAACACTAAACATTAGTAAGATATGATGGTAAGTTTTACATAAAACGAATAACATACAATTCTTCGATAACGTTTCATTACATGAATTACAGGGCAACACTGAAAAGTACGTTACAATTTCCCTGGCGGCGTTTTTGTGTTACTGTAACACCCTTTATGGGTCTTTCGTGTTCGATGATAATGAAGCCATTTTAAAAAACAAAGACGTGCTGCCTCACACTCCTCTGATGAATATTTTTAAAAACGACTTTTGGGGAACCGACATCACTCTAAACAGCAGCCACAAGTCTTACAGGCCTCTTACCATATTATCCTACAGGTAAACGTTACCATTCTAAACTCACACGAAATTTATATTTGCTCTCATTTAGGCTGAACGTATTGTACATGAAGGATAAATTGGACGCGTTTCAATTCCACGCGACTAATATAGTGTTATATGGGCTTCTCTGTCTGTTAACCGTGCCAGTTTTCGAATTGTTTTTGAAGAAATCAAAGTACGCAACGAACGTCCATGAGGTTGCATTCCTGTCGAGTTTACTATTTACCGTACACCCTGTACATTCCGAAGCTGTCGCCGGATTGGTCGGTCGAGCCGACATCCTAAGCTCCGTGTTATTTTGTGTGATAATTTTGCTGTACCACAAAGTCCGAAGCAGGAAGATCGAGGGAACCATCTTGTGGTTTTTGTTGATTATTTTCCTAACGACTAGTGCAGTTTTTTGTAAGGAGTCGGCCATTACTGTGTTGGTATGTTATTGTGTATACAATTTAATAAATTAATTTATGAGTGCTCTTGTAGGGTTTGTTGATTTGTTACGATGTGTATAGGGAGAAACGAAAGTCTCTGTCGTGGAGAGACGTGCCCAATTTCCAGTTAATGTTAAGATGCGCCATATTGGCCATTATAGGTTTAGTAATAATGTATTATCGTTTGAAGATAATGAATTTCGAAGGCCCGATTTTCACGGAAAATGATAATCCTGCTGCTCATGCTCAACGTTTATTGACAAGAGTGAGAATTATATATTGTACGAATCGATCTCATCTTATGTGTTATTTTTTTAGGTATTTACATACAACTACATCTATTTTTTAAATTTTTTACTGCTGTTGTGGCCGGAGTGGTTGTGTTTCGACTGGTCAATGGGCTGCATACCACTGTTAAATTCGATTAGCGATGTTCGTGTAATTATTGTTGTGGTATTTTGGTGTCTAACATTGATCGGATTGTATTCTATACTCAAACAAAATTACAAAAACCAAGTCTTGTAAATACACTTAACACAAAAATTACAAGTAATTTTAAGTTACTGTGTTTTAGAGACGCGAGGTTTATGGGAATATGTTTATTGGTGTTGCCGTTTCTACCAGCATCGAATATGTTATTCACCGTGGGTTTCGTCATAGCCGAGAGGACTCTGTTGGTACCGAGTGCTGGGTTTTGTTTACTAGTCGTTATTGGTTATAGAAAATTTCTGAGATATACAGACAATAATAAAGTATAATATGCTTCTATTTGAACACCACAACACGAATGTAATTTGTGCAATTTTTTTTAGATTTGTTTCTACTTCTTCTACAGTCTCATTCTGGTGTTTGTGATGCGGACTTTTCTAAGGAACATGAATTGGCTCAGCGAGGAAAGGTTGTTTTTCTCCGCATTGGACGTGTGCCCTTTGAACGCCAAAGTGCATTACAACATTGCGAAAATTGCGGCGGATAACAACAACAAGCATTTAGCTGCAGAGGAATACCAAAGAGCCATCGAACTGAATCCCAACTACGAGCAGGCGATGAACAATTACGCGAATTTGTTGAGGGAGAATAAGAAGTTCGGAGAAGCGGAAGTTTTGCTGAGAAAGGCTTTACAAATAAGGTGAAAATTAATCGATTTTTTTATGCAATTTATACATGAAATATTTCAGACCGAATTTTGCGGCAGCTTGGATGAATTTGGGCATAGTATTGACGAATTTAAATCGTTCCGAAGAAGCAGAACATTGTTACAAAACCGCCATAACGCATAGAAAGAAATACCCGGACTGCTACTACAACTTGGGGAATTTGGTGAGTATCATTACTGAAATTAACCATACCAAATTCTAATAATTGTTTCTAGTATTTGGATTTGAAACGCAACGAAGAAGCTTTGAAAGCGTGGGAGCTGGCCGTTTTGTACAGACCGTCTCACGTGGCTGCTTGGAGCAACACTTTAGTGTTACTGGACAGTATGAAAAAATACGACGAAGTATTGCAGCTGGGCCGGACCGCTTTGATACACAATCCCAAGGCGCCCGCGTTGCATTTCAGCTTCGCCAACACCTTGGGCAAGTTGCGGCACTTCGACAAGGCCGAAGGGCATTTCCTCCAAGCGATTAGCCTGAACCCTACGAACGGTTTGTATTATTCCAATTTGGGCGTGCTGTATCACAGGTGGAACAAAATCGATAAAGCTCGGCAAATGTACAAGAAAGCGTTGGAAATCGATCCGAATCTCAAATCGGCCGAGTTGAATCTTAAAAAGTTGATATCGAAAGCTCAAGATTACTAATAATTTATGTTCGAAATAATTTGTGATGTAATTAAAATGATTCGATGTGAAGATGTATCTACAGGAAGTAATGACGAACCTAGTTTTATTTTTCACTTTTTATTGACATTAAAACAGTATATTTAATAGATCTATGAAAATTAGAGGCATGAAAACGAGACAAATCAAAGTGATTTGCGCCTCTTCAAAATGCCTCCTTCATTCAAATGTTAAAAAACGACTTTAATATGGGAAAATGCTATTTAATACAATACATATTGCAGTATGGTAAATAGTAAAATGAAAATTATATAATGTTAACAGATAATGTTTCTAAACTCAAAATACAGAATAGGGATCCTCATCAACCACAAAACATATTCAAATTCAAGGCGTAAATAAAAAGATAGACATGAAATAATAACGACTAAGTTTACATCGGGCTCTTTCGACATCAATTATTATTATTAAATATGAGACAATAGATTGTTGCTCCGTTTTGTAAGGAACATAAAAACACAGTTAGAATGAACGAACGTTCGAATCCAATTTGCAAACGACGCAAATGATCAATTCTTAATACTTATATAACGTTGGATTAAATTCAATTTTAAACAACTATCGTCCGATATAAACCAAGTCCCTCTGACACCTGTAATAAGGAATATATTAAATGGCATCGATGTCTACGTCATCCTGCCCATCATCTTCCTCCACGGTCGGCTTGGGTTTAGGTTGAGGAGTGACTTTCAGTTGGATTTGTGCCCTGTCGTTATATTCAATCTCTACATCATCATCTTCACTTTCGTCATCGTTGTCGGAATCCTCCGATTCGGCTTCCTTCAACCATTTTATAAACACAGCTGCGTTGTCGTGGATCTCCTGGCTAATTTCTTTGGCTACATATTTCTTAGACACCTATATTAACAATAAATTATTATAAATTTGTTAGCACTCAAATAGTTTGAGCGATATCGTACCTTATCTGACCACTCGATAATACAGTCTTCCGATAGAATATCCATGTCGTAGAAGAGCTTCAACAATCCAGGAACTTTGCTCATCATCTTGTCTCTGTGCAAAGCGATCACTTGCTCCAAACCGCCCATCAAATATCTCTGCGCCTTCTTATCGTTGAGGGTGAAACGCAAAAACAGCGTACGGTACTTCTTCACTTGGACCAATATGTTCTGATTGAAGAGCAATTCCGCCAAAACGAGAGGAGCCTAAACACACCACGTTATATTTCTAAAGATTAAAGAGTAGTGACAAGTTAAGTGTACCTTAGTTTTGATTTCGAGGCGTTCAGCTTCGCTCAGCACTTCCTTCTGAGTTTGCACATTCTCCAGCAAACCGGTATCTCGCTTGACTTTAACGAAATTGTACAGAATATCCATGCGCTCCTTCTCGGTCTTCTCCAAGTCGTCGCTGATGGTCATGTTCTTGGCGCCGTCGCTGAGATCCTGCATTCTGGCCCTGACGGCCTCCTCGGACACGTCCACCGCCCATTCCGTTTGATCGTCATCGCTACCGCCCTATCAACGAAAAATACGATAAACAAAACGGGTTAGATTAATACAAAGGACCCAAGCAACCTTTACCGATTTATCCATAGACGTCTCGATGAGCGAGCCGTCGACGCCGGACTCGTTTTGCTCGTCCTGCTCGCCGTTCGGCTCGCCGTTGCGTTTGCTGCGCTTGGACCGCTTGCCCTCGGTCAACGAGGAGCCCTGGCTGGCCGGGTTCGAGTTCGGCGGGTTCTTCAGTATGAACGTCATCAGCTTGTGGTTGGACTCCAGCACGCCGTGGTAGCCGCACGCCTTGCACCCCTGCGAGATGGTGTTGCGCTTCTGCGAAACGATCAAATCCGTCTCGGGATTGTCGCATTCCGGGCACAAGACGAACCTGCGAATCGCCGGGCGATTAATGGATTTCTTTTACGGGCGAAATTAGGTGTACGCGTACTTGCGAATGAATCCGTCCAAAAGGTCCTGGAGCTTGACGGCGTCGTGGGAACCGTTGACGATGTAGCGCTCGTTTTTGAAGTCGAATTGGGTTTGCGCGCCCAATTCGCAGCCAAAATACTTCGTCGGGTAGGTGGGCGGTCTGCCGAGGGCTTTCGCCACCTCGGCCATGTTCACTATCACGGTTTTTATACCGTTACCCTTGCCTACAAATACAATTTTATGCTCGTTAATATTCAGGCAACTAGTTGCCGAAACATGTCGCCTCTTTTTGTTGTACAACGGTCACACTCAAAGATTCTCGAGTACTACATTTTGTACAATTATAAGGAATTTGATATCAAAATAAAGAGAAGTGTATAGAAATTGGAATACTCTTAAAAATGGCAACTAATTAAAGATTATTATAGTACCCACAGGCATTATAAAGAAGAGTAATGTGTCTTTTGAGTGGCAACAAATCGCCGAAACGAGTCACCGCTCGCGACCGTAATAATTATAAAGTGGATTTACCTTCGACTTTGGCGCAAATCCGCGGCATTTTGTAGCGATAGAAGACATCGCTAACGTTTCGATTGACGTTAACGCTCATTGTGATGGACGCGACGACGCAGAGAGGGTTTTAGGTGGTAGACGGGAGAAATGATGTCGATGTTGGTATTGTGGTGGCGTTTGTTGATCTTCGGTGTTGGATCAATCGTTCGATAGATGTATCAATAGCCAGTCACGTTTCTCTAAATGGTTGAAGTTTTCGATGCCTATTAGATGAAATTTTTGTAGTCCTACGACGAAACAAACCGCGTAATTAATCGACGTGTTAATCGCAAAATATTGAAAATTACCTATAACAGGTAGGCTCACGTCGCTGCGAAGTCATACACCTCGCTTGCTCGGGCCCTAAATTCCCAACTATGCTTCTTACTAATAATGTCTCTGAAACAAAAAAAATAATATTTTCGTAAAATCGCTGATAACAGGAGCGACATCGGACCGTTCTTCGTTAAATCGAATTCGTTCATTCGGCAAATTAAAATAATCTTACTTCTTTTTATAGTTTACATAAATCGATAGAAGATAACATCTTCCAACATTTACCATAATATGAAAACGGTTTTTGACAAATGACAGTTGCGTTGATGTTTTATACTGCGTTTTTGATTTTTTCGCCGAAAATAAAATAATTCGAGAGAAATTTACCCAAAACGTCCTGGCATTCCAGTCGTCCCTATTCATTTAAGCTAACCTCGAGGTGCGCGTGAACGAATTTTCCGGTTTTCATTCGTGCGAATATTTCCGCCCGATTATTATCCTGTTTTTTTTGGTTGTTTTTTAGATTTTTAAATTAAATTTAATGAGGTCGATTTACGTTCTGTTTTCGTACAACAAAAACGGCCATACTGTGGTATCATGGAATGGCTGGTATTTCAACATTGGATATTTTTGAAAAAAAGAAAAATATGAACTTGGTCACAACATTAATAATTTCGATAATAATGACAGTCGAATGACAAATATTTCATTCGCGATTTTAAGCCCCCTTTACTGCATATTTCATTCATATCGTTTTTTTTATAGAAGGTATTTTAATAAACCAATAATAAATCCTGTACTACAAGAGGCTTATTGGATTTTAGTTGAAAATTACAAATTTTATTCTATGTAAAATTTTGATTTATTTGAAACGACTTTCAAATGAAGATTAGATTAGAGTAATTTAAAAATTTTGCATCATCAAGTTTGAGGGACTAAATTAATTTAGATGAGAGATGAGATAATTTAAATTTTCACGAAATTTTACTGAAACAATAAATTTTCCCATAAACTGAAAAAATTGTACCCTATAAGGTTAGATGTGTCAACTCCTTTTTCAAGAGTTCAAAAGTGAATCGAGTTCAAGTTCAAACCGCACGAAAATCATTGGTCAATTTATTGAATTCAACCAAGTTCAACTCGCAACCAATTTGATACATACAACCCACATTTAATTATACAATTAATTAATTAATTACCTGCGTGAACGCAAATTTTTTACAACAAAAACCGAGCTTTGTACACGAAAACCCAACGATCCGCTACTACATACTATTCCCCCCAACATTTTTACACGTATATTACGAGCATTGCGAAACGAATAAAATAAAAAAAACCACTTATCAATCGAGTACTTAAATCGCGCAAATAATAGCAATCTAAAACGCCGATTGCCCCCCGAACAAAATCCACCTACTGTAATCCACAACATTCCTTTGTAAAGAGGACACCATGAGCACGGAGGAGGCTTCCTGCCCCTTTATTCCCAACAACTCTATCTCCGCAGCCTTTCTACAGCACCGCCATCGACGGAAAAATTAAACAAACAAAAACCCTAAACCGATAACCGGGCGGCGGCGCCGCGACGGTTGACACGCCAGCGGCGTCCCGGCGCCCCCTCGATTCCGGCCGTCTCGATGGGAACGCGGGGATACGCCTGTGGCGCGCGTAGGCGAATTCGAATCGATAAGGTAGGCGCAGGAATACGCAGGAGACGATGGCGATTATCGATTTATACAGGGCGAAACGTGGGCGGAAATGTTTGCTTTGCTAACTGGATTGTTAAGTTGACTAGAGCTAATTATAAATAACTAAAAGTTAGGGGATATGTTTGTTCCATCTTCGATGTAAAGATGAGTTTTTGTTGGATTATATTATGATTCATTTTGTAATGTAATTGTTATGGAAACGGGGCGGTAAAATATATTTGAATATGAATAAAAGCGAATATTTCGAGGTATTGTTGTTTTGATAAAATCGATGATTTTGTAAATATTGGCGAGGTTTTTTTGCGCTCAATGTCAAGGACGGATTATCTTTCGGTTTGTAATTCGATTTTGTAAACATGGAAACAGAATACATGCATAAATAATACTAAATTATGTACGAAATCTTCAAACAGCAACAATGATAAAGTGCTCTGTGAATTTGCACTTTAATGTTTTTTACTCCATAGTCATTCAGTTTAAGATAATCAGCAGTGTAATACAATAGAAAAGATAAATAAAAATCACATGAGAAAATTACTCGTCAATTATAAATCGACTCAAATCACAACTTTCATAAAATTTCAAATACTCCTCGCAATACAAGATATACAATACAGATAAGTGCATATTTGTACTAAATATAGTCTATGAGTGCAACAAAGACAATTTGCATGAGTCTTATATAAAGGAAAGAGAAAGAGTGATATTGTGGATGAATTGCATATTTCTCACTCCAACCGGTATTATTTTAATAATTTTACTTTGTTCTACTCATTGAATTGACCAAATTGCACTTACCCATGTACAGATAAGTGCAAATTTGTATGCAATATGGTTTATGGGTGCAACAAAGACAACTCCCTTTAGTCTCATATAAAGGAAAAAGAAATAGTGATATTGTGGGATTGCAACTTTCTCATTCTAACCACTGTTTTTTAATAATCTTTCTTTGTTCTACTCGTAGAACTAACCATATTGCAAACAAATTTGCACTTACCCATACGTAATTATTGAAAAATAGATAAATAGGCAACCACCATTACACAATTCCATAATGTTTCCACATAATCAACTCATCTATCGAAGTCTTAAGCAATAAACTACGCGAAAAGTCTACATAAAATGGCCTAGTTATAACAGTAATAAATTCATAAAAAATACTTACTTTGATGTTTTACTAAAGTCATATAAAATATTAACGCCCTTATGGACGATAACCTTTAAAGACTTAAAAAAAAACCTTTCTTGTTTAATGTGCCTATGGGAAATCTTCTTGAAATAAACCGTACTGTTAATTACAACCACTCTAACCTGCAAAAAGTAATTAGAGTAAGAAAAAAAAACAGGTACTTTTATCAGACGATCCTAACATATTTTTACGCTATAAATTAATAAGGAAAAAAAGGCTGGAAATCGTGCAAATATTTTATGTTTTCTCATTGTAGAAAACGCTAATCGCTTGTGTTAATCTTAAAGTCATCAAAACGCGGCGATTCGAAAGCAATTACGTAGGTGCTCCGAACATATTGGATTAGTAATGTAAAATTGGCCATATTTTATTTTCTTTACCATCGTATGTAATGAGACATAAATACGTACCACGTTGTTGCGACATCCGATTTCGTCTATAAAGGTATGCGGTTGGAGAACGTCGGATATTAGAGAAATTAAAAAGAAAACTTTATTGAAAATAACTATTTTTAAATAAAATATTAGATAAGAACAATTAAAATCGAATTTCTAGACCACACTGCACCATTCACGATTGTTCGATTGTCTAATAAATGACATTTATGACAAGACACCTGCAGGTTGTCCAACAAAAAACTTTAAAAATTACCAACTTTTGAAGTCGATAAAACAGATAACTGTCACAAAACGTCAAAATCAGATGACGCTAATGACAGTGACATTTAAATTTTCTCATTGTACATTTATTTTTTGTTTACTGTTTATCCACAAAATGTTATAGAAACAGATATTTCAGTTAATCAATCATGGCTAAAGTTTTAACGGAATCCAAGTTCGAATCTATAAAGCACGCTGTCGAATTTGTGGACGTCCAAGACCAGTACAGTTGGCACGAAGATTTGCGTTGCCATTTCGTTTACAACGATTACACCGCACAAGAAGGCGATAGAGTGGCTATATTTAAATTCGGCTGGAGTTTCGAAAAGGATTATTTAGTATTCGAATGGGCTCCGATCGGTCCTGCTATCCAGACCAGCAGTGTGACGTTTAACAGGTACTACTTTCCGAAGGAGAGGGACAATCTGGAGCAGATGTACCAAATTTGTTATTTAACTGGCGAAAACGAACTGCTGGGAGCCAGCAGCCCGTTCCAATTCACCGCTGAGAAGCCCACGGTTGCTCACGTTTCAGAGGAAAGCGTGTACCAGAGCCTTTCGAAATCTAAACTACTGATCAATCATCCTGATAACGATGAAATCAAGAAACTCAGAGATGAAAACGCTGTTTTGAAACAGGCACTGAAAATGGTTATTTCCATGAAAGAAGCATCGACTTGTAAAAATTATGATGCAGAGATAGCCGAGCTACATAAGTCATTAGGTATATTTCTTTGCAGGTAACTAAACGATTTTGTATTCTACGTAAATTGCTTTGCAGATGCCGTTCAATTGCAAGTAAATTTACAACAGAAAGAATTAAATATGTTGAGGGGGAAGATAATAGAAAGCGGAGAGGAGTACAAGAAGCTGTTTATAGAGAAATATAAAGTAGAAAAGAAGTACGAGCAATTGTTGAATAAAAAAGGAAACTCCGCGAAACCTTTGAATACTACGAACGATTTTGATCTATCTATATTAGAATCCTTACCGCCATTTCCTATTCATAAATCAGATAAATAATTTAGGATATAATCCAAAATGTTTGTAATTCTAATAATTTATGTACATAATCACGAAATATGTAACTGTAGTGTAGAATAACAGCTTAATAATAAAATCGTTAAAACTGTATATTTATAAGAAAAAAAAATAGTAAAAACACTTAATGTCAGTCTTAAATGCGTTTTTATTTCTTCTATTTTTAATAAACATAAATTTTAGCGAAAAATTCACAGCTTTTTAATTTACACAAAAGTACAAATGATTAAAGCAAATACATATACAACAATACACAAATGTAAATAGGATGTATGTACAGGGAGATGCGAATTTAACTAAAGTGAGTTTTTTTGTATGGTTAAACAGCAAAAATGGCTAATAAGTATTTAATACGTAATATCTTTGGTTTATTGAATTTGCACCGATTTTAGTTAAATTCGACCATCTCGCTAAAAACCGAAAAGTTTCATTATAAATATAAAATTACATGTGTACGAATTATTCCTGTTAATTAAATATAAACAATAATAATATCACAAAATTAATATAACATGTTAACAAACCGCGAAAGCAAAATTATACGAAAAATACTAATTGTAAATATACGGTTATTGCTAGTGGTTACCGCAAAAATTCTCATACAATCCTGAAATGAAAAAAATAGAGTTTTTCTTTTGAGGATTATACGGAACCGTTGCAGCATTTACAAATTCATATTACGTTAAAAGTGCTTCGAACGCTACCTCAAATGTACAAAAACTTAGTGCAATTTTATCAGCAACAATGAGCTCCCGACGTTCTCTCGTACACTTTTTATTTTTCAGTCGTTTAATAGAATTTTGCACGCTAAATAAATTTGAATCGAACAAACTTTACTGTTAGTGTTAATTTAATGAGTATATACCTAAATGATTAAAAAAGCTGTCATTACGTTCAGGTTGGGATTTATCTTTAATTTTAACATTACAAAAATATAAAAAAACACCTAATTCGTAAATATAAAAAAAGGTCAAGATTCTGATTCATTTCAATCAATCAACACGTATTAATAAACAAGAATTACTAATTAATTATAGCAATCTGTGCAATTATTATATTCGAATTATTCACTTCGATTATTCATTACGTCCGCATTCGAGGAATCGAATGGTTTTTATCAAACACCTCCACAGCTATAAGCATGAAACGAGAAAAATTCTTATTCGCATTAACAACCATACTAATACTTGTATGCCCTCGTGACGCGATATTAGTGGATAATTTTCGTTAAATCGAAACAATCACCGTCGCGGTACGTTTCCCTTCGAGAACTGCACCTCGGAGAAAATAATTTCTGCTTACAAAATTTCGAGACACTACTTGATCATTTTGAGCATTGGATTTTATACAGCTAATTTTCTTTATAGATACCAGGGCCTTTTAGAGAACGAATTGATAATATTTTAGAGATTCCGATTTAATTATAAAGAGATTGTACATAATGACTAGATGTAGTTACGCAAGAGATTAATAATTGCAAATAAAAAACGAAAAAATAGGAAGGCAGAAGAGTTGGATGATTAAAAAGTGATTGAAGCTTCTTTTTAGCAATTTTCTCCATATTAATGGAGACTTTTTGAAAAAACCTCAGTCATTTATTGTCACCCGGTGTTATAAATTAGTCCAATTTCCCCGATAGGTCCTGGAAATTACGATATATATAATATATATTTAAAAATTCGACATTAAACAACCTAATTAATGCTTACAGAGCTGAAAAGAATCGCGTAAAGCCATTCAAATAACTACCATTACGTTATACATATTCGAGTTTTATCACTTAAACGGAACTTTGGTATAAAAAACATACAGCGGTAATCGCAACGACAATAAAAATCGTCACAATTACCGTTTAGAACTGCGCGTATTAAAGCTATTTGGAGAGCATATTTGGACACGGCCGAGCGTCCTAAGCGAGATCCGAATCCAATCAATCGAAGCGCTCTTCCCCGTCTCTGCTTAAGACGCTCGCTAAACGGATTGCGAACCTCATCAAACGGTCGTTCCGTACGTACAAAAAACGACTCTGGTGCTATCGCTGTCTAAGGTGACGTCCTCGGGACTGGCCAGATCGACGCGCACGCTGCCCGAATTCTGTCGCTTGCGACCGCCCCAGTTGCTCAGCGTCCACCTGTAAACCCCCTCGGACGATTCGTTCGCTGACTCTTCGATCGGTTGACTGTCCAGAGTGTCCGAACTGGAGCTGGTGGTGCCTCTGAAAGAGTCCGCGCCCGCTTTGAATCTCCCGATACCTACGACACACATAAACCTCTTCATCAACACATAGCGAATAAAACGTTAAATATACCGCTGTCGTCGGGGGATACGTGACTTTCCTCGATGCCTCTCAGGACGCTCTGGCAAATATCGGACTCCAGCGGAATGGGATCGTCCGAGTCTCGATTGTAGATCGTCACCGCGATGTGCGCCGGATGGGGAATCGGCAGCGGTATCATCATTTTATCGGGCGAGTACGGACGGTTGTGTTTCTTCCACGGCGTCCACAGCGTCTTGTAGTTCGATCTCAAGGAGCTCAGCGCCGTCGATGTATCTCTAAAATCGCCCGTTAAATAGAAACGAAATCGAAATGGATTTTTTTTGTGTAACTCACTCGATTTTCTCCGCCTTTCTTCCCGTCGCCGTCAGCTTCGATCGAGGATTGAAAGCGGACACGTCCAAATAGGGCGAATGCACTTGAATGTTCCCTCTCGGAGCGTACACGTTGCCTAACAAATCAGGCCCTCCGGCACCTAATAAACGAACAAATAAACACGAAACAACCTTATTTATGTCACAACTTACCTAATTGCGCGCACTTAACCATCTCCGTGTACCTAGACAGGTCGACTTGAGGATGCGAATCCAATCTGAAGCTCGTGTCCGTATGATCCAAGGGCGTCAAAATATCCAAACTGAACAACTCGGAGTACAACAGCCCGGCCAAACCGGCCCAATCGCCGGGGCTCAGTACTCTGCTGTCCCAAAACTGGTCCTCCGAACATCCCAGCTTCGGTATGATGTGCTTCGGATAGAAACGCTCCAACATCAACGCGCCTTGTTGTATGGCGATCTACAAAGTAAGCGCGTTTAACTAAACAAAAATTATTTTATATGCTAAATATACCTTCAAATCCGGCGTGCTCAATTTCACCTTGCTTTTGACCGAAACGCTCAGTCCAGTTTGCAAATCTCGCCGCCTCTTTTCGAGCTTCTCGTGCAAGATCACCATCAGGTCTTGCGATTCCTTCTCCAAAACTTTGTAGGCCCCGTTCTTGGCCAGCTGCGCGGAAAAGCTGCCGAAGCACGCTTCGATGAAGTGGCTGAAGTCCTTCTGCGGTTGCATTATCGTAGCTGAACAACCAATATTAAATTAAATTAACTCCTTTGAAGTATATTTTTTTACCTTCGATGACGGATTGATAGGCGGCCAGCTCGTCCCATTCCATTTTGGCTTCGAACGCTGCCAACGCTTGCTCGGGGCTGATTTGGAAGTAATAATCCGCTGCCAAGCCCGGTCCTGCTATTCTCTTAACAGCGAAACTGTCGCTAGCGGGAATACGACCGCGTTTTTTTATGAGAGCGTGGAATATGAAAGCGTCCCAGAGCAGCCGCAACCAGTAGCGTACGAAACCCCCTAAATAAATCGCAACTAACATGTATTCTACGGTTCTATAATACGGTAATTAGTGTACGAATCGATTTACCTGCTAAAATAATGAGAGATACAGCCGGACAAACGATAGCTGCCACAAAAACGGCCAATAAAGGCTGAAGACAGCCCTGTATAAGAATGTTCCACACGACCGCTTCGAAGATGACTAAGAACCGGTTTCTCTCCTGTTCGGGGCTGTCCAAATCGTATATCAGAAGATTGATGACTTGTACTGATAGCGTCAGCAGCGGCATCCAAGCCACCGAAGTCACGGCGACGAACAGACTCGAAAACGTGACGATAAAACAAACTATAGGCAGCACGATGACGATTAAAGCCGTTCCGAACAACCTACAAAACGACACGAATTCAGCATCAATCGCTCAACGAATCGATTCGTCGACCTCACCCTTTGACGAAGTAATTCCAAATCCGATTCAGATGCCTCGTCAGTCCTTTGCCGATGAAGCCCGTGTCCGGTTTGGTCTCGAAGTGCGTCCGACTCTTCGATATGTGCCGCCACAGGCTCAACAATCGCGACATCAACGTCGGCGTCAGGCTGCTCTTGCGCGGAAACAGCGTACCGTTGACTTGGGACAGCTCCAAATCGGCCATGAAGGGCTCCAGGCAGAAGAGCGCCCGCAGCCCGACGGGGCTACACCACGGTAACACTATGCCGAAGAAGAACATGGCGTTCCAGGTCCAGCACCACGTGCGGTGGAAGTAGTTGAAGATGCGCCACAGCGGCCAGCGCGTGGTGGTTGTTCGAACGGTTTCTTTCTCCACCAAAAACACCTGATAAGATAGGGAGTTTAGTATTAGGTGCGGGTGTGTATGTGTAGTTTTACCGGTTGACTGGGATCGGATCTGGGCGTTGTGATGCTGGTGGCTTGTTTACTGAGCACAGTGGGAACCACCTCCGATTGGCCCTGAAAATTCCTCCGAACTATCCAATTCTTCGGCAGCCAGATTTGCGTGGGCCACAAGAAACTCCTCGTCGGTATTTTATCCTTCCTCAACTCCCTCAGCAACGCTGGCTCGCGCTCTTTCATGAACGACAAATCCCTTTAAAAAAAAACATTCCATTAGAACTCCATTATCGCGAGTTTCTTACGACCGACGCTCACCTATTCAAAAAGTAGACGGTCTGCAACAGCCTCTGCGAGTTGCACAACATGAGGGCCTCTTCGTGGGCGCTCCACTGGTTCTCTTGGCTGAATTTCTGCTCGGCGGCGCGCAGTTTGGCGCGCGTCCACGGTCCGATTCGCGAGAGAACGGGATGGTAGCCGCACAGCCTCGATCTGACCTCCTCCTGGGATTTGTGCAGGCGATGTTGCACGTTCTCGACGGCCCGGTGCATCAGGACGACGCTCTGGGCCTGCTGGACCAGCAGCTGCCCGAAGTCCTCGCCCAAAGCCATGATATCGGAGTGCGATAGAATGCTGTTGTAGACCCGTTGCAGGTACTCTTTCATGACGGCCTCGTTGACCTCCTGGGTAATCATAACGAACGTTTAAAAATGTCATGTAAATTATGGTAATCTTACTCTTTCGATATCCTCGTCGGGCATTTTTTGCGTGCGCAATTCGGCGATGAGTCTTTCTCGGAAATGCAGGAACCAGCCGCGCGTTTCTCGCTCGAGAATCGCCACCAAAATCGGCAGGAGCTTCCTCATCAGGCCTCTGTCCCACAGTCGCAGGTCGAGTTCGGAGCCGGACGGCGTTTTGAATTTGTACGGAACGGACACCGGCGGCTGCGAGCACTCCCTGGCAACCTCGAATTTCTCCGTAGCCGCCCGCCTGAGCTGCTTCCGGATGAACGAGCAAATAATCTCCAACGAATCCTCATTTTCAGGCTACAGAAGACCGAATTAAGCGAGTCGTGTAATTGACGTGTACGTTTGAGAAACTTACGCGACAAACCAGTTCAGCAACAAGATATTTGTTCCTCTCCTCTCTGAGTTTGGCGTCCAAATTGTGCGCTTGTAGACTGGGTATGCCGATGAGGAGATCGATCAACCTCAGGAATCCCACCAGTAGCGCTTTAGCCGCCTGAGACACGCTGAAAAAATGCGACAACAACCGCCCTCTGGCCGTCACGACGATGAATCTCAACGCCAAAGCCAAGTCGTTGAGCAACGAGTCGTGGCTGTTCAGCAACCCTTTCTGCAACAACTGGGACAACCTCCACCTGTGCTTTTGGCCGGGGAAATTCAGGGATTCGACCTCGAAAACGCTGCAAAAAACCACCAATAAATTTACAACTAGCTACGAGTTACGCACGGGTAAAACTTGCACAGTTTTTGTTTACACAAAGAATGTTGCAAAGAAGCTATAAATAAAACTATAAATCAAATTTTTCAAAAACTAAAAAAAGTATCACACAAAGAAAAAACATTAAACAACGTCGTAGTAATTCGTATTTGTGTGGTTTCCTTCCAATTCACAACCCTTCTTCGCGTTCTAATAGATGCAAGAATTTAGTCCAACTCAACAACACAATTCAATAATCACGCAAGGCAAAACAAGAATTAAACGAAACAAAAATGCTGCGGAAAATACAGATTTAGATAGACAAATCGACAAGTCAAACAAAACGTACCCATGAAATCTAATACTTTCAAGTTGTTCCTGGTTCAATCTTTTCGGTTTTCCGAATTTGTCCTTGTGCAAGCTTTACAAAACAACAGGACGGGTTATAAAATAATATAGTTCACTAGTGCTGTAAAAAAAGCAACTAATCGTTATCCATTACTCGACCTAATTCGAAGCATACTCCATCGAGTTAAAACTAACGAATAGTTACAGATAACCGAGATTTACACCACTATTTACAGCCGATGGTACGAGAGTAATCCCAAAAACCTACCCCCTTTCTCTGATATACTCCAGTTGTTTCCCAGTTAGCCTTCGGGGTTCCCCTTTACCATCCACAGCAACAGCATCTAATTCATCGAACGATGGCGCTATGAACAGATCTCTGAGATGGTACTTGGTCTTGCAGCGACCTAGAGACCCGTCGGAGGACACCTGAGATGTTACTAGGAGATCACAATGCGATACAGGACTAGGAAGAACTATGGAAAAAACACAATCAGTATCGTTATGCATTCTATTGGAGCAAATAAACTTACTTATAGGAAACGTTTTCCAATGATATAAAAACTGTTCGGCGACTTGCTTGATGTTGTTTACCAGTTGTTCGACTTCAGGCGGGGCCCCTACAAGGTTCACGTCGAATCTCAAAGGCTCCCGTTCGGGCTGCAGGGGATCGTGCCCTATGATACCGCTATCGTTCGACTTGAGAGGGTACAAAGAGGTGGGCCGAGCGGGACAGTAGTTCTCTTGTTGTAGAGGTTGAAAGTCGAGTTTCAGCGACACTGGAATGGGATTAATGATGATAGAAGTCGGTGTGAGAATTGCGCGGTGCTTACGCCTCGGTGTAGGTGATTTTTCCTTCTCCGGTTCGCCGTCGCCTATGCTCGTTTTGGACCTGTGTCGAGCCTGTTTGTGGTAGCCCGGGGAGTTGGAATTCAAGCTATGGCCGGACTCTGACCGGTTCTGGCCGAAGCTGCCGGAGCTGTGCCGGTGGTGCCCGCTGGACTCCGTTCTCCTGTGGGCCAGCTTGGTGTTCGGGCCAGAGCTGGGTCTGGAGCTCATTGTTCACTTGCGGGAATTTCTGAGCATAATCTAGAAGCGTAGAGAAAAAACAAAATTTTACAAATTCGGTAAAAATACCTTCATATGAGCCAACGCATTGTTATCGTAAAAAAACTTTAATTCGTTCGAATCAATTGGAATTCCTTTTCGGTGTAAACCATCCTTTAAAATATTTTAGATTAACCTAATTTTCATAAATAGATTGCTCTGGCCAGCGCCAGCCAAGAAAACTGTGCGGATAAAAATTCTTAGGGGCTTGTTAAATGTAATAAATAAAGTATTTTGAACTTACGTGGATGATATTTTCGAATTTTAATCCGAAAAGATGTCATTTCTAGTCGAGTAAAATTTAAGTCGAAAACAAAGACGAAACATTATAAATTAACGAGCGAATAATGGGAAGGAAGTAGCCTTTGGAATTTCACTACGAACAATCCTGATTTTTCCGTGTATAACTAGCATTCAAGAGGCGATAATTATTTTCTTCATCTTTGTGTTTTATTTTATTTTTCTACCTCAATCATACCTTCTTAAAACATTGAATACAAATAACATAGGCTAGAGGAATTTCTGATTGGCCAAAGTGACAAGTGACGTCAGTGGGCGTGATTGCTGTCAACCGAAAGTTATGACAGATGTCAATTGGCATCGATTATTACAAGATTATTTTATTATCAGAAATTTAAAAATATTAATTAATAATTGAAAATAAAATATAAGGATATTAAACACAACGAATTTTATTACGTAAATTATCGATGTATTTTATTTTTCGACAAACAAACATATTATCTACGTCAATTGTTCAAACAAAAAAAGTAAATGTCAACAAGAATTTTATATTATCGTAAAAAGTAAAAAACCTGAATGTAGAGAAAAATGATATTTCTCGACGCGATAACGATTCAATAAATTAAAGGACCGGAATTTCAACCAAAACACAAGTGTCCTTGACAATAGAAACTTTTTTTTGTTCTATCAAGGATCACGTGACGGCGAATCCGCGGAATCATTGGCCCAACGTGAGCGTGCCCTGCGCGGATTTGTTGCGCAACAGTGAACACAAAATGCCGTCAGAGTCCAAACCTTTGTTGACAGCTCAAACAGAAAAGCCAAATCATTACTCGTAAGTGTATTTTTAGTGCGTGATTGTTGTCGTGATGCGTGCAGCAATTAATTTTGTCCATTTTGATGTGCTTTTTTTGTTAAAATACAGTGTTAATTTCTAGATATTTGAAGGAATTTCGCGTCGAACAATGCCCGCTCTTCTTACAACACAAATGTACACAGCATCGACCATTCACCTGTTTTCACTGGCATTTCATGAATCAGAGACGACGACGGCCCGTACGTCGCAGAGATGGCACGTTTAATTACAGCGCCGATAATTATTGCACCAAATACGACGAAACCACGGGAATTTGTCCTGATGGAGACGAGTAAGTAGACCTTTTTTGGTTAGTTCTACTGTCATTTTGTTGTGGTGGGTGTGACGAGTTTGAGGCGCAATTTCCGAATTTCCTTTATATTTTCCCCTTTTCCCTTACAAATCGCTGGCTTTCGATCTAACAGGTGGATGACGAATTTATTTCGACTTGCACTGGCTATTTTTGGCGTTTCATTTGACAATAGATAACCAAACTTTTAACCATCAAAACAATGTCACTGTAACCTTGGACCTATCCCAATAATGTTATTTTTCAGTAAGGCTCTGTTATATTATAACGTTATGTTTTTGCTTTATTACATGCAAGAATGATTGTTTTATTGTTTTCGTTCCAAACATAAACTCTACTATCATTCATGTATCGATTGTTAACAATATTTCATTACTTCAACCCTATTGTTTTCTATCAAATTTTAATCGATTTTTGGGTTATTATAAACTTATTTTCGCTTTTCAAAAGCAAATTATGCATAGTATTTTTTCCTTCATACACTCAAAATTATACCGATTGCTTCAATTCAGCCCACAACATGGTTGTTTGTATGAGTTGAACAAAGAAAGATTAATAAAATTACAGTTGTCAGAGTGAAAAGTTGCAATGACATACTGTGTACAGTGTATATCTCTAACTTAAACAAGCGGTTATAGTTTATTGACCACCCAGTATTCTAACTAAACAAACTATCATCGAATCTATCAAATAACACGTATTTCCTCTACTTTCAGTTGCCCGTATCTGCACAGAACGGCCGGTGACACGGAACGAAGATATCACCTGAGGTACTACAAAACGTGCATGTGCGTACACGATACGGATTCGAGAGGATATTGCGTGAAAAACGGTTTGCACTGCGCCTTCGCGCACGGCAGCCACGATCACAGGCCGCCTGTTTATGATATTAAAGAAATCCAAGCGTTAGAAGCGGCCGAAGCGGAAGGTAGCGGATCCTCCAACGGTCCCAATGCGTTAGACAAAGAACGGAATTTAATGAACGAAGACCCCAAATGGCAAGGTCCGTATATCGCTAGATCTATCGTAACGTTTTTATTTATCGTTTCGAATGCTTGCAGATACGAATTTCGTGTTATCAAATTACAAAACTGAGCCGTGTAAAAGGCCGCCTAGGTTATGTAGACAAGGATACGCGTGTCCCCAATACCACAATAGCAAAGATAAAAGGAGAAGTCCTCGGAAGTTCAAATATAGGTGAGTTGGATTCGTATGGCTCACGTTTTGGGTGAAAACTGAGAGAAGTGTGAATGGTTTCAGATCGACGCCCTGTCCTAACGTCAAACACGGCGAGGAATGGGGCGAGCCGGGCAATTGCGATTCGGGCGATTTGTGTTCGTATTGCCACACTAGGACGGAGCAACAATTTCATCCGGAAATCTATAAAAGTACAAAATGCAATGACGTTCAACAATCGGGTTATTGTCCTAGAGGTGTATTCTGCGCTTTCGCGCACGTAGAACGTAAGCTTTCCCTTCGAATGTTTGTCGAATTAATTCCTAATGCATCTTTTTGTTTTTGCGTTTTTAGAAGAATTAGGAGTTTCAAGGGATACCGGTGAAAGCGGCACAAATCTAGCGGAAATATTGTCGAACGTTCTTCCCCAGAATGATATAAAACTCAAAGAGAAAAGCAGTGATAGTTCTGTAAGATTTTCACCTTGCATTTGAATTTATGTCGATTAGTATTTTCGATTTTTTTCGCAGAACGGTTGCAGCGAGGGCAGCGAATCGTCATCGACGTCGTCTGAATTAGGGAATTCCATAAGCAATCTAAACAGTAGTTTGATAAACGCAAATGCTTCTAATTCGACTGGTACAAGCAAAGCTCCCGGATCTCAATTAACTCACAAGCCCGTTCCTTTCCCGGGCAGACCACCACTAGGCATGGAATTGACAAACAAATTGATAGCAATAGATAAAGATCCAACTTTAGGTGATTAAATTTACTCGAATACCTCGTTATGTTGTTAACACGTGTCGTTTTTTTTTAGATTCAAGAGAAAGGGAGCAAAGAAAACAAACGTTATGTTTTGCTTACAGTAGTTTAGGAGGTTCCTCATTTTTCGGCAGAGGGAATGATACAGTAGAAAGTGTAGTTGGTAAGCGATATCGAAATACATATTCGAATAATACATACTAATTTAACGTTTGTAACATTTAAAGGCAATGCGTTAGACGATTTAAATTTAGAAGATTCATTAAATTTGTCCGGCGCTTTGGATAGAGACTTAGACACCGATTCTCCCACCGTATCGAATTCGATATCCGTAGGATTGGCCTCGTCCGCGGGCCTCCTAGGCAGTTCAGCACCAGTTAACATTCCAGGCTCGACGCGTTCGGGCCTAGCGGGCTTCAGCCCTCAGGGCAACAGCCCCATGCAGCCTTTCCTGTCTGCGGCGAGGTAACATTAACGACTCGTTTACATTTAATTTGCTTGACAACGATTTTGCGCAGGTTCTCGCAATCCGACCTCGATTTTCTGAACCACTCCGGCATACAGATGAGCTCCAGCACGTCGAAGATCAACAACTACACCAACTTCTTCGACTTCCAGAGCCAAAGTATATCGCCCAATTCTAGGAACCACAACTTCAGCATGTCGCCGAGCATCGGCAGCAATTTGGAGCTGGTGAGATTGAGAGAGGAAATATCGAGCTGTAGATTGCAATTGGGCACTTGGGAGGAGCGCTTCCAGCAGGCGAGGAACGCCTGCGACGCCTGGCAACGGGAGACCGAGGAGGCGAACAGGAAGGCGCAACAGGCGGAAAATAAATTCAGCGAAACGATGACTCAATATAACGCGCTTAAGCAAGAATTGGAACAATTGCAAGGCGGGCCTCACATTAGAAGTATCACTAAGGTATAAAAATCGCTAACGAAGCTAGTTGTAGGTACTTATATATTTTTGTCTAGGTTTCAGAACTAAGTAAACTATCATTGAGCGTATTGAAAAGCCTGCACGCACAACTCCGTCAGGATTTAGAAGAAATAGAGAAGGTTTTATACCGAGAAACGGCTTCTAAATGTATGGTAAGCGATACGATTATACCTATTTTCGAACGCTCCAGTTAACTTCTTCACTTGACGTCTCCTTTAAGTAAATTGGCGAGTTTGATTTTTTGATGCTACTGCCTAGATTGTTCAAACCAGGAGATCTTATGCTTCGCTAACATTGTATCTTCTTTTGTATTATGTTTTGTAGGGAAGCATATTTATCTCCTCTCATCACGTGGCTTATTACAGTTTCAACTGCTTCAACTCCTACTTTAATGGTGTTTACTTCAGTCTCCTTCTTCAACCTCCTCAATACTTCGATCTTCTGCTAACTAAGTTTATTCTGAGGATTCTCCTATACATCTACATCTCCACAAAGCTTCCAGTCTTCTTCTTCAGTGTCCAAGCTTCCAGTCTTCTTCTTCAGTATCCAAGCTTCCGTTCTGTATAATAGCTCATAACTTTTAAGCATGCATTATAGATAACTTGTTTTATAATTTGTTGTATTTGTAGGTATGCGAAGAACGCAATAGGACAGTAACGTTAAGTTGCAATCATTTCGTGTTGTGCGACACGTGCGCGAGCACCCAAAGCGAGTGCCCCTACTGTCAGACGCCGATAAATATGAATAACATCTGAAGAAGAGGTAATTAGGCTTGCGAAGAGGCCACCGAGACTTTATGGTCAGGTAGGAGCGATTGGAGACGATGCGTTCGTATTTTCTATTCTCTGATACTTCTAATAATAAATTTACTCCCTTTTCACGAAGTCCAGATGGCCGTTTTGCAATTTAACAAATTTTTTAAATTTCATCATTGACGTCTAGTAGATTTGATCGAAAGTATATTTTCCCTTTCTTTTTTTTTATTAATTGTTCGTATAAGTCTAGGCGTGATTATTTTAATGGTTCGTGAATGTGTCGTACATCACTTGTATGTAAGTTTTTGCTATTGTATTTTTGAGATATTTTTGCGAATATCAAATTACAGTTTCTCTGCAAGTTATTTTCGATTGGCGGGCGACGTGCATTCGAAACGTGTGTTATTTTTACCACGAATAATCGACACTTCTTTCAGTTAGAGTTTAATTGATTAACGCAAATAGTATTTTAGTTTACAACTAACGTTTGGGTCGGGAGTTTGAAGAGATTCGAAGCAAGCTAAGAGAGTGAAATATTTTTGTAATCAAACTTTCGAACTACGCGTTATTTACAGTTATTTTATTGCATGGATAATTTGATTTTATTCGCCCGCCAATTCAGAAGGTCGTCCTTTATATTTTTTTTTAACTGTCCATTTGTTCAGTCCATATTAAAGTTTTCAATAGATGCGTAGTAAACTCCTTTAGTTTCTCCCCCATACAATAATAATTCTTGATGCGAATACTTAAAAAAGCAGTATTTTTAAAATTTTGTCTAATCGACTAGAGTCCCATTAGGAATTTACATAAGGAAATGTTTTAATGTATTAACGTGCGTTTATGATGTTGTGTAGAAAGTAAAATGATTTTATGTGAAAATTTTATTTGCAATTAAATTGTAGTCGGTTTGTGAAAATGTAGTTTCGAAATTGAGCAAATGATTGATATACGAAATGTAATATTTTTTCGGCAGAAACAACCAAAAGAGAATTTTTATACGATTGTCAGAGTGTCCAAAACTATGATTTGCAGAATTTGGGAAGAACAAAATGTTGAAGTTTAAAGTAGAGAGGAAATAAATTTTAGTTTATTAGTTTGTAAGTTTATTTTGTGAAATTGAAAACGAAATTATGCTAGGTGGAGGCTGATTGGAATTACCATTGAAATTGTAAATAATTTTAGTTTTGGACACTTTGTGATAATTTTTTAAAATGTAATTAAGAACGCATTTATTTTTTTACAAAAAACCACTTGTAAAGTTACAATTTGACGGCGTTGTTTGCGACTGAAGACACACAGGAAGAATATTGAATAAGACGAGTCAATTTTTTTGTAAATATTTTCTGTTTATAAAATGTAAACGACAGAAAATTTTAATATGGATATATTAATATAATAATTAGGATTTATATAATAGGTAGGATTTTACAATTTTTAATTTATTTAAAACGGATTTTGCTGCACTAGTTACATATCATATTTATTTAACTCGACTTTTTCTAGATTTAAAATATATTTTGATAAAAATGTTATTTATTTAAAATTGTGATTTAGTTTCCACTTACTTTTTAACATTCGAGTTTCTTTGAAATTACCAATAGTTACGTGCAGCATAATTTAAAATAAAAAAAGTGTGGATTTTTTACAGGGTTGTTCCGACGAAAATTCGCTATTATTTTCATTTTACAGACAGTTTTGCGAGGTGTAATTTTTAATTTTATTTCGCACAATAGTATGCATATTTTTTATTATTCCATTCAGACTATAAAATACTCACTTCATATTAAACCGAGAAAATAATAGTTCACACGTTCAATTCTCATTCTACTTATTGTTAATCGTATTGTTTTATGTTCTTGTTCAACTCTGTATAATATCTGCAAGTGACGACTGATTCCCAGCAATTACAGTTTTACAGTTCTCAGTGTTAAGTGACAGCCTCAAAAAGATTGTTTTTTTTTTAATAACTCTAAAGCCTAGCTTAATTTCGTACTATGTATATGATTATAATTTATGAAAAATAAAATGTTTAATAAGAGTAAGTAACTGGACAATGCTTTTTTTAATCCTAGATTCTATCGTTGTTTAATTTACCTCATATTTCACAGATTATTAAGTAGAAGGTAAAGGTCTCTGGTTTGTAGGGAAAGTTAGATATACAGGGTGTCCTGCGACCCGATGAACGTAGCTTAGGAGCTATGCACTTTTGTCCAAAAGGAGTTATGAGGAATAAAAAATATATATTGGCCTACTAGAAATTATGGTAGTAGTGGAAGAAGAGGTTCTGTTCCATGGCCTCCGATATCGCCATACCTAACACCTCTGGACTATTATCTTTGGGGGCATATGACGAGTCTAGAGTATTCTAATTTACCACAAAACTTATTTTCGACTTAAAATTGACCATTACCCTCCTAAGCTACGTCCATCGAGTCACGTGCGTTTCTGAAATCGGCAAGAAATTGAAAGACCCCCGAATATAATACCTTTTATTTCTCTCAGAAACGAAATGATATCGATCAATTAAACTAAACTGGACGAACCGAGACAATCGCCGTCGATTTTCCCGCACAAACTCGGCGAGTTCCCCTTGGAACTCCCGTACACCTTCGTGGAATACCCCGAATCGTTATTAGTATCCCTATCGATATTGTCGGGCACGCTGGCCGACGCCGCGGCGCCGTCGTCGCCGTCGAACGACTTGGGCCCGTTCAAGATGCGCCTCTCGGCCACCGCGTTGTCGTAGTACTGTATCTTATACGGCTCCACGAAGCCGACGTCCGTCCGGTACACCGGCGTCCTTTTCAGCGGCGCGTAACTCGCGGAATCGCGGATCTCCACCAGCGGCACGTGGTTCACCAACACACTGTTCACTATCGTGGGGCTGTACACGCCCGTCCTGCTGCGCGGCACCGCGCCGCCCGGGAAGTCCAGCGAAGAGGGGCCCGGGTTGGACGCCGATTGTCTGTCGCCTTTCGCCGGAAGGTCGTCCTCCTCGCTGCTTTCGCTGTCGTTGCCTTGGTTGGAGACGTTCAGTCGTTGGATCTTCGCCACGATTTCCTTCACCGAAGGCCTGGCGGCGGTCGCTTCCTCCGGCGGATCCAGCTCGTCCATGCTCCTAGTTTACAAGATTTCATAAGCAACACACTTTCAATTAACAACTAATATAATCACCTGGTGGTTTGCATCTGCGGTTTGTCGTCATCGTAGAGCATTTCCAAGCTTCTGGATCTAGGCAACACGGTTTGTTTCTCTCTGCAGCTGGTGGACAGTACCCTCTCGGACCTCCTGGCCTGCTGGCCTCGCTTTAGCTTCTGCTCCAGCCCGATCACGCGCTGCTTCAGCCTGAAGTGCGCCTTCTGCAGCTCCTTCTTGTCCTTCTCGATTCGAGCCTCCAGGTGCTTAAATAACGGTGCGCAGTAACAAGTGTATCCTACTCCTATGGGACCTTTGCAAATATTACCTAAAACATTCATAAAATCAGTTCCTAAACTATTCTGTACTTGGTGGAAACTAATTAAGTACCTGCTAAATCTAAATAATACTGTTCTCCCTTCTTTAGTGGCTCTTGGGGCAACGAGTCCAGCCGCGGCGACGGGAAGTTCTTCGGATCGGGGAAGTAATGGCAACCATACGGCGACCACGGTTTCGGCTCTAACGGTACTTCTACCCAACAAACATGATGAATCGGAACACGCAAATCGAAGGAGCTTACCTTTCCCGGCGCTTTCGTCGAACTTCACCTTGCTCTTGGACCTCTTCTTCACGCTCTTGGCGCGCCTGCCGTCCTTGAAGGCGCCCGTCTCGTTGAGGATGTCGACGATTTCGAACAGGTCCTTGCGCACGGCGATCTCCGCTGCCGTCTCGTTCTGCTTGTTGCGCACGCCCTTCGCGCAGCCCGCCTCCAGCAGGATCCTGGTGAGCTTCCTGCGGCCCATCGCCGAGGCGATGTGCAGGGCGGTGTCGCCGTTCTTGTTCTGCTCGGAGACGCGGCACTGGGCCGATAGCAGGATGCGCGTGACGCCGGCGTGGCCGTACCTGCAAGGGCGAAACCGTGTAATTTCGCGGGAGAATTGTAGAGCAGGATGAAGGCGGTACCTGGCGGCTGTGTGCAGCGCGGTGTCGCCGTAGTTGTTCTGTATGTCGGGGTCGCAGCCGGCCAGCAGGAGCTCCCTGCAGGTCTGGTTGTGGCCGTTCTGGCAGCTGAGGTGGAGCGCCGTGAAGCCGCCGGCGTTGCGGCGGTTCAAGTGGGCGCCGGCGGACGCCAGGAGGCGCACCGATTTGCTGTAGCCCTTCCAGGAGGCCTCGTGGAGCGCCGTGTTGCCGTGCTGGAAAGGATATGTTAGAGATTTGCTGGATAACGAAAAAGTTTGAAGCGTTCGGGACACTCTGTATAGGACGAACTAAGTGGTAAGGAATTCGAATATACTTATTTTTTTTCGGAAAAATGTGTTGGAGTGATTCATTTTATGGCCACCGGCTTTTGAAGAGTGTCACGAGTAGCGAATGAAACGTCGCGCTAAAAGATTTGTGAAACATTTCCGGTTTTTAAAAATGATTAAAAGCAATAAACAACTACTACATTAAAATTGGCATGAACGTAAAAAGTTAAAAATAATAGAAGAATATTATTTATAGAAGTCCATATAATGAGCAATAAAAGCAGCGGTCCGCGTTAATATTGACCCGATTTAAAGAGCTCGGAAATTTAATATTTATAAGCAGTTCATTAGAATTATTATGATGGATTAAGAAAGTATTCGAATTTGTCGCTTCATATTTCTATTTTATTACGAAAAATTGTGTAATTTGCGTAAATCTTCGAGTTAATTCGGAACGATCGAAAATAACATAAAAAGTAAAAGAGAATCTTGTGCGAGCACATTAGAGGCGATTTTCTCAAAGAGAATTACTTTTGGCACGAATTTCAAAAAGATGCTGAAAAGCGATTGTTAAAATAAGAAAACGCCGTCGTTGACAATGAAAATTATACGATGTTTACTTTTTTTTAAACCCACGTATTCGCTTTGTAACGCGAGGTATAATTTACATATATTTTGTCCTTAAAATATAGTTTTGCGTTATTTTTTCCGAAAATCATTCATATTAAGCAGGGAAACATTTCCGTTTATAATTTTAGATTTTTTTCAACAATTCAAATTCCGGAAATCGAGTAATAATGAGCCAGTAGATTAGTATACCTAATCTAATTTTCATCCATGTGCACAAGGTGTGTGGGAATCACCCAATTACAAATTTTACAAGCGCTCGACCTAGACCCGAATGAAAAAAAAAACTTTATACGCGTCCGTTTTTCGAATCTCTTGCGAAATTAATCCGCATTAATTAATAGTCTTCCCCATCATTCGCCGGTCTCAACAATCCGTTTTAAGAATAACTTATTACCGATTTTCAAGGACCCGCTATTTTCGTCGCGACTCGCTCCATTTTCGCGCGCGCCCGAAAAATCCACGTTATTCTTATTTGTTATTATTTTCTTCGCCATGCACCCGAATCATAAATCGTTTTTGGCGTACTTTGTATGCAACCAATAAATTTTCAGAGAGAGACGTTCAAAAAGTCTTCAAATAACGGGACACATTCTCTAATGCATAAGCTTAGGCTGTTTCCAGACCTTAAAAATATACGGCCGTTGTTAAGAATAAAAAAACGCGGCCATAAAGAAAAATTGTCAAAATTGACATTAATGACATTTTGAATGACAGAAGTTTAATAGAGGTGGGAACCGATTATTTGGTATAGAGGTGCAGTAACGACTGTTACAAAATAAGCGTTATTTTAGAATCAACTTTCTCCATAAGATAGTGATTGGGTATTTGTAATTGCATTCTATAATGCATATAAGCTTAGACTGTTTCCAGACCTTAGAAATATACACCCGCGGTCTATACTTACGACGTGGTCCTGCCCGTTGACGTCGCCGCCCCTGGCCAGCACCAGCCGCATCACCTCTTCGTGGCCCTCGGAGGCGGCGCGCTGCAGGGCGGCGCATCCGGCGGCGTCGGCCGCGTCCACCTCGCCGGGCGCCGCCACCGACAGCAGCAGCCGCACGACGTCGCGGCGGCCGTTCGACGCCGCCAGGTGGAGGGCCGTGCGGCCGCGGTCGTCGCGCGAGAAGCGCGCCAGCCGCGCCGCCCCCAGGTGTCGGCGGCACGCGGCCACATCACCGCGGCCGGCCGCCTCGCGGAGCTCCGCTCCCACAGTCGATGGAGTTGCGACGACGCCCCCGACTGCGTCGCTGACGTTCATTCAGGGCCATCTGACATACCACCTGGAAGAGACGTGAGCAACTTCAGCGAACTCGGTAATTGAGCTATAAAACTCTATAATAAAGTAAAGCTTGTCCGTTCTAAAAAGACAATGACGTCAAGAGCCAATCTGTTGCGACGTTGCCGGGTTATAATTGTAATCCATTATACTACTTTCAATGTTTCAAACATGAAAAAAAACATCGGGAGGTGATACGAACTCGCAAGTTGTACTCGTAAACTCGTAGAAAAACGCGGGAGAGACTGATAAACGTACAGAACCTCCGAAAAAAGCATCCAAAACAGACGAAAAACACGTAAAATTGAAGAACAAAAAGAAAAACGGCAAAAATCGCTGAGATTCATTTAGAATGCTCCAGAATCATTTAGAACTGTCTAGAATCATTTAAAACGCTCCATAACTATTTAGAACTGTCTAGCGAATCATTTAGAACGCTCCAGAAAAAGAAAAAATCTCTGGAAAAGTTACAAAAACAACAAATTGTATTCATAAAACCTGTCAACTACAAATAGCGTCAAATGGTAGAATTAACATTGGCACTAGGGAAAATTGAACTGCGTGGAAATCACTAAAAATTACGTAATTTTCTTTTCAGGACGGATATGCTTTTAAAAGGAAATAACGCTTGTCAATAACGTCATTATTCTTATTGGCTGGTAATAGAGTTAAAAGTGAAAATCGAGTACGGTGATTGGTTAGATTGAGTGACGTTAGTGATGATATCAACACGTTTGGGTATTAGTTTAGTAATTCAGACATTTTAAAATTGAAATTAAGAAGTCGTTCGAAGATGAAAGTTCACAGGTATAAGGTACGTTAATTCTTCTAATTACATAAAGTAATATTCGAGGGTTTATTTCGGTTATCGTTTAAGTTCAAAATAAACAGCGAAATGGTGTTTATTTTGCGAAAATAAAGGCAAACAAACGCGCTTATTCGAACGTGCGCGATGTTTTGACTTGTCCTTCGGCGCTTCGTTGTGAAACGGCAATTAAAAATTCTCTTTTAATTAACTTTAAAGAAGTTAAAAATACGTCGACCTTATTTTGGGGAATTCTGGCGAAATTTCGATTTTTGTCGGTCGGGCGAGCGATTTAAATAATATGCCGGTTTTGCGAGTTTGGGAGTTTTTCGCTGGAAAATCGAATATTTTGAGAACTGGTAAAACGGCGGTGTGATGTCATTATTTTTGGATGAAAGTTTTATGGGTTTTTATTTACTGTACAACTGTAAATAGTTACTTACAGGCGTTTTAAGTTTGTTTGAATTTAGATAAATAAATTTTCTTAGCCAAGAATCTTATTAGAATTAATTGCTTTTGTGCCTTTCTTATTTTTAGTCGAATTTGTTTGTTTGGTTTTTACACTAAAAATTGCAAAAACTTTTACTACCCTACTGTAATACAGTTTTTTTACGAGTAAACGATGATGTCATTTTTTAGTTATTTCCATTTGCCAACGGAATAACAATAAAACGTCAAGGAACAAATCAAATTTTCTAAGAAAAATTGGATTTTAAATAATTGGCAATACTTCAAGATGTTGTCAAATCATCATTAACCAAGACGTTAAATTACTTTTAAGCTGTTAATCATTATATTAAACGTCAAACTGTAGCAACTTTAATTAACTGGCTATTTTAAAGAGAAAGTAGAAAAGAAGGCCAATTTCTTTCATTCATCACCCGTAAAATACACCCAATAAATCACTACTAAACAGTAAAATTCAATATGGCAATACCACCTCAATTGGTGCCAAATATATTTAAATACTTTGACAGGTGTCATATTTTCCAAAACTACAAATGTTTGTCAAATAAATTGAATTACTTACCTGCTATTCCATACAAGTTATAATAAGTACTAATAAAAATCATTTCTTTGGCATGAAGATGATGAAGATCCTAACTATATTTATATACGTTTAAATAAATACGGGTACTTCCCCAATTATCGGTGAATTGAATTACCCACATGCTGTTCTATAAATAATACAATACCAGTAAAATTTTTTCTTTTGATGATTGAAGGGTCAATTTTCGAAATCTTGGTGATATACTTAGTCATAAATACTTTGAATAAAATAAATTTGGGTAGACCGCATACTAAACTAGATGCGGAAGGGTAGACCTCATACTGAACTAGATGAGGCAGGGTAGACCGCAATCTAGACCGGCACCGATCAATTACCGTAGAAATTACTTCATTTTAACAGCAACATTTAAATATTCTAGCTCGCTTTTTCCACTGGCTTCCGGATATTTACGAACGAAACCGCCGCGCCGGTTTGCTTTCTGGAGCGTTAACCTAGCCAAGGAGCCGTGAAATGTTTGTATATTAAATAAAAAAATTCGAACAAAAAAAATATCGTAGGCACCGAGCGAAAGTAGCACGGACGGTTTTTTTTCTGTTTTCTCAGATGAGATGCGTTCGACTTATTCCATTATTCGAATTCCGGTGCGCGTGCATAGAAATCTCCCGTTTGAATCGATATGTAAAACGAGGAGAATATAATTTCTCTTTGACATTTCGAGTACGGCAATAAGTCATGTCGAGTCAATCAGAAGAAGTATTCGGGGGATTTCTCCAATGAATAGTATCTAGAGGATTGCTCAATACAATATAATAGATTATATTTATAGAAATTTCAAAATAGGGCTCAATTTTCCTTTAAGAGGAGTGAAATCTACTTACTGAAATATTTTGTGTAATTCATAGTTTATGAGGAATTTAAAATTATGACAGAACACTCGTATTCTGTCATGTTTGGTCTAATGAGGAATTCTTTTTTACTGGCCTAAACCCTCAGGATAACTGGCCAATTCCGGGAAATTCTTTTAATTCCTTTTAATTTACAAGAAAATCTTTCTAATTTACGTTCCTTGGGTGTCTCCGGCGGCCTCGAACACTCAGGACAACAGGCCAATTCCGGGTAAAACAATGAGAAATCAAATTGCGCTACAACCTGGTCGCGGCAATTTTATTTTTAAGCGGAATTTCGAAACGCGCGAAATAATTTGGTGTGTACCCAAAAAAAAACGCCGCTTATCGCTCGATACGCCACATACGTCAGGCGATTTCCAGCGGAAAACCTTTTGTTTTCGAATTTCGTAACGAAAAAAATAAATAAATAAATTACCACTAGAAACGCGCCGTTAACGGCTCGGTAATTCACGAAAACACAGGCGACAGGACCGCGTCCATTGTTGTTAATTTGCGGTCATGCTCTAGTATATCTAGCGGGTTTGCGTAAAAACAGATTTGTCGGTTTTGTTGTGGGTATTTAAAGTGGGTCGTTAGTTTCGGTATCTTCCTTTTTATGCTCCCAATTTATGCTAAAATTGTGCCGAAACTATCTGGAACAAACGAGTTTCTAACAAGCGTATAGAGAATATTTTCCTATAAGATTTATGCAATTCTAATGTTTACCAGAAATCTTATACATACTTAATAGACTTTAACCAAGTAGTTATTAACAAGCTGAAGTATAAACATAATTAAACGTAATTTATGTATAGATATTCGAACATACCAAGCCTTTCTAAACGCTCGAATTTACCTTGGTAGGTACCTCCAGCTCGAGAGCCTTCACTACATAATCCAACGGGTGGTTTAAATCCAAACAAATATCACCTTCCCTCGTGTGCGTGTTATCTCTTATCGAATACCATTTGCGCGCACCCACGACCACCTCAGTTTCTGTTTACATCCATACCTCGGACCACAAGCACCCAATTAACTAACTCATCTCGGTCGCCGTTCGAAATCGTCCATCGAGAGGTCGAAACGTCTCAATTAAAACCACATCGGGCGTTCGAGAGGAAACGCGGCGAAGAACCGAAGAAGCGAACGTCACCACAAGATGGGAACGCTGCGAAGAACCGTTACCGGCCCGAAAAAACCGCTTCGGGCGAGCCCTTGGTTATCGTCGCTTCTTCCGCGGGAATTCCGGCGGACAAACGCGGGGAGAAGGCCACCCCCGATGGGTCGTAGACGAGCCCGAAGGAAGCGAGCGGGATTCGAGCGGAATCCAACGGAAACTGAACCGAGAGGTGAACTGAGAACCGAAGCGAGAGGCGACCCGAGTCGAAATCCGTAGACGTAGAGGTAGAGAGCAGAGAATGCGCCTCGGCGATGCCGCTGGTTCGCGTTGTGTTTGGTCGATTCGGCGGATTTAAAGCGCGCAACCACCGCTCAGCGAGATCCTAAAGATGGGCGCAATCGTTCGCTTCATTTGACGTGATTATCCTGCGTACGTTCGAATTGTACTGGGTGGATCGTAGGCAGCCGTTAATGTGGAGCACCTGCCTTCGGAGACTTCATAAAATGTATGATATAAACTGTATCAGTTTTTGGTTACATTCGATTTAAATTAAAAGATGAAGCTGTACCAGTTTGTAATAAAATTGATGATTTATCTGGAGCTCCAGTGCACTGGATCTGATGTCTGTTTATTTTCATCTATATAGATGGAAGTTAAATTTGACGAATCAGGACTAAACTGATTTTCCATTATTCATATACAGTTGCAAATTTGTTCGTAATATGGTCTATGGGTGTATCAAAGATAATTTCTATTAGTCTCATATGAAGGAAAAAGAAAGTGATGTTGTGGTATTGCAACTTTCTCACTCAATCAATGTTATTTTAATAATCTTTCCTTGTTCAACTCATAGAATTGACCGCATTTTAACATTTGCATACTTACCCTTATGTACATAAGTGCAAATTGGTATGGAATATAGTCTTTGGGTGCAACAATAACAACTTGCATTAGTCTTATATAAAGGAAAAAGAAGAAAGAATGATATTGTGGGATTGCAACATTCTCACTATAACCACTGTTATTTGAATAATCTTCGTTCAACTCATAGAATTGACCATAATGCCAACAAATTTGCACTTGTAGAGCTTATAGAAAAGATAAAGTGCCTTAATTTAAGCAAAAATAGCATTCTAGAAATCACAGGAAAAAATCTCCTCTCAAACCTCACATTTTTCTAATTAATTAGATAGTTTGATAACAAAAACAAAACATTACTCAACTATTAATAATACTATTTAAGTTCCGAAGCGTATTCGCAGAACATTAAAAAAACGACTCGATATAACGTAATTATAGATCATATTCCACATTTTTCCATTTTAATTGCTACTAAAAAGCAATTAATATACAAACCAGTAAAATTTTTATCGCCCATAAAAATCGACGTTACAAAATAACCGATCACTTTCGAACGCCTCGCCTCTACACACGTTCCTATTAAATGCGAATCTAAAAATACTTTTCGTCGAACGTGTGTATGCATGTAATGTTATAGTTATAAAGAGTATAGGTAAATATTTTTACATTATGTTAAATTTGTGTAGATCTCGCTCAGCTTCGTTATTTGTAATTAAATTTTTACACGACAAACTATACTCAATACAAAAAAAAAATACCAAAAACAATTTTAAACCTCCTTATAATAGTCGGTCATTTCCATCATTAGCGCTAAACTACAAACAACCCCCGCGCTTCAAGACTTGTGCTTCAGCACGAACACGCCCTCCAGCCCCTTCGGCATGAACTTGGGCACCTTCTTCGTGCTCTTCATCACCTCGAACGTGGTGAACCGGCCGTACTCGGTGATCTTGGTGATGGCGTACCGCACCTCGCCCTTCGAGGCGCAATCGCCCCGCTGCATGTTACCGTTGGAGTCCGAGCCGGAGGTGTAGCCCGTCGACGAGGTGCTCGTGTAGCAGTCGCACTGCAGCTTCTCCTCCTCGAGCGCCGGCCGCTCCTCTTTGGTCCTGAACAAACGCCAAAGCAAAGTTAGCTGAGCTAATTTTTACACAGAGTATCCATAAGAAGATGCAGTAGTGGTTAGTCCGTTCCATACTCTTGGTTGGAATTCATCCAGGACCTTCTTGCTTCTTGCGTTGGGGTTGAAAAAAATCCTTCATAAGTGTTATTTTCTGTATTAAATCTTTCATTTTTGGTGAACTAGCAAGGATTGTAGGGTTCTTATTAAGGATGGTAGATACTCCTAAATATTTCTTATTTGGAGAAGCTAATTAAGGAGTTGAGATTATATGGGCTACTTACTTTTCGGTGGATTGGTTCTTGAGAAATGGGCAGTTGATCACAATAGGTGAAATGTTGGATGGACAGGAGCATTGTTCGTCTTCCGTTATCCTTGCGGGGCATTCGGTTTGGATGCGACAGGCGCACAAATAGGTATCAGTACTGGAGTCCTTCGATTTCGGGGATGCTGGTTGTTTTTGTAACGAAGACGTGGACGAAGATTTGTCGATTTTCGATGATTTCTCTTCTGAAACGATAAATCGAGTGTTATTTCTCACGTAATGCGCTGTTTGATTCAAATTAATTTCCCCACAACACAATCGTCCGGTTCTAGTTTGTCCATTTACTACCCGTCATTGGATAAGTTTTTAATCTCATTGGATAATTGATGCTAAACAATCAAAACTCTTATTCAACCGCGCTCATTTCCAAACCTTCTATCGCATTGACTGCTCATCACCACACAGAAGACCTGGACACGAGTGCAGCGCGCCCCAAAAATTATCCAATGATAAGTATCAAACGAACAAACCTGTGGAATCGTATCCGGATCCTTCCGACGATGAATTATCGGCGGTCATCGTCTGCGCGCTTTTCATCGCCTCCTCGCTGATCTTCCCGATGCCGCTCGGGCTGCGGCCGCTCTTCGAATCCCTGCTCGCTCTCTTCGAATCCCCGCTCAATCTCTTCGATTCCCCGCTCGGTCTCTTCGAATCGCTGGAATCCCTGCGACGAGCGCCCGTCGTCGATTTATGCGAACCCTCCGACGACCTTCGGGACCCCTTGGAATCCCTCTTGGTCGTCGACGAGGAGCGCCGTTTGGCTTCGCCGTCGGATTCGGCGCCGGACGTGGCTTTGCTCGATTGCGGTTTCATTGGAATTTCTGGTCTGCGACGGAGGGAATTTGTTAGATGGTGCAAAACGGGCGATAGGGCAGAGATCGGACTCACAATGTGCTGTGATCAGATGGCGACATCGACTGGTCGTCTTGGGCGCATTTCGCTGAGGCTACGACGATTGCCGGGGGTCGGTGGAACGGAGTTGATTTTTTCTGTGATGTTCGCAATGACTCGTCGACGTCATTGTGGCGTCTTTGACGCGACGTCACTGCGATGTTCCTCGACTTCGAGTCGTTGCGACCTGTACTATTTACTTATACTGGGCGTTCGTTCAATTTCCCAACCAAGTTTGTGGGTTACGGAATACTTACAATAACGTAGGGGTAGATATAGAGGAATTAGAATAGTATTTCGTACCTTCTTTTGGTGGAGTTTCCTCTTCAATTTGCTCGGATATGATTTCGGACGAGATGAGCGCTAGAATTTCTTTTTCGGATCGTTCTAAAAGTTCTTCTTCTGTTATTTCGTCTAGAGTCACATCCTCTACAATATTGGGGGGTGGTTCTTCAATTACAACCGACTCCTTTTCTTCAATTGCTGGTTTCTTCTCAACTGGCTTTTCTTGTTTTATTTTTTCTTGTTTTACCTTTTCTTGTTTTACCTTTTCTTGTTTTACCTTTTCTTGTTTTACCTTTTCTTGTTTTATGGGCATAGTTTCTTCCGGCAGATTTGTAGGGCTTTCTTCTGCGAATTACATAAATAATTACAGGTACCTCAAATATTTGTTAAAAACTTACTGGTTTTAATTATTGTTTCTTTTTCGGGTTTCTGCTCGACTGCAACTTCTTCGATGTCTTTGGGTGCTACATTTTGTATTTCTCTTACGGCCTTTAAGCCAACTTCCTCATTTTCTTGTACAACTTCTTGTACAACTTCTTTAACTTCCTCTTCCTCTTCTTTAATATCTTGTACGTTAGCTTCGGGTTCGGGCGATTCTTCGTTGATGTAGCTGGAAACTTCGCTCGATGGAGTAGGAGTTGGAGACGGCGTCGGAGAAGCCTCTTCAGATAGTTCTGGTTCCTTTCTCACTTCTTTTTCATAATCTGGAAATTACCTAACTGCATTAAAACCATTTTTTGGGCAATATAATACGCCTACCAACGATTCTCTTGAACTCAGATTTCCCTATTGGCTTGTCTACGGCAGGACTTCTCATCGAGCTTACAGCCGTTTGCGATGTTTCGCTCTTAGTCTTAGACGATTTGGTTTGAGACGATGCATCAGAGAAATTTTCCTTCTTAGCCGGCTTGATTTTTTTCAGCTAAATAATAACAGAGTAGAGTCAATAAAGAAGACTTCAATAAACTCGAAAGGGCTTCTTCATATGAACGCACATTGCTTAGTATAATACCTCATAAAATCAAAGTTTAAGAAGTTAAAAATGCACCGAAAGGAGAAGTGAATGGTGATGAATTAAGATATGACTTGGTGATGGGACTTACTGGTGTCGGTTGGGGTTCATCGCAGGGCGGCAAAGCAAAGCCCAAATTGATGAGCATTCTCAGACCCACCAGGATGCTCTCGTCCACCGTGGGCCCCAGGAAGGTGCCGAAGTAGTCAGGATCGTTGCATTTGATGGAATCCCTGCTGGTTAGCACTTCCAGGCTGCTCGGTACGCGGTCCTTCAGCGGGTACGAGTCTGTGGAAACGGGACAATTTAATTTGGGAGAAATTGATTTAACCGAACCTACATTTTCTGTCGTGTATCTTCCACAGTAGGGTGTCGGACGCGGAGGATCTCGTCGAGCCCTCTGGAGACGTCTTCGGTCGAGGACGCTGTTTCGCTTTGTTCATTTCTCTTGCGCTTTGATTTCGACGGTAATTTATGTTGAAAAAAACGAAATTCGTACTTACGGGTTTTTTTATTAACGAATCGTAAGTACCCAGAAATGTCAATTTGACACGCATTTAATGTGACATTCTATTCGGAGTGCTGGTTGGTTTTTCCCGACGTAAAAGGCCAGTAATTATTGCTACATTAACATTGCAATCATTTTTTAAATAAATTAGCTTTATCCTTATCTCGCTTTGGGTAAATTAAGGCGTTTCTAGCGTTTTAAAATAATTCTAATGATACAAAAATAGGAACAAGAAGCCCTGCAAATACCATCGCTCAAAATTTACTTTTACCTTTAATTTAATTAGATCTTGTACTGGGAAAATAAGAACATATACAAGGTGTTCGGTTTTTATTAAAAACGGACTTCATGTTTCATATAGGAATCATTGGTAGCAAGTTATAGACTGTCTTTTCTCCACGATCTTTTGATTCAAACAGAAATCGAAAATAGAACGCACGAGTAATTATTATTCATTCGTGAGCGCGTGTACACGCATTTTTGAACAGTAAAATAATCGACCAGTGATAAGGAATAATATAAATACGAACTAGATAACCGGGTAAATTGCGACAAATTGATCGGTACGTCGGTCAATTCGTCGTGTCATTTAATAATAGCGAGTACCTATTAAAAAGAGTGCATTAACAAAATTAATGTTTACGTGTTAAACTCCTTTGGAAACTAATTGGGTGTTTAATGGGTTAATTCGTTGCGAGTGTTTCAGAGAAAAAAATCGAGTGCGTAGGCCAGATATTAGGATTTTATTGGTAATCTGTTTTTCGCAACTAGTCGATAAAATTCTTCCGAAAACTCGTAAATTATGTAGCAATCTAAGAAAAAAAATCAGCCGATTTTTTAGATCATTTCATGAACGTTTCGAATAATTTTCCAATTACTCGACCGAACATTTTCTTTCAAATGAGTCAAATTGACGATCGTCCGACGTTTTTTTCTCGTTATCTTCGTTATCGAAATTACCTTCTACTCGGCGTGTTGTGAATAATACACCTTTTGCGATACCTGCTTTAGTTTATTCGACGCTCCTTCCACACCATCCATTCGCTCGCAATTGTTACTATTTCCCAAACTTTTACCACCTTTTACCGCAGTTATTATTCCGAAAGCGCGTTTATTACCAGTCCAAGGCGTTCGAATAAAAACCTACTTTAATAAGCCTTCAGTAAGTTCCAATTAATACAATTTTCGGCAATTACTTGAATAGTTCCACCGGCAAATACTAATTAGAAAAAAAAAACGTAAGTATACCTTTTTATTTAAATTGCTGATTGCTCGAATAGATAGAAATAATTAGATATTTTCCAACTATAATATACAGGGTGTCCTATAAATATACTAGCGAATTTTTAGACGTGTTTTATCATCAAAAACTTATTACCGAGATAGAAGGTGTGGAATGCAATTTTTGATTTTTAGTTAATACAAGAGCTTTTGTTTTAAATTCCTTTATGTATGTAGGAACCTACAGAATCGCATAATTATTGCCCGCCCTGTATATATCGTATATAGTTAAGTCACTGGGTTAAAAAATAGTAGAGTAGTTAATAATAGTGAATGCACATTTGAATTCGAACGCTTCTTTTAGGAAGGTGCTCCGGGCGCCACCTGCATTATTTCGGGCGAATTAAGAATCGACGACTGCGCGACGCCCGGCGTCGGTAGCGCCAACGCGGATGGACGCCAGTACGCTCGCAACTATGGACAAGGATGCGTTGAAGAAGCAAATAGAAAATATGAAATACCAAGCTGCCATGGAGCGTTGGCCCCTTTCGAAATCGATTGCGGCGTAAGTAGCCCCGTCGAATGCGGCTGTTTCAATTCTTTTTATCGCGAAAAATCCGCGAAATTTCGCGATTGTAATCGGATTTCGGGTGACAATATGGCATGGTGTTCGTATGGGTGCGATATATGGGTGGTTGCTGGGTGTGTGTGTGTGGATGTGGGTGTATTTGTTGCTGGGAATGTCGAGATAAGGCTGTTATAGCGGCGCGTTGGGTTGATTGAATTGCATTTTTACGAAAGCGTGTAGTGAAAATCAATATTAGCAATGTGCTAAATTTTCTCGACGACATTCTATTCTAAATCCGATTCGATTAGATTGCTTTCGATAAAGAAAATCTCCAAAAATAACTTTATATAATTCGTAATAACAATTGTGTAATTATCTTTGATAGTGTGTATTATGTGTAAATTTGTTTATTTTTTTAGCATGCGAGAATACGTGGAGGAAAACGAGAAAAACGATCCTCTAATTCACGCCCCCGACAAAAAGAACAACCCTTGGGCAGAGAAAGGAAAGTGCGTCATCATGTAGAATCAACAGCTAATTTTCGGCTTTCTCGTCGTCATTTTCCCGTTCGTCGTTATGATTTTACCGAACATCAACAATTTGTTGCTTAGCTCAGTCGCCTTCCATTATTAAAATGCCATTTCGTTTTCGACGTCCGCAACTATGAAGAATCGCAAGTATCATTCCGACATTTCAATTCCTCTGCAGGCCGCTTTTGCAATTCGTAACTTGTAACATATTCGAATTTATTGTTGATTTACAATTTACCGATTGCAAATTTTGCTGTAGAAAAAAACTTTGTTACAGTTAGAAACTCACTTGAATCCTAATTTGTTCTTTGCAGCGCATCGCAGTGTTTCAATCAAATAAAAAGCCTGAAAATTATGGTCCATTAACTATTTTAAACGATTTATATGATATAAAGTTTTTCGAATCGTCATTTTTACGTAGTCTTTAATATTTTAACCGATTTCATACGTTTGATTGTACCACTATATGTTCCATTTAAATGTAGTGTTACGGCGGTGAAATTGGTGGTCTTGTAATCGATGTCGAAAGGATCAGGATGCACCTCTCCTGTTCCTTTGATTACAGTGATTAACCGAAGGGGAACGAAATGCAAACATAATATATATCGTGTGTTTTAGCTTGATATTAGCTTCGTTGGCAAATATAATAGTCTAAGGTGACCCGGCTGTATTCAGCGATTATTAAGAAAATATATTACTTTTAAGATACTCATATACATATACTTATTATCTATATAAATATACGCTATGTATGTAATTTTAGTGTTTAATGTAAGTAAGTTGGTTCCTCTTCGTGCGATTTACAAGACTTCCGCGATATTTTTCACCATTTTTAAGAATATATTTAAATATATTGTGTGAAGTATTATTCGTAGATGTAGTGGACATTTTTTGATAGAATAACGGTGGTGTTCGAAATTCCCGAAATTGCCTGATTAAAACGCATCCATGACTTAACAACATCCACTAACAATTAGGCGGTTTTGGAAATTTCTAATATCGATTTTTATTCCTTTTAATAAAGTATTAGTCTAATTTCGATTTATTTTACATTGCTTCTGAAATATACGATTTTATAACCAGCAAATTTAATTTAAAAAAATAGTAGGTAATGTAAGAAGCAATGTAAGTGTAAACTAATCATTCTAAATTATTCTTAAAAATATTGGTACATTATTACGGATTTTTATAAACATGTTACTATTAATAGAATTGGAGCTTTTTATGCAGTCACAAAATTCAAAAGTTTCGCTCGATTTTTTTTTGTTGTGTCGAAATTTTCGGCGTAGGCGATTTGTTTTCGATTCTTTGAAAGTAATTTATACTCTACAATTGATATGTAACACTAAAAAAATGGTGTTAACGACTTTTGAATAGTGGTTTGTTTTTATTACTCACTGTTTGAAAGTTGTGCGAAAGTTTATTAAAATCATTACATGCATACAAGCCGAACAATGTACCGGTTGATAATAAAATTATACGTATGTCTTCTTGAATAAACATTTCTATGCCTAAATCAATACAAAATTGAATGTAGAATTCAATAACTTATTCGAAGGTGTGTACCGGGTTATCTAATTTTAGGAGATACTTTGATTATATTATATAAACCTGTAGAAGTCATAGTAAGTATTATTTTAAGGAATTTATTAATATTCTAGGTGCCTTTATAATAAATTTATGGTGGTATCTTCGGTATAATGGTCAAAAATATTTCCAATATTTGGAACTAAAAAACAACTAGCTCCATCTATTATCAATATCCAAATTGCGAGTGTTGCCAACAGCTTATTTGACATGACATTCAAAAATTCCCAAACGCTTATATTTGACAGTTGACGTTTAACAACATTTTAGAATCCAATGTTTATATTTCAAATATTCTCTAGAATTTCACAATATTAATAATATACATGAGTGAAATATCGAAAGGTACATATCTAATATACATTTTTACAATTCGTTATTACAAAGTAAGTCGATATTTTAGCATGCCTGCCGAACACATTCAGTACTCTGAGAAATACAATGATGATTATTACGAATACCGTCACGTAATATTGCCACCTGATCTAGCGAAATTAGTTCCTAGGCCTCACCTGATGACGGAGACCGAGTGGAGAAACTTAGGCGTTCAGCAAAGCCCCAATTGGGTACATTACATGTTCCACTTACCCGAACCGCACATATTACTATTTCGAAGACCACTCAGAAACCCGCACTCTGGCTCTAATAACACTATTAATTACTAAGAATATTTTGTACATAACTTTAAGTAAAATAGGTATGACTATTTAATTATTTATTCCAATCTAAAGTTTATCCTACAAACATTTTCATTCTAAAATGAAACGCAAGTTACCAAGATGAAATTTTAATGGATGCCATATTACATGAATCTACAGCATTTTATTACACTAAATGGAGTACACATTTTTTACAAATAGTGTAAATTGTACAAAAGTTATCACAAAACTCCTAGTCATACAACTCTGTCAGACTTTGGCAAATTACAGAACTTCAAGTATGTAGGGTGCTGAAAATGAAAACAATACGTTATTATTCTAACAATTATTAAATATTACCAAATTATTATCATAAAAAGGCACGTTCTTACTTGCTCTTATTACCCCAACTAGGGCCACAAATATTACTAAATTTGCTATAACCGATTCGCGGCTCTTTTGCTGGTCATTTTGACCGGGCAAACACACTCCTCCCGGGCCGCTTCCGCCAGCCCCTTTTCCTTGCTCTCTTTTCATAATTGATGTTCTTTTAAAATTCCAAAATTTTGCGAAATGAATATGAAATGATGTTACTGTCACTTGTCAAGAAAAACGCGACATAACCTAACAAAATTTTAATAGAGATGGGCCAGGTTTCCGGCTTGCCGCCGCCATCTCTTGAATCTGTTATTTATTAGTTTTGTATTATTTATTATTTGTTGTTTGAATTGTTTTAAATTATATACTTCTTTTAATCATTAGAAATGTTTTAAAATATCTGTCGCAAACGTAAGTTTAAATATTTTTAATATGCGAATGTATTTAAAAAAACAATGTGACCAACTGTAGTTATTTTGTGAATTTAGTTACTCCCTAGTTTTTTCCTCATTTTGTTGTTTTGTTTATTGTGTGATGTGCGTCTGGTCGTTCCCTGTTTTGTTTATTTTTAATTCTTTTACAAATGGTGATCGAATTTAAGTTATTTATCGGTTAACTTTAAGTTTGCGAAGATTCGCGGCAGCTAAAATCGCCACACACAATGTAGAGATATAATAACAAAAAAATAGTATGTGATTTCTTTAGGGTGCCTTCAAATGTTTCGATACTCTTATATTTTGTTATCGACATTTACTTGTTTGATATTATTTTCACTTTGCCAAGGTAAGCAGATATTTTGTACGTTATGATTTGTGTTGAATAATCTTGCTTGATATTTAATTGTTGTTTTAGGAAATGAAAATCCATTATTATTATACTCAACCATGTATGATATTCGCCTGGTAAACTCGACTAGAGCTTATAAACCTGATGTTATCGTTAAAAATTCAAAAAATCATAATAATTATACGTCTTACATAGCTACTATAGATTACCATTATGCGGCGAAGAAAATATTTTGGGCTGATCACCAGAAGGGGAGCATTTTTAGTGTGGATTATTATGGCAAAGGAAACGTAACGAATAAAGTAATAAACCCAAATTACAAAATTCCCGAGTGATTTTATATTCAAAATTCCTTGTTTTAGACTGAAATTATAACCGATGTTTTCACACCTTACGGACTGGCCTGCGATTGGGTCACTAACAAATTATATTGGGCGGACAGCGAAACCAATTACATAGAAGTCGCTACTATAACAGGCCAACACAGGAAGGTTTTATTCTGGACTGACATAGATCAACCTCGTGCCATAGCTTTAGTTCCTTCTGAAGGGTAATTAACAACATAATTCTCACTTCTTATCGAACTAATCGTTGTTTTATTTAGCTTCTTGTTTTGGACTGATTGGGGGGAAATGCCGAAGATCGAAAGGGCCAGTCTCGATGGCAACCCTGCCTCGAGAATAGTTGTAGTCTCCGACAACATATTTTGGCCAAACGGGCTCACCATCGATTACAAAACAAACACAGTATATTGGGCCGACGGGAAGCTGAAGTTCATCAAAAAAATGGATTACGATGGGAAAAACCTATCAAAAGTTCTGGAAAAGGGCTCCGAGTATCCTTACGCTCTCACCCAGTTCGATACTAAATTGTTCTGGACCGACTGGAAAACGGGGTAATCAACCGTTTAGTAACAATCCGCTATACACATACTAATCACAAACTATTCTAGTTCTATCCATTATTACGATATGGCCGCTCAGCAAAAACAACCTACGGAACTCTTACCAGTACAACACCCTATGGATATCCATGTATACGACCCGCAACATCAACCGAACATATCCAGCCCTTGCCAGATAAACAACGGAGGGTGCTCGCATCTATGCCTGTTATCTCAGAAACCTCCGAAGTACAGTTGCGCTTGCCCGATAGGCTTCAAACTAATGGACAACAAGACGTGCCACGATAAACCCCAGGAGCTGCTACTGTTGGCTAAACGACCGGAGATTCGATTGATCTACCTCGATTCACCCGAGTACAGCTCCAAGGTCTTACCGCTCGACGTCAAGTACTCCATCGCTGTGGATTTTGATCCGGTAACGAACTACATTTACTGGTCGGATGACGAGGAAAAGAAAATTCGAAAGGCTAGAATAGACGGCACCGACCAGCAAAATGTTATATGGACTGAAATCCAACATCCCGACGGTATAGCATTGGACTGGATAGCTAGGAATATCTACTGGACAGATGCAGGCACTGATAGAATCGAGGTATCCACTCTGGATACAGGATTCAGAAAAGTCGTCATTATGGATAAACTACACGATCCTAGAGGTAATTATTTGTATGTGTACAATTCTATATTGGATTATCGAATCAATGTTTAACAGGTATAGTGGTCGCACCGGAATTGGGTTGGCTGTTTTGGTCGGACTGGAACGAAAAGGAACCGAAAATCGAAAGATCCGACTTGGACGGTACGGAGAGAATCCAAATCGTTACTGAGAAACTAGGCTGGCCCAACGGCATTACGTTAGACCTGGACAACATGAGAATATACTGGGGTGACGCTAAATTAGATAAAATAGAATACGCCGATTTGGATGGGACTAATCGAAGAGAATTAATTAACGATAACGTGCCGCATTTGTTCGGATTCTCCCTGATGGGCGACTACATTTATTGGACCGATTGGCAACGAAGGGCCATCGACCGAGCCAACAGAGAGTCAGGTAAACATTTCATAAATTAAAACAACATTTGTATGAATCATACACAATATTACAGGAAGCGACAGGGAAGTCATAGTCGATCAAATGGAGAACGTAATGGGCTTGAAAGCTTTCAATTTAAAGGGGGCGACGGGCTGGAACTTGTGCAAAGAAAATAACGGAAATTGCTCACAATTGTGCCTTTACAAGCACAGCAGACGGAGAGTGTGTGCTTGCCAAATAGACTACGAATTGAAGAAAGACGGTTTGACCTGCGTGAAACCCAAGGCGTTCTTGTTGTACGCCAAAAAAACCAACATCGGTAGAATAGGTATCGAAAACGAGGAGCACGAAGCGACAATTCCGATAGCCGGCATCAAACATGCCAGGTAAAATACTGCGAGTTTTTTTTTAGATCATTTTTTTATCTATCAATTTCGTATGTCTTAGTGCTATTGATTTCGACGTGAATACTATGCGTATCTACTGGAGCGACAGTAAACTGAGAACTATCATGAGAGCGTTCCTAAACGGATCGGACGTACAAAAAGTCATCGACTTGGGCTTGACCTCGCCGGAGGGAATAGCGGTAGATTGGCTGGGTTTGAACGTTTACTGGACCGATCCGGTGTCTCACAGAATAGAAGTCTCGCGATTAATGGGCAGGAGTAGGCGCACGTTGTTGTGGAACGAGGCTTACGAGCCCCATAGCATAGTTGTAGATCCCAGTGAAGGGTACTTATTACGCAAATTGATTATCCGGGAGCGATATTTGATTAAAAATTATTACAGGTACATTTACTGGTCGGAATGGGGCTCTGTAAACTCTATCAAAAAAGCTGGAATGGATGGGAAAAATCAATTGAAACTTCTGACTACGAACAATCCAGCGAGTAGTCTCACTTTAGACTACGAAACTAAAAGACTGTATTGGACTGAAAAAGACACACCGGCCATCGTTACTTCAGATCTCAACGGGAACGATCGTAGAGTAATCGTAAGCGAGAACATCCTCGAACCCATCGGTTTAACTATTTACAAGGACTTTATTTATTGGAGCGATAATAAGACAGGTACTAAACTAAACTCTAATTATTTGTAGCCTCATATTAACGTAACTTTACATAGGTGAGATATCTCGCGCGAGTAAAACCAACGGATCGGACAGATTAAAAATGCACAAGCTAGATGGCGTGACTGATTTATTGGTGCACTACCAACAAAAATCGTGGGATACTAACCAATGCGCCACGAGTAATGGCGGTTGCTCCCATCTCTGTCTTGCTCTTCCATCTAAAGCAACAGAAGAGCAAACTGGATACACTTGCGCTTGCCCTAATCATTATACACTCAATCAAAAAGAATGCATACGTACGTATAGAAACACTGACGCTAGTACACTTACCTAATTTCCCCCGTTTTCAGCTCCGACTAATTTTATGATATATAGTCTAAGAAACTTAGTTGTTAGATTAGTACCGGATACCTCAGATTGCCCGGAGGCCGTCCTACCTTTGCAAGGTATGAAAGCCGTCAAAGCGATCGAGTACGACCAAAGAACAAACTATTTGTATTGGGTGAGTACGAATTTACAGTACAATTAGTATTTTATTGACGATTCGTCGTTTTCAGATCGATAGTAAAGCTCGTTCAATCAAAAAATCCGAAGCGACCGAACAGAAAATGGAGATGGGAAAGCAAAAGACTGACACAACGGTTGTATCGAGCAACAAAGAAATCCAACCGTTCGATCTCGCATTGGATCCGATCGGCAGGCTTTTATTTTGGACCTGCGAAATAAACGACGTCATCAACGTTACCCATTTGGAGAATCAGAATCTGTTCGGTAACTTGGAGAGAAAAGACGGAGAAAGACCTCGATTGATCGCTCTACATGTAGACAAAAGGTATTAGTATTATATTGTATGTTTATTGTTTAATTAAATGCGACGTTTTTAGGTTGCTGTTTTATACTGATGTCGGTAAAACGCCTCAATTAATTAGAGCGAGATTAGACGGTTCCCACAGAATAGTTATAACTAAAGCTACAAATATTACCGCAATAGCGGTTGACACCGAGAACGATTTGATAGTATGGGCCCAAGGGCACGGAATCTACATAAGCAACATCGACGGAGAGAATCAGTAAATATTACCACTGAAGTTGTTGAAATGAACGTTAACATTTCTCGCATTCCAGGCACGTGGTTTTGAACGAGAGCAACTCGATAATAACGCAACTGACCGTCCACTTGGGCTTCCTCTATTGGATCGACAAGGAGCTGGACCAGTTGCAGCGGATCGAAATACTGTCGGGCAAGTCGCGGTCGACGCTGCCCATCCAGGCCACGCACATACTCGACTTGATTTCGGTGAAAAACCACACGGAGAGCCTCTGCTCGAAGGCGGCCCACAAGTGCTCGCACTTTTGCATACACAACAGCACGTCCATGATCTGCGCCTGTCCGCAGGGGAAGATCCTCAACGACGACAAGCGGACGTGCTTGGTGCCCCCGCATTGCGGAGAGGACAGGTTCACCTGCAACATGCCCGAGAAGGTACCTCGACGAATTGTGAATAGCGACGAAGCGGTATATCGAATCGTGATTTTGTTTTAGGATAAAACCGAGTGTATTCCGATCGCTTGGAAGTGCGACCGCCAGAAGGACTGCGGAGACGGTTCCGACGAGGCCGATTGTCCGAAATGCCTTCCCGATCAATTCCGATGCCTAAACGGTCAATGCATCGACAAAAAGAATTACTGTGATAATTATCCGCATTGCAGCGATCGCTCGGACGAGAAGAATTGCTGCGAAAACGGCTTCCAGGTAATAACTATGATTAGATATAGATTATTAGGTGTAATCTAACTGTATTTCAGTGTCCCCAAACCGAAGTGTGCCTTCCGTCGTCGCTGGTCTGCGACGGCAACGAGAATTGCGCGGACGGGTCCGACGAAAAGGACTGCAAAGTCGCCGTGAAATCCTCCATGCCCATCGTCCTGGTGCTGCTGATCGTGTTTATAATCGTATTCCTGTTCATCGCGTTCTGCATCATTAAGAAGAAGATCTTCCCCAGGGACGAGAACGTCAACGATCAAATAGGAGAAGCCTTGAATCCCCTGCATCCGAACTGCGCGGGAAACTTAAAATATCGCAAAGGTATTTTATATGCCTAAAGGCGAATAAAGGTGATTAATAGCGAGGTTATTTTTTTAGGTATACCGGATATCGTGAGGATGTCGATGTTGAACGACAGCGGTTGTCCCAGTTCTTTCGACCATCGCCACGTAACCGGAGCATCTAGCAGCTCGAACACCAACGGTTCGAGCGTGACCGGTTACCCTTGCGAAACGCTCAACCCGCCGCCGAGCCCCGTCACGACGGCGACTTCCACGAGGGGCAGCAGTCCGTCCCGGTACCGGCCGTACAGGCACTACCGCTCGATCAACCAGCCGCCGCCGCCGACGCCCTGCTCGACGGACATCAACGACGAGAGCGACTACAACTACCCGACGAGGAGCCGGTACGACGCGGGGCCGTTCCCGCCGCCGCCGACGCCGCGGTCAGTGTGTCACCAGGAGAGCTGCCCGCCGTCGCCGAGCTCGCGGTCGTCGACGTACTTTAGCCCGCTGCCGCCGCCTCCGTCGCCGGTGGCGTCGCCCAGGGGGTACGATTCGTGATGCGAGGACGGATGGCTGTTGTCGAGATAAGTTCGTGCAATTTTTTTTTTATATATTTTGACATACTCAGGCGTTCGGAATGTATTTTCATTTCGAATTAGGTACGTTACGAAACGCGTTCGTTAATTTAATTTTCATATAATACCTGAGTTCGTTCGTTTTTTTTTTTCGTTGTATTAAAATTACTATTTTAAGAAGTTAGTTTTTCGTTAGATGTTGAACAAATGTTGAAAGAAAAGTCAGGATTAACATTTACATACATGTATTTTTATTGTATAATATAAATCTCAAAACAAGGACAAATATATCGAACAAAAAAAAGATATATATATTAAATACACATCGATCGTTTTTAAAAAACTAATATCACAGATAATTACACCGGTATTAAAATATACCAGATAATACAGTTCAAGACATATTTTTTTTAAATATATACATAAAAAATCTTAAAATTCTATATCATCCCATTAACCACATAAATACCATTTAATACAAATATAGTTTTATAATTATTCTGGAATTATACATTTCAAAAGTCCTTTTGACTATTCGGCCGAGGATTGTTCTCCTTGTTTCGCCTGCTAGTCGATCTATGTAGTAGCCTTTTATCTCTGGAATTCGTTCTTTTGACGCTCGGTCTTTTCTGGACAGATTCAGCGCTTATGGACAGTCCGGCAATGCCCACTAACAAACAGAAACAATTATTAAGTCTCTTTAATTAATTGTAATCAGAGCACAAAAATTCCAAAAAGTTTAATCTATTACCTATGGTCCCGGAAGATGATTTTCTCAAAAACGCGTTAGTTAGGGCGGAAACGTCCATTTCGTTGAGTGGAAAGTCTAAGGAATTGCGGCAACTAGCGCAGTCTACGGCTGGTCCCAAGAACCACTGGGATCGAGTTTTCATTCTCTCCGTTTGCCTTTCGTGCACCTTAAACAAACCACCATTAAACACGTCCCCTCTGCATCATCCACGCGTCACTTACTTGCAACAAATAGCTCAAACTTCTGGTGCTCTCTGCGTATTTATTAACCGCTTTCAATTCGTCTAAGGTCATTTTCAGTCCCGAGTGGTTTTGGCTCAATTTCGAGGATTGGCTCGTGCTTAGCGAACGAGATGTGTTGGTCTAAAATATTCACACGTTTTTACGTGAGCTTCAATTTTTTTAGCCCTGTTTACCTTAAATATGCCGTTTTGTTCCAAAGAAACGGACAGTCTCGTGCAGGACTCGAGCAACTCGTGTCCCACGATGATTCCCAACGAAGTCAGGCTGACCTGGGGCTGTATCCCGGCTTCAATTAGAGTCGGTGTCGATTGGCATTCTTCTACCTGTGACATGGCTGTAAAAAGAATTGCTACACTGTAGTAAATTGTTTCTGGTGATTACATAATTGTAAATGGTTTCTCTGTAATACGTGTTTACCTCATGATGGTCTATTCTGAAGATAGGGTATACATAGTGATTAAAAGGTCGTCAGGCCTAATTATGTGCTCTACTGGTTTTGTTAGTTACGTTTTTTTGTCGTTGTTCGAATAATTATTTCCGACGATATTTTTATCGGTAATTATCTTCAGCGATGTTCGGTGTAATTTATCCTCTGGTAATGGTTTCGTTGCCCTTTTCAAACATAGGGTAATTGTAATCAATTCATTATTGACGAATTAAATAAACGACGTGTTAAACCGACCACCAAATGAAAATGTTCAATTAGTATTGAATGAATATTTCTTGTGACCAAAAAAACAAGTATAGTTAAAGAGGGATTACAAAACTGTTAGTCATTTTCATAGTTCCCTTTTAACTATATTATTTCATCAAAGATTAGGTTACAATAATTGCAATGAGAATTTTAGCTCGTGAATCCCAATTATTTTTATAGCATTTATATGACTCACCTGCGACATACGATCCTAAAAATTTCGATCTTGGAAGTTTTTAACGAGTATTCACCTACACTACGAAATGTCTAAACCAGATACCTAATTTCAAGACAAGTTATCGCGTGGTACCAGTAAAAGTTAACTTGTTAAATCATATTTTTATAAACAAAATACCAATGTTATTAACAACAATACAGGCAAGCAAAAAAAAAATTAATATGCGAGCTGAGGACGTCGCTTGTAGTGAATTTACAAATTGTGTATGAATCAGGAGGAAAAAAATGAATGAACTACTAATTAAGACATGTTGTTTAGTAGTTCATTTTTAATTGAGGTGTCATGCAAAAAATTCTAAACGATTCCCTGGAACTATCATCACACCTACATATTTTCTTACATCTTACAAAAAAAAAACAAACAAACACAAAATAAGACAAAATTAAAAAAACTCTTAAATTTATTACAGAAAAAATACTTATAATATCACAGTGTTAACATTAAATTTATAACTCAAAGTAATATTAGGTAAACTATAAACTTACACGAAATACTGAATTGAATACGAAACAGAAATGGAAAAGACAACAAATTAGACTTAAAAAGTGTTGTTGGATCGTATGTAATCATCATTACCTTCCAAATTGTAACTACTGTTCCAGTGGTCATAGTATTCACACTGAAGCCACGTTTTTCCCAGTTTCAATTGCCCTTTAAGAGAACAACAAATTTTATGTCAGTAATTTATCGACGTATCGACCGTTCGTTTTTGAATCGACACCCAACAATTGCTCTTCAAAGAGCAATTAAACGATCTGTTTACCTCCAAGGAACATTTCACAACTACTAAATCGCTTAGAAAAAGGGATCGAGTAATTGCGAAAGCATTACGTACCCGGATAGAAGGGTTCGAGTTCGAAATTTTTTTTCTATCAAAATCTTAGTATTTCAATGATTCTATTTAAGTAAATATGTTGATTATAATGCTCCTCTTACGCATACCGTAAATACTAATTTTAATTTAAACAAAATAAAATAATTTAGATAAGATAAGAATCGGCAAATTACAATGGGTAATACGGTAATTAGGTAGGAGGAATCTATTTTAAGTATTTTACGTTACAATTGGAGTAAAGTTAAATTTGTTTCGAACAACAAGAATTTAAAACACGTTCCGCGTTCAGGTGTTTGTTACGATAATAAACAACAATGCTTTTTTTAATAGCCACAAAAATTAAAAGCGAATACCAATTGTATTCGAACAATAATATGCCATGTTTACACATCGTAAAAAACAAATAGGAAAAACTAATTTAATTGACGTTTAGGGAAAACATAAAACAAGCCCTACAAATAATTAATTCGGCATAACTTTAGTTTGCTTAATAATCATACTGATCATGAAGTGTAATATCTCTTTCTAGGAAAATCATAAAAGTTTATTTGCTACATCTTTACATCAGTAATTATTTACTTTGCTTAATAATCATATACGATCATAAAGTACATAATTTCTCTATTGTTAAATGAATCAACTAACCTACCTGCAAAACGGGAATATCGAAAAGGAAAGGTGCAAAGAAGCGAGATAAACAAATATCAATCCAATAGAACGAAAGGTTGTCTTTACAAAACGCGTAATTTTAGTGCTAGTTAATAAGTTAAAATAAAAATCTGCCTTCATTAGTAGCACAACCAAAATCAATCGATTAATAAAAACGTATGCATCAAACTCACCGAGCAAGTATCTATCTAAAGCCGTGTACTCGTTGGGAAAGGACCCGTTCGTCGGGGGCGGCGGGTACTGGAACGAACATATCCACTCGCCCTGCACTCTCAGCACGCGCCCCGTCACCCTGGCGTAGTACTCGTAGTTCTCCCTGCCGAACAGGTTCGAGTTGGTAAACTCTTCGATCAGGTGCTTCATCACCCTCGAGGCGACCTGGCGGCGGAATTCAACGCGTTAGAATTATTTTCCGAGCTGGCCGGCTACTCACGCGCACCTTGAACTTCGTCACGTCCTCCATTCGGGCCGTTTTGCCGTCGCTGACGCACGAATGGAAGAAGCTCGGCGCCACGCTCACCCCCAACGCCTCGCTGGTCATGCCCGTCGAGGCCTTTTCGCTATTCGATGCTATCACCCTAAACGTGCCGAACAACAGAACTAGCAGCCTTTGCGTGTACGTGGGCAACGACGTGATGATCCTGCCGAAAGAATGTATAATAGGGTTGGCCGTGGCTGTCAAAGTTTAATCTGTCAATATTGTTTATCGTTCTGTACTATTAATGTCATTGTCAAATTGTTGTTTTAGTCTTGCATAAGGCGATTTATATCAAATTTTCATGAATTTAACTGATTATCTTAGATCAAAATTGAAAATTTTGTGGTACCATCTGCGTTTGATGCAAAAAAATTGTCATTTAGTTTTGTGACTTTGACACATCTGACAGGTGTCAAAAAATTTGACAAATAATGGAAATTACTTGTGTATTTCCTCCTGCTGTTCCCTGAAATCCAAGATTTCGAGGATCTCGAAGAACCTGTTTTCGATCTCTTTGCCGAACACGCCGCCGGGGACCTTTCTGAGGAACTTCTTCAGCACGCTGGCGATGGTGTGCACGCTGAAGTTGTCCATGTTGACCAGCCTGCCCGTTTGGAGGAAGTGGATCAGCTTTTTCATGGCGCCCTGGTGGCCGGGCGCCCGGAACACGTCCCTCCTGTAAGGCGCCTCTTTGTTGAGTTTCAGGATCAGTACCTGTGAAACGGGCGGGAGACGTCATATTAACAGGAATTGGAAAAAATCTGTTTATCATGATGGGATGATAATCTCGAATTCATCTCGTGTAAATCCTATTGTAAATATTGCAGGTTCCAAATGCTTATCTCTGTTAGTGCTGATAACTACATTGATGCTCTATTATCAGCTTTCGAAACAAAAACTCTTTAAAATAAATGAAAAAAATACTCATTTGACCTTGTTTTTTGTGCGTTTCTACTGTTATCAATTGAAAAAAAAACTGTTTTGCATATTAGTTACACAACAAAATTTATAGGTCGCATTATGAGGAATTGATAATTAATTTAAAAGGTTTTTTTTTAAGTTGGGTGTATAGTGTAGCCCCAAAAAAAACATTAAATATCTATCTACTTGTAACAAAATGCAAAAATAGGTCACTTGAATGGAGATGCTAGGCGTATGCAAATGTTGACTTAAATTACTTTATAAGCGAATTTATGAACTAAATAAGATAGAGTAGAATAAATATGGATTGTATTTACCAGCAGTGGTCCGGGAATATCATTCTTACACACTTCTTCTAGTGGAACGCCGAATTTGACTTTTTCTAATCTCCTAGGGAAAGCTGCTGCGGGGTGGCCGCAGGAAGTAACCACATTACCGAAAGTGGCAGCTCGCCTATGCATTCTGGCTGCCCAATTGCTCATTTCAGGTTTAAAAAGGGGCTATAGGCAGTTCTGGTATGATCACTGGAGCATAACCTAAACCTTGTGACATTTAAACCGATTCCAACGCAAACAAATGATACATGCATACAAAAATCACATAACACACACTTTATATTCGTTTAAAAATGGTTTAACAGCATTAGATTTACCCATTTTTACAACATTTTTTAAAACCAACCACACCTTAAATATATCCCCTTTATATTAGGACAAAATTGTTTACATGCCACCGATTGTAAACAGACAGGAAATGTCAGGAAACTCGATCAGTAATGCCAATCACCGTTACCCCCTCAAAACCCCCTTTGCAACGCGCATGCTCCAATTGTACGCGCAACTCCTCGACTCGATCGACAACATCTAGTTACCAATTTGTATTGGTAACACTGAAATCAATACAAACATTGACACATGTCAATGTCAGTCAAACACAAACAAAACAAAAAGCATGTCAATGTCATTTGGGTGGAAGTGGGAGTGGTAAATTTTTAAAAGCCTGTGAATAAAACACCGAAAAAATGGTGCTCATCCGCCCCGAAGATAACTTAGTCACGAACGAAGCCGAAGGCCAAAACGCTACAGTGAAGGTAAAGGCCCCAAAAAGGGTCTTGCACTTTTGCGACGGTGTCCTGGAGGAGTACAGTTCAGACGAAGATGATTGCGTCGATAACAAGAGTAATCAGGCCGTCATCAACCCTGTATGTACTACGACTTATTTGTAATACAAATAATCAATAAATTATGCATTTTAGGCCTCATTAACGTGGGGACCTTGGTTCATGTACAAAGCATGGTCAGCTGGCTCTTCGACTCTGACTGCTGTGGATTCCGTAGGAGAATTTCTGGCTTCTCTATTCGGCATCACTACACCGAGGTAATAACCTAAAATTATGAGAAATTTATTCTCGTTCAATAGACCTCTTCTTTAGATATTATTTCGAAATGGAAGAATATAAGAGAAAGGAGGAGGAGAGACTGAAACGACAAGAAGGAGAAGCAGGCTGGTGCCAGGTTTCCAATACGACTGTATCAGTTCCGCTGAAAGACATGTCGAAGGATTCTGAACCTACAGATGTTTAAATTGAAAAAAATATATATGAGATACGCTGTTCGTAGCTCTATATAAGCACGTGAAATTTGAAATTTATTTTGCTTCTGTGTATCGAAAGTACAAAAAAGCGCAGTAGATGTTTTTATTTAAGGGTTTGTTATTAATTTTACCTCACTCAGAGGCCAAATAAGTACTTATGTCCAATCAGTGCCTTATCGGTTTTTCTTTGGCTCATTACTTATTAATGCTCTAATATACATATTTTTACAAACCAAAACTTTGAGAGTCCAAGTACAATTTTATTTAATATTTGTAATTGTATTTTTTTAATAAGCATTTCGATATTATCTCGAATATTAGCTTTAATTAAACTATAAGTATTCTACGAAAAAAGGGTAATGACAATAAAATTACTGTATTACTTGTACCTTGATTTCTTTGGAAAGTTTTCATATATTCTTCTCAGGTGTAGTGGCACATATATAATTTTTTAAGAAAGATTTCTAATATATTTGCACATGTATTGTGAAAAATGTTATTTTATAAATTGTTTGGAGTAAGTATTTTATTGTATTTCAATGTTAATAAACAGTTAAAGCAAAGGGAAATGCCTCATCACTTAAATTCTTTTACCTAGAAATGTCATTAAAACACAAAAACCCCAAAATTACAAATTTTATTGGTATATATCATGAGCAGTGTCGAAAAATGTAAGCCAAAAAGCTTCATTTAATATCGTTTAAGTTTATTTGGCTGGGAAAAAAAGTAAAAGGGATAACGACGACGACGCCTTTAAATTGCAAGGTAAATCGAATTCTTAAGCTCAAAAAAGTTTCCGAACAAAATGCAATTAATACATCTACGTGTTAAGTACTAAGACCTACGAGCTTTTTGAAAAAGCCAAAGAAATCAACAAATATGATAAAAAAATACTAATGCTTCTGCATATTATCTCGATGGATAAAAATAAATTAAGAAAAGTTTCTAAACATTATAGGAAAAACTATGTAAAAAACGTGCTTAAACTTAAATCATAAATTGTAACTTATAAAGTACATTAACCATTGAAAATCTAGGATTTCATCCTAAAAAAAAAGTAATTCAAAGCTTTTCGCGCAATTTCACTAATTTATCAATCTAAACCTACACATAATAATTACTTAGCAATGAAAATAAATTAAATGGAATGAAAAATAAACCAGCTGAATTAAGAATGTACACGACAGTGTTCAAGTCTTGAGTATCACATATTCAAAAAAGTTATTTAACGACTCGCACATTAACATTTAGCAAAATTTGGTTCTCGACTTTGTATCAAAATAAATAATATCACTCAACAGAAAAGTACAAGGCATTTGCATTGACCTGAATATTTCTCCCGGCTACCCACAAAATACCCATATGTATCACATTTCTATCCACAAAAACCTTTATAGAACGGAAAAAGATCTCGAGATAATAAATACTTTATGGGCCAGCCGAATTGACAACAGCCATTATTCCGAATAGACCAGTTCCAACTCCTTCTCCGTCTCCCCTTCGTTCAACAGCTGCAAGAGAAGATCGTGAACGGGCTCGAAGGCTTTCTTGCACCCCGAATTGGTCAGCAGCAAGTAATCGTACATATCGTGGTGGCTGATCGTCCCGTCCGCCCTGACGAACCCGTTGTCGATTTTCACTATTTCTACTTTGGAATGGCCATCGATGGCCGTTGGAAGAAGCTCGTTCACCTTCAACAGCTTCTCTCTCACCGGATTCGGCTGTTGCCCTCGAGGCAGCAACGTCTACAAACATAATAATTAAATTTACTCTTTAAATATGGATTTGACAGGCGCGTGAAACTTACGGGAACAACAATATATACATTAGGATGCTTTTGTCTAATTAAATCTACTATCTCTACTATCCCGTCTTTGATTTCCTCGGGGGTGTTCGAGTAATTGTTTGTACCTACATGAAGAACTATAACCTAAAAATGGAGGTTGAAAAAATTGTAACTGGGTAAAAATGAGCTTTACTTTGGGATTAACGTGATCGAGTTCGCCGTTTTGAACTCGCCACAAGACGTTCTCTATTTTATCTCTGTGTATACCGAAGTTTAAGCAATGTAGCGGCACGAACAATTCGTTCCAGACGTCCGTGTGTTGTAGGGCTTGCACGATAGAATCTCCTATGAAAATAACGTCGGCGTCTTTTTCTTTACTTTCAGTGAGAAACCGGTTGTGCTGAAACATTGTTATTTATTCAATTGAAATAGCAAATAGCATGAAATGTTGATTCGCCTACAATGCTAATCCATCGATTGTCTCCCTCGCCCTCGTCGACAGGAACAGGTACTTTGCATAAATTCATGTTGTTTCGTTATTTTACCAGCAAAATATATTTAAATTATACAAAATACACGCAGAAATAATTTCTAAAGAATTTTGAATGGAACTTAAAAAATGGAAACGTCACTTTTATTGTCACCTGTCATTTCGCTACAACAACTTCGAAAACTCGAATCATTTACAACACTCATCTCTTTTTAACCAAAGTTAATTAAAAAAGGATGGAATTAAAATACCGTTTACCAATAAGGAACAGGTAAAAATCGTATGACAGGCACGTCACAGAACAACAGATGTCATTAGTTCGGAAAACCGTGTCATGTCATGTCACGCTGCATGAATGAAAAGTAAAATAAAACGAAAGTGTAGAAAAGCACGGTGAATGTATCGTTCGAGTTTGTTTTCTGCGACTAAATTAAATGTGATTCGCGTTGTCAGTGAACGAACGCGTATTTAAATGCTCTGAGACGGTCTCATCCGTTTTTTAAAATGTATTTTTACAAACAGAAACTTTTATCGGACGTCCAGCTGAAGAAGCTCGGCGAACACCAATATTCTTGCCAAAGTGTTAGTCTTTTAGATAAAATTTTACAGCCCTACTGGAGTTGGCTCGTGTTGAAAGTACCAATTTGGCTGGCTCCTAATTTAATTACCGTTTTGGGACTATTTGTAAACGTATTTACAGCTTTAATATTAATATGGTAAGCGAACAGTCAGAATCTAGATTATTGGGACACGTATAATAATTACAAGCTTTCCCCGTTTTCACTTTATTACAAATTTAAAGAAACTGGTATTTTTGGTTTCCTGCCGTTTAATTATTTAACTCTACGTTACGAGAAGTTATTCAGTCAACGATAAAGAAACAAAATACTTTAAATATGATTAATTTGTTATTATTTGAGCGGCTCCTCTGTAATTGCGACAATAGAATTCTTCGGTTTCGTGTTACTAACGTTTACTTGCAAAAATAAATTAATTTGAGTGTTTTTTTCGATATGTTTTCAGGTACTCACCGGACGCCCGCTCCGAACCTCCTAGATGGTCTTGTGCCTTGTGCGCTTTCGGTCTATTCATTTACCAAAGCTTGGACGCCATCGATGGAAAACAAGCGAGAAGGACCAATTCCTCCAACCCTTTGGGCGAATTGTTCGATCACGGATGCGATTCGATTTCCACAGTATTTGTCGCACTCTCCGCCTGCATAGCTGTGCAGCTCGGTCATTATCCTGGATGGATGTTCTTTCAAGTAATTATACCATTGATACTAGCTTATATTAAAGGTGGTTTATGTGGCCTTTTTCTTCAGGTGCACAGCCAATTTATGACTAGGATTGTATATAGATGTAAGGTAGTAATTTTTTTTTTATTTTTCAGTGTTTCTGTGCGGCGACTTTGTTTTATTGCGCCCATTGGCAAACCTATGTGTCTGGGACACTGCGATTTGGTCGTGTGGATGTGACAGAAGCCCAGTTTACGATAATAGGGATTTTATTGATATCGGCCACATTCGGCTCCAGTTTTTGGTCTTCAAAGGTACGTTATTCGATCTGATTTGATTTCTAATCTGATTTCAATTATTAAATTATTTTTTTATTTTCAATTATTCAAAAATTCAATTGTACACGCCGATATATCAAGGTCTCCTTGTTAAAACATATTTTTAATTCAGTGATTAATTAACGTTAAAAGTAAATGGATTAATTTAATTACTATTGATTTTAATATGTTGTGTCCATATTTGGACTACAATTAACAGAAAGTCAATTACAAAAAAATAGTTTTTTTAATACATATTTTTCAAATATAGGAAGTTTTATGATGGTCTATCAGTAGCCGTTTTAATGAGTGCATTTGATTGATTTAATTTTATTTTCGTTTTTCGTTATACAGCTTTTTAGTGATTCTTTTGAATTGTGGTACGCGATACCGTTAAGCACTCTAATCTGCGGAATAATGGCCTTATACAGCAATTTAATAGTCATATTTACCGGCGGCGTTGGCAAGAATGGATCCACTGTCGCTGTAAGTCAGAGTATCTCAAAGACATGGCATGTCTGACAATTAGATTTTATTTTATATTTTCTATTAATAATTGGACTAACTAAATGTTTTACATTTCTTATGTATGGGTTGATTGATGCGTACATGTGGCGTTCAAATTTAATACTGCCATGAGCTTAGTTTTGGGATACCTGACCTTTTTTTAACCAGTAAAAAAAGGGCAAATTATTTGATACATTTTTTCGTAGATTGCTATAGTTTCATATCATTCGCAGAAAACGGTTGTTAATTTTCATTTTATTTTTTATCATTCGATTCGAGAAAACCGCGAAATTTTTAACAGGCATTTGTAATATTTTTTTTTTTTGGTTTTTTTGTTTGGTTACGATTGTTTTCCAGGTGTCTTTTGCCGGATTAGACATTTATCTGGCCCAAGTGATATGTTCCGTGTTCTATTTGGGCTATTTGCAAGTTTTCTTAGCGTTTCTTGAAAGGTTAAAAATAGGAGGCATTGGCAAAAATGGATCGACGATCGCTGTAAGCACACGACAAATGCTCGTCAAATTTTATTGATTGTATTAATTTATTATTTCCTAATTATTTTTTTTTTTGGTTTAAACGACTGCAATATCTCGGCTTTGGTAAAAATGAGTAATCCTTTTTTTTATTTATTATTTTTTCGTTTTTGTTTGGAAGGAAGGAATCGCAAGAAAGTTCATTTTCACTGAAGATTTCAATGTAATCATTTGCGTATCTATAGAGTGTCCCAATAATGAGGTGTGGTAAAGGGCATGGGGGATTTGGTTGAACAGAGAAGGTCCGGTTTGATGTGGAGTTTCAGCAAAAATTAACGGGACATTCTATAGGTTATTGAGTGACAAATCGAACTTTCCTCGTATGTGATTAACGGCCGACTGCGGTGTGCGGTTGTGGAATTATTTCAGCATGTTATTTTCTAAATTAGTGCGCAATGTTTTTTTTGTTCGAATTTCGGTTTATACCGAATGCCGGTTTATTTTTAGCCGTAACTCGGGTACTATTTTCGTACGCACGTTTTGCCAATTAATAAAGCTAATATGATAAAAATAATAAAAAAAGAACCTCTCGATTAAACTCTTATCTTTATCGATATTCGCTCCGCCGTTGACGACGTGAAATTAATCGACGAAACAACAATAATGCTATCGATTGCGAGATGACGGTTCGTTTTTCCACAAATGCGAATTTATTATATCAACATACATATACCGGGTGGTTCGAATCGATCAGTGCAGAAGAGTAATGAATCAAACGTAACGCTCTGTACGAGCTTCGAATTGATTAGGATGATTTGCGACTCGAATTTTCATCCAATTGAAATGCCTATTGACGGTGTTATTTTTTTTTTTTGGTAAAAGTTGCCCGGCATCGAGACCGATATGAGGCTGATACCGCTGACGGCGGCCAGCGGGGCGGCCGTGTGGCTGGCCCAGGTCAACGTGTCGATCATATTTACGGGAGGAGCGGGCAAAAACGGATCCACTGTGGCCGTAAGAGTTGTTAGAAAAAAAGCACAAACACCTGTCGATGTGTTGGTTGATTTATTTTGCATTTTTTCGTTTTGGTAATCCTGGTTGTTCGATTTTGCCAGGTTCGGAACGTTCGGGGGTATTCACCTATCGTCGTTTTTTGATGAATTTGCCTTATCGATGCGCGTAAATAACGAATGATTTAGTTGGTGCATTAGTAAGATTTGTTGCGATGTAACAAAAAGGATGTTAATGAGTTCACTTCCATGCCAAATAGGAGTTTGTACTAACTGGGACACAGTGTATATAAATCTGGCAAGGTTGAAGCAAAGTAAAACGTCACCTTATGGTGCAATTCTGAAATGATTTGCAATGTTTTGAAGTATTATTTGAAGTGTACTTAACTTAGAAAATCTAGATTTTTACATATTTGGTAGTTTCAGAATAGCAGCATTTTTTTTAAAAACACTATAAAAAATATATTTTCGTACTTTGTTTAGAAGTAACGAGTTTTAAGTCCGGGATTACCTCTATTTACTATTATTTCGCTCGTGATTTAACCACTTGATATTGTTAATACGTTGTAAACGGGTTTCTAGATAAAACCAATTGGAGTGAATATAAAAAGATTTAATTAATTATGAAATTAAAAAATTTAGTTTCTTATCTAGAATTCATTAGCACAAAGTGTTTCATAATTAGTCGATTAATAATAATAGTAAGGAAATCGACAAAAAGTTAATAAATGGTGGGAAATTTTGATTTCATTTGTATTATTTAACAATAGCAACTTAAATAATAAAAACTTGGAAAACAATAACTTTTTGTTTCAATAATAAATTCAAATTTTTTTATCTTACACCTTGAAAAATCGATTGGTTATGAAACATGTATGTAACAAATATATCCCACTTTCAAAAAGCATGGTAGTTACTAATTTCGGCGCTTTTTTTTGCTTATGCTATATGTGCGCATGTGAATGGTAGTGTAAATCAAAAATTTCAAACCAAATCCCAATCATTATAATACCTACATTTTCCACAACTAATCAATCAATTATAAAATTCAAGTTTATTTTGCTTAATTCAATTGAAGCTTGTACTCGGTGTATTTTAATTGGGATATGGTTTTTTAATCATTAGTAATTTTAAAAATTCGACAGTAAAACTTTATTAATTTTTTTCACTCAAATTTATATTTTCGAATAATTATAATTTTATTTCTTTGTAATAAAATTAATAAGGTTTTCATGGCAAAAACATGTATACAGTAATTAAACACATAAAATTGACGATGCTATTTAAGCCATTAGCTTTATTCATATTCATTTATTTGCTGCATACATGCATTATATTCTGTATACATGTATCCCTATTAACGTACCCGAATTGAGCGCTTTAATTCAGGACACCTTGTAATACATTTGTAATAATTATACGATTTAAATTTGTTTAGGGTACGAGCGTCATATCGCCTATAATACCGTTCTCCATGGTTTTAATACCAGCCTTTATAATCTATAAGAAATCCACGCAAGAAATTTACGAGAACCATCCGGCCCTTTACATATTGGCATTCGGTTTGGTCGCTGCCAAAGTCACCAACAGACTAGTGGTATGTACTCCAGCAAATGAAATGCAAAAAACTGTAACCCCAATTTCAAAAAGTTTCTGGAACTTCAGTACCATCAGAGTGAAGTTAGCTATGATTAAGAAGAATTGTGTTGACATTGACATATTTGTTAATGTCAAATTGACAGTTTTCCACGAACTTTTATGTATTGTGGGTTGCATATACAACTTCTTTTTGTATCTACGTAAGATGTAATATTTATTCCAGGTGGCTCACATGACCAAAAGCGAAATGGACTACATGGATTGGTCTTTGCTCGGACCTACAATGTTATTTTTAAATCAGTATTTCAACACGTACATCAACGAATACTACGTTCTGTGGTTGTGCTTGGTAAGTTTTTAAATACGAAATGGTTCGATTGGCGGTGTTAACGTTGTCGCTTTTGAAGATATGGGTGACCGTGGACCTGTTGAGGTACTGCTCGCAAATTTGCCAAGAGATCTGCGATCACCTGCACCTCGAGCTGTTCAGAATACCGTACCCGGGCGGGCCGTTGAGGGCGTACGTGCCGCCGTCGAACGCCGCCTCCGCCTCCCACGAGAAAAACGGTACGAATAACAAAGTCACTACTAGATTACAAAAGTCGCGCGCCAAAAGTAAACACTACTGAGTACGTTTAGTTTTTTTGTAGCACGTTTCGCCCGCCTTCTTATTATTATTTTTTTAAGTTTGTTTCTTAAAAACACGTTGCGATTAGTACTTCCTAAAGCCGAATTTATCCAAAAAATTGCAGCATTCACGTTGTAATGTCAGTACTTACTCAAACTTGCGAGTCCAATATACTGGATTAATAATACCTATCTAAATAAATGACTGATATTAAAATCGTACAAAAATTCCCAATAGACCTATTCAGTTTACGAAAGAGAGTGATGGAGTTATTTGATCAACATAAGAGAATAAAAGAAGCAAATATGTTTCACGCGCAATTTGTGGAACCATTTAAAATCTGCGCAAACATAAGTGCAAGAGAGATGAGATATTTGGCCTATTTCATTGCTGATTGACAGACACATTGAATGATTCTTAGATGAAAACTGTTTAAAATATAAAAAAGAAGAGACCATTATCAATCTTAACATTCTTAACCCTATTTTGTTTCCGTTTGATGTTTGTTTATGTTCAGTGTGTATTATTTTTAACAGTATTTCTTTGTATTATTTAGTATATTTATTTATAAAGGTAATAATTTTTTGTATAGGTCAATGGGATTATTTTTTTGAAATATATATTATAGCAAACCGATCAAAAAGCATTTTCGGAAACTTTGTACTAACCCTCTTACTCTTTCTTAGACTTGACTTGTACGTAAATATTAAGCCTATAACCCCTTTCTGGGCAGTAAAAACAAATTTGTATCGAGTCACCGCGTCCATTAAATCCGACGGATTGTTGGATAATGACAAATGACGTCTTAAGTTGTCGTTGTCTGGTTGTCAGAACCGTATTTTACCTGAGGTGCGTTCGTTTGTTCGTTTAGATGTCCAGCTAATTGTCCACAATATGCGCGCGCAGCACAGGTTAAACTGAATAGGTCTATACTCAACTGACAGTTCACTTAATTTTTATTTGCGTATTACCATGGTAACAGAGCATTGACTGTTGACTTATGTCAGAGTAGACGCTGACTAGATTAGTTTGTGATCAATATTTGTTAATTGAAATTTTGTAAAAAAAACGCATATTGACACCGGATAAATTCGGATGTAATTTAAGGATGAATCGACGCTGACTGTGGTATTAAATGTGACTAGATTGTACAATAACAGAGGCTTTTAGAGTCTCCATCAATACGGATTTGCTTTGTCATTGATGCTATTGTAGAGTTAATTATTGAAATTTGATAGTAATTATGCAAACTGTTTATTATTTATAAATTATCTAACGGAAATCCAAATTTCTACTTGATAATGTAGGTTCTGTATTAACAAACATACCCGACTATCACCCTTAAAATTACAATAACTATTAATGAAGACTATTAATTTAGGTCCTCTTATTATAGTACTCGTATTGGATGGGTTTTTTTCCTTTTTGTTGACGAGAATACGTCGCTAACTAACTTATTGATAAATCATTTTGAGTATGACAATTTTTTTAATCTAGTTATTTGGCTTTTTTAAGAATTTATACATATCCGTTTACGATCGTTATTATTTGGATAAGTTGTTAAATGAGAAAAAAACAATGGTATTTTTCGAATGTAGATAGGGAAAGTAATGGAATATGTTGATTGTTTGTTTATGATAAAAGGGATTGAGTACTTTATAAAATTAAAATATATTTATTTTGAAATTAAATTGTGTTTTTGAATTAAATTTGTTTTTTTCAATTTATCGAAATGCGGTTTTGCTTTTAGTTTTTTTTTTCAGCTTTCTTCTTTTGTTGCTTAATTTCTGTGACAGGGTAGTTTAATGTTCTAGCAATTTTAAAAAGACAGTGCTAGAAAATGAAGGGACTTGAGGAGTGTTCCATTACTTTCTTGGTATAGTTTACTAATACTAGCTTTAAGCACTAAAAGAAAATGAAGAGATTTTTCGGATTGTTTCCATATTTCCTTGGGTTAATTTTTTGTCCCATCTGTGATGCCTGCATGCTCTGTCTTTTAGTAAAACTAGAGGAAAATTAATGATATAAATAAACGGCACTTAACTCTAGCCAATGTTGAAAACGTTCAAACTCCGAGTTGTATTAATAAAATAAATAAAATACTTGTGTATATTCCAAAACAGTTTAGTGTAGTGTACTTTTGTCAGCATTGTAATCCCCTCGGGGCTAGTCATTTTATAGCCAGTGTTTGCCTAGTAAGTACAAGTAGTTCAAAAATGTTCTTGTATTTACCTACAAGGGGATTAAAATTGCGGTAGACGGTACATTATAATTTGAGCTAGGATGAGTACTAGGAATAGGTCTGGTTTATAAGTATTTTAATAAAATGTTTAATAGCTTTTGAGGCCTTTTTTCTGTACTAAGTTTGTTATCGATCAATTTATTGAAACATCGACTGTATGTACTAATTTAACCGGTGTTTGTGCATGATATTTTCCGGCGTGCTTAATCAAAAAAGCTTGGAAACAATAATTGATAAATATTCGAAAATGAAAGAAAAACCGAGGTGTAACTTATGAAGCAACGAAATAAATTCGCTATAAAGTAGAACAAAAAATTTACATATGAAAAACCGCTTAAGTTATACTATTCATCTTTTTATACATTTCTTATTAACAAATTCTTACCACTAACTTACTCAGTAGAAACAACTCGACACTTCACATTCAATTGGTAAACAATCACACTGTAAACACCGTATCTTTATAATTTTATACACGGGGTTGTTATAAACTGCTCATCTATTATTCAAATTCAATTGCGCATTTCTTTATCAAATCATTCTGTACTTTTACGTTGAACGTCGCCGGTGAGTAATTTATAATAAATTGTCCCGTTTACATAAGCACAGAGCGCAAGCACTTCACTGGTAAAATTTATCGAACAGACGAAGCAATAAATTAAAAAAAGTCTATCAAAATGAATTAATTTGCGGTAGTAAATAAAGTATATTTACGGTAAGTTGCAATAGTTCATTTTACGCAAATAAGAGTTGAGTAAAATTGGAGGAATAAAAGTGAAGACATTTGTGGATTTGAAACGATTTATCACTTCGTCTGTTGTATGAAACTCATCTTCACGTAGCGTAGAGTACCCTTTGTATACCGTGGTCGTCGTAAGCGTTGCAGATACAGCAGTTTTCCAGGACTTGTTACTTGTTTTTTCAGGACACAGTTACAAGAAATTCGCCTCCGACGAAGAGGACCAAGTGCCTTTATTGGAAGCCGGCGAATCCGTTTAATTTTCGATATTTTAAGTATTAACCGGTAAGATACAGCGAATTCTAATCAGATGACGAGCAAACTTAATTATTGTGATATATTTTTCGAATGAGGTCGAATGTTTTTTTCGATGGAACGAGTGGTGTTATTCGACCAATATTAGCCTTAATATTTAAAAATAATGTACTATTGCCGGCAATGTAATTCACTAGTTTTTGTTGGTTCGCAAATTGGAACAAATTGTGCAAAAAATAGAGATCATCTTGCAGTCTGTAGTACATACATACACAATACATGCCTAATTTAGTATAAGAAAACACTAGTTATCTAAGGAAAGTCATTAACCAGTATTTAACTATTTTTAATAAACATATTATGTACCCAGTACTGAAACGAACAGGTTCTTGCTTCACAAATTATACTATCGAATGAAATATATTTCAAAGAAACGTTTTATTGAAATTATTTTACAAGCCATATGTAAACAAAACCTACAATGAGTAAAAAGTAAATTATCTAAAAAAAATCTAATAAAATATAATACAATTTGATCAAATACGTCGAATATCCGTAAAATACATATACAATTCTCTTGTCCCGTTTTCACAAGCAAATGCCCTTCGTTAATTGAATCAAATCGAGCGAAAGTGCTGAAGATTTTTCATGCAAAAAGCACAGGGTCTCTCAAAAGCATTGAACGAATCTTCGTTTGATATACAGGGCGTTAAATTTCAACACGGACATCGCCCTGTATAAGTTTCAAAGTTAAAAAATCTCTTATCAACTAATTAATTGACGTATCGTATACTAATTAAAATTTAAAAACATCGGGAGATAATTAAAAAAACATATAGGTTTAATAAGGAACGCAATTAATAAAATTAATAAAACGGAACAAGGAGTCTGAGGAAAATAATATCCGAAAATAAACCCTAATAAAAAGTTCAGTATCAAAAAACTACTTTTCCTCGGTTCATCTACTTTTCAAAGACACGCTGTAAATTTTTTTTTGTTTGTTATTAATCTATGTTAATATTGCACTACAAGATTCGCAATTATTTGCCGCAAACGATTCGTTGGAATGTTATTTTCTTAATAAATTTTACTGCCGTTTGTCCAAGAAAGCTCAATTAATTAATCGAATTAAATGAATAAACACGTCCTGAAACGAAAGGATAACTAAGAGTTGGGTTTGCTGCCCGGCGAATGAATTCCCAGGGCGCTAAATAGCTTGGTTTTTAAGGTGCCCTTTTCCGTGTCCGGCGTCTTCGCCGTTGAATTCTGCGGAACAAAACTCCAAATCAACCTCGAATTGATTGCAGTTAGATTACGAAGAATGTTTCAAATCACATGTTGCAAATGAATCCTCGAAATTTCGTTAGTATCTCTTCCATTTTCCAACACATGTTTTGAAACACCTCGTGTTGTGTTAGTAAGAAAATTCTTTAAAAAAATTATAGGTAATTACTTACCTGAAATTGTTAGAATTATCACATTTGAAGATTCGAGTTTAAACTAAAGTGATTCTAACAGTGTCTATAAAATTACATCCCCAAAAAAAATTTAAAAATCTAACCAGGCAGAGCTATCAAAAAAATTATTATTTTACCGACACTTCGTTTAATTAACTCAACTATATTATCAGGATAGAAATATTTTCTTGATGCTATTTTGAATTACCGGCAGTCCTGGTTAGTTTGATTTTAGAACGAGAAAATAACAAGACTCATGCTTCACCTTTATTTATTCATAAGAAGCCACATTTAATACAATGTCCAATAATTTTAAGTTCTCCATTTTTTTTGTATAACAAACAAATCGGTCGTACGAAAAAAACAAAAACCAAAAGCGACTACACAAGTGCTACATACAAGCTGAGATATAAAAGCTCAAGTGAAAAAAGTTGATTCCGATAGTTTCTTTGTGCCGTTTACATCGTTTCCATCTTACATAATAATTAAACTTAATAATCACAAAGATCAGGAATAATTAGACAAAATAATAATAATAAAAAAACACCATTCATTTTCATTAATCGTTTTTATAGACAATTTTTACGTACCACAAACATTTCAAAATAACATCAAGAACTTATTTCGTCCTCACGTTAGGATCACTTTGTTAAAACGACGAAGAGAAAAATAAACTACAAACTAATAACTAAATAAAAAAAAAAGGAATCGACAGATTTTCAACCCTAATTTCTAACTAATATCGTCTAGAAAGCCCCCAAAAAGATTATGTTATAACGAGAAACTGAGCGATACTGTGAGAGACATCGTTCCTTTTCGAAGTACTTCGAAAGGCTCTTGGACGGATAAAGTTAATTTTACGATAAAAGCATTGAAATTATACCGGAATGATATACAGGGTGTCCCGCATAAGACTCGACACAGAAAAGGGGCGAATAGGGGAGCCCAAAATTCTGCTAAACCAGCCAACTTTTGAATTATCGACGATTTTAAGTAACATTGATAGGGTACAAGACTATATAAGGTTCAAGTATTACTGAGATATTTTTTTTGACTCGACTTTGAGGGCCTAAACTTTTCAGGAATGTAACTTTGTTTTAAGTTGGGTTAACAAATTTTGGGTTCTCCTACACGCCCCTGCTCTGTATCGGTTCTTATGAGGGACAACCTGTATAAAAATAATAAATTATCGGGTGTTCTGTCCACGTAAAACATAAAAAATAAATATATCACAGCTACGGAATACAATTTAGAAATGTTTCTGTTCTTTGGTTTCAGCTTTAAAATAGGTTTCGGGCTTTAGTTGAATTTTAAATGAGTAAACAACAGTCTTTTTATTTCCTATTAGAAAAGATTTCAATACTTTATTAAAATACTATGAATAATCACTGCTTCTATTAAGCCAATAATACTGACTAATTTTTAGTTGTAAAAAGCAAGCCTTTCGTTAAAAACCAACCCCTACGCATTAAATATTATGCACTTATGTATTAGTAAGGCAAAAAGCGTTAAAATTTATTTTAAACGATTAGTAAGTAAATTTCTATTTATTTACATTAAAGTAATGTAAGGAAATTTTGTAAGTTTTTGGTATCTAAAAAAATCCGAGTTAAAATAAATAAATTAAATAAATAATTAAAAAGAGTCTAAAAAAATATAAAAGATTTTTTTGACGTAGTTTCTCTTTATGTTGCAATCTTCTTTCGATGAGTTTCTTCTAAATAACTTGTATAATTTATCCAGAATTGTGTGTACTTCTCATCCCTTTATTTTTCCCGTGTCTTCTCTTGTAATTCAAGAAACTCCTCATCACATAATGAAGAGAAACCAAGTCAAAATTATAAAAAAACACAAAAATAACGACAGTGGTACATTCTTCATAAAAGAGCTAATTTTTTGAGAAATTTTACGGTCGATTTCCCGTAAAAAAACAAACCACATCTACTCTACCACTACTAATAATAATGAAAATGAACAGTATCTATTACAATAGTCCTTAATAATAATTCGCCCAAAAACGACAAATCAAGAAGGTATTATTCGCATTTTATTAGACACACTTATTCGAACTCACCTCGTCGCCGTCGTAGGACATGTCCAAGGACTCCCGGGATCCCCGTCGGGACGCCTTGTCTTTGGCGCTGCCCGGCTTTCGCCGGTCGTCCGTCAGCAGATTTCTGCTGTGTTTAACGATATCTAAAGCCTACGAAAACATCAACATTTTATTCCACAACACAATTCATAAACACCGACTAACAACGTCGATCGCCATTTTGGTCACTACTCTACGGCTACTTAGATTGAGAACATTTTTTTGATCAAGGCGATTAAAATAGCAAGGATTGCTCAATATACTTTGTATGGTTTAAAGTATGTTATTTGGTATTAAAATTAAATGAATTATGTTTTAAAGTATATCTGTATGGTTTTTCGCAACATTAATATTTGATATGACAAGAATATGCCCAATAATATGTAGCAAGATGAGCAATCCTTATTAGTTTAGTAGCCTTGATTAATCTGTCAATGTCAAAATAATATTCGAAGAAACTGTCAATCTGTCAACGTCCTTTTTACATGGGCCTACTAGATTGTCATATTTAACAGTATTTTACATATTAAATTTATTATTAAATTTAAATTTATTAAAGTGAATCGTACCTCTTTTCGACTGCGCAGTGCGCAATCCTCCAGCGTTTCGGCTGCCTCGTATTTACCCTGTCGTCTGTATAAAGCTCCTAGATTCTTGAGGGTGGTAGTAACGGTCGGGGAATCCACCTTGGCCGCTTTGTGCCATCCTCCGTACTCCCCATAGGGAACGTTCTCCTTGTTCTTGGCCTTGTTCTCCTCGCGCTCCTCGGCCACCTGCCAGATCGGTTTGTTCTCGCCTAAAAACCACAAATCGAATGAATAAATACAGCCGCGCTGTCCCGTTTAAATCGCGCTACGTATGTAGATGAGGAGTGAATTTAATGAATATGCTAGGTGACATTTGCAAGCCATTACCTGCCTGATAACAACGTGAAAAAAGCGATAAGTAATCGACGAATGTGTAGCGTATTCTTTAAGTTCTTGACTCATCCAATAAGAGGTGGGAGAAAAATGTTATCTTCTATTGATCGTTCGATATATTAGGTACTTCAAAATGCGTATCTTGAATCGGTATTAAATGCACACAAAACTAAGGTATTTACGACAAAAACAAAATAAAGACACGATCCAAATTTGTACAAATATTTAATGCATCGATAGTAACACAAAACAATAAAATTTATAACTATCACCGAACGGAAAAAGTGCAAAACTTATTTACTAAAGGTATCCCAAGTGATTCATGCATTTTAAACTACGACTACATTAGAAAAATAGCTACGAGAAATACTTGTCACGGGATAAAAGTACAGTCTAATTTGGACCCGTTTTCGTGAACAATCACTCGATTAAAAATATTAAAAATTACGATTAGAAACTAATAAGTACCTTAATTTTACGTTTAAGCGTATTCAATTACACCAGGAAATGTTTAAAATTCCATTCGATAAGCACCGAATCGGTCCAGCTCGATCGAATTTTAAAATCAATGAAAAATAATAAAACTAAACAAACGATAAAAAAAATACTATTAATGAACGAGAATTTCTGTAGCTCGAACAATTTTTATCTCCGCTCACCATCAATTGTCCCGAATTCCCGTTCGTGCGCCCTGTTCAGGATCTGCTTGTAGAGAATCTCCGCTTCCTTGTATTTGCCTTGCTTCAAATAACAGGAAGCCAGATTGTTCATCGTTTTGCTCACGTTCGGATCGTCCGCGCCCAATCTTTTCTCGTATATCTCGAGCGCCCTCTGGTAATATTTCTCAACCTCTTCGTATTTACCCTACAATCAACGACCAATTTCATTGCATCGCGTATGCCCAATCGCCAAGTCACAGTACTGACGTTTGACGTTACTCGATTGTAAAACAAAACAAACAAAATGGCGGATGGTGATTAGATGAATTTTGCATTAATGTACTTACTTGGTTTTGACAAAGCAAAGCCAGGTTATTGAGTTGCTTGGCGACGTCGGGGTGCTCCTTGCCGAGCACCTTTTCTCTGATGTCCAAGGCTCGCTTGCACAACGGCTCGGCCTCTTTGTACTTGCCTCGTTTACCGTATAACACAGCCAAATTGTTCAAAGTCGCGGCGACGGCCGGATGGTTCTCGCCCAAGGTTTTCTCCCTTATCGCCAGGGCGTCGTTCAACAGGTTCGCCGCCTCTTTGTATTTATTCTGATCTCTATAATAACCCAACGACATCGAATAAAAAACGAGCTACTTACAAAACGGACGTTTCGTGTTTACCTATAAACTAGAGCTAGTATGTTCAACATGGTGGCCACGTCGGGATGATCGTGGCCGCTGGTCTTCTCCAAATCTTCTAGGGCTTGCTTGCAGAGGGGCACGGCTACTTCGTAACGACCCTGCGACGCGTACTGGATAACTAAGTTGTGTAAGGTCCTCAGACGAGCGGGTATTTCGTAACCGGCGTTCACCTGCTGGGACAGCTGGAGTTGATTCGGAGGCGTCGGAGACATATCTGAAAGCAAATTTCACTCTTAATATAACCCAACACATTGCTGGAAAATGTCCAGCCTTTTACACCACTAAACAACCAGCTAATTTATATCTAACTCACTGTGCCTATCGTCGGCGTCATCGTCCGGAAACAAATCGACCACGGGATCGTGCTTTTCGTTCTTCGAGGCCTCCGAGGCGTTGTCATCGGTCACGTCCTGATCGTATTTGCTGATCGAGCTCATAAACTCGCAGTGGCGCTTCTCCTCCTCCAATTGGGCGACCATCTGCTCGCTGGACTGCAACCGTTGCTGCGTCGAGGCCAGTTCGTCGCGCAGCCACGCGTTCTCCTGGCACAATCGTCTCACCTGCGTGCGCAGCTTCTGCTTCTCGGCCTCGACCAGTTGCAAGTGCGACGCCAACGCCGTTATGACCTGCGGTGAAACGAACCATTAGTAAAGTGATTAATTAAGGGTAGTGGGCGGGTTTTACCTGGGCTTCTCCGAGACCGAGCTCGATCATTTCGGCGCTTTGCTGCACCAACGTGGCCCGTTCGTTGGCTATGGGATCCGGGGCTTCGTGGAGGCTGTGCAGGATGCCGGTGTGCTCCGAGCGCAGCGCCTCCAGGCCTTGGGCGACCGTCTTCACGGCGGCGACGATTTCTTCTTGGGTCATCTGCGTCATTTTGCCGTAGTTTTCTATTTTTTTGCTGCGAGAAGAGACCGAGCGATTAGCTTAGCGACAACATCGGAGAATTCGGCTGAGGATGTTGATAACGAATTGCTCGGAGTATTAGGAAATGTGGTAGAAAAAAGATGTTTGGGTGACTAGTGGATTCGAAATTGCACTAACAAATCGGCGTTCGAATGAAAAACTTGACCTTGGGATTCTTTAAATTAGGATTCGGTATTTTTTTTTTCGGGCCAGTCAGAAAAGCATAGAAAAGAAACAAACTAAAATGCCGCTAAATTAAGCTCAATACTCAAACACTTTAGGCAACAACAGCTGTCGAACAAACCATAAAAGAACAAGAGCAATCGATATTTTAAAAAGCTTCATATATCACTTCGATTCCCCTAAAAAAAGTTAATTCGATATGTATTCATCAAACGTGCGAAGCATGTAAAAGCATAATAATCACTTCGACTCGCTACAAATCCAATTTCAACGGTCAAACACAAAAAAACAGGATTATTTTGCAGGTGAATCAATAATTACTACGTGTTAATGTTAATTAATTACGAAAACTCCATCAATAGACAACAGGATGTTGTAACAAACACAAACTCAAAACGATAAAGCACCGATCAGTGCGAATGTGTGGGCTCACTTACGATTCGGGTAAACGATGCACAACGGTTAAAAACAGGAAGAAAGCGGATACATTACAAATAAAAATGCAAACTTACATCCTATATGCATTGATGGTTTTAGACATGTTTCAAAAATCGCTCTTGATTAAACATCCACCTTCGGCCGGCGATACCATTACCAAAAATATATAAGTACAACTTCCGCAATCTAAATTAAACGAAAATTCTTCATTACTCTATGTTCCTAAAGACTCGCTGTATACTTATAAAGTACAATACCAAAGTAAATAGTTTCTTTTAAGTAGCCTACTTGGATAGAGATAGATTTCGAGCACTCTATTTCCATGTAATAGGTTGGTTAACAGAGTAAATTTCACAATAGCCAATTAATCTTAATGAAAAGATACAAAACAAACCTAGGCAGGTAAAATTAATACTTGTCCTTTTATGGTTTAATTGCGTGAAATTTGATTGGGCTACACGAAACAGGAGAGGCTACATCCTGCTAACAGTGCAGGAGAACTTCCATTCGATTTGGCACATTCGCATGTATTAACAACACGCGAGTTAAATCTCGAAAGAAAGCGATTCATTGTAATTGTGATGTTCGTTAATCACGTCTCGGGTCAATTTCGCTGGTGAAATTAAGTAACATTTCGACGAAAACGTAAGCTGCACGGGTGCGATGTTTTCGACCTTGCTCCAGCGGGCTCGACTTTTCCCAATTATAATTGCGTCGAGATATCGCGATAAAACGGTTGGAAGGTATTTATTTCGGGAACGGATCGCAATGCGCTTCCTTTCGGTGGAAATCTAGTCCCGGGAATAGGGAAATTGTCGAGTAGACGACGTTGATTCATGGTTGGGTGACGTTTAGCAATCGATAAAGATTTCGCTTCTAGACAATGCGACGGATTTCTTAATTATCTTTTGGATACTTACGGGTCGTTATCTAATCGTAATTCACTATTGTTTCACCACTATGATTCCTGGAACATTTATATTTATTATTTATACGTAGTGGTTGTTTCTGCTTTTTGATTTTATTGACTTTTGACTTGGATTGCTTACCATTTCTTCACTTCCACCAGCAATGCAACGTTGCCACATCTCCTTTTCTCGAATATCGATTTCTTTTTAGCGAATAATATTTCAATACCTTTCGTTTGCAATTCAATAAAATATTGTTACTTATTTACTCTTAATGATTTCTACTTCATTTTAATATAAATATACTACAATTTAGCATATACTTTTAATGTTTTATTGATGTTTGTCGACAAATTAATTGGATTAGTATGAAATTTGACTACGCCGCAATTTTGATGACAGGATTGACAGGCCTTTCTTTTTCTTCTGTTTTTAATTTGCATATCACTCACTAGATAGTATTCCAGCCAGTCAACAAGAAGCTATGCTTAAAAGTGTTGCCTACTCTTAAGGGAGTTAGCGTTAGCTCGAGGATTATCTTTTTCTGTATTAAAAATAAACCACAGATATATTTTTGAAAAATGGAAAATATTTTGTATCTATTAAAAAACAATTTAAACAATTCTCATTTAATAAATAAATACAATAAATATAATACTAATTACTGCTAATAATACTCAATCAAGGAGCATTAATAACAAATTGCACAATTTTATTCAGAATTAATACAAACAAAATATTTCAATTGAATATTGTACGTCTTATTAGATTGGATTCTTACACATATTTAACAAAAGAATTGTTTGGACAATTGGACATTACTTCGCTATTTATAGTAAATATTTCTGAATTTGACATTAAAAATAATAAATATTTACTAAAAAAAAAAGGTAAAATAAATCACAGTCGGAAATGTTTTACAATTAGCTATAAAAATAGTTCGGAATGTTACTATATCTAGGATCTTTGCGAAAAGATCGAACCAAATTATTAAACATACCAGACAATTAAAACTTATTTGTTGACAAAAAGATTAGAGAGCGGATTTAAATTATTAACAAATTTTGAGCCTCAGCACTAAAGCTCAATCCTCCATTAAATATAAAAGAAACTATGTAGTGCAAATTGAAAGCAATTGTAGTTATCGAATTCCAGACAAAAAGAATGCTACTAGGGGAAATAAAACATTCTTCTACCAGCAGTTTACTATTCACATTATAGAGCCAATTAATTGAGCGTTTTGAGCGATAAAACCTCCAAAACCTGCTCTTGTGCAAGTTCTCAAAATTTGTCCAACAAATCCGCATCTCGCTGTTGTTAAATACAAATTTGATTACATTTGATACATCCCTCATCTAACCTTTATTTAAAACAATTTTACTTGTAGCAAGCTTGATAGGATAGAGATTGAAAGAGAAACATCTCGTACAGGAAATATTAAGATTACGTCTACAATTTTACACATTCATATCCGCTTCTGTAAAAAGTTAACTATCTACAACAGAATTTCGACTAGAACAAAAATTATTGTATAGTTAAAATGAGTACCTAGTTATCAATACGAATATAGTTTATATGCTTTAGGTATTTGATTTGAATATATTCAATCAGTCGGCTAGTTATTTTAGTTGTAATTTCGCTTAGTTAGAGGGGATATGAATTCTACTGCACTGCGTATTCAGAAAAGATTAATCTCTTCTCGTAATTCTGTTAGTGATGAGAAGTTTAGCCGAATTACGATAGGAAAAACGTTGTCACGTGCTATTAGAGGGTGCGCATTTTCTTTTTTATTTCCTCAAAGCTACACGTTTCTAGCTTCGATATTAATGGCGGTTGTTCGTTCGCTAATCTTATAATAACCAAACTGTAAAACACCGGTGCCATGCATACCTGTACAAATATCACACAAGAAATTACTCACCCCAAAAAAATATAACGAAAGTTACACAGACGCCCCCGTCTGAAAAGTCGACGTAGAAAACGCAAATCTTTTCAAATTAAACCATTTCCCATAAACAAGTATTCGCTGTTTAAATTTAACATAACAACAGGCGACCGTGAAACGTAGCACAAATTTGCATCGAAATGCAGATAATTCCAGTATAAAATGCAATCGAAACTTTACTGTTCTATAGCGTGATTTTCTTTTAATAAATGCGTAAGATTTGCGCTTCCTTAATCGTATTACACACGCAATAATTAGTTTTTAAATTGCAAAAATAACAGCCCTCTACGACACCAAAAATTCCCGCAATCTAAAAACCAACAGTCCTCCGGGTTCCTGCAGCTAGAAGGGATCTACAATGGAGGAATAGCTATCACGAAGTCGAAGCTTGCGCTCTGGTACGACTGCGGGCCCGCTTGGGTATCGAAGAGGGCGCAGAAGCCGAGCCCGGAGCGGTAGAAGGAGCGGTGGCGTAGCGCTGGGGCGACGGGGGTTCCCCGGGTTGCCTCCACAGCCGCGAGGGCGTCCGTCTCGACGCCGTGGAGTCGGCGGTTTGGCTGGGCGTCCGGGCCTTACGGATGGGCAGCGATTGCGATTCAGTCGCACTGGAACAAACGATCGTGTGGAATTAGATGCGACAGTGTCCCGGCAAAGTAGCCCAAAGATAAAACAGCCCTGACAAAATCGGCCAAGAACAAAATAATCAAAGGATAAAATAGCCCCAAGACAAAATCGCCCAAAGATAAAACAGCCCAGAGAAAATCGGCCAAGACAAAATAGTCCAAAGATAAAACAGCCCAAAGACAAATTTCCAACAACAAAATAGCCCAAAGAAAAAAACGCTTAAAGAAAAAACCCCAAAAGACAAAATAGACCAAAAACAAAATAGCTTAAGAGAAAAAAACATATCAGAGTACAAGAACGATCACAAACCATGAATTTGTCGATCTATTTTTAGGACAATCAGCCGTTATTTATGGTATTTATGATATCTCTGTTAACAATATAACTAGAAGTTTAGTATTGCATTAAATAAAATGAAATTATAGTTTGGAAATCTAATAAGCTAGCTTTTAATTTTATCGTAACTTTTGCTGGGGGCTATGTTGTCTTGGGCTATTTTGTCTTTGAGCTATTTTGTTTTTGAACTATTTTGTCTTTGGGCTATGTTGTTTTGAGCTATTTTGTTTTTAAGCTATTTTGTTTTTGGGCTATTTTGTCTTTGGGCTATTTTATCTTTGGATTATTTTATTCTTTGGGCTTCAATATGGTCAATTCTACGAGTTGGACAAAGAAATCTTATTAAAACAACAGCAGTTCGAGTGAGACAATTGCAATTTCACAATTTCACAATATCACTCTTTCTTTTTCCTTCATATGAGACCAATGAAATTTGTCTTTGTTTCACCCGTAGACCAAATTGCGGACTGATTTGAACTTTTCTGTATGTATAAGACAATTCGTTAGGATTGGCGGGTTTGTTTTTGGGAAATTTATTATGTAATCTGTTGTCTTACCTGGAATTGCTGATAGCGTGCGTGAAAAATATAAATAAACTATTACAAGTACTGTAACCATTTTTTTCTATATACACATAAAAAACGGGCGAGCTACTCTCATAATAAGGTCACTTGAAAACATGTAAATATTTCTCTAATATAAAATAAATTAATAGAAATTATTTCGCAAATTCAAAGCGAATCGACTAATTTGCATAAATAACAGCAAATAAAGTACTACCACTATAAATTACTGTAACTAAGTAAGTATTTACAGCACTTTATGGTAGTAATTTTTAAATGAATATCACAGGATCTATTTTTAAATTTGTTAAAAACAAATCGAATCTGTTGCAAATTCATGCCATTGCATTTGCTAAAAGCACTTTCCGAGATCTTTTCTAATGCACCTCGCAAAATTTTTAAATAATATTTCTATTCAATTACTGTATACAACGTTCAAAAAATTATCTACTCTACTAGCTAATTAATTTGTTTCGATCAATTTCCACTCAAGTGTGAGTCGAAATTACCGATAGTAGAGTAAATCCAATTTGGCGTTGGGTCACATTAATTCGAATTATATTAAGAAATAACCGAACAGGAGTACAGTAGGTGTAGGATACATAGAAGGTTAATGCTACACAAAATAACAATGCCAAGAATTAAATCAGCTAGTACTACCTTCCCGATTCTGAAGCTGGCGTCCCAACCGACAAAGGCCATTATCAAAAGCAGCATAAACAGAACAGAGGATAAAATTATTCGAGTTTTTTTGCTGTATAAATAAATCGTTAATAATTTTGTATTTAATTTGTTAGTTGGGGAGTACTTACTCTTTGAGATTTAAATGATATGGTGTAAAATTGGTATTATTGTGTTAAAATATACTGTGCACTTTAAAATAGGTATTGGGTAATAAATATAACGTAAAGAACAGAAAATAAATAAATGGAATATGGTAAGAGATAACAACAGAAACCAATTAATAAACAAAATACATGTTGCACCTGGAAACATTATAGATGAATACATTAAGCTGTACAAATAATAAATAAATTAAAGGTAGAAGGAAAATGTAGTGGTGATATAAGCAGATTTTTACAAGTGCATTTTTTTATATTCTCTGACAGTCTTTACCTGACTAGAGATCCAGCATTACAGTCAACTGGCGAGCCATTTAGGAGCGATGGGCCAGCTGATAATGGCCGAATCTTAAAAAATATAAATGCAATATTGTAACAAATTTGTTAAAAAACTAACATCACAATTACAAAACTTGATTTCAACGTCATCCAATTCCTTTAGAGTCGACTATAGCGTGCACACAACAAGTAGTAATCCTCCAAAGAACAGAATCCTCTAAAAACGATACAATTTCTTACCCTTTCGGTTTGCGTGGCGGCGTTGCAGGTCTGGCTATCGCACGACGTGGACGCCGGCGCCGAGCTGGCGTGGTAGTTCTCATCGACCAAGCGCACCATCTTCTCCTGCAGCGTCTGGACCGTCTTCTCCTTGTCCTCGAGCTGGCCCTGCAGGAACAGCACCTGCCGGCGCAGGTCCACCAGCTCGCTCATCACCTTGGCGTCGGAGCGCCCGTCCTCCGGCGCCGCCGCGGCGCCCCCTTCGCGACCGAGACTGTTGAAGATCCCATTCATCAGGTGCTGACTATCGAATGGGTTGTGAGCGTCTGACTGGAAACGAAACGGAAACCATCATTTTGGGGATCAGCGCGAGAGTGATGTGAGGCAAGTGTATGCTTACCCTCGACAATTCCTCTTCAGCGGTCTAATTGCAAGGCGGGATTGATACAAAAACACAAAAATAACATGCAAAAAAACATAAAATAAGTTAATTTGTGGTGTGAAAAACTTAAGCAACTATACGTTAATGAATGTTTGTAGTTAAAAATAACTGTTTGTTGAGTCAATTATGGTGTAATTAGTCGATTAATAGATGATTTTTTGTCAGTTTTATGACAGTTATCTTTAAAATAAGGCAATTTTGGAAAGGATCTCTTTAGCTTCCTTCAAAACAGAGTAACTTTTCTAAATCACCAATCTTTCATGAAAAAAAAGACAGTTATTTGAGCCTATATCTTTAAAATAAGGCAATTTTGGAAAGGATCTCTTTAGCTTCCTTCAAAACAGAGTAACTTTTCTAAATCACCAATCTTTCATCAAAAAAAAGACAGTGATTTGAGCGTATATCTTTAAAATAAGGCAATTTTGGAAATGATTTCTTTAGCTCCCTTCAAAACAGAACACCTTTCCTAAATCGCCGATATTTCATAACAAAAAAAAAGAGAGTGATTTGAGCGTATTAGGCACCTCGTTGAGTATCCTGCGGAGCTTCAGCAGCAGCGTTTTGATGCCGACGATGTCCTGGGTGATGGCGGTGTGGCTGGCGCGGTCCAGCCGGATGCTTTCGTCGGAATCGTAGCCGCAGGCCGACGACAAATTGGCCAGCCTGCCGTGGCGGACGGGGCTGTTGGCGGCCGAGGGGCGGGAGAACCGCGCCAGGGACTTGGGCGAGTCGACGGTGGAGTTCGGGGTGCTCACCCTCGACGAGAGCAGCCGCGATCGGGACGTCGAGCTGCAAAGGAAACGGCGATTTTTTAGTCGATTTCTGGGCGGATTCGGGGACACCCTGTATGCTAACGTACGTCGAACGGCTGCGGGTCGTCGAAGAAGTGTCGCTAGTCGATGTGTTATTATCAATTCCCGGTTTTCTTGCGGTCGAGAGAGATCTTTTGAACCGTAATTCTGTGGTTCTGTTTGTCCGTATAAAGTTACTTTTATTACTATTATTCATACTTGTACTTTAACTCTACTCAAAATTATGTTACAACTTTAGTTAAAAAATAACAACAATCCAAATAACCTAAAGGATGACTCAGAAAAATTTCTACAACGAACAGTTTACTAGATATCAATCATAAACTGTCGCTCTAACTCACCCTGTAGGCTTATCGACATTTCATTTTATTATCATGATACCGATTGTACGGAAGGCAAGGCACTTGGATTTCCATTTATTTTTGAACGTGAATTGACTCATTTTTCCGACAACATCGCGATTGTCGCGCTATATAAACTGAATCGGCCGATAGGGATTCGCTTTAGCACGTCGTTTTCATCCTAATTCCGTGAATACGGAAGACGACGGCGACGTCGGCCGTCGCGGCGCAGCGCCATTTATCGATTCGACACCGACGGTGCGGTGCGAAAGGTTAGGAAACCATCGGCACACATTTTACCATACAAACATAAATAGTTCCGTAACCTTCTTTCTGCGAAATGGGTTGGTCGAATTTGGTAGATGTTTGTGTATAATTGTGAGTAATTTTAGTTAATTGTTCGATTGATAAAAATGCAAGTAACAATTGAGTTTATCTGTCGCAGATAAGTTATCGTATGAGTGTAAAGTACGTACTTAGCTTGAATATATGCAAATATACAATGGTTAAATGACTAAAAACGATACAGGGTGTCCAGCAAAAAGCTTTTGCATATATTAAACAAGTTAATTTGAAGCTATCAAACAATTTAAGCATATCTATTCGAGACTATTATACCTGAAATAGGTCAATTGTGATTTCTTCAGCAAAAAAATAATTTAGCATTATTAAAAATCAATTTTGAATGATTGCATTCTTAAAACGATAGTGGTTTTTAACGAATTATGCGGAATACAAATTGGTAAGTTGTTGGGAACAAAACGCAATTAACAGTAAATTACAAAACACCAATGTTGCAGAATAGGAAAAATAATAATCAAGATCAATGACTCTGTTCCACTAACTTGACCGCGGATTGTGCTCGATGGGAGCGTTAACACCAGATAAAAAATTGTGAATCATGAAAATAAAAGATGTAAACAGTGTTTAGAAAAAATAGATTTTGGTTATAATTGAAATGTATCTTTTGATTGATTTTTCTAATGATGCATACTAACTTCTAAATTAGAAATAACTTTGATGAAGAAGTAAGGTCACCAATAACTAGATTTTTGTAATTAACATGCCTTTCCATATTTAGCAAGCAAGGTTCCTTTGAGGCTGCAAAAACTTATGATAAATTAAAATTGTGTTCTCCTACCTAAACTGGACTTTTCAAGACTTTTATACCAGACTAAAGTCCAATTGTGTACTGGATTTGATTGCCCAGATTCAACGAGAGAGAACTCCAATTGAATCATACAGTACATGGAATAAAGAGAGCACATGATTCCATTAAATCTTTAAAGTTCATTTTAAACCAGTCCCTCCGCCTCATTAATGCCGTAATACAAACAGGAACAGCAAAGCGCAGTTACGCATTTAAATTATTCAAATTTTTATGTAAAAATCTTATCGCTACAACGGCCGTAAGAAATCGCAGTTTGGATTTTCCGGTTAGGCGCGCAAGATAATAATAATTAAAAAAAATGCTCGAGCGATAGATGAACCGCCGTTTTTTAGAAAGTTAATAACGATATTTTTTTCTTTCTTCCATTACGGGCGAACGATGAGCAATAAATACGGACCATTGTTGCGTGTTATTACGGCAAAAATAATGTTATTAAAGCATCGAGATAAAAGCAGCAGGTATTTTAAGTGGGATGTGTAGTAATGCTTCCTGAAAAACGAAAGTAGGTCCACATTGTTCGAGATTTAAAGTGTAAAATACAAAAGAGAATAACACAGCGCACTATATTTGTAATAATAAAACGTAATTTTGGAGATTTTCATATCTAGGGAGGCGTAAAGTATTTAGTTACCTAAAAAAGTTGGCAACAATGACAGAATGTTAATTTCTCAACAAAATGGCCAGTCGACTGAGAATTATTTCGCATCTGTAGGTTCATAAATAAATTGTGCGCGTTATCGCGTAAATGCCATATTTTCTGTAACTGCACCGAAAGAAACGAACTACAGAATGGAAGAGAGAACAACAAATTGAGCCGCACTGTTTGCATTATCTAACGACAGTTACAGCTTGATTGTAGCGAGTTTTTGCTTCAGCGATCGCCGGGTTTCTTTGTTGCAGAAAGAAAAGAATCCGTCAAATAAAGAAAAAATAAACCATTACGTGCGTGCAGAACGTTAGGTGAAGTAACATTTGATTGAATTGTTACAACCTTGTACTATTTTTTTCATCTATAAAAGAGAACGCCCTACTTACATCGAGTTAGCGCAATTCAAATGACACAAAAGTAATAAATCGAATTTGCGATTTGGATTTGATGTTTAATGACATTTTGTTAGATTATGTCAAAAGGAATTTACAAATAAAAATAATTTTAAAACTTAATTATTGTCCTGGGATTGTTTCTTTTATACCATTGGAAATCTCATATATTTTTAATATGTAGTTTAATATTCAGTGTTTTAAACGATACGTATAATAACTTAACTATTTAGGTATACAGTATTTTAGCTGCAAAAAACTTGTCTAATATAAATTTACTATCGGAAACATCTCGATTTCCTGGGCGAAATATTAATGGATCTAGAATAGTTAATTAGTTAATTCATTACCAAATAGCCACAGGCAAACCTGTTAGGAGCCCACGTGCTTGACGCTATCTAGATTTGCATTTAATTTTATAATCATGAAAGTTTTTTAGTTCAATCTGAATGAAATCGAATCAAATCATAACGTAAAAACTTTACGAATCACCAAACTTTCTCGATAATCGATAGAAATGCGCGAAAATTGAATTAGCAATGATTAATTTTATTCTCCCAGAGGAAAACACTCTCGACCGTCTCGGATAAAAAAATCTTTTACTATGCAGTAATAACGAAAAAAGGAGTAATAATCGAATAAAATATTAAATAAAAATTTCTGGAGAATTTAAAGGAGCGGGAATGCGCGTGTTTGTAAAATGAGGTGCACCTGTTATGCATTCCTCAAAACACAGACGATGATTTGTAAAAAAAATAGTTTTACTATTATGATAACAAGATTACGCATACCATCAACGTTGGCTCATTATTTTGTAGTAAACAATTAGTGTAATTTACGTAATATTTTCGAATAAAGAATGACAATTCTTTAAGATTTGATACAGAACTATAATAGATTTTATTAAATTAGCCCTGAATAAATTTACAAAAAATAACAACCCCGACTTATTGTGCCCTGAAGGTTACTAAAAATATTCTTGTCAATAACATAAGTTATAATATACAGGGTGGTATACTTATTATACAGGGTGGTAAATTGTTATTTTTTTATTATAAATAATCGTGGAATAATTTGCTTAATTCACTTGCACTCGATAAAACTCTAATTCCAATTGAACTTTTACTTTAAGTACTTATAATGATATAATTACATAAAATTTAGCCGACCTTCCCAACTTCCGATTAAAAACACTTTCTACAACGTCATGTTTCTTATAATTTAACGATATTTTTAAATAAATTTGTACGTACTCTACATTACTGAACTCTAAGGGATGATGCTTCAGAGTATCTTAATCAAACGTCTTACTTAATATTATTCATTTGCTCTCCAAGTGGGAGTTTTCACCTCTGGTACAGAAGGGGTGGAAAAATGGAAAAAAAGCAATATTCTAAGAGAATATGTTTTGTTCAATACCCCTTTGAAGCTACATTTAAAGGACTTAGACAAGAACCCTAAAGGCATACACACCAGCAACTCACCCGTTTTGATATCCGATTTTGACTGGTATAAATCCATTAACGCTTTTCATATTATTCACTTTATCTTTCATATTTTTCACGGAATTACTCATACTCAGCCAGCCGGGCGGGTTAGCGATAAATTCTCCAATAAAACCGAAACTTATCGACGAAAACAATAAATTGCAACCGTACGTAATCCCGGCGTTTCCATCGTCACCGATTCTATTTACTTATCTACTGTACAAAGCGTCGAGCCGAGCGAAATTTATTTTATTTTATTCGAAGATATCGGTACGTTCCGGGTACCGCGGACTCGATCGTCCACCTGCGGTGAATACCGTTCCACCTGTCACTAAATTGTAAATACAAAGGTAGATAGATTCGCAAGTACAACACGGTAAAGCGCTTTTACGACGTTGCCACACTCGATAAATCCGGAATTTAGCTGTATAAAAGAACTTTTACGTGTTTCTCACAAGATAATAATGAAATTTGGACACACGACCCTTTGATAGGCTAATTTTATTGGTTTGACGATAGGGAGTCTCCCTCGTAGCGAAGGGTAAGGTTTGCGTTCTAATTTGGGTGAAAATACCTGTTTAATTAATTATAGACTCACTATTATTTCCCTTCTTTATGTTTGTAGGGAAAGTAAATTGTACAGAATAAAACCCAAGGGTAATCTTTAAAAGATAAGAAGTAGGAGAACATGTACAGTGAGGTTCAAAAATTTCCCGGTACCTTCATGGATAAGATACTATTTTTTGATAGATGTATAAATGAGATTATTCTTATCTCATCCTATATTTAATTAAACATTTCTTTCATCACTCATCCATTATTTAGACTTTTACCCTTACCCCATTCAGCTATATTCTCTTTTAAAAATAGAATTTTCAACAACAACAAACTGCTCACCTTCTCTTGTGTTTATCTGGTGCTTTGTACGAATCCGTCATGAAAACAGAATTCCAATCCTTCCCTCCTTTGAGCGCCTCCAATGTCTCTTCGCTATTCTGCAACGTTTCGTTCATCGATGGATATCCACTGCTGTGTCTGTAATAAATGCATTAATTCATCAATTGGGGGTTTCAAACAGAATTTTAAACTTACGCCTCGCAATCGTCCAAACCGCTGCTTTGGCTGTAGAAGTCCATCATCAAATCATCGCTGGCGATGCTCTCGCAGGGCGACAGCGTGTCCAAAGAGCCGGTCCGGTTCTGCGAGAATCTCTTGTGTCTAGCGCCCGACGGGCTGCTCTCCGCGCCCGCGAGATTCCTCCTTCGCTGCTTCGGCGTCGATTCCATCAGCGTCTCCGTGCTGTTGTCGTTCGCCAGGTGGCGGGAATCCTCGAATATCAAGGCCGGCTGATCGGCTATTTCGTCGTCTATCAAAAAGTCGTCCTTGCCGCCTGTTCGATGCGAAATAGAGCGATTAACGCGGTACTTATTGACTCAATTAAACAAAGCTCACTGTTATTCATGTTATCGTTATCGTCGGATATCGATAGCGAGTTGGAAGCGTTGGTCGGTGTGCCGGGACTGGGCGGCGTTAGTTTCTCGTTGATGTCCTTCGAATTGGACGAGCTGCGCTGCAATTTCCTGCGGATCTCCTCCGATTCCGAGCAACTGATGCTGTCGGGCGATAGGAGCGTCTCGTCGTCCAATAGCGAACCTAAACACATTCATAAATAAGCTCTAGGTAGGCTCTAGATAAGCTTTAGATAAGCTTTCTCTTAGATAGGATCTTCGCTTGGATTTGAGACTTACTGGAATTGCTGGCGGCGGCGAGGGCGGCGAACTTGGGATCTTCTATTGTTAGGGTGATGCTTTGGACGTTCCTGGACGCTGGATGGTTGTAGAGCGAGTTGTTGACGAGGTTCTGGAACGTCGAGGCGATGAGAGCGCTTGAGAACGCCGGTGTCGGGACCTTCGATTGATCCTCCGAACAATTCCTGTCTCTGCTTTCGTCGCTGGAGCTCAACGAAAAGCTCACATCGTCCGCCATCGCTTCTCCACCAGCCTTAAAAAGTCGGATAATTATTAGTTAAAGAGTGGCCCTTCTGCAAATTGCATTAGCAGGTCATTAATCAAGAAAGAGTGCTGCATATTTTCTAAATTTCAAGTCTACATGCACCCAAATGGTCCCAAGTATGCACGCTATATCTATTAATGAACTGGAAAAGCTCATTTGGGCCAATTTGGACTTGAAATTTAGAAAATATGCAGCACTTTTTCCTGATTGATACAAGCTAAAGCAATTCGCAGTTGCTCTTACAAGCTCGAATCACTTTGTAAATATCAGGCCTTTACCTAGGCAGCCATTCAGCCACTTGACAATTTGGCCCTTTACTAGTCATTACAATCGTAACCGATTTTCAATTAGACCTACCCATTCCTGTTCGTCGGAGCTGAGCGGGCTCGAGTCGCCGCCGCACTTCAATTGGTTGGTTCTCGACTTCAAAAACTTCGGTTGCTGCCCGTTGGGCTTGATGAAGGGCTTCTCGCTCCTGAACAATTCGTTGTAAGTCTTTTCATCCTCTCCGTAATCGTCGCTGAAGCCATCCGACGAGGTTTTGGACGTGCTCCTGGGCCGTCCGGAGCGGCTCGCGTGCCGCTGGTAATCCGCCGCGCGGTCTCTCACCAAATGCGCCGAATGATATGCACTGAAATGATCGCATCTCGTTAGAATTCGCCCGAAAAAACCGTTCGAAACACGTCAGTTCGGAACGGTTCAAGAAGGACAATTTACTTGGTTCGCTTCTCCGGGGTGGAGTGGAACGCGCTGGGCAGCTGGGGCAGCGGCGGGGCGCTGGCGCTGTCGCAGGAATCGTTGGAATCGTTGGCGTCGCGCACGTCGAAGGTGTTGCAACCGGTCGCCACCACCTCGAGGCTCCTGGGCTTCGGCGGGGCGGTTCTCCTCCGGCGCGCCCCGAACGTCGGGGACGATTCGAAGTTGTCGAGGCCTCTGGTCGCCGCATCGGCGTCTCCTGGTGAAACGAACCCTCGTTAAAACCGATCGAATAACGTGTTGGGGGGACGACAGGATGAGGACGCGTTGGAAAGGCTTCGTTCGAATGGAAAGGATTAAATAACGCGACTCGGGGTCGGATCAATCGGGGTTAAATACAGTTATAAACTGCTTACAACGTGTAAGATTTTATGTGTTTACATATCGGTTGAATAACAAATCACTTACTGCTGATGTGGCTGCCCAATCCGGAATCCTCCGTTAAGGATCCGTCTTTGGAAGACGTTTCTTCGGGATGGTGCTGGTACATGCCGGCTACCCTTCTGTTGTTATTGGCTAAAGTTTTCGCGGTTTTCGTTTCTATTACTCTGATCGGTTCGGGTCGGGGTAGTTGCGTCGATTGCAGCGTGTATTTGCCGATCTGTAACAATCACAACGGAGTGTGAATCAATCAATTGGTGTACAAAACGATATTTTATAAATTCTGCTAATTGACGTGGATTTACCTGTACGGGAGGCTCTTTTTGTATTCTGGTTCTATTGTTATTGTCCGTGGGCATGACAGTTCTAGTAAGAGCAATGGGTTTTTTAACGAACTGGTTTTGTTTGTTCTGGTTAACAATTTCTGGTGGTTTGTTCACGTCCGCCACTTTGTTGAACCTCGTGTTCTGGGAGCCCCTGAAAAGAAAATAGGCGATTATTAAAGCGTAATTTGCTGTTTTAAATGGTACCAAATAATAATTTAAGCACCGCTTTACGTTTTACCTCAGTCACGACGCGAGGCGACGATAAAAAGAGCAATTAATCCAACGAATATCTAAAAATACGGGAACTTACATACCGTCTTGTCGCCTCAAAACTCGAAATTCGTTAAGTACTTATTTTTAAACCATCAATTATCGGATATATTCGTCTACGAATTTCCTATTCCGTACCGAGTACATAAATACTTCCTTCTATTTAGTGAAAAAAAAAACTGTTCGGGACACTCGGAAAAAGGTTTTTAAATATAAACTGGACTACCTTAAAGTTGTAAAAATAAACGACCTGTCCGCCTGCATCTGGCACAAGTGAATATTTTCTCCTATCTAATCGGTAACAAACTCAAAGGCATAATATTTAAATAAACGGATAGTTAATTAACCAAGCATGAATTTCATCCTAACATCAATTAGTAATTTCAATTGATGCAAACTCACAATTATTACATTTGACAGTCAATCACAATCATACTCAAGTTTCCTAACCAACTCACCTAAACCCGAATCTGGAGACCTTGGTGGCGTTGGCCTCTTTCTTCGGCGGCGCCAAGCGAGGCGTCGATCGCCCGGTGGGCGCCGCGTTCGCCGTCAGGCCGTCGGTGTCGCGGGCGTCGTTGCCGTTCCTGTCATAGGCGTCGCCGGCGTCGATGCCGGCCGCGTTGTTGGCGAGCCGGCGGGCGGCGCTCGCGTTCGCCGCTATGGACGGCGCCGGCGTCGGGCGTCGGAAGCCGAACGACATGGCGACGCCCTTGGTGGCCGGCGCGACGCCCACCGTCGCCGTCGTTTGCACCAAACGCTGCTGGCGCTTGTTGGTGTCTTGCGGGATCATCGGCGAGCGGAGTTTGTTGTTCTCGTCGTCCGGACTCTGGAAATAATCAAAGAATAGATTAGATGAGAGATTGTAGACATTATAGAGACTTCTATTACATTATGGAGACTTCTATAACATTGTAGATACTTCTACAGCATTATAGAGACTTCTATAGCATTATAGAGACTTCTACAGCATTATAGAGAGTAGGTAACATTGTAGATACATCTATAACATTCTAGAGACTTCTATATAGCATTATAAATTTAAGACTCTTATAACATTGTGGAGACTAGTATAAGATGCTCAAGGTAATCCGGCAATGAAATCACATTTGGTGATGTCATATCTACTGAATTTTATCGATTACCTATAGGGTGTCATTATTTTTATTTACTTTTATCGCACAATTCAAGACGATGAGTGAATCAATCATAAAACAACAAATTATACCATAAAGGCATAAATTAATTAAGCAAATATCCAATTATCGTAGTTTGTATATAAGATTAATTAGATGTAAATTATACACTTAAAGCGCCTTCAATATTATAATTAACGCTTTAATTACTTACATTATTATCGATTGGACGCGCGCTAAGTTGGCTTAGAAAGCAAGAGAAAAACTAAAAAAAGCGTTTATTGGTGAGCATTTGTATGGTAAATTCCCAGATACAGCAAGAGAATAAATTAAGAATGCGTCATATTAATTAAAGCCGAACAACTTCCTCAGATATTAAAATTTTATATCAATTTTATTTGTTTTGTCGATTTACCTGTGTAAAAATTCGAAATAAGTCAGTTGTTTGCTTATAAAAAAATCCCAACAACATTCAAAGCAAACACAGATATCACAAAGTAATTAATAAATACATTTATTAAACGCGCCCGTTAAATAGGAATTTTTTGAGAAGTTGGCCATGGTACTGTCAATTATTTATTAATATTTTTGACATGGAACTAAGATATCAGATAATTTTTGACAGAAATGACATTTGACAACGCAATCTTTGACACTCATAAATAACTTCTCAGGTAAAGAACCTTTTATAAATTAAAAATTTGCATTGTACAAGATGAAAGCACCATTCAACAACTCTAATTTGCATGTAATGAAATAATGTAACAGAGCGTAGAACACATATCCTGCAGATCATGTTCATATTCGATTAGAATACCACGCCAACCATTACGTACGGTAATCGAAATCAATTACGATCGAAACAAAATTTCTTCCGCAACGGAACCGATGCCTAATTACCCTCGAAACCACCCGCAAAAAGGATCCCAATCATCCTCATTCCCAAGGCACCGCTGGGAAATTCCCATTCGAAATGCGAGCGAGAATTTTCGCACATTCGCGCGAACAAATCGAGATATGTAGTAAATGCACAATGGATTTCTCTTCGCCTTCTCACGCAGAAAAGGTTGAATGTCGATCGATAGGTCGGTTCCGTTCAAAACGGAGTGGTCGTTACTCGTTTCAAATTCTCGTATCATTCGGAATAATTATTGAATAACAGTCATGTCAAGAGGAGCTCCCATCCTCATTCATGTTCGCTTCGAACGGCTACGGCAGTCACGACTTCGTTAAGGTGCTCGGTGCATTGTTTTCTTCAGCGGCGCACCAGAAATATATAACAGAAGCAGAACAGCAGAACAGAGCAGAGCAGAGCAGAATGTAGCGTAGAGAATAGAGTATAGAAAGTAGAGAAGAGTAGAATTATTATGTCTATATGGATGGAACCGAAACTACTTACAGAGAATAGATACATTTTGTAGAAGAAACTTTAATTTTCCACTTTGCAAACATAGGATTGCAATAGTAATTTTAACTTTTAACTTTTTCTTTTTAGATATGGTACTGAATGATTGCTGTTTTTAGCCAATTCTAACGTTGTTTGTTACAATCGTGCGTAAATAATATCGAAAAAAACCACCATACATTTTACTATCAACTCGCAGGCGCCAATTTTAACGGCAATAAGTTCCTTTCTTTCAATTTACCTACATACCTAGATTTCTGTACTTCGCAACAAAAACGTTATTACTGATTAATTGCAGGAAGCGATTTATTTACGAAGTTAATTTGGTATGTAAATATCTGTTTTTTTTTTCGATTCAATCTCGGCGGAGATTTGAATCGCCATTACCAGGTCAGTAGCTTATAATTTAATAGAATTACCTACATTGCATACTGTAGTACACTTATCTGCATCATCGTGCATTTAATGAAAGAAGTAACAGGAAAAATTAACGAACTAATGCAGAAAAACTTTCTAATATCGCGAATTTTAACCAAAGCATGATTCGTTGGTTTGAATATACAGAAGGTTCTTTTAGAGGTTGCAGTTTGTTAAATATAACTATAAACTTTCATTAATTATAATTTATTTTATAGCTCACTTTAACGGCTATAAAGTTGATTGCTTTTTAGTGTTTACGCGATTTATTTACAGTTAATCAAAGTATGAAACACAATGAGATAGCTCTGAAATAGAAAAAATAAAACCCGCTGTTTATAGTGCGATAAGAATACCTGTAGACGTAAGAGATTTAATAGTCTCTATCTATTCCTGTTGTATTGATAGAAAAAATTTCCTATTAGATTAACAATAATATTATGCGAATAAATTAAAATAGAGTAGGTACAATTATAGGTTTTATGTAAAACAATTTAAATAGCCACGTATGAATAGCCAACAGTACGCGGAAAATTCACCACAAACCAATCCAATTTCCTGACGCTAAAAGCTGTGCACAAAATCCAATTACAAGGATACAGTGGATTTCTGTTCGCTGGAATCTCGGCAATTTTATTCGCACGAATATAAATTTATCGTTGCATGTTTGCGAGCACAGCGCATTGCAAAAGTACTAGTTCATATCTGTCATTCTCTTAAGAAATCCTCCGGTATTCTAAACAATTTATAGGCTGTTCCGCGCATAATTGAATAAAAAGTTCATGCCAACGTTGCATAACAAGCAGCCAGTGTCGTTCGGTGGTTAACTCAAAGGTATATTCTCTTGCTAATATCTATTTCCGAAATTGAAGTTAAAGTGCAAGCCCATAAATTAGAATATGCCCATACGAACAGGCGAGTTGGAGTTGCTGTAAATTGCAGAGGAAAGGAATACACATATCTAATTATCATCCGAAGAACGCTTGGCTGCGAGCGAATGGGAAATACAAATGAAATTCAAAGTGGCAGTTGTCAATACCGTTATCATAGCAGCATAACGAAAAATATATTCAAGGATATAGTCGGGCGGATAATGTCTTTAATATTTCTGGTACTGCACGTTCAGTAAAACGTGAAAATTGTACGAAAATAGCCTTGAGTTTTTTTTCGTAATTGCCTATGGAGTGTAAAATTTTTACCAATTACGGATCATCATTGCAACAGCGCATGAGTTTTGAGTTATCCAATAAAACGAGATCGAAAATCGTTGCATATAATTTATACGCTAGGCGTTACATGGGATTATTATGAATTTTATAGTAGCCCACGGCCACTATTTTTAAATGAATAGTTCCGAATGAAGAAAGCTGTACAGTCATTAGATTTTTTCAACAATGCAAACTTGTAGGTTTTAAGTATCGTGATTCAATCGAATTTAAACGCCAAACCTACTCTATAGGGTGTTACATAAAACACACAAATAATAGGCAATTTAAATACATAAAAGATAAATAATATTGTATGTATCTAGAGCTCAAAAGTCGAGTATCTAATACAAAGAATAGATTCGTAGATAACAGAATTTTTACGAGCCTATTATTTTTTTTAATTTACGAGTAACAATATAATACGGACCTGTCGAATGAAAGTTTTTTAAAAATCCATTGTATTATCAAACAACGAATTATTGTATGAAATTCAAACGTTCTCGTTTACGTAATACGCGAATTTTATTCAATTTCTTCTCTAATTACGTTCGTTATTATTTTTATTATAATCGGACAAATTAATCGAATTAGTAGCTCAGCGATTTACTGACCACAACAGATGTTCGAATAATACGAAGAATATACCGTATAATTTATTTGCGAAAATAATTTCATTTCTTGATTGGTGAATTTTTATATACAAGGTGTTGCTCGATAAAAATGAGAGAAATTTTTCAAATATCCTAACTATTTAAATGTAATCAGTTTTTTTAGAAAAACTGCAAGTGATAAAAACCCTGATGTAACCCTTTCTTTAAACGAGTTACCTTACAAATGGGGAAAAAGGATTTATATGAAAAATTTCTCTTATTATCTCCTGCATTTTCCACTTTTTATGAAACACCCTGTACAATCCACTCGGATCTTGTAATTAATTAAATTTCGAACAAGAACCTATCGTCGGATTTCAGAAGTGATGAGGAAGGTAGATTCTGACGCCATTAAATTATCACAATTCTTTACGGTCCAACTACTTTGTCTATTAAACGTTTTAAGGTTCATTAACCAGAAAGTACCTAGTTCATTAAGAAAAATCAACAGATGGTACATTGGATACGGTGGTTTCATTACAAAACGTAACGTTCAGTTACATGTGAACTATGATGGCCCCGAGCCATTCATATGCACTTGAAGGTTACGACCAATTGCAATATTTCAGAAGATAATATTGAGCGATTGCGTATACGGGGTGTAACAAAAAGGACCCTATATCCTAAAAGGGACTAAAGACTTCTCTATAAAGTAGAGAACAAAATTTTATAGTGGTTCCATTTTGTTAATTTTTTGATAACATGCTCCTATTATAAAAATAATACGTCCCAAGTGTAATGAATTTTCATTGAATACTCTTGGAGTTATTCAAATAATCGATTTTCAGGCTATAACTTGTTTTGTATGGCATTTTGGATACATGTAAATAGGGTCCAGTCAACTTAATTTCGACCCCAGAATAAGTGGAATAACTTATGACCCTCATTTTTGTTACACCCTGACAATAATTCTCCTTACAATTCAACAGAAGCAACTTATTGTTGAAGTATTAAAAAAATAATCAGAAAATCATCCCGACAGTTCGCCCGAATAGCTGATGGAGTGAGCCAAGCCCGATGGACGGTGAAGTGAATAAAGTCGAAATACAATAAGACAATTACGGTGCTTGGTGTAGCGTAAAAAATCGTATATTTGATTTGATTATGGGTTCCAGATAGGGAGAGACTACGGGCCGACTAACGGTAACGTTAGCTCTCGATCGCATTGATCATATATAAAAAAATGTTACTGCGGCGTGTGGCCATTAGTTTAAAAGCCCTATGTGGTTCGAATTTAATAGACCAATGAGTAGTCTAATGTCCATTAGACGACGAAAAGATATAGAACGTAAACGTGTATGTTCTACATCATTTGGTACTCAAAATACATGTCATATACCAGATATTTGACTAATTTTACGATTCCTATTCTACAACTGGTGCATTTTCAAGCAAGCGTGCGCCTTATTAAAAAAACCCTTACCCTTAGGTCAGGAGGACACTCGTCCATGATCAAATTGCTCAAATGATCCTCCATTGCGTCGTCAGATCATTTCACAGACTAACCACCAGTTTTCCTTCGGAAAAACACTTATTCTTTAATATCTTCGCCTATCGTTGGAGCATCGCGAAAGGAAAAAAACAACTAAGAAAGACGCAATAACGTCGGATGTGTCGGTGGGTGTTTTGAAAATTGATCGGGAAGCTCGGCGAGAGGGCGGCAAAGCGCCGTTGCGGCGCCATGCGCCTTTCCGTTCGACGCCGACGTCGACGTGTAGCGATCCCGAACCGATGGCCCGAGGCCAATATTTGCAAGAGAAAAAGGTAGCGGACCAGCGTGAATCACTCTGGATGAATTTAGATTGTCTGGATTCTGGATGAATTTAGGCTGCTTGATTGACTATGATTGTCTCCTCAAAGGTCAAGGAATGGTGGTGTGAACTTGGCGGTTGTTGAGGATTTTTTTGTTGAAAATTAGAAAGGGTTTTGAAGAGTTTATTTGGGGATTGTATAGACAGTATCTCGGTGTTTAGTATTTATTATTTTAGAGGGTTTTTTTGAAGGGTTATCAAGTTTTGTAATATTTTTTGAGGGGTTTTAGAGATTGTTCACATATTTTTGACTGTTGAAAATTAAAATTAAACTTCTTTTTTGATGTTGGATAATTTTTTTACCATTTTCAATATTTACCCACAATTTTGAATAGCTTCTATAACCTTATAGGTCAAGTTAAAGGTTCAAAAAGATAAATTAGGTACTTATTTTTAATTGAATTGAATTTAGTTCTTCCTTAAAATTCACGGAACTCTATGATATTCCTATCTCACACAATTTTAAGTATACTCTGTTCGCTATCAAGAGATCAAAAGCACGAATATGCATTGCATTCGAGTCACTTTAACTTGGATTAGAAAAGGGTTGCCTATTGTTAAATACCCTGTATACAGAGTGGGACTATTAATCTTACTATTACCTACACAATGCCAAACCCTAAATTTTGGAATTTTATGATTTTTTCGTGCTATATTTTGCAAACAAAATTAACAACTCTCTCCTGATAGCGAACGGAGTATAGTAATTCAATTTCTTAAGATACCTAGGTACCTAATAAATCTCTTCATTTGTTCCGTTATTAATTTTTTCAACTATTTTAACATCTTCGATGCGTGTTCATCTTGTGCTCGATTTCCGGCCGTTGAATGTTGAATCTCAGTGAGTTCAAAGTGGCTATAAAAAGGATGATATTACCGAACGCAGGAAACGGACGAGCCGGACGATTTCGTCGCACATAATATCGCGTAGGATTTCTCAATCCTGATGGCAAGAAATACAAACAAGCCGGTTTTGTAACGAGAGAACGCCGGCCGGGGTCTTGTACAAATACGAAATTGCGACGGATTTTTTTCGCGTTCGTGACGCCTCGTTATGTACTTTCGCGAATTTCAGCAACAATATCGCAGCTTATCTATCATCTGCCTAAGATGAAGATAGCGAATAATAACGGTTTTTGTCACGATTATTAAATAGAACCAATAATTATGGCTTGTTAAAAAAATGCTTGTACCTAGCTCTTAGGTAATTTGTACTTAATGAAGTAACTAAATTGTTGGTTGGAAAGACTAGATACTTTCTTGCATCGAGACCTTTAAAGAACTTACTACTAAATTAGTTTTATTTCTTTATTTATTAAGTAAAATTTCGGGGAATAGAACAATTCTCGGGACATTATTTTTTTAAGATCTCCCATTCGATACGCGTTAGGTGGAATTTAGTTGTTATTTAAAAAAGGCGATTCAATTGAGATAATCGTGACTGGTGTATTATCCGGTGTTTTGTTACGGTCTGCACTGTATTAGGCAATGCCTAGTTCATAAACCAGTCGGGTCACTTACCTTGCCGTGTGAAATGTCTATTTTTTTAAATAAAAATTGATCCTTTCTACGCCCTAGATAATAATAAAACATCTAGCGACAGTTTTTCGTGCAATATGTGCGAATTTTTAATTATTGTTTATACGAATCAAAACCGTACTAACTGTAATTTTTTTATAGAGAATTCTCACAATTATCAAAAAGCAATTCCCACCGTAAATTTATCATTTAAACAACAATGTCTAGTGGATTGCACAATTACGCTATTAAATTTAATTCCACATTGTTCTCTATGTTTGAAGATACACGTTATTAATTAAACGAAACGAAACCCAACAGAACTTGATAATTGTTACGAAACCATTTACGATTCCCTCCATTCTTCGAGAACCCTAAATAAACGAAAGCAATCCAATAATTTAACATCTTCATTCGACAGGTACGCGATTATCTATATACACGCTGCATTTAAGCAATTAGTAACATAATATGGACTCTCCTTGTTAAGTCGATTACGAAACGATAAAGCAAATATGAACAGAACATGCTGCGCACTCACAGGCGCTAATTAACATCTTGAGTAACGTTCGTATATAACTACTATATGTGACTACGGAGAAATGTATTTTTGTTACGATAAACCCGATGAATTGTTGAACATACAGGGTGTCCCTGGATTAATTTGGGAATTTGTAATTTCAATTTATACATTTTGGGTCACTAAAATGATTCAGAAAAAGCATCAAGTCTAATATTAAGCTTCCAATAATTACCATTCCAAAAATTTTGTAAAATATCTTGATACTTATGCTCAATTTGCAAGTATGCCAGAGACTCCTGATTCTAGAATAAGCCAAAGTAAATCAAAATAACTCTAAGAATTATCAAAATAAATCCAAGAACCTACCTATGAAAATTAACAGCTGCATTTAGCTAGATTCTGTATATTGAGTAGCAAGTACGACTCACCCAGTAGGTACAAAACAATTCCTAATTAAAACCAAAAGTATTCGAAGCCGTAAAACTATAAAAGGATAACATCTACGTTAGATATCGCTTTCTTCGCATCCATATGCAACGAGTTTCATCGCAAAGAGAAAACATTTTTCGATTTTTATCAAGGGGAAAAATCCATCACTCAACTGTCGTCAGTTTCGAATGCAGCGCAAAACGGATCGAAAACCGCACCGTGAATTATTCCGATTCCGCCAATTACCGTGCTAATTAATTTCCGATTAAAAAGCGAGAGCCCGTTTATGGTACATAAATTTTTAGGATCGAATCGTGAAAGGCCCGCCTCGCACCTTTACTTTCGATGGAAATAAATCGATTTAATTAAAATTAAATTGAAAATCGGAGATTAGATTGGATTCGGAGCTCACCTGGTGTTTCTGGTGCTTCTGCATTTTGGCCGGGCGATTCTGCGAGACCGCCGCCGACGCCGCAAAGGCCCCCGCGGCCTTACGAGACATGCACTGCCCCATTGGACGCGACCCGAAGGTCTGTTGCTTTTTCTTGAAAAAAAATCAAACTAACGATAGAAAAATGCTGCGAGATTATTCTTGGGCGAGAATTGAAAGCGTAGTGACAGATTTATTGTGAGTACAGAATTATATCCTTCCCTCGGATTGTTTACATTGAAGACAAGAGAGCTCTTCTAAATTTTCTCTACTCACAACGGGTAGATTGTGAAAAAACCATCACCGCATGCACACCATAGAGATTTTAATGATGTGTTTAATGTACGTTAATGAACTATTTACGATAATCTTAAAATACTTTATGATACCGCAGATTAAATCCCATTAAAAATATGATGATAAGCGACCAAAAATTACCAAAAAAATTGGGAATTCATTACGTATCATTAGAGGAAATAGCCATAAACCACAACCAAAATAAAAATGAAAAATACTCACAATAGTTTTGTTGGCTCCTCCAACAAAACCGTGTGGTCAGTATAAAACTGAAGATCTATTGAAAATAAAAAATAAATAAATTCTATTCGAAAACCACAGCTTGACTTTAGCCCTGCCTTTAGGCCTTCAAAAATGAAATTCTCTGCTTACTAGAGGTTTCTATCATCAAATTCAAGTACCAAGTGGTCTAATAAATTAATTTATTACAGAGAATTTCATTTATCGGACCTATTTGGAATCGACGCATAAAAATTAAGGAGAATATCTAGGGCATCGGGGAAAGGATGTGAACTTAAAACTGCTCTGCATAAATGCGAGAAATGAGAAAAATGTTATTAATAACATGTACTTTCACGTGCAAAATCGTGTGTACGTATTTCGTAGGAGGATATTTTCTATCACTTATGTAGATTAATTTCTTTTACTTTGAGAAATGTTTGTGTTTAACACCTTGAACGCCGCCTTCATTTTTGTCAAATTTTCTTATTAATCAATTAAAAAATCAATCTATCATTAAAAATTGTTTATTAAGTGATTTTTTGAACAAACTTTGAAGTTTTTTATGAATCATTCTGTGGAAATAACAAATATGGAATGTTGAATTCGATTCTTTCACCTGGCCTGTACAGGGTGTCTCGTGTACAACAATATGTAAATTTCCCATTACTGGGACACTCTGTATACTTATCGTTAATGTTCTTGAGGACTGTCCTTAGATAAATCAACTATTGCAAATATCAATATGTCAGTTGCAAGTTCATATGAAACGTGTGTAAACTACCATTAAATATGTAAATTACAAAAAACAGGTAACGTTCTTTTCTAGATATGAAATTGCGTCAATATAAGTTGTGCATTTTTAATGTGCAACCTTGACTTTGGATTCGTAATAATTGCAATCTTATAATCCTATTAAACAATCAATAATGTAGATGTAGGTTATGTTACTTGTCAAAAAATCAGTGTAACTAGATATGTAAAAAATAAACAAATCCAAAACAATTGACAAACTATTTAATTTTTCCACGTAAAAACCAAACCGAACAAAACCGGAAAAAATATACGAAAAATTAAATATTTACCTTTTCCAGTTTGACTAAAAAATGTGTCAATAACAAAAAACATATTCACATTCCAAGTTAGACCATAATCACATGAGTTTATTTCACAAACACCTGCAGTTACAAAATCTCACGGGCTAAATAAACAAAAGTTTATTCAACTGACTACCTACCGCCGACAATGTTTTTAAAGACTAAGAGAGGATTTGCCATGCCAAGACGATTTAAATTCAAAACCGAGAATACCCAGATAGTGGATTGAATGAAAAACAAGACACATTTTTCAATCTAGAAGTCTGACTTAAATTAAATTAGGTTTTCGTTTTGAAATGATAGGTAGCGCCACAAACTTATTACCACGGAATTGATAAAATGGTTGCATAACTCAAAGTAAAATTGTGTTGTATTTCAAACAAGAATTCAAAAAATTGTCAATGAAACGTCCGCGAAATTTCACTTTCAATCCATTAATCAAATGGTTATGCATATAATTAAAAAGGTTTTCAATTTAAACCTGCTCAAAGGTCCTCAACATAAATCGAACAAAAAGGCCAAAATAAGGCGTACAAAGAAATTCAGCAAAAGAAAAATTAAAGAAAACATCTGGAAACTGCTGAAAGACGAAAAGAGTATGAAAGAGAATCATTTCATTTTGCGCACGAAGGCGAATTCTGCGAGATATTACGCCGAATTCTTGACTAATTACAGGTTCTGCAAAGAGGGTAATTTACCCGGAAGGAAATTCGTTAAATCGGTGATTTATTTAACACTACAACATATGGATTCCTGTGATAAAACTGTTGTAACAACTTTATTAGAAACACTAAATAACGGCGGGCTACAAATCGGTACACAATCGAATTTCGAAGACGTGTTAAAACTATTTCGAACTGATGAAGTTCATCATTTGATGATTTTAAAGAATGTTATACAAAAATGGATGGACGTTATGCCGTTGTTGCTGGAATTCAAGAAATACACCGACTGGGACAGTTTATTCAAAATTAAAGCTCACTTATTAAATTCAGAGGATTTGTTCGATATCTACATAAACTTGTTACAATATAAATCTGCATAGATGATTTGCTAATAACAAAAAACTTTCAAAAAAAGTTTCAGCTACCAACCAAATAGGTACACAGTTTTGGAATTGAAGTTGATAACATTCGATAATTTATTAAAAAATAAAAAAAGAATAGGTACATATTTAATTTACATTTGTTCATTTGTAGTTAGTTAAACTGCGTTTGAGTAACTACAGAATTTAACTAAAATATATTGCTAATTAGATAAGATTTTTTTGTTCCTCTAGATTTAGATTATATTACTAATACTTATGCTTTAAAAGTCGATTTAAACTTAAATGAGTATTACACATAGAATGAAACAAGAAGTACGTTCGTTATTCGAATAACAATACTACCTACAAAATATAGAAAAAATAAAAATATAGTAACTAAATTTAATTACAAATAAAATATAATAAACATACATATCAATGTAAAGGAAACTGCTACTTGTTGACTTAATTTACAATATGTATTATTCGACGAATGTTCTTTGCAACTGAAATCAGGTTCATTTGCTTCGCTTTCAAAGCAAAATAAATACATTCTACAGATAAATTATCACTACAGCAAGTTTTACAATAAGCACAATAGTGCAATTTAAATTTAAAAGTAGTTTTTTTAACTAATAGAGTAGATAAAATATAACTAGGATTTGTCTTTTTATTATAAACATGTGGACCACAATTTTATGCTTAAAACAATTCAAATAATGGATAAATTTTACATTATACTAAATAGCTTGACTGTAGCCTACAAAACACAGAATACTGAGTAAAGAAAAACATACGAGTCCCGTAAGTGTTTAATCTACCCTTATTAGTCAAAACGGGAAGCCTCAACAAAAAATGACCTGAAATCAGTTTAACTAGGACCTCTGATTTTCCTCGATGATCCCCCATCAGATTGCGATTATATACAAAATACATTAACAAGAACAATTATTCTAGGGAATTCAACATGAGTAACTGCTTTAAAACCTTCGTTTGTGATGTTTCCCTTATTTCGCCAGCCAAAAACATTTCATCAACCACCGTGTAGACCTTGTAGAAGTTAAATACCAGGTCTAGCTCGCACACATTGTGGAAATATTCATTGAGTACTTCTACGAAATTGTGTATGGCTTCTAAATAACTCAAATTATTATCGTTAACGTCCACGCATATGCAGAAATATAACCCGGCGTATCGTCTATACACTATTTTGAAATTGCGAAACTGAAAATAAATACCCACTGTTATTAGTATTCCCTAAAGTAATGTGTAAAAATTAATCGCTTAATAACAGAATGAACGACAATTCGGACTAAAAATATATCTATTATCTACCAACGGTGTTGTGGTTGTATTGTGATATCGTATCACTTAAATAAAAATAATTTACCTCGACAAAATTTGTGTGCTTGGCATCCCTTACAGTTACCACTGCGTGCACTTCTTCGATGAGTTTCTGCTTCTCGTCATCGTCGAAATTCATGTACCATTTTGCTAATCTCGTTTTTCCGGCCCTATTTTGTATGAGAATAAAACGAATCTGAAACGAATATGTTTTAAGAGGCGTAAACCCGAGCGTATTCGATAAGAAATGTATATTAAAATGAGTGCGAGTCGTTCGCCTACTGAGAAGCATATTTGAAATTGTAGTGAATTTACCATTTTAACTGCCTTTTGAGTATATTTGGATTCAAAAAACGAATTTTTGTTGAATTTTACACTAAATTTTACTACTACTTCAACCTACTTAACAAATTTGACGTTGACGTCGTTGACAAAAGTATTAAAAATGCTAATGTCAATAATAATGTCATGTCAATAAATCTTCTTCGTCAAAAATTATGGCCTCTTACATTACTGTACACTCGACAAAAATTGAGCTCAAAAATTTATTATTTAAAAATTATAACTATTTAACAGAATAACCAATTATACATCAACGCGTATTAAACTGCGATAGAAGCCGTCTTCGCCGACTGAAGACATTTCTGATATGGTAAGCGTTTTAAACTCGCAAGTTCCGAACTCGAAATCTTTGAATTTCTCCATGATTTTCGTGGCATCGAGGCTTTCATATCGTCTTCGACTGTTCCTATATGACGACTTTTTTCTATACTTTGTGTTAATCAACGTCATGTGAAGAACAACATTATCTTTATACGTTTTCAAGAAACCTGCAAAATAACTTAAAATTTATAATTATGTTGAATTATTGTAAGAGGTGAAAGTTTACCCTTTTCATAGAAGTGCTCTAAGAGGGCATTGGCAATTTTTTGTAAATTAACTTCATCAGTTTCATTAACAAATTTGGCCTTGGCAAACACGACGTTAACTTTATCGATTTTCTCATCATCAAATTTGGTGATTCCCGAAACATGAATTTTTATCGGACCATTTCGAGCTATTAAAGGTCTACAATGAGACGAGATTAATCAACGAATATATCAGTAGATTTCAATTTACATACTTTAGAACGTCGTCATTAAATTCCTGCAAAGCTTTTTTAGCTTCCTTCTTTTCAGCTTCGCTCAAAAGCACCAAAACATCGATAGTGAGATGCAGTTTCAACGCACTCTGAAATATCGATTCTTCCAAGCCTCTCGTGTTTTCGAATTTTAGAACTTCGCTTTTAAAAATTTCAAAATTGCTTTGTATCTCATCGCTCACTAAAGGTATTCCTATGAAGTGAGTGAGTTTCGCCATTTGTCTTATTTGTGCGATGATTGAAAGAATACCATCGAATGATTCTTTAACCTTAGCCTCAGAATCTCCACAAACGTAAATTTTCTCGATCGTGCCACTGGTATCGGGTACTTTAATGGAAGTGTTTAATTTACTACTTATAGCAGTTAAGTTGTCAAAAAAGAGGTTACGGTTAGGAAAGTGCGTTAGCTTCCCATAATAGTATCTAAAAAATCGTATACTTGTTGAATTGGAAGTTGTTGGACTTGGAATACCTACGGAGGCAACTCGAAACTAACAGACACTTTTCCATCATCTCTTACGATAAAATCCGTTTCGTTTGAAATCTGTGTTCCTTCGGGCTCTGAAATTTTGGATATGTAAAGATGAAGATATTGAAGATTAGGGAAATGTCGAAAATTTACCTGTAGTATCCGACTGGGAATTTTTCGTATCACTCCATTTCTTGATATTGAAGCATTTTCCATCTATCCACATACGAATAGGCTTCGAAATGGCTGCATTTTTTAACTTTTTCCGCATTCGCATTATGTAGTTCAAAACTTTTCGAAATCAAAGGCATAGACAAATACCAAAAGGATGATCAAAGGTGAAGTGTTTTTTACTGTCATTAATGTCATTACTGTCAATGTCAATTTACATGTCAAAATTGACATTCATTTTGAGTAATCTGTGTTCACCAAACAATCCAAAAATATTTTTTATTCTATGCTTTTAAAAACAATATAATACAATGTATAAATCGAAAGGTAAAATTATATTACAATAAATCAATAATCAATGGTACTAATTCCTGCAATTTTCAGCTAAAAACAAGAGAAGCAAATACTCAGTCGGCGATAAAGCAAAAGAAACTTTGAATAGCCTATCTGAAGACAATCCAGTGTTGTTAATGTTCAGAGAATATGGCAAAACATTGGACGACAAACACGATAGATACGAGAGAATAGTAAAACTCAGCCGTGATATAACAATAGAATCTAAAAGAATCATTTTCCTTCTACACAATGTGAATACCGACCTGTAAGTGAAACATCCGATACCTTATAATCGTTACTCCTGCAATTTACATTACAGAGATGACAAGAGATTGAAAGTAATAGAAGAAGCAGAACAACGGCTACAAACCGTAATCGACACTCAACTCAAAGCTGTGGCATTGGAGCTCAAAGACCAAGATAGCTATCAGTATCACAAAGCCTACACTGCCGGGTTACAAGAGTTCATCGAAGCGTTTGCATTCTGCAGCTACATCAAGGAAGAAACTGTGAAGAATTGGAAAACTATGGACGGTTTGTTTCGATACGAAAGCGAAGAAAAACAGCCCGTTTCATTGGTGTTCCCTCACGTGGATTTCATACTAGGCCTGGCCGATTTTACCGGTGAACTAATGAGGAGGAGTCTGAATAATTTAGGCATGGGAAACGTGGAGGAATGTTTCAAATTGTGCAATTTCGTTAGACACATTAATACAGGCTTTCTGGGTAAGACACAATTTATTTATCTCGTTTATTGTTATACAAAATTATGATTTTTTTTAGGTCTTATGGCTCCCGGGTATAAAGAATTGTCTAGGAAGGCTTATGTGTTACGGCAAAGTTTAACTAAGATGGAACTCGTTTGCTACAACATACGAATTAGAGGCAGCGAAATTCCAAAGCATATGCTTCTCAGTGTCATAGAATCGAATGATGCCAATGAAAATGAAGATGAAGGATTTTTTTAAATCCGGCAAGTTTTGAGTTTATTTTTGATAATTATTGTAATAATGAGTTAAGTTCCTTAAATAAAAGTTTATTGTAAAATAATTGTAATAATTCCTACAAATAAAAGTGATTAATTACTAATATAGGTAAGGGCTAAATACTTATAATTTTTTTGAAAGAAGAATAAAGGGATTTTATGTTGGTACAACTGACAGATGATAAATGTCAAAAAAATCATTATGGAATATGTCAATTTGTCGATAGAACGTCAAAACAAATAGTAAAAAGAAACAATTTATTCAATATTGTCTGTTGCTAATAATAATATTTAATAATCGATATTTTATTACTAATTATAATGAACAATCACAATACAGTATTTGATCCTTCGTTATTCACGAAACCTCCCCCAAACTACATAAAAAACGTAAGTAAACCGCAAGTTTAATTATTCGTCAATATTTATATTAATAATTTCAGGAATCCGGTAATTGGAACAATTTTAAAATACCCCCGCTCCCTAGAAATGGAACTAAAAAGACCAACAATACCGTTGATAAAAAGGAGCACTTTCCAGTCGCTCCTCAAAGGGCGCCCAGGAAAGTTTCTAATCATTCAACAGGCTCGGGCCAATCAAAGAAATATACTCAATATCCTTCTCTACATCCAATACCGTACCCGTCTTTTAGGAACAACACGAATAAATCTTCACAAGCGAGTTCAAGGAGTTACGTTAATTCCAACCAGCAAAATTCAAAAAATTACCAAAAACCCTCCACCTCAAATTCATCCATGAGTAACCCGCCGCCTAATTACAAATCACAAATGGCTGAAAACGCATCACAAAATATTGGTGTAAATTCGGTAAGTTTTCACATGTAATAACTACGCTTCATAAACATATTTCATGATTTTATTAGGTTCCCTTTAAACCGAACGTGCCACCACCAAATATGCACAACTCGCCATACTCTCGAAATTTGAAAGCGAACCCTCTAGCCCTGCAGGCCCAAGCTCAGGCGTTATCTGCCGGTCAATACGATGAAGCTAGCACTAGTTATTTCATGCCTGTATGGTACGGGTAAGTAACATTTATCTCATAACATGTGCGCATGGATTGTTAACTGCATTGAGCTACACATATCGAGTTAAACGAAAGCCAAACACACAAAATGTTAGCTTAGAAAAGTTAACAATCCGCTTGCATATTGTACATAATAATATTTTTAAGGTACCCAGTTGCCGAGAGCAAGTATCCTTATACCGCAGCTCCGCTGCCTCCCTCCCAGCCTAATTACCCGCCGCCCCAGCAACCGCCCCTGCCGCTCGACGCCCCGCCGCAAATTCCCCCGCCTCCTCCGACTTCGGTCCAAAACGGTTACACCATGGATTCTTCAATGGCGAATATGCCGATGCAGAATCACATGAACCATCCCGTCGAACCCTCCCAGCGACCCATGCAAAATCAACAAACCCCAATGGCAAACTACCAGGCTGGTATGTCACCATATCTCGTTTACAATAATAATACACCGTTTATACAGAATCATTATGGCGTAACAAGGAAATATGAGGGTACGTTATAGCACGCTGGCCGTGCGTTCGTCGCTATTAAACGTTTCAATTCAATTTCGCCTGTGGCGCTTTTAAGGTAATTGCGATCAAAAGAAGAACCTGAAGAAGAAGAAAAAACCGCTGTCGCAAGTGGTGCCGCAGAGGAGAGAATGGTCGATAGAGGACGCGAAGAAGGCGCTCGACGCCGAAAAGGAGTGCAACAAGAGAACGAGACGGCAAGGTTTGATTATCAAATTTCCCGATCAGGAGGTCAATCGAGATATCGTGACGAGTTTTCACACGGGCATAGAATCCGTACATTTCCAACAACCTTCCACTCCGAGATACTGCTTCGTCACCCTTACGGTAAGACACTTTCGTTTCTTTCAATCATATAAATAAAAAAAAAGTTCCTACGTTTTAAATGTCTAGATTCTAGATCAATCTAGAACGCTCCAGAACCATTTAGAACTTTGTATAATCATTTGGAACGCACCCGAATCATATAAAACTGTCTAGAGTTTTTTAGAACTTTCTAGTTCAATCTAGACGGCTCCAGAACCATTTATAATGCTCCAGGACCATTTAGAACTGTCTATAGTCATTTAGAACGCTCCATAACCATTTAGAACTTTCTATAATCATTTAGAACGCACCCGTATCATATAAAACTGTGTAGAATTTTTTAGAACTGTCTAGATCAATCTAGACCGCTCCAGAACCATTTAGAAATGTCTAGAATCGTTTAGAATGTACCAAAATAATTTGGAACTGTCTAGAACCATCTAGAACGCTCCAGAATCATTTAGAAATGTCTAGAACAATCTAGAACGCTCCAGAAAAAGGCAAAAATCGCTAGGAAAGACGCAAAAGTCAAAACTCTAATTCGCTTTTGATTAGGAATCGGCGGATCCGGAGACGGTCATAAAGCAGCTGAACCAAATCAAATTCGGCTTGGGCTATTTGCACGCCGAAATCAAGAAAGACAGGGAGGACGAGCAAGGCATCAGACCCACCGACATCGATCCGCTGACGCTGTACGTGGGAAACCTGGCGCAGGAAATAACTAAAGAAGACATGACGAAAACCTATCCCAAGCAGAAACGGATAGACATAGGCTACGCGAAAAAGATGAAGTACACCCGTTACGCGTTCGTGTCCTTCTACAACGTAACGGACGCCATCGAAGCGTTTAAAACTACTCATTCGTCTCAGATGTACTCCAAGAGTCTGATAGTGAGGTAGAGTAAAACTCATTTTTTTTAATACGTGGAGTGTGTCGTAATGGAATAATAATTACAGGTTCAGGAGACTTCACGGGACCGTCGGGATGCCCGGCGAGGTGAGAGTGCAAACGTCTCGCCAAAGCCGTTTGTCTGAAACCGACTCTTTGACTGAAACCGAATCTTTACCGAGTCCTTGGGACATCGACGTATCGAGCTGGGACAATAATTTACCAGCGCCTGATGCAGTCGATGATGACGACGACGACGACGACCAGGACGAAGGATGCGTAACGAAAGAGAGTATACCTTGTATCGAAGAAGACCGGAAACCGGTTGTTTCCCAACCGTCATTTTCGGGATATGTACGAATCAAAAAGGAAATCCAAACTTCGGTAGGCTATATAAGTTACGTAAGAAACAGTCAATTTTCTACAATTTTTGTTGTCTTTACTAGTCCACAACTAGCCCCACAATAAATTGCGACGAATTCGAAGATATGAGCGACAACGAATCTTCGTCGGGTTACGGAGAAAACGACGATCAAACGTCGGACCCCCAAACGCCCGAGCCCACCGAACAACCAACCGTCGAAGCGCCCGAATGCGCGAATCCGGTTATCAAATCGGAATTTAAAATGGACTCATCTGAAAAGGGCAAATCGCGGTACAGAGTCGTAGCTACAAAAATGAGTTTAAAGAGGACTGCGACAGTGACTCCTGGTAGATGTCCGGCCGTTATTAAGCAAGAAATAAACGATAGCCAAAACGCGCCACTAGATAATTTTAACACAAACGAAAGCGCCGTACCTGAAGACAATTCAAATTCAAACAGTACAGCTACAGATCATCTAACCGATGATTTGTCGACTACTGATTTAATAACGACCGATTTAACGGCTAATTCGTGTGTTAGTCCTAACGCTGATGATAATACTCCTGCTACCCCGAATGCAGATACCTGTGGAGAAGATGAATGGAATGCTTCGACAAGCGTAAATGTAAAGACTGAATTAGGTAGGTACAAAACATCTAAATTAGATCTTGTATTTATCAGTGAAATTTTTAGAGTTACCTCCTGAAACCGTGAATAAACCACCTGTTAACGAAGACGAAGATGACCTAGGGGGAGATGACGACGATGGCGATGAGGGTGATGCCGCTATAACTTCGTTAAATAGTCTTCTATTGAACGCAAAGAGAGGAGGAAACATTTAAAGAAAATATATTGTCGTTTTCCACGGGTTAGTTATTTCACAGATATATTTAATTTCATTCTAGATGACACAATGAAGTGTTATGTGTTTGTCGTCTTGCTGTTTTTAAAAATATAAATGTGAATTTTATGTATACATGTTTTTAATTTTAATAAAGATATTTATCTTTCGTTCGTCAATTTGTTCTGATTTACTTCGAAAGCAAATACCGCGAATTTTAAATGAAAAAAATTAAGTACACGATATAATTTAATTAAATACGTTTTGACAATAAATAATTTGTTGGTGTTTCAATATCTCTTCTTCATTACTTTCATAAATAGGACCATATCTAAAAAAATAATTAATACAACGAAATGCCCTGAAATAAAAGCTTCACTTACTTATAAAAATGATTATCACAACAGCCAACAAAATCCACATCCAACATTTCCAAGCTCTTTTTGAATGCTCCGCTAATTTCGATGACTCTGTGGTGAGTTTGTTGTAATTTTTTTCAGTCAATTCGGTTGATTTTGAAACCACCTAAATATTCAAAATTTATCATAATGATAGTAACTTTTTTCCGAGGTACACTTTACCTCCGTATCTTTTTTTATAATTTTATTAGCTGTCTCCGATTGTTCTTTCAACGTTCTAGTTAACGATAACATATCTTCAGTAATTTTTCTCTGTCTGTCTTCATTGTATTCTATTACTTTATCAAAATCACCAGAGCCAGTTAGAGATGCGTTATCAACGTTTCTATGTCTCAATCCTACAAATGTAATAATTAAATGCGAATAATTTACAATAAAATTATGCTATTAAGTACCTAATAACTCATTTCTCATGCTTTCCAGGTCTTGCTCATCTTTGTATTTTTCCGTGCTAATGCCTAATAAATTTTTAATTTCCTTTATTCTCCTATGGTAATTTTTTACCGATTCACTAGACCTGCAAAATAACAGCAATTTTTTACCACAGCAAAACAGCAAACGATGCCAATGAACTTACTCTGCTAATTTTTTCACCTCCTGAAACATATCCTCCAACGTTTCCACGTACTTCTCGATCCTGTCATCGTCCTTTCCACTTTTACACATCAATTCACATTTGGCGAGCAACCGCCTTAAATTTACTTCTTGCCTGGACAAGCCCATAGTTTAATATTTTCGAAAATAAAGTGATCGACTCGATTTTATTTACATCACCAGGTAACTGTCACTGACATGTCACTGACGTTTCGAAAATTTCTAGGTTATAACGCAAGTAACTGTCACTGGAACTGGAACGGTTTTGCTATACAGGGTGATCCGTGTTGATGATTGGATTAAATTAATCCGTTTGGATGAGCCGTTAATAAAAAATCCACACGAAGCTATTGTGAAGGATTTTGATTTGTTTATACTTATCATTAACTACTTATCTCAAGTATAATCGAGCTACTATTGATTGTTAAACAAATTAGATGTCTATATCTAATCGGAGATTTATTATTCCATCAGTGAAATAACACCTAACAATTGATTTCGTATATTATAACTAATTTACAGTTTGTCAATACGCCATGTACGAATTGGAATACGATAGTAAACTCGATCAATTCACCGAAGTTATTTTCAATGAATTTTCCGACAGCTCGGACGAGGAAGAAGACAACACCAGCATACCCTTGTTGATTTTAAAGCGGCGAAAAATTAAGTAAGCAGAAACAATTCGACTACAACCCTTGCATAAACTAAATCATTTCATATAGAAGACACGTCCGATCGTCTCTAACGAATTTCACGTTAGCGAGATTGATCAGCAGAAGCGGCAAACTGAACGTGTTCCTTACCAAATTGTCCAACAAGAATTTGACGTACATCAAAGACCTGGGCAATACGTTGCTCGGCATCCAGTGGAAGTGGATCCTGTTCACGCTCATCGTCGTCAATTTCGTTTGCTTCTTCGCGTTCGGGCTGCTGTGGTACGGCATCGCGATCAGCAGCGGCGATTTCGATCAGAACAACACCGATTTCTGTGTCATCAACACCCGCACTCTAACCGGTAGGTAAATATTTGCTCGCCATTTACCTAATGGTATTTATCCAATGCAGGAGGTGTGTTTGAAGAAAAGAAAAATTTCTCCTGCAAATGTTTACAATAACTGGTGTGCTTATTTTTGCAGGGTACTTTTTATTGAGCGCGGAAACTATAACTACGATAGGATACGGTTACAGATATCCAACGGAACAATGCAATTTGGGGTGGTTGATGTTGATGCTGCAGGTTCTACTCAGCGTTGCTGTTCAAGGGGTTCTGGTTAGCGTTGTTTACGTTAAAATCACCAAGCCCATATCCGCTACAGCTCAAAAGATATTCAGTAAAAAAGCTGTGGTAAGTTTGCCCAAACCACAGAGCCCTTAGATTGCTCTAACAATTTTGAGCAATTTATGTGCACGACTCTTTTATATCAAGAGTGCCGTATATGGGTAAATTATAGGTACAACAAAGACAACTTTCTCTCTCCAACCCACGGTTGTTTCAATAATCTTTCTTCGTTCAATTCATAGAATCGGCCATATTGCAAACAAATCTGCTCTTTACCCTATGAATATGAATAAAATAATATATTTTCTTTTAGATTTGTATAAGAGACGGAAAGCTGAGGTTCGTATTCAGGATCAACGATTTCAAGAAGAAAATTTGGTGCAGTACTTACATATCGTTGTATTTCATTGACAAGGAGCTGGTCTATCCCAATGAGGAGTACGATATGATTCAGATGAAGATCGAACCGCACGGTCTCCTGATTTTCCCCTTGGAAATCGAGCACGTGATCGACGAGGAGAGCCCATTGTGGTCGTTCAGGCCCCTGGACATCTTGCAATCCAGGTAAATTAATGTATTCAAGATCCACGCGCACATTTAAAAATGAATTTTTTCATTTTGAAAATGACATTGACGTCAAGGACACTAAAGTACTCAAGGTTTGCCCATTTCTTACGTAATACGTGCAATACATTACAAAATCAGAACAAGTTTCACAGACCACTAATCCTATATGGATATATGATAAATCTGTGACAATTAATTGCAGTGGGATTGCACTTTATTTACATTGAGATATTCATAAACGATCAGCGAGCATTCTTGCCGAGCATGGCCTACTTATATTTTCACGTTTATTGCAGATTCGAAATAATTGCAGTGGCTGAGGGTAGTTCGAATATTACCGGTCAAATATCTCAAAATAGGACTTCCTATAGTAATAGCGATATATTGTGGGGACATCGATTTGAACCTTGTGTAGATTACGATACGGCGAAAAATCGATACGTAGTCGATTATAAAAAGTTTAAACAAACCCAGCCGTTTGACACGCCTCTCTGCAGCGCTAAGAAGCTGAAAGATATTCGCAGGAAAGTCTCCTTACAGGAATAGCGACAATTAAAAAAAACTATTTATTTTATTACTGTGATATTTTTTATTAAAGTGGACGTATGTCTGTATAGGTCGAGATCATTCTGTATAAATTGTCCCACCTCTAACCTCTACTTAAATGTCAAATTGAAGAAAAAAAGAAGAAAGAATATAACCTGTAAAAAACCATGTTTTTAGAAGTTGAATATTGAAATAAAATGGGTAAAGTAAATAAAAATAGTACGGCTGGTAAATCGGATGCCAATTTGAAGAGATTAGAATCGCTGAAAAATTTAAAGGATAATTATCACAATAAAAAATCGCTAATTAAATCCGCCTTGGCGAACATCGATGTACCTTCAAAAAATAAAATCGTTTTCAGCGATACTGCCGAAAGGTATAGTGAAAATAACTGCACTAATGAAAGTGGCAAAAAGACGTTATTCAACGAAAATGATTCTGAAGAAGAATTTGAACCGACCTTTTCAGTAAAAGAGCATTTCCAAGGGAAAGAAGGACAGAAGGTATTCTCACTAACATCTAATTAATTATAATTTAATATAATTTATTTATTTCAGTTATTAGAATTGCAATCTAAATTCAAGAACGATAAAAGGTTTACTCTCGATGAGAGATTTTTGGAGAACAACGAAGCAGAATCTGTAGAAGTTGCTCCTAATCAAGAGGCTAATGAAGATGTGCCCATCGAGGAAGAAAAGAAGAGAGAATACGAGATTCTCGAGCAAGTTTTAGGAAAGAAAATCGCTCCTAAAGAAAAACATGAACCAAGGTAGAGTGTATAAGCTTAATAAAATAATAAAAACTAGTGACATAATCGATTGTAGTAAGAAGAAAATGTTGCGTTTTGATCCTTCCCAACCGGAACATTCTAAATATGAAATTCCCAAAGCCGCGCCTGAGAAGAAAAGTAAAAGAAAGCGAAAAAATTCTGAGGCTGAGGTAACTGATGAGAAAAAACAAGAGGAGAAAGCAGCACCGGAGGTTTCCAAAGAAGTATTTTTCCAAGTTTCTGATAATTTGAAGCAGACTTTTGAAGAACAGAAAGAATTTAGCTTACTCAGTATGTTTGGGCAGCAGCCAGAAGAAAAAAGAGGTAATTAATACACTGCCGTATTACACGGATTAATTTATAATTGTATTTACTTACAGCAGAAGAAGCATACGCGTCAAAAGAGCATTCTAAAACATTGACAAATGGTTTTCATAAAGAAAAGAATCCATTCAGGTACGACTCATCTGATGATGAAGATGAAACACGAGATGTTCAAGAAAGTAATAAAAATCAATCAGTCCCGGCTAAAAATGAAGAAGTTAGAAAGAAAACTTCTTGGACCGAACCATTCTTTTTCAAACTGGACGATTTCAGGTTACAAGGTTGTAAAAATATATTTTTCACGTTATTTGTTTTTCAATTTGGTATGTTTTAGAGGGTTTCGATTTCCTTGAAAAAATGCAATCCGAAGAGACAACCGAGTTCAAAAAGTTACGCAGAGACCTCAAAGAAATAGTCAAAGCAAAAGTAAGAAATAATTTAAGGAAAAACAAACCATTCAAGAAAAAATTGGGAGGCAACAGAAAGAAGAAAGTTCTTAGACTTAAGAAAGCGATGAAAAGGTGACAATAAAATGTAGTTGAATTTTTTTTATTTCGTTTCATTTATACATTCATGACGAATTCAGTTGTGAATTCAGATTAGAATAAAATCAATTTTGTTTACTCATTAAGTAATTATATTGGAAAATTATTATACAAAATACCGTTGAACATTTTTTCTATGTACTAAAGTATAATGCCAAACGTCTGGAATTTAGTAGTGAAACTCCAATTTACATAATTTAAAATACTTAACATTAATGAGAAATCACACGTACGTGTAAAATTCTAACCAAATAAAAATCTGACAAACAATGCGTAGAATAAAGAAATGCACAAAATAATAATAATTCTACAAAGCTGTTGGGAATCATACATCGACGTTAACAGCCACATGTATGTCAAAAAATACTTATATAATATAATATTATTACATCTACTCCTTAGCTGGCACCTCGATAACTCGAGGTTTGTCGATAATACGGGCGGTTCTATTGCCTTTCTCCACAATACCAATAATCCAGGCCTGATAACCTTCCTGTTTTTCGATATCTTTGCAGTAAGCGGCCGCTTGCTCGCGCGGCAAACAAATCAACAGCCCCCCCGATGTTTCAGCCGAATGGCCTTGCAACAATTGAAACATATTCCCACAAGCCTTCGCCACCGCCGCCATTTTCGCAATGACGGGCAAATTGTGTATAACAAACGACACCTCGTTCTTTTGATGCGACGCCAACGTCTGAGCGTGTCCCAGCAGACCGAAACCAGTGATGTCAGTAGCACCGTGCGCGTTGTATTTATGCATCAATCTGCTCGCGATGCGGTTCAAACGAGCCATCGAATCCATCGCCCTGTGGTACGCTTTCCTCACGTCCTCCTCACTAACCACCAACTTAATCCTGTTCCAACGCTCCGGCTGGTCCAGCCACTGGTGGGCGTTCACGGCCACCTGCGTGCCCAACGGTTTCGTCAACACCAGCACGTCGCCCACCACGGCGTTGTCCGGAACGATGTATTCGTTGGGCTGACAGACGGTGGTGGCGACCCCTCCGATCGTGCACCAGGGATTCACGACCGTCTGGCCGCCGGTGACGGTCGTGCCGGCCTCCAGGGCGGAGTCTTTGAAGCCTCGCATGATCAACGGTATGACCACGTCCCGTTCCTTTTCGGTCATTTTCGTGCTGACGCCGAGCAGCATGAGCATGTTGTCGCATTCCGTGACGCCCATGGCGTAGAGATCGCTCAGGACGTTGGCGCAGGCGATTTTGCCCATCATGTACGGATCGTCGACCAACGGGTAGAAGAAGTCTGTCGTTTGCACCAGGCAGAGGCCGCCGTGTCGCAGAGGGGTAACCTGGAATTCGATAAATCATTGAGTATCGGTGATATCGGAATAGGTGGGATAAATACCTTGTGTTAGGATATGAGGAGAGGGATGCGAAAACACCGAGTAGGTTTATTAGCACTTTTAAACAAGTTTTAAGCGGGGTTTTCGTGAATTTCTGAACGAAGCGTTTTGGAGGATTTATTTTTAACAATTCTGAAGCTTTTGTTAGTTGGTTATTGTTTTTTCAGTTCCATAAAACAACTTTCGATTGATATAACAATAAAATGCAAAGTGGTCTTTTACATCGTTAGCAATAGTAACAAAACTAATAAAACTAATCTTAAATACGATTTTTAGTAAACGCATGCATAATAACTGAACTTTGTGACCCTTAAAATCGTAAGGTTGATAAACATACAGTAAATAGTAAAAAAATCCTTATACTTAGTGTGTTCGACCATTAACAGATAAACATTATTTGAAGTCAAATTAAATACGAAACTGATAACAACTCCATTGTAGTAATTGATTAAAGTAAAAGCATTTTAAACTCAAAAAAGATGTTGAAACGCATAAAAATTATTCATATACTTATAGTTAAAAAATATTAAAAAACAAACACAATTTAATTTTAAAACGTTAAGGTGCGAGCAATGCGCTGCAACAGCTTTATTACGAATACGGATAATGCAATTTTATCGAAAAATTAAGCGCTGGTGTAATGACAACAAAATCTTACCGAACAATCAAGGCCGATTCCGATTCGCGGAATAGCCATATGCATAAAATGAGCGTGTTCATGTTCAGCGGAATTGTAGTCCTGTTGAAGACCCTCGACGAGTTTGTTGAGAACTTCCTGGGGCACTTTGCAACCTCTGCCTTTTAAATCGGCGAATCGCGTCAACCTGAAACTCGCTTCCAAGTCGTGGGCCAAGGGATCGAAAGGCCGACGCAGGGCCAGGGTATTCGGATTTCCGCCGAGCTCCAGCTGAACGGCCCCAAGAGCATCCTGCTGGACCTGAGCTACCTGATAATCACCCATACCGGCTTTTCGGTTTAAAATCAAAATGTATTCGTACTACCGTGTTAAAAACACTGGCTCAACGAGAGCGTTTCTCAAACAATCGCGAGACGCTTGGAAAATGGCGATCCCAAAAGCTGTCCGGCTAGGAGCCGTGCGCATGACAGAACACTGCCTCGCTGTTGATTGGTCGAAAATAGGAAGCCGATTATGCAGGAGGTTGTCAAAATTTTTACTTTGACTACATAAAAAGTTAATTTTAACATAATTTCTTTGATATATCAATTTCATATTGTTTTATTTCGAAAATTCGATATTTTGTTCAACAATACGCGTTGATTTGGTACCAGCAACTGTTATAATGAGCTCGTAAATTAATATTGATTTTTTCCAATTTCAAATACGCCCGAAAGAAGTGGGAAATTTTACGACAAGATGAGTAGTAGTTACAACGTTGCCATATCCTCCTTTTCCATCCATTTTAAACAATTTTTAGCCACAAACCCCCTCCTTTCTTACAAAATCTTATAGTATCTACTTTATAATTTCTTCATACATAATCCAATTACCCAAATCTCGCAAATATGTTCTGTTTTAACAATATAAATTTGATACCGCTTATTATCGCCTCGATGTGGCGACCGTGCATCGCCCTGTCACTTGTCATTGGTTCTGTTCCTGTTTATGTTCTAAGCTGTCGTGTGTTTGTTGTTTTGCTGATAAATTCGTTATTTGTAAGGTTATCCGCTATATCCATTTATTATTATTTATTAATTATAATTGTATTAATTGTTGCACATTCAGGATAATCCTTTCGTACGCAATGGAGGGTTGTCCAAACGATACTATCGTTAATATGGTGAAAACATTGAATCCGCCTTCCACCGATTTCCCCATAAAAAGATCACTGAATGGAAATGAAGAATCCACGCCGGTGCCAATAAAAAGGTTCAAGTCTATCAGCAAGGACTCCACTCCTTACGAAGGTTCCCCTAGGGAGTTGAGAAGGATGCGAGCCGATTTAGTGGAAGCCAGGATCACCATCAAGGACTTGCAGTGTAGGCTAACCAATTCTCATTCTCTCAGAAATAAGATGGAATTGGAGTTCAAGGAAGAGAACAAAATTCTCCGGCGACAAAGCGAGTACGACAAAAAAAGTATCCAAGAATTGGAAGATCAACTGCAAACGATAAGAAAACGAGAGAAGGACCTTAAAAGTCAACTCTCAGAGGTCCGAATACCGTCACAAATCTTCTAGAATAAACGATAAAATTTAATTAATTGTTTCAGATTAAATGCAAGTACGATTTACTAAAAATAAATTCAGCCAAAGAAATCGAAATGCTCCAAAACAGCTCCAGTAATTCCAAGGAGGAAAGCACCGAATCGGACATTGAAGAAAGCGCTGTCGTGGCATCTCTCAATAGAAGAATAACTGAGTTAGAAACGATGCTTGAATCTGCCGAAGACGATGCGGAAACTCAGAAACAATACGTCAAAGAATTAAGTAAGTCCGCTTGATTAAATCAATTCCTATAATATTCACGTGACATTTTTAGGCAGTAAATTGAGCGAGGATAATAACCTTCAGAAAAATTTGGAGCAAAAAGAGTACGAACTAATGAAGGCGAAATTAACAGTGAACAATTTGGAGTATCAATTAAAAAGCTACAGCGAATTTCAAGATCAGGCCAAAGTAAATTGCATCAATTTATCGTAAAAATCACAAATATATGCTTGTTTTTCTTTCAGCAACAAGCAGACAAGTTATCCAGGTACATTGAATTGGAAAAAGAGAACGAACGGTTAAACCAAGAGCGCGCCAGCCTGCTCGATCAAGTCAAAAACAAGTTAATTCTCGAAGAACAAGCCTTCGACTTCAAAAGACGATTGGAAAAATACAAAGATTACGATAAGAAACTGATGGATTTACAGGTACAATATCAAGCAGATAAGACATCATTTACTCATCAGTTGAATTATAGATTCAGCAATCCCAAAGTATGCTGCAATTGAACGAATGGAAAGCAGTTGCGCGGGAAATATGCGAATCGATGGATTCCGATTCGTCGTTGCCGCATCAATTGAGAAGCGTCGTGGAGAAGCTCCAGCATCAGGAGTTGACTCTAACATCGCAGAAAGTCGAATTGGAGTGCGAGCTTAAATCAATCAGCCACGTAAGTAAATAAAAAAGGGCTTCGACGAGCGTTTAAAACTACCCTTGTTTGTAGGAATCGAAGGTACTCAAATCAGAAGTGGAAAAATGCCGCAAATTAATCGAAGAATTGAAACTAACCGGCGAGCAAAAGCAGAAATTGATCCATCGAATGGAGAAGAGATTGAAATTGGTGATTAGCGAAAGGGACAGTTACAGGAGGCAATTGGATTCCTACGAGAACGATTTAACAATGGATACGACCGTCAGTAGAAGTTCGAGCCAATTGCAAACACAAAGGGAGCATATCAACAATTTGGAAAAATTAGTTAGCGGATATCGGGATACAGTAGCTGAATTGGAAAATGACCTTCACAACGCCCAACCTCATTTACGCGATGATATACCGTTGAAAATCGAGCAAGTGGCCAGATTAAAAGATGAAGTTCAAAGATTAAAACTGGAAAACGACAAGCTACGACAGAGATGTGATCAGCTTGAAATCAAACTGGAAAGACAAATGGAGAACGACAGCTCGTTCAAAGGCGGCAAAATCGCCCATCAGCTGTACAACCCTTTGAGGGAGAGCGTGGAGCAGCGGGCCAATCAAGTGGAAAATCTGAAAAAGGAAATCGAACGCTTGAAATTGAAGATCAAGAATTACGAACAGGGCATCGAGAACAGCAAAATCGGCGATGTGACGTTGCACTCCAAAGAAATCGACGCGCTCAACGAGCAACTGAAGTCGCAGGAGTCGCAGACCGAGATGCTGAGGAACTATTTGAAATCGAACTTCCAGGAGCTCAGGAACGTCATCTACGTGCTGTTTGGGTACAAAATGGACAGAACGAAGAATTCATTGTACACGTTGGCGAACATGTACGCCGAGAAGCCCGAGGATGTAATATGCTTTCAATACGCCGATGGGAATATGCATCTTTTGCAAAACGAATTTACCGCTTCCTTGGAACACATGATTAATTTGCACGTGAAGCAACAAAATTCGATTCCAGTTTTCCTCAGTTCCTTAACTCTCGATTTGTTTGCTAATAAAAGTATGACCGGCTTGCTTTCGGTCAATTTAACTGGAAATTAATTAGTACTCTTTTGTAAATTTTGTGAAAAGTTAGGCTTAAAAGCGTTTTCACACGGTGCATTATATCGCAGCAATAGACGTTGCTATATTGCAGTTAAAATACAAGCGTTAATAAAAATTATCAAATGTGAAAAATACACATTTTAACGCTTGTATTTTAACTGCAACGCAATATATTGCACTGTATGAAAACGCTCTTAGCACTTACATTTTTTTTAATGTTTATGTGCATAGATTCTTATTTTTTATTCATAGTTCTTCCGTGGGGATACTTAATTAAGAGAACAATTTAATTATTTCATTTAAAATTTGAATAAACTAGATACTTATTTATAATTAGCTTATATTATTATGATTTATATTAGAATGCATTGAGAATAATGATTTATTGTTTTCAAAACAAACTAAAATATAGGTAACAAATTTTTAAAAACTGTCTAGCAATTTTGTTTGTCTAATTTAGTAGCTTTTAATACGTAAGTGAAATCGGAATTGAACCACCAGCTCCATGTATTCGTAAGGAAATTGTAAATAGTTCCGTGAACAACGTCTGTCCGGCAATTATCTGATAAAAAAAATTAAAAATTAACGCAATTATTACCAATCTGATAATTAATTATCTTACTTTTTTCCAAAATGCGCTGCAATTCGTGAGGGGTAATGAACTTTTCGTAATGATGCGTCCCTTTAGGTATTCCTTTTATTACGTTTTCGCCTAGATATATCGCTAAAAAACTAGCGTATTTTGTCTTGCTTATGGTCGTGAAAAATATAGAGCCATTTGGCTTCAGGCATTCAACGCAAGCTTTAACGAATTCTTCTTTCTGGGTAACGTGTTCTATCACTTCCGAACTGACGACCGCGTCGTATTTTTCGAAGTTTTCTCTAGCGTGGTCCTCTACAGACGAGGCCACGTAATTAACGTTCGCTTTAGTTAGCTCAGCGTGCGCTTTAGCCGCTTTTATGAGGTCTTCATTGGCATCGAGTCCGGTTACATCGGCTCCTATTCTCGACAATGGTTCGCTTAAAATTCCCCCTTGAATTAAAGAATATTTATTATTGAATGATTGTAGAGGAATGTGCGTTACCTCCACAACCGACATCTAATACTGAATATCCTTTCAGGGGCAAAGAGGCATCTTTCATTTCATTATTCGCAAGGATACAATCTCTTATCCAAGGGATGCGGATTTTATTCATCGAGTGGAGAGGTTTAAATTCCCCGAACTCGTCCCACCAGTAGGAAACAAACTTTTTAAAATGTACTACTTCTTTATCATCGATAGTTGAAGTTCCCGATGAGTATAATCTAAAATGTAGCAATGTTAACGTAGAATTTGGAAATGGAAAATTAACTTACCTAATTTTAACCATACATTTAAAGTTTTGTGTCCTAACAAACCCTTTTAATAGATTACCTGCCATATTGATAAATACTCTGAAAAATACGAATATTTATATAATAGCACCACTTTTGAACTGTTTTGCTTCTTACCTCACTATGAATTAAGATTATTTCGGATAAGGTAATTAAATAACAAATATTTTTTTATAAAATTATTAAAAAAAATCGTCATAAATTGTAAACAAGAGAATTATAACAAAATTATGTTTCCTTTACTAATTACCATCTTTCCTTACTATTAATTAATTTTGATTAAATTCTACGTACATATTCGACAGGTAAAGTGGGGCAAATTCAAACTTACGGTACTTCACAATTTTTTTTTCGAAATTGTTTATTTTTAAATGATCACGAAAAACTAACCTCAATATCGAAATTTGAAGTTCGAGTTAGCGCAGATGACAGTTGACATATAAACAAATGCCAAAATCATAAAAAAAAATACAACTTGATTCTATTAAAAAAAAACAGTTTATCCCACTCGAATTTAATGATGATTTATGAACGCTTTTTTTTCGTGTTTCCGTAATGTAATTAAGCTTATTTGTAACATTCAAGAAGTCATTAATAACAATAAGACCACACAATTAAATTAATGTGTTTATTGCAAGACCCCGATAATATATTAATTAATTTAATTAATTATATTTAATTATATTAAATCCATGTTTTTTAAAATTTGGCTTTGTCTTCGGGATACAAAAAAGCGAGAAGCGAGCGTTACTAATTATCTGTGACATTCTGTGATGATTATTAAAATATTCCTGAAAAAAAGCGAACTTCCTTGCACTCTCATAATTTTTTTTTATTCATATTTCTTCTTCTTGGTAACGTAAAACTTGGTCTCACCTGCAAGGGCTATTCGGCCACACTTACATTTTTTTTGTCATAAGAGAGCAAAAGTCAAAAATACTTTTTTCTTCTTTTTTATGAGATATATTCAACTACTACATTTAAGCTGAAATACTTCATAGTAAAAGACCATTATAATTCAAAATTTTAAATGTAAATTGCAGTTCATATTCTCACTATTCTCTGAGAAAAAGTTAGCATTACATAAGTTATATTTCCTTAAGCTTTGTTTTGTATCTTTGGCTAGGTAAAATGAAAATTTGAATCAATACAGTGGCAGTTTTAGCTAAAAATAGTGTAATAAATCCTTTTAAATTTAGTGTACAAATCTAGCTCACGACGGTATTTCTTCTTTCAATGGTTTATGCTTAATGTAAGATAAGAAAACATTATACAACATTGTTACGCCATTAATGTAAAACACTTGAAAACGAACAGGTACATAGTAAAAGTTTATAAACTGAGTCGGTGGCCAAACCAACCAATCAACCTAAAAATTTCATTATAAAACTAAATTTGTATAGCATAGAAAAATACTTACTGTATATGTTTCCATAAATTTCTCCTTCAACTCAACCGTAGAGTCTCTAAGAGATTTATTTTCTAAAGCACTCATTCCATAGAAGAATGCACCAATACAAATTGGAGACATTATGAATTGATCCAGGCCAATTTTCCATGTAATAATTTTTGTTGTTCTGGCGGGCCATTTTTTAGCTATCCATAAATAATAGTAATGATGAATCGGGCCTAATACCAAACCCACCAAAAACATTCGTGCTAAAATTAAATTGTGATTAAAGTATAATCGAAAACAACAATTAGAAATCGTACTTAATCTGCCATAATCGTATCGTTTTTCTAGCGTGTGCTGACGATACTCTATTTCCTGTTGTGCAATGTCCCCAATGAACATCAACACCCCGGAACTAACTATATTAGTGGTTAATAAATACTTATTGCTAAAAATAACTGCTAATGGTGATCGGCCAGGCGTAGGTGGTGTTTTAGATATCCCTCTACTAACAATTTGTTTAAAATTTACTCTCAAAGGAGTCTTCGAAATGGCCAAAATTCTTCCACAAAATTTGAACATTTTAGGTTATGTAATACTGTAAATTTTATTTATGTGGTATTCAGAAAATGTTTGAAATCTCTTTTAGTATACCGACTCATAGTTATCTATTTGCACGAAATTATCTAATAATCCTAAAATTACTAATTACAACACTATCTTATTTTAAATAAATTGGTAAATGACATTACCAAATGTCAATGTCAACGTCAAAATTATTCACAATTTGACTTTTCTTTCGAAGTTATTCAGCATAATGATACTAGTTGATCAAAAAATAACATTTATTTAGTAAAAATTAAAAAGAAAACTCACAAACGTCTACTGCGGATTGTCCACTAAAGAAGGTGTTGGTGACATAGTTTTGACAATAGTATCTCTCTCTATGGGATTCCTCCTCAAATTAGGAATTAGATTCTGAATCTGTTTGGGCACCAACTTGTCTTGCCAACTTTTCTCAAAGTTGTATCCATCCAAATAGAAGTAGAAATCGTGCACTTTTTCAATGGCTTCGTAGATTTCCCCGAACAGAACCCTTTGCATGTGCTCCTTAAGGGTTATCAAGTAAGCGACCAACTGCGATGCGTATGTTCTTCTTCGGGTGCTCAGAGGCCTTTCGGACCATTTATTAATCGTGGTGGCCATGGCTTTCTCCAAATAAGGCGAAGGGAATTTCAAATAATCGGTCAGTAAATCAGAAACGCTCTGTAAACTAACAGGTATTTTTCCAGTTTCTTTCTTTTTGATGATCAAATCCACAACTTGAGTATCGAATACGTTTTTAACAAACACATCGTATCCTCTGTATAGTATGTCCAGTAAAGGGCCGGCTTCGTGGATGACTTTGCATGTACATTCCGCTTCGAAGACTTCTTTTAATTCAGCGTAAAACTTCTTCTGCTTCACATTAATGAAATCGAATAGGTAGACTTGATCCCACGTGCATATGGCTAATAATTTAATCGATCCTCCTCTGCATTTTTCAATGCCTAATCCGGCTACTCCGATCGTTTCGGCCTTCGATATCACATTCACAGCATCGAAATATCTCGAATCAGCATTTTCGATGTACACGAAATCTCTGGTCATGTCCTTTAAACGGTCGTATTCGGATTCCACTATTTCCAAACCGCTGAAGTTAACTTCGAGCTGGCTTAAGAGGCTGTCGGAAGCTTTTTCTTTTACTTCATTCTTGAATTTTTTTATACTAACAATTTCGTTTCTGTAGAACGTGTATATTCCACTAAGCTCGTTGTCGTTATTGTGTTGTTTGGGGTTCTTCAGATCGATTCTGCTAGAAGCTAAGTCTGCTATTTCTCCTTCGAATATATCGTCGCTCGTCAATTCTATCACTATGTAATCGCCGACGATGAATTGTTCTTTAAACGATTCGGGATCCATGCTTTGGGACTATTTTGGAATAATCACAGTCTTAAAATTGTACATGAAAGTGTAAAGTTTTGTAGTAACCAAAACACAACAAATTGAACAAATAGGTTTGATTTTTGAAAGTTCCGATGTTGACAACTGACAATAGTGACAATGACGTTGACGTTGTTGCTTGGAAATATTTCTTCTTTTTTGTACTATTATACTTTTGTATGTTATTTTTTCTTGTAAATATAAACTGTTTATTGTATGATAAGATTAAATTATTATAAATAATAGAATTGAATTCAATTTTAATTAAGTACCCAATAAATTTTTGATAATTTATCTTCTTCATTTTATGAAAGTGAAAGTTGAGTACGTCAGCATAATAAAGTTGGAGCAAACAGCAAGCTAACAGATTGGCCGATAAAGTTTCGGATTTTTAAATTTTTAGTGTAAGTTTTTCCAATTTTTTCATTATTATTGTTATTTATCTCACATTTGTTTACGTTGTATTAAATTCGAATATTAATATCAGTTAAATTATGAAACAAATTGCACAAATTGTAGTTTGAAGCAACACCTATACTGATTCATTCTCAATTTGTTTACTTTTAGCATGTTTTGAATACAAAATCTAAATAAAACCAATAGTAAATATATACAATTCAATTTCTATATACTTGAATTTTTTGTAGCAGATTTTTTAGTTTTATCGAGCAACATGGCCAGACCGGGTAAGACCAAGGAGTCCTCCAAAGAAAAGAAGCTGAGGCGGAAGGAATTCGCCGAAACCCAGAAGCAAGTCAAGACCATAGTAGTACCCGGATTAATCGCCATCGCGATTTTCATCATGGCATACGTTTACATTAAAACACGACCAAGGGACGGGTTCATCGACTGATACGTGAAATTAATTATTTTTTTAAGAAAGTCTGCTATTTACTATGAAAGTGTTGCATTTATTTACAAAATAAATGGTTTTGTTAGAGTTTATTTATAAATATTTTTAGTTAAGTTGTTCCCTTCTTATTCATGACTCTTATATAGCATCGAAAGGTGCTAGTTATATTTATAATTAAAGATACTTTTACACTTACCTTGGGATTTATATTCCTATTGAATCAATTCTTCCTGCCAATTTTGTGCTTTATTAATAAATATATCATATTTCATTGGATTAATTCATTTTCTTTATAGTATTCCTTCATACATGTTTCCAATAAATTTTACATTACACAAAAGAAATTAGGTTTGGGTAAGCGAATTAAATGAAAAACGGGTTACGATTATTTACTTTTTATATCCATAAATACTATCACAATATTACATAAATATTAAAAAATATCATTTCACTCAGTGCGTTACGAGGCTCTCGGGAACCAACATCAAGTCTTCGTCTCTTTCAAACATGTATGCCACATTTCAAAATTGCCGCTATTTTTTTAACAAAAAAAAATGCAAGTTTGGGTCCCATTGTTAATAAAGTCACATTCAACACTTTCTATTTACAAAATTTTACTATGTACAGCTAAAAGAAGGATTGCCCCATTCCGAAGACACTCGAGATATGCGTAAGTAGTAAGCGGTTGAATTGGGATTTTTTCAAATTTAAGTAGACATTCCAGCGCAAATATCTTCCAAAATAAAGCAATCCTTTCTTCCTTCAATCGATCGATCGATTCGTTAATACCTATACTAAGCTATCACAGCAAGTTTGTTATGGCGCCTCCGAACCAAGCCATAATCATAGGCAGAAGGTACGAAATCAACGCTCTAGTGAGCGACATATTGCTGGCGTTCGCGGTTCCGCCGGACGTCCTGACCACCTCGGGCCCCCGCGTACTGCTCGGCGTCGTCGTCGGATACGGGCGGTTCGTTTCCTCCTCGATTTTACCCCCTTTCGCCTCCACGAAGGTGATGTCTTTGTCGCCTTCGCCTTCGCCCTCGCCCACTTCCAACTGAAACAACAAGATATCCATCAGCAAATGATTAACAAAATCATATAAAGTTATGATAAACTGCTAATTACATATTAAAACAAAACGATATATTTTACCGAGTGATGTGTACAAACGCGCAGCGAGCAATGTAATCTGTTATTATCTGGTCCGGTATAAAGAATTTAACACTTCCTCCGCTTAATTGAATTATAGATCGTAAAACGTTTAAAAGTCGACGGAAACTAATAAAAATTCTTACACGCTTCAATAAAAGCGCAACGAGAAGCCATCAGAATAATTCTACAAACACACAATCTATGAAATCTTCATCTTATTTTTCCTCCAATGGAATGCTTAATATTCAACGGATTAATCTAGTGGAATATTAAAACAGGTCTCAATTGCGCTAAGTTTTTCCCACGAGAGATTTGAAGGTAACGAGGTACATAGCTGAGGAGGCATCAGAGAGCATTAGATCCAAAAGATCTAGGCACAACTAGGTCATTAGAGCTCCCAAGGTTCAGAAACTTAGGTGACCTCTGGCAGAAACAATGACCTTAGATCACCAGGAAAACTACCGAGAACCTCATGACCTAGTTGGTTGTGAAGCTGCAAACACCTGCCCTCAAACAACAACAACAACCCTTGTTGCATATCTTATTCTTCCAAGAGCTACATCGCAGCAACCAATCCCAACAACAACAATAAATCTATTAAAATAATTACTTTTTTCTCTTGTTGGTCTTCGTCGTCGGGGCCGTCCCCGGAGCCGGATCCGCTGCCGTCCAGCACCTCCTCGGTGTCGTCCACCATTTCCACCTCCTGCCCTTGGTGGGCCTTTCGCAGCTTGTCGTTCAGCCCCTGGAGTATGTACGTTTGCTCGCTCAATACGGGATTGTCGGCGGGCTGTACTTTGGTCTGGTAAAAGGCCGTACCGTTCGGAGTGGTACCGTTCCAACATCGGCTCGACGCCGAAGCGTTCCTGGCGTTGGATATGGACAGGTTGTTGCAATATTGGTACGGTAGATTCATCCAGAACAGTTTGGTTTCCTTGATTTTCTGCGAACGAAATGCCGAAGTTAGTACGATACTTAAATCGTCAATCATCGCGTTAATTAGCGAATATTAATTGGTTAATTAGAGCCCGAACGCGAGACGCTCGACAGAGAAAATAAACGGAATCCGCGCGGCGGTTTATTAATAAGTTTGTTGAACCGAGTAACCTCTCAATTTTAGATCAAACGAAACGAAATTAATTACCTATACACGCCGGAATGCCGTTTTCGCTTTCCAGCGAAAAAATAAATTTCAGACGATTTGCATTTTACGCGGCGACTGGTCGTTTTACTGCTCCGCTAAATATCGTTACCTGTTTGATGTCGATGATGATCTTCTCCAGCGGCGTCGATTGCACCTCCACGCTCGTCATCGTCTTTTTGTGCTTCTTTCGGCCGGGCAATTTCATCGGCTCGATTTTGATTTCCATCGTCGGTCCGTCCTGGACGGCCTCCTTGTAATCCGCCTTGCGCTTGGGCCTGCTGAACGTCGGCTTGCCGCACAAACTGTAGATTTTCTTCGACACCTCGGCGCCGCTCTCCTGGAAATTCATGATGGCCTCCGAGATTTTTATATTCAACGGCTCCACCACCACTTCGATGTTGTAAGGCCCCAGCAACCGTTCACCCACCTTATCGATAGCGTCTAAAAAACGAACCAAACTTTAAACGAAATTCCTTTAATAATTTTTGTGTACGCACCGATTAAGTTATCCCAATAATTGGACACCTCGGTGTGGTACTTGAAGCACTTCTGCATGGTGTTTATGCAGTACATCGAGCACGGCGAGGCGCCCTCTTCCCCTTTACAAACGCCGCAGTACCGCATCCTGGCGCTGTCCCTGTAGCACTCATCGCCCAATTTCAATTCGCCCAGCCTTTCGGCCGTCTCGGCGGCCTTCATCAGCGCCTTGAAGAACGTCCTGGTGGCGACGAACGAGCGGCGCAGCTGCACGCCCAGCTTGTGGGGCACGTCGCCGAAGGGCTTCATCTCCTGCATGTGGCTGGAGACGCAGTCCAAATAGGCGTCGTCGAACGTGTACTGGGCGTTGATCACGGTGAACATCCGCTGGTAGAGGATGCCGAAGAACGTGTCCATGGTCTCCGACAGCCGCACGGAGCCCTTCTTGTAGTACGTCTCCAGCTCGTTGAAGAAGTCGCTGAAGACGTCCGAGTTTTTGAGGTAGATCTTGCCGTAGGTGCGCTCGAACATTTCGTGGAATTCTTTCTTCGACGTTTTCATCATCCCTTGGAATTGATCTGCAAGAGATACTCTTCAATAAAAAAAGATTCTACGAATGAGCGGTAGTCGAACGTACCATCGAATCTCCTAGCTCTGGTTTCTATTATAGATGAAATTTTCGATATAGAATTCTTTAGGAATTTATCTACGGACTGTTGGCTTAATTTGTACGCTTCTCTTTCTGCTTCCTTTGTACAGCACGATTCGTCGCATAAATCACCTGTGAACAATGAAAAAAAAAGGCGTATTTAATGCATCTCTCGGGCGATTGAAAATATCGGCGAGCAGTTTGTTTTTGTTGATAAACTTTTGCGCAAGGAAGCACCCGTCTCGGTTAATTTACAAACGCGCGCTATAAACATTTCACCGAAATTGTTTACTCTTCGCCGTTGGATTATTAAAGAGTTTTTACTCGCAACGAATCGACAAACAAAGAGACGTATTTATGTAGTAAAACGTAATCAGTAAACTCAGATAAGTGAGCGAAAAAAGAGCTTGTGAAACGGTTACACGAAGAACTCAAACAGTTAAGATTAAATGAACTAATACGGGTAAATGACAGTTCTGCATTTGGACGTGAAACCGTCCTCATTACCAGTGAATTAGTTATAAGAAACTGTCTAGGAGTAGGTGAAAGAATAGTTTGTAATACAAGGAAGATCGAATGATTTGTGTAGAGACAGGTACTCTTGTTGGATATTCAATTACGGTACTTCACAGCTGCGAAGTGTATCCTTTTCGATCTCGATTCCAAGCTCGCGATGCACTCTCAAAGGCGAGGAAAAAATCCAATATTGACAAAAGTAGTTTCTAGGTAATCCGGAGGCGGCATCGTGAACTTTCTAAACGACCAAACACCCAGTTCACATCAAAGAGATTAACGCGAAAACAAACCAGGCGCGTGATATAAATAAAAAAAAATCCGTCGTGTACCTTCATTAATCTCGCAACAGCGAATTTTATATTCCTAGCGCATTTTTGCTTTATTTCTTTATTGCCTTATAATCTCGTGTACTTTCACACAAATTTAACTGTTATTGCCTAATAAAAAATATAATAGCTACAATTTCGACTAATTGGCGATTTAATAATAAAAACGTGACTTCCAAAATTCCACTTTCTATCAATCACTGTTGTGCTGAAGAATCTCCGAATTTTATACCGAGAAATTCGCTCGGGTTATGGAGAAGATATAAAAACAACACCCCGCTAAGAGTAGTACTAAAATCTCGGTTTCGGCGACAGGTACTATTCATCCGATCGCTCCGAACAAGTTTATTCTTGAAGCGGCGAAGCCTCGACTTGTCTGGGCAGCGTCGACGTCAGGAGGCAGATATTTCAGCTGGAGGTATGCCGAATGAGTCATTCCGAAAAATACCTGAAACCCGGCGTTGCTTTATATTCTCTTTCGTACTCCTTTCTTTAATTCTTTTGCGAGTTTTGCGGACGCATTCCTGTCTTAACCAGTTTATTCCGTCGGTTTGGCGCTCGTTCGGCCAGCAGGAAGCGCCTGTATGGGACAGTTTTTAGGAAAGTGACGCCTGCGATTCCACGTAATTAACAAGGTATTATCCCCGGCTTACGGATTACGAGGCGAGCCAAAGAGGACCGATGTTTACAAACCGCGGCAAGCGGGCCTTTGCCGCTTTTATCGGTCTCCGTGAAAAGGATGTTCCTTATCTTTTTACAACTCACTTTGGGAAAACGCAGGAATTGAAAAGACGGGATTTATTTTTATTATCTACTTAATTTATCTCGACCGTTGATTTTTATATTTACGCAGGTATACTCCTTCTGGCGCGCTCGTCGTAAAAAAGAGCGGATCGTTTAATTTTCGTCAGTTTTGGTAGCCTTTGAATCGTACCGATTTATTTGCTCGTCGACGACCGGATATCAATTTTTAAAAGGCCAGGTAACTTACCTGGACTTCTCGAATTATTGAGCATAATATAAAAATAAAAATTAACAGTACTGACTTCTGGAAAAGGTATTTATGCAGTTACGAAGAGACGACAAAATTCTTGCATTATTAGCTTTAAAGTCGCGTTGTTTATATGGTAATTTTCCACTAGAAAGAATGTTTTTTGTTGTCGAACCTTTTGTACTGGGATTTCGAGACAACATTACCTGGAGGATCCGGCGAAAGTGGCCGTTTTTACCTTTCACAACAATCTGCTCTAATCGCCTTTGTGGCGTCGACAATAAAAACAGCTTATTCGGAATTAATCCGTATAAAGAATTTTTAGTCGAGCACGGCGGCCTCTCCACTAACAATTCAATTTCGAATTCGACTCAATGGGCTAGATGATTAGCAACAATGTGAATTTCTCGTCGCCGTCTCGTCCTCCTCCAGGGGTCCCGAGCACAATAATTCCAGACGTTATTAACGGCGATAATTTTATGAGAAGAGCGCTGCTACACCACTGGATGACTGATGCAACGTCTAGACTTTCATCATCTCCTTTAATTACTCTCGGTAAACACTTCGCTGACACTTCAAACTGCAATTATGTAGAGTAGTTCGAAGTGGGATCTGTTTCTCGATAAACGCAAGAGTGAGGTAATTGTTTGATTTCCATGCCGAGCCGAGATGGGTTTTTATAATTCATTAATTTGATTTATTCGCTTTGCGCCTCCTTAAACGCGCCGCAAATTAAATTTAGAGTGCAACGATTAATTCCACGAAAATCAGTGGTGACAAAGGATGGTACAAAAGAGCGTATGTACAGATTAATTGGTAAATTCCGATCGGGTAATCGAAAAGCATCCAAATGAGCCGCAATTGCGATTTCGGTCGTAAAATATAAAGATCTCCGGACATTTTTAACGCTAATAGAGGCATAAACAACGGCTCTTTCGACGTTTTCCCATTAACGGCATGATCGACGCGTTTCGCGAGGTAACGAAATCATCTTGGGATCCCCCCGCTGCGAAGCTGGCTTGTTTTTAGCGAAACCTCTCCAGTTTTTTTTTTCGGTTAAGTAGCGGGCGAGAACGCACCTTTATTTCATTATTATTACCGGCTCGGATCGCGAACCAGCTCGACTTGTATATTACGCTAAAACTTTAAATAACGATGTCCGTCGATGAGAGGCGAGATTTTAGCGCTGCACGCGCAAAAATTACGATGCTTTAATTATTTATAAGTTATCAGGAATTTTTCCGTACGCTAATAAATTAGAATTACCATTGACGGTTTATTAAAAGTTGTAGGTGTATACCAGTTACACGGATATTTCAGAAACGTGATGGATATCCTATTTTTAACACTGTTTAATTTCTTGAAGCGTTTTAGGTGCGCTTTGTTTATTGTTCTTGTGTTGGAAAATATACAATCTTGGGTACCTATGCCCGTTATTTTTGTACAGGGTGTTTTCATTCATCTATATCAGTAATCAATTTTCTTAATAGATTTTTATTTGCAAAGGATTTATGACGTCAAATCTTGTTTGAGAGTAGCAATAATTTCAGCAATTTTATTCCTCTCAAAGAATTTTTATTAAATTGAACTGGTTTTTTGGTATTTTTATGTAAAATATACCAGAGATGTACCAAAACTTTCTTTACTAAGGATTTCTTTACTAGTCATTTCAGTAAAATATCTCTTTCGAGGGTACCTATGTATTTAATTCATATTCTCTATGCATTTAGATCAGAAAATAAAGACAAAGAACAAGGATCACTAGCCACGATAATTATTCAATATAAAAGTCTTGTTTTAACGAAAAAGTTCGTCTATTAGGTATGAAAGAATGCATCATCACCTATGTAAATGCAGATGCGTACGCGTAAACAAATTCTTTCTAATGGAAGCAATTACCGCGCGTATAAATTTCCTCCTCGAATGGTTTATAAGCTCGACGACTAATTCTGAACAGTTCTCAGGAAGCCGTTCGTTCTCGGAATGTTTCTCGTCAAGTCAAACACTTCACACGCCGCGGGTATTTTTTTACTCAGAGACGCGTCGAACGCAAAGCAAACCGAAACGTTTTCCAAGTCAAATAAACCGGCGAACCCGACATTGTTGCACCGCACGAAATGGCTCGTTCGATTCCCATTCGATCGACTCCCGAATTTTCCGAGCCGATGGAGGAATTTCCATTTTAACGAGCCGCGGCGTACGAGAAAAAGAAGCGAAGGTATCGCATGCTAATACACGAAAATCGTAATAACATTCTGGGAAAAGTAAATTCCGCCGCATTGTCAGCACGACTCGAATCAGGATCATAAATTAACAGGGCTGTATTAAGGATTTTTCTCAAGGATCCAATGATTTTTTCAATTCGTTGTGTATGCAGTCGTTTGCGTTAAATTTGCTGGATTTCAGGCACAAAAATCGCAGTCTTCTATTCGATTATTTCTTCCTTTATTAAATCCTGTTAATATTACCAATTATTAAATAAAATAATGAACAACCATCAACATCGTTGACATAGTAATTAAACCTTGGTACAACAATAACAGAAGGCCGCAATCGACCAACAAACGGGACAGCTTAATAGCGAATAATGGAGGCGATCGAGGCCGATCGAATGTGACTTTTTAATATCTTCCTAATGGCCGGGGAAATTCTCACCATTCGATCCGGTTCTGTGCGCCATCTCGAAGATCAATGGGCAATGGGTCGATAGTCTGGTCATCCAAATACCGACGGCTACAACCCATGCCCATTGAATGGAATGCGAGGCGTCCAAACGGGTTCCTGCAACCGACCGGCACAGACCAATGGGTTATTGGTCATTGGCGCGCCTCGAAAATGGGTCGATGCGAATTCGCTGAAATGCGAAAGTTTCTTCAATCCTGCAACGGCCCTAATGCACCATTCGAGATGCGATAATAAATTTAATAGTGTGCATTAAACTTTGAACAAACGGAGATATGATGTGCATAAAAATGCGTATCGAACAAGTTGCATATAAATGCGGGTTCGTAACCTCCAGTTAATTGATGTGTTGTCAAACAAATAGCGCCGGCTCGATCTATTGTTATCGACTATCTAATTAATACGGAGGAATGGGAATCGTGTTCATCGAACCAATATTATTCATAATGATAGGTTTTGTGCATTGGTAGAGTTTTGTGAATGTATAATCACAAACTTTTAATACTATCATTTTATGAATAAATTTAAACATTCAATTACCTAATTAACAATTCTCGTTTTGTATAACTAACTCATTTAATAAATTATCCTAAAAAAGGTTGTACATACGAGGTAGGAGGTTTACAATTTAAGGAGTTTATTTCTGTAATTTCTCCTTGTTATTCAACACAAATATTTAGAAAACCGGCGAGTTTCGGCAACCGTTGGGCGCTGTAAAAGGTACTGAACCCATTCATTTGTAAACTCGCGTGCATTAAAAGTTCAAAAATACGCCTTTTATGAGATCTAAAATCTCGCGTACCGCCATAACAAACTACCATAATGTTGATAAAAACTGGCCGGAGCGAGCCGGCTCCCGAATGGTTAAATAAATTGAAATGTTATCTATCAGTGGCTGTCAAATTATTTCCAATCGTAAATTTTACGGATTTATCTTTATCGGGTGCTTAATTTTAAGTAAGCTGGAATTAATTTTATCGCGTTTACTCTATTAGAGCTTATGCGGCGGAGATTGTACATTTTTTGGATTCTTTCAGAGAAAACTTTTAACCACCATACACTAATTAACTATAAATATTTTTATATACCTTCGTATAATTAACCTGCTATTTATCCAACTCATGCGGTGAGTAATTAAATTATTTTAGAAAACTGATTAGTTTGATAATTAACAGATCCTTTATGAATCCAATTATGTACCTGATTACATTTTATCTAATAATTGGATTTATTTACTCTTTTATTGATAATATACCCGGTAAGTTACAAGCAATAATCTCCTGCTGTTACTAGTGTCTGGTGTGTTTGATTCATACAGTTTATGTTAATTCAAATTCCATGTAATTCTATTATACTGGAGGTTTACTTTACAACAATAAAAATATGACGGGAAGCAATAAAATTCGTCTAGGTAAAAAAAAACAATGACCCTACCTTGAAGCATACCTGCATATGTGGTGGGTATAATTATTTATTTTTTTACCGCATAGTCGAAATTTCTCAACTGAATCCACATATTCAATTACTAGTTAAATGTAAGCGGTTATTTTACACAGTCATATCTGACATTAGATTTTTGCTAAATTATTTTTTAGCGTGCGTGCATTGTAAACGCAAATCATGCGAAATGAGCCTTTATCGTCGCATGCAATATCCCACGAAAATAAAACTCTATTGCATACTGAATTTAATAATAGGTACGTTTTATTTATTGTGCCATAAAAGGGTCTTTTTACACGCGTGTGAAACGATATTTCATGTGCGATCGCGCTTTTCCATCAATCTTCCGAATAATTTAGCGCGGCACCATCCGGGATTAATTACATTCCAATTTCCAATCCGATGTCGGGCCAAAAACGCAGAGGAATGTAATAGTTTTTTTTTAAACGCTAGTTAACAGCGAACTCATTAAACTGTCAATCGGTCGATTCCATCCCCTTGAATTTTCTTTTCCGCGGGCTTCGTTTTCATTAACCCGGCGCTCTTCCAGCCCCGTAAGTTTTCCGTTTCATTAGCCGTTGCTAACGCCTCGACCGTGTAATATTTCGTGCTGCGAAAAACCGTGGCGTCGACGAGGTTTAATTGCCAGGCGAATTCACCCCGAAGCCTTTCCTTCGCGATTCATTTCACGGTCAACCTGTGCACGGAGCGTTTTATTGATAACTAATAAGGCAGCGCTAAAATATTCGCATTCCTCGGATGCCTTTCGGCGGAGCCCTCTCCCACGATGTCCGATCAGACGAGAGAGCCGTCTGTTGCCAAATTTACCTGCGCTTCCCTAGAAACAGCGGAGGTTTTCAACAGAAACGAGAGGCCCCCGTGGTCTCATAAAAACGGTCTTCGAAGACCACCTGCTAACAACGCATAATGTAATGAAAGGGGTTCTGTTAATCAGTAGGTTACTGCAATTTTTTTCCCTATTCCTTTAAATGCCTCTATAAATTCGCTGCCTGGAAACGATTCTTCATGGGTTCGTAAAACTGTTGAGTAATATTTTTTGTAAACTAAATTTGTCATTTGTATTAGTTCGTGTGGTCTATTCGAAGCGATTTCCCCGCATCATTCAATGAAAGGGAACTGACCGTAAAATTTTGTAATAAAAATCGTTTAGTGCGACTCGGAAACCGAGATATATGGTGCAAAATAATCGACTTGTCGAGTCGTTAAAACCATCCAGCACAAGCGGGCATGTGTTTCAATAAACTGCACCGTACTTAGAGCTAAACTAGGCGATACAGTAAAATGAGCAAAGAATTTTTGCTTATACAGAGTTAATCAATCTGCATAAATTTAATCCGCGAGCGTTAGCGCATCTATCGCATCGTTCCGCATATCAAAGGCGGCCAGCGAGAATATATTTATCCAGCAAATTACGGCGGTGATAACATTAATTTTATAGGTATATCTTCGAAAGAACCGGAATATCTGCGAGTTCGGCTCGCAATGAAAAACCTGCTTCGGATGTCCCATTTTTTTCCGATGCACCTTTGCAACTCTCCGCATAGCAACAACTCAATTTGAATACCGTCATATTTAATTACCGATATCTTTTTTTTGTGCCGGACTCTTTCGATTTTCGTGCGGCCAAATGAGCAGGCACAGTACAGAGCGCATAGGTGCACCCTTTTATGAATGGTTATCTTCATTCGTGAAGAGGTACTTGGAGATAACAGCCGTTAAAAGGCCGGCAAAAGACACCGAACCGATCTCGAGTAGTAGTTAGTAGCGCCATTCAGGTATAAATGCGAAATGGGAGCCTTTTTTTCGCTCGTACGAAGAGCTCGTCGTACAAATTCTTCCATTTTAGAAGTCTTTTAAATACTATTTGCTCCTACTGGTTTATTTGATCAATTTATCAACTTTTATTAATTCTGTCTTATATCATATTTGCGCAAATGTAAATCTGGGTTAAAAGTTTTTTCAATTGGCTACAGCAACAGTTGATCAAATATTGAATTACCTACAACATTTACCAAGAGTACTCGAGATAAATTATCAGTCTCTGACTACAGTGTGGCCCAAGAATTATGTTTGGATACATTGTATACTTGCATAGAAATAAATGTAACAAAATATACTCGATTTTTAATGGGTTTTCGAGTATGTACCTGTGTACGAAAAGCCATAAAAATTACGATTGCGCCGTGCTTTGAGGCGAGCTCTCCGACGATTCCGAAACCGTTTTATACGGTTGCAATTTTTCCTGCGACGGTAATAAAAATAAAGCGCTGCGAAAATTACGCCCCGGAATCTCGTATACGGGGTTTATGCGGTCACACTTCGACGTGCTCCCATTCCGAATACGAAATATACAAGAGCTCTGCTTCGAAACCGAGATAAATCCGCGCTCTTCGCTCTAAGCGAGCGGATAAAATACGAAATATAAATCACACGCGGGCTAGTCCAATTCGATGATAAATTAGTTTGAAGACATTAACCGCAACGGCCGCAGAACACGTAGATTGTTTGCGGCCCCGGCGTTCTTGTACCTCTACCTACATCGAAGCGGAATCTGTGGGAAGAATAAAGAAGAGGAGGAGACCGAACTCCCGGCGCAAAGAGGAGTACACTCAAACTCGATCGTTCGACATTATGCTCTCTTTGAAGCGCATACAGGGCGTTAAAAGGTCCCGTTAAAAGCAGCAGTTTCCGACACGCAAGCCGGCTGAAAATGCACCAAAAATGCATTCTCTCGTCGAGTGAGTATCGATGAATTTTTTACGAAGAGATTGCCAGGAATGTTTGAAATTGCATCTCTCAAAAAGCCTCTAGAATAAAACTTTTACAACTCTGTAGAGCGAAAACCAAGCTTCACCTTTATATGAACTTATAGCCTCAAAATTAGCTCAATTATAAGTACCTACATAACATTAACATCCTGTATATGAACAATTTTACTACATCGAATGCAAAAATTGTACAGCTTTCGGTGTGAATGAAAATCGAAATCAAAAATGTTCGAGAGTTTCGCACCCGTTGAAATCACTCAAACAGGACGTCAATTGCGATTATTTACAAAGGGTAAAAGACCCTTTAACAGTTCGTTCGAATATAGACCAGTCGATAACTCTTACTAAAAGGATATTTTTAGAACGGATATAATCTAGTTTGCTCACATCCCGTTGTCATGACGATCTGTGTCATATCAAAACAACAACAACTGTCAAAATACTGGAAGTGACAATTGACATTACGGTGCGATAAACTAGGAATATTTTGAATTTGTTATAAATTTTTGTACTGGTCCATAATCACGGAACAATGAATAATCAATTAAAGAGTGGTTGCGCCCCCTGCGGCCGGCGAAATGATGAATGAGGGTGTGAAATGACACACGGGCACATCTGCCCTTAGGGGAAAGCCGTTTTTTTCAGCTTTAAAGAAGTAGGTGGATTGCGACAATGGCCGGCTAGGATTTTCGTCCTTGTATACGGTACACAAAAAAAAGAAAAAGGAGACGTTTTGAAATCTACGTGGTGGGTTTGTCGGTATTTTATGGGTATTGTTGAGATGTTTGAGACTCCGGTTACATTGTAATTTCTTATTCTCATTCATCGGATGTCAAGATTCAGTTAATGTAGTACTTCCGAAGTGTTAGGACGGTATTTATGGGGGGATTTTGTGAAAAATTACACCCTAATGGGGATACTTAGCGAGAGGGGCGAATTTCCATACGTAAAATTGATATTTTTGGAAAAAATGTTTTCAAGTCGTTTAACATAACTAGTATGATAAAGTTTTACTATTTTTTAATCCGTGATTTAACGAATAACTAGTAAAGATTCGAGCAAGGTTATCAACTTTGACGATTTGTTAAGCAAATAATTTTAATTTTATAAAAAAACCATCAGACGAGTAATTACTGGTTTTATAACATTGCGTTGAAAGATATATGATTTTTCAAATAACCGCAATAAAATGCGGGTAAATGGACAGCAAAAACTTTGAACTCTGAAACAACAGATTTACGACAAGCCGATTACAAGTTTATTGAGAAAACCCTACTTAATCACATTTTTCTAAAATTAACCGCACATTCTAAAGATATCCTCAAAACAAAGACTTAACCACAAATAGCCGGATCCGAAGAAATCCTTATGATTCATCCGAATTGCAGACATCGATCACTTTTTTTTAATTTAATTTATTTTTAAGGCGATAGGTTCCTAATTAAATATCTCAAAAAACCCATTGGTTTGTTTTTAATAACAAATTATATACCACTTATAATAATTGTATATTTGCGGTTTAGACGTTCAAAAAATTAACCTTATAAGTGGATATTTAAATGAACAGTAGGTAAGTACATTATTTCAAACTGTTGATTTTAGTGCTGTAGAAATATTTCCTCTGGCATACCCACCACTGAAAACCCAACATTCACGACAGGTGTAAGGAACGCAAGGGTTACATTAAATGCAATAAAACGCATTCGACCTTATCTCTTTAATGTTTCCACTCAGCGAACGCTCCCTTAATGGAGATACCAGCCGGGTCCCGATGGTCTCGCATAATTGCCATATCAATTAATAATATTATTTATCCAACGGGGCGACTCGGCCTAATTTATGGCCCACCTGTGCGAGTTGACTTTCCTCTCTCCGCGAGAACACCAAAACTATTGACGGTCTCGTAATAATATTTTATAACCAGTTTTTATTGACGTGTTTAGAGATTATTATGTTTTGTGGGAGGTCTTGATGATATTGTTTCGAAAAAATCCGGCTTAATTGATAATGTAACGTAACAAAGGCGAAAGAATTCCGTTCGGTTTTTAATGGCTTTATTACACGGGCTTCGAGAAAATCGTAGATAATACGCTTTAATTCGCGCCGTGTGAACCTCTCTTCAAACCTTACAATGTCCATCTTTACGAGTGAACCATAAACAAACAAAATGTGAGCAATTAAACAACTCGACTCTAATGTCAATATTCGAGGAGACGAGCGACGAGAAAAGAAACAGAAAGGTAAATACATACCTCCGCAAATGCATACACACATGCCTTTCTTATATCCCAGTTTGTATAGCTATAGCATATACAACATTAGCTGAAAAAACGTCGCATTCCGATCCTCGTTTTCCAGTGGCGCATGCAAAGTATACACAAAATATCGCAAATAAACCTATAAATTTTGCATAATAGTTTTATACGAAAACCTACGCCTCACCACTTTGTGCTTACTTTCTTATACCGAAAAAATAAGCACATAACATTGTATAGTTTAAATAAACTCCAGCTTGCATCACCCTGTAAGATCCTCTACAAAAGGACTTGTCATAAACACCAAATTGGAAATAATAGCCTACTATTCGTGTGGAAGTATGCTCGCTTTCCCCGATACGAAAATACAAAAAAAAACGCCCCGTCATCGTGATGCAATTTCTTCTATTTCGCCGCCCCGCGCGTTTCGACTCGGCCCTAATTTGCATAAAATTGTCAATAAATCAGGTGGGCTCCTGGCAGAACCGGCGCCACCAGAAAGAATTCCATTGTGGGGGCCCCTTTTCGAAGACATCCGTGTATATATCATTAAATAAAAATTTCGGATTCATAAAGCGACTAACAAATTATTTTAGACACTTTCTACCTGTGAAAAGTGATAAGGACGACGGGCAGAAAGGGACCGCGTGAATGCTGCACCCTCAGTGGCGGAGCGGTGAAAGAAACCACCCCGTTTGATTACATAAAATACTAGATTACTGTAAGAGTATATTCCAAACTATTTTGTGAAGTTAGCTAATACCAGATTCGATTATTGCATCATATGAAGTTGACCATAGTGTTGCATATAATACAACTAATAAAAATAATAAAACATTGAAACCCTAATCCCCGGCGATGGGCAGCACCCGCCGAGCCCGATCCATAGGGTACGAAAACTACGAGACACCACAAAAAAAAAACGAAACGAACTTAATTAACGGTTTCCGAAATTCTTTTCGTTAACCGTGGTTTACTTTATTTTTTTTTTTAAATAGTCGGGCGCGACCTCTCGTTTCGAAGGAATGCCGAACGAATTTTCGAAACTGAAAAAAAGAACGCCCTGCCTGCCGAATGCGCGCCTCGCTTTGTTCCGAAGATGATTCGATGGAATACGAGGATGGATGTTTTGTGTAATGATCCTTATTGAATTCGAATCATTAGGTTAATAAATCAATCTCGGATGACTCGGTGGAGTAGATCGATGCTGACGTTTTTGTGCCTTTAGAAAATGAGTTATTTTGTGCCTTTTTTGGCTACTAAAATAAACAAAATGTTAAAATAGCTAATCGATTAGGTAACCATTGAAAAGTACGCCCCATGTTATAATACTATTTTGCGAATTGATTAATCAAAAACGAATTTATCTGAAAGGAAATATAACATTTCGAATAATATTTTTCGAATCGTTTCATAGCAGGTATGTACGTTATGAATCAATAATGAATTTTATTTTCCGACCAATGCAGGATATATTCATGCTTGCATTAAATCCTCGCCGATGCTACAACAGCACCTGCATAAAATTCTTCGCGTCGAAACTTTCTACAATATGTGCTTGCCTTGCCTGCAAGATGTCGAGTCACTTAGGGCATGTGGATAACTAAATTAAACGCGCACATGCTCGAACTAATTATTGTAATAACAATAAAAAATTAATAACAGTACCCTTTTAGGTACGCCTTGGGTTCTTATAACATTTCAAACCATTGTTAAACAAATTGTTCCGAGTAAACTTGCGCTAAAGGTTCGCTGGAGAGATCGTGATGTCTTTGAAATTCTCCGCATTTGACACAGTTCAGCGAATAAATTCGTCGAAACAACAGCTATTTCGCTATTTATAATAACAAATTATTACGTTTCAGGAATATAATCGAAGATAGTAACAACCTACACTTACAAGAAAACGGTGTTATTTGAGAGGATCGAATTCCGTGTAATCAATAATTAATCCTTTCATTATTTAGAATCAATATGTAATTACTCTTAGCGCTACTATTAATCATAATCCCGATATAATTTTGTCACTTTCGGCGGCAATACTTTACTCTTTCGTGCCCATCGAAAATAATCGGACGCTTCAACGGCGTCATTGATTGATCGATTGATCCATATGTGGAAATAAAATACAAATACTTCAACAGTTCCAAATAACACTTATCATCTGTCATCGATTCGGGCATTTTTTTTATCTGTACCTACACAAACAGTAGGTGTCGATTATCAGGAGAAACGCTAATGTAAATATTAAGAGATCCATTGTAATGCAAACAAGACAAGGCTCCTCGTTTCCTCCAGATAAAAATTTATCATCCAATAATTTTAAATTGATGGATATCGTTAGGCACGACGAATGATGTACGATTGTTAGGATGTTACCATGCATTATTTACGAAGCATTTCGTATAAGAAACCCGAGTAATAAAATTTACCTTGCTTCCTCAATCAATCAATCAACATAGAGCGGTGTCCAACGAACCAGAAAACATCAACAAACCTTTCCGGGATATTTGTTATTTTAGTTCCACCGGGCACGTCTCTCTGGATACCCTCGATGACGGACGTTATCGTGGTAGCCCCGGGGATGGTAAATTTGCGCAAAACCGCTTACCAGGATCGGATTTATCTACGTTCTTTCATAGTTCATTCACGTTTACGATCCAACGTGTTCAAAGGGGTAATAAAATCGAACGGAAAATAGTCATGCGGCATGAGGTGAACGCGTCTCGTGCAATTAAACCGGGCAATTTTCATCTTTTAGGTGCTAAACCAAATAAACAGGAGCGGAAAACACGTGCCAGAAGGCCGGTGAAGTCGATTTTAGAAAACGGAAGCAAAGTGTAATCGGAGCCCCCAGGTTTGTCGTCTCCTTTTGCTCATTCTCCTGTACAGTCGAAAACGGGCCAGTACCGGATTAAGTTCGTTTACGATAAGCATCAATATTGTAGCATAAAAATAGCTTATTAAGATTTTAAAAATCTGGGATTATATTATTACGAATATAGGGGGGTCGAGATATGCATAATCTTTATGTTATGGGAGATATTCCAAAATGACAACGATGTAAAAATAATTAGCCAATCTTTAAGTGACTCAAATTTAAAGATTGCTAATGGAAGTATTTGATTAGCCAATTTATTTGTGTTCAATTAAACATTTTTGTTATTTTTTATTTTTGAATGAAAATGACATTTGTCCAGTCTGTCACTGTCAATACAAATGTCATTCGATAATTTAAACTGTCAAAATTTGTTAAAAATTATTTTTTAGGATGAATGAAGTAAAATTGAGCTTCAAAAATACATTTTTTAAAATTAATTTCAATAGTATTTAATACATATTTTTCAATTAACAAACATTTCACAGAGTTGCAAAAACATTTATATTTGTCATGTCATAAAATGACATTTAAGACTGTTAAATACTCCAAAGTAGGCGATGGTAATTTATTGTAGTGATTTTTTTGTCAGAAAATGGTAGTGTAATATTGTAATTAATAATTAATGAATTAAATCACTCACCTAATTGCATCGTTTGAGGAATTTTAAATAATTGTACTTTGAGTTTCTCCTCTATGCCCTTCCTCGCCGAATCGCAACTCAATTTTTCCTGGCAAAAGGCTGGGCCGCACACCACGAAAATCAACAAAAATCCGTACGGTAAGTGCAGTTTTCGGAAAGGATACATCGCGCCCGGTCGCATCACAGCCATGACGAACAAGTTTTCATTCAAAAAAATACGATTCCGATCGCTTTTCTCAGACCAAATCCATCACTAAGGCACTTCAACGCCGTTTAATGTTGTGTTTATGAACCGGACCGGCGACTGACAGATGCTGGTTCCGTGCGGGACGTCCAACTTCGACTGACCGGAGTGAAGCGAGGAAGAAACATGCGCACCAACACGCCGCTGACTAAACTCTCATCGCGAAGGAGTTTCATTTTTTATACATCTTCAATTTTTCAGTGGCGCGGCAAAGGGGCGACGCATGCGCAACGCACTCGTGCACTTTTCAGCCTGAATAATGAGTGGGGGCGTGAAATGGGTTTACTGAAAGAGGGAGCAGGATGGCTGCACCGGGTGTCCTTTGTCCTTCTTGCGTTTTGTATTGTAGCTATCTTCACAACGGATTGCTACTTCTGTCCTTCAACAACCCATTGTGAGACGAGTAAAGAGAAACAAGAACAGGTAGTTTTTTTTTTATTTCACTTCGTTGGATCAAATTTAATGAAATAAAATAAAATGACAACTGCAAGTGTCTAATTAATGAAAATTTATTTCACATTTATATTAACCATACAGTTTAGTTTACATAAATATAAAATGAGGACAAATATTTCACGTTTATAATAAAAGTAAAATATACTACATAATTTTTATGAAAATACAAACGATGAGTTTGATGTATAAAAAATGAAGAGCGATTAGATAGTTAATTTTGAATGTTTGTCGATTTATTGGCGGCTTGTGTGCACGTTTACTGGAAACTACGGTGTATTTTATGCGAATTAGATTTGTCATTATTGTTTAATTTCAATAAAAACGAAGCATTTTTTTATTAATACGAGGGTAAGGTGAAATGTTCTCCGCCATAGTCTTTCTTTGCCAGACCGAGAACTTTTCACCTTACCCTCGTATTAGTTTTTGTGTGATTTGAGTAACGTAAAGAACAAACTGTATATTTTACAAATTCAAGCACAACCGAGCTTGCGACTACAATTCTTTTCAAATTAAAAGTAACAACATTTCAGATAATACATATGATGTGAATCTTGACGTTCCTGTAAGCTGCAGAATCTGTAAAATGTACGATTCTCAATGTAAATTTTACACATTTTCATCTTACAGATTTTGTACATTGTCAGATTAATATGTTTAACATATTTAAAGCAAATGAAGGTAGACTTAGTCACACCTATCGGTTTCAATTCATTTAAATCAACATCGGCCTAGAATACACCATTAGTTTTTTTATTCCTTTTTGCATGTATATACACAAAAGCTATTCGGTATTCCCTAATCTTAATTACAAAATTTGGAACTACAGTCTTGTAAACAAAATATACAAAACAATTTTAAACTTTTTTTGTGATGATAGCATCCCTACAAGTTAATTGGTGGGATATAAAGTAAACTATTTTAATCGATCTATCTATCTAGTTGAAAGAACTTGAAAAAAATGCTATACAACATTTTTCAATTAATTATCGGTGATATATCGTTATTTAAGATGAAAATCTACGTTGATTAAACGTTGCATTTTATATCCGATCAATTGTAATTTTTTATATACATATTGCTGTCGCTTTATGACAGATAAGTTGTAGTAATTATTTCTACAATTTTCAATAGTATAAAACTTTTCATTTGCTTTATTTACAATAATTAATAAGAACCAAAAATATTTTTCCTATAAAATATTCATCAAAATAAAAAGAAATATTATTGAAAGATAACAAACAATTTCACGAGCAACAAAACATGGATAATAACAATCGTGTATCGGTTTTATAGCTCAAGAAATTTATTTTAATCATTATATAATTATTTATTCAAGCAAATGAAAAGTCGACAGCATTCAGGTACATACTGCCGCCATATGTACTTTCTTTCTTCAGGCATCTACTCACTCAATTTTAAATAATCCTGTAGGTATGACGAATGCTACGATTTATTTTATTATCTGCTACTTGCCATCAAAACAAATTGAAACAAAAAATTAAAAAATATACAAAAAAGAGGGATCCTAACCTAAAGAATATATTAACAGTAATTATCTCGCAATCTTGCATGGCGCAGCTCATACAAAACTAAATGAAACGAATTAGAAAATTACTATGTCCAAACAAATATTTTCTTCCCAAACACAAAATCAAACATGTATGAAACTTTCGTTTAACTTCTTTTTTTGTCAAATAATCGGTCTTGAACAATTCTGAACATTTTTTAAACCTACAGTAGATTTAATGAATGAATAGAAAAAATTGAAATTGAAAATAAAGTTGGAAAATTAAAAAAGAAAAGAAAAGTACTTATTCGGCCGGTTTCTCCGCCTCCGTTTCCTCGTGACTTGCTGCAGACTCCGACTCGTCCGCCGTACTTTTGCTTTCTTCTTCCTTTTTATCTTCTTCAGATGCGGGCGCGTCCACACTATCCTCTTTAGCACCATTTTCGGTAGCTGTAGGTTCTTGAGTTTCCTTTAAATAGTCAAATACATTGTAGTTTTACAATAATTTATCGTGTACGAGTGTAGTACACCTTCTATAATAAAGGGTAAACATAAACAAATTTTAGAGAATGAGATGTAAATTTTTTTCTAGCAAGCAAATATCCAGACAAACCACTACAAGATCTTGCACAATAAATATGCATACTCATTTTCTCTCTAAAACAAATCTAATGTTTATCTTTTATTATTCAGTTAAATGAACTATCAATGTACCATATTAACCTCTTACTGATAACAATTTAATTGATATACATTTATGTGTGATTCTTAAAATTATTATATGATAGGAAATGTAAATGACAAGGTTAAAATCCTTTATGTATCGAATACTAGCGACAATATTAGATATTTTATTATCATCTGTAATACTTAATTAAAAGTACTTACTTTAGAATCGGTTACTTCTGCATTATTATTGCCCGTTTCTTCTTTATCATCATGAGAATTACTTTCAGTTGTGTCGGCATCACTTTTAGTTTCATCAATACTTTTGGCTTGTTCTTCACTCTCGGTCACAGACGTTTCTGATTTTTCATCGTGCGAATCGCTGCTTTCCTCCGCATTCTTTTTACCTTTCCTCCCTCTCGCTGAAATCAAATATCAGTTTAGTTAAATTCAGCACCATAATTGTTATTTATTAAAGCTTTGTATTCTACGAAATCTGCTCATGTATTTTTTACAACACACTTAATAAGTAATTTAGTCTGATCAATTAACACTATTTAGATTAATAGTTATTTATATGATGATGTTCTTTGGTTTATCTAAAATGAAGCAATGCTTTCTTATTCATTCAACGATTCTGTTGTAATATCCTCCAACCAACAATAAATATTTTAAACAGACCATTACGTAAATATGAAAAATGATAATATAGATCATTCATCCTTAAATAAGGAATAATATTAAGGCCTTTATTGCCTTCAAACTAGCATTCTTGCAATTATTGTATTATACTGTTAATGAAAGGAATACTTTTATAACTGCGTGGTATAACTTTTTGATTAAAAAAGGTATTCTTCATTTTAGCCGAGGTTAACCAGTAACTCGATAGATTCGAGCAAAAGCGTAAAATTCATTACTTGAACTTTTTCTCTCCTTTTTAGCTGGAGGCGGTGGAGTGGCTGTAACACCTTTTGCTGCCGACCTAGTCCTACGTCTTCCCTCTACTTCAGGTCCCAAACCCTAAAAAATAACGTAAAATTAATATTCACCTTTTATTGTCTGCAAAATTTTTTAATTTTTTTAATAAACACAAACCTTTGTTATGGCTTCACTTTCCTCCCTTGCTCTTTCTATTGTAGACAGCCTAGGGGACTTGGATTTTCTACCTTTAGTATTTTTTTCATTCTAAAAAGAAAATAACGCAAGTTGAATTTTCCCTCCAAAACTGGTATGTTCGATGATTCAATCTACGACATAACGCATTTAAAAAAGATCGTTTGAGAAAGAGCGACACCACGCTAAACGTATGTCGAGTATTACTTCATGCGAGGTAGGTAATGCATAATATGAAATAGCGAATCTACGGAATTACAAAAGTAAATTCGCGATTGTTACGAATATAAATCGTAATTGAGAATATATTAACAACGGCGCAACGAAAAATTATTAATAAACTCATTATCGCATTGTTAACATCCCTTAGATTGTGATGCGTCTCAACTGATTCGTTATAGACAAGTCACATTCTAAGTACGCACTTCTGTTACGTGCACATTGCAGAGTTGTTTAGGCAAATTTCTAGGAAAACTATATTAATATTTGTACTTACTGAACTATTTTCTTCATTTGCGGTATTATTAGTATTTACTGAATCGACTTCTGACATTTTTAATATTTAATTACACGATCTAACCAAGAGAAAACGTTAAAGAACACACAGAAGAACCTCCCGGTCGTTGTTTATTCGGCGAAATGGCGGCGAGCGTGGGTCATGTGACCAGCATCTTTTGGACAGGTTAAGTGGCGCCAATTTTGAAAAGTTGAATTTTGAATTCCCATTAAAGACTCTTATTCGGAATACATAAAAGTTATTTTATTTCTAACATCGCAACAGGATTTTCTCTGAAGAAATTTTCGCATTTAATGTATAAACATTACATTAAACATAAAAATAAAGATAACAGAACTTATGATTCGGTGGTGTTCTAGAACAAATCAGGAACAGACAGGGCATTAAAATTATTTCCAAATTATTGAATTAATAAAACGTTTTGTTGTGTAATTTGTAAAAAAGTATTAAAAATTGACGTATTGTAATCGTTAGCTTCCGATTTATCGTTAAATAAAATAAAAAAAGTATATTCATGAGTAGGAAAATTTCATATTTACTGTTGGCTAACCTGCAGACATTTGACAACGTCATAATTTAAAAAAAATTAAAAAGTTTCTAATTCAAATTTTTGATAAGTGTTAATAATAGTTATACTATGTTAGGTAAAGTTTATTATTTATATTCTTTACTAAATTGTAATTTTTTTACATAATTCAACATTTAGATTTTTAGTACACAATTATTCTCGTAGATTGTTTAAAAAGTTAAAAGTGTTATCATCTCCAGTAAATTTCTTCGATGTGCCATTTATTTCAACCTCTGAAAAAATATTCTGTAAGTCTCGTTCATATATTTAATTATGTTTAAGGTAATTGGCAAAATTATTTCTACCTAAAACCTTTCTTTCATTTCGATCCAAAACTACTGTAACGGGCTCCGTGCCTCCATTATACTTAAATTTAATGTGAGCCGTTAATTTATCTTCATCTTCTGACGAGTTAGTAACGGTAAAATCAAAATAGTTTTCATAGAGTTGCAGAATCTCGTTGTATTTAGACTTCTCAGATTTTTGTTCAGATTCTATATCATCTTGGAGTTCTAAAAAAATTACAATACGAAGTTGAAAAGGTTGAAAATATTTCAGTAAAAAATATTACCAATTGCTTCTTTCTTTTGTATTAGGGAATTAAGAAATTTTTTTGATACATTGCATAATTCCTTTTGGTTTTTAAGGTTGTTTGCACAATTTGCAATTGCATTCGAAGCATTAGCAGACTCTGTATATTTTTCTACAGCATCCTTACATTTGTCTATCATTGATTTAAATCCATTTATGCGGTTTTCGGTGTTTTCATCTGTAATTGAAAGATAACCAATAATTTACGAATTACAAATGATTGAATTTAATACTTATGCAATTATTGAATCTTGCACAATGCTCTTCCTTGAATGTACTCAAAACATTTGAATAATCGCCAGTTAGAATGTCCTCTAGAAATTATTTTATAATATTATGAATTAATAGAAAAATATATAAATACAAACCGTAATTCATTATTAGAACGATAAATAAGTTTTAAAATCCAAATTTGAGCAAAAACCGTTAAAAATTTTTTTAGAATCAAAACAAGAAAGAGCTGTCTTAATGTCACTTGTCATTGTCATAAATCTTCTTTTAATCAAACGACTATTCCTACTTCTTTTATTACCGTTTACAAAAAAGAAGAAGTGAAATGTCATCAGTTTTGTAATTGAGGTTAGTTTCTAATGTTTTGTTTTGATTTATAAGCATCACGAAATAAATACTTTTTAAAGAAAACCAACAAAAATGTCCGATGAACCAGAAGCAACCAAACACGAAGAAAACGTTGCATCCGAGGATACCAACAAGAACGATCAAAAATCTACAGATGGCGAGAAAAAAGCCGAACAATCCGGCGTTTGTTATTGCGGCAAAGAAAGAAACCTGAACATAGTGGAATTGCTGTGCGCGAATTGCAGCAGATGGTTCCACGAATCGTGCATCGGCTACCAATTGGGAAAACTGGTGCCTTTCATGTCGAATTACATATTTCTATGCAAGAATTGCTCACCGACCGGCTTGGAAACGTTCAAGAAGAGCCAAGCCCAGATGCAACAAATGTGCGTAACAGCCATAGCCAATCTGCAACAAAACAGCTCCAAGGATGGCTCCGGCCGAACGCTCTTCAGCAAAGACAAGGAAATCATACCGTACATCGAATATTACTGGGAAGCCCTTACGACCACCTCCAGACGCGTCACTCAAAGCTGGCATTACACTGTAACCAAGGCTCTGATTAAAGACATACACATACTATTCATCTTCGAAGAGAGCTCCAACGGAAACCACATGTACGGGCTGTTGAATTCGGATCTATCGAACATCAAACCCAATTACGAAGCCATGATTAAAGGAGGCCTGCTGAAAGTAACCGATATGGGTATTCAGCACATCCCCCTTCAAGTGGGAGTCAAATCCAGGAACGCCAAGCGCAAGTTCCCCGGCGAATTGGGCGTGCAAGGAAAAAAAGGTAGAGGATTAGATTTGGGCGCCCCGAAGCTGCCTGCTCACGGTTACCCCCTCGACCACCCTTTCAACAAAGACGGCTACAGGTATCTGCTGGCCGAGCCCGATCCGCACGCCCCGTTTCGACAGGAATTCGACGAGAGCTCCGATTGGGCCGGAAAGCCCATTCCCGGTTGGCTGTATCGCACGAGCACTCCCAACACTGTGCTGCTCGCCCTGCACGATCGAGCCCCGCAATTGAAGATATCCGAAGATCGACTGGCTGTAACAGGCGATAAAGGCTACTCGACTGTTAGAGCCACGCATTTCGTTACGAAGGGGGTTTGGTATTGGGAAGCAACTATAGAAGAAATGCCCGAAGGTTCGGCGACGAGATTAGGCTGGGGGCAAGATTACGCCAACCTGCAGGCTCCGTTGGGGTACGATAAATTCGGATACTCTTGGAGGTCCAAAAAGGGCACCAAGTTCCACGAATCGGCCGGTAAACACTACAGCGAAGGCTACGGGGAAGGAGACACTGTGGGGTTCTTGATAGAACTCCCGGTCAACGCGAAAACCAAGTTAATTCCTAACACGTACAAGGACCGACCGTTGGTCAAATTCAAAAGCCACCTGTACTACGAAGATAAGGACAACGTGCAGGAGAGATTGAAGAATCTCACGGCGCTTCCTAACGGCAAAATATCGTTCTTCAAGAACGGGGAATGCCAAGGGGTCGCCTTCGAAAACATCTACCAAGGCTCTTACTACCCGATAGTTTCTCTGCACAAGAACGTTACGGTATCGGTGAACTTCGGCCCGAATTTCAAACACGCCCCGTCCGCGGAGAAGTTCAATTACAAGCCCATGTCCGAGAGAGGAGAAGAGTCCATTTGCGATCAGACTCTGGCCGATGTCGTGTACCTCATCGAAAACGAGGGAAAATTACGATTGGACAGTTTCGTACTCTGACAGTAATCCAGTTGTAATGTTAAGATTAAATTTGTTGCTTTAAGTCGAATACAGAGTATTAATTTTTGAATTCGTGTTTTTGTATACAAAGTTTCGAAAGAAATTTTAAAGCTTTGGAAGAATATTAAAACTGGGGGTGGTACAGCGCCCCATTTTAAACTTAAACAATTCTCTAAAAGGTCACTTTAGCGTGAACAAAGTCCTTAGTTACTCCATAACAACAATGTAAATCTGTCAAGTTAGAGACGTGTTTTTAAAGTCGTGACACTTACCGTGAAGGGGTAAGTGGGGCGCTGTATACTTTATAACTTGGGACAAAATAGGTCTTAATGCCTACGTTAAATGTGCTATGACAAAATGTACTTACTAAATTATTATTACTCTATTTTGATATACAGAATAAATTATTCCTTAATTCGCCCAATCCATAATTAACTTGTAACTGAACCTCTATTCTTTTATATTAACTTCCACACGGATAAATTTATCTACATGTAGATACCTGCTAAATATAAATTATACATTACATACAGCACATAAAAATATATTTACTAACTCAATTGAATAAATACTTCTACATTTTCAAAGAGATTAAAAAAACACGTTTTTAAAAATTCAATTTACGTTCCTCGTTTTGTGGTACCGCCACCACTACACCACCGTAGTACTTCGCATTCCCATTGAAGGCACCACAGTATGCGCAGGTAGAATGAAACTCGATTATTACAGGTAACACCGTAACAGTAATAGCGCTTGATTCGTCGGTGTCGCATTGAAAACGGTCGCCGCGCGCCGCGTATCCTATCAAAAAATAACCAATTTGCAGTGCTCCGGTTAACTGAACAGTCCCCGACGAAGTGGCCCGAAAAATGCCCAGGATTACACGAGAGGATATTTAACTAGAAACGGGTAAGTTGCGCCGAAGGCACGCAGGGGATCCGTACTATTCGCGGAAAACGGTACACGTCCGCAATTCGATACGTTTTCCTTGGAAGTCCGCCGTTCCGAGGGAAAATGCACCAGCGAATTAACGAGATTAACTCCGCCCGGTTTAATTAGATTCTCGATTGACTCGGTGATTGCGCTAATGGGCGATTTGAACGGCTTCTTCTGCATAGAGGTCAAGATATCGGGTTCCATGTCCTTCGGGTGTCAACACGGCGCACCGGTACCTTTTTGAGTTGTGGTGCTGGTGCTTGTGCTTGTGCAGCTCGTCGGTAGGCCCGCTACACCATCGTCGTAGAATACCTACATAAACTATTTATACTGTTATCTTCGTGTTTATCCTTTTACAATTGCACATATTTGATTAACCGTTTATTCGCACTTATCTTATTTGCTCGTTTTACGCCCCGTCAATTTGATTTATTTCGGGAATTTACTGCGCTATGTAGGTAAATGGGTAATTAGATTTCCACTTTATTTACTCTTCATTTATATAACAACCCGTTGTAGCGACTAATTAAATTTCTGGAACGTTTTTAATTAGTAGATCATATTTTGTTCCATTGGTTTTTGGAAACCGAGCCGAGACAAAACTCCGTTGTCTTCTCAGCATTCACTTATAATTTATGACGATTTCGGTTCAGATTCATAACTTTCCCTAATTTCCTTGCTTTCTTTACTCGACCATTTAATTAAAATAAATCCTAATTAGATACATCATTTAACCCGTGATGTAAACTGTTTATTTTTATCACGATGAACAAACAAATTCGCGTAATTTACAAGCGGGATCGGGTATACTTTCAGGTGCTTCGCCTATATTAAACGCGGAGTTTAGTGGATTTGGAGTTCGATATTTTATTCTACAAATCTTGTCCCATCGAAGCGAAAAATTGCGGATCAAACCGCGATTTCGAATCGGTTCTCAAGTCGACCAATTGATTCGAAAATGCACCTATCTTTTGCATTTTATTTTTATCGACTCGTTTTATTAAAGAAAGTTTTAAGTAAAAGCTGTTTATGGCAAACACCGCCGCATTTCACGGTTTTTTATCTTTCCTCTTTTAACACCATGTTTGTTTGGATGCTCCCAAAAGTACACAATACATACAACTTCTATTTACATTCTTCTACAGTGCCTTCATGAAGTCTGCTCACCCATGTGACCTCATGGATTAAATAACCCAATCTTTCTACCTACTCTATCTACTATCTACTCTATTCCCTCTTTACTTTAAGTTCTTAGGTATTCAATCAGAGGTATAAATATCCCTAATTTCTTGAGTTTAGAATAACTTTATTTGCACAATGCACAATAAATATTATTTAGTCAGAGCATACAAATTTGGTCACGTGGTTTTGAAGACTTTATAAAATCACTGTATTTTAAATACAACATTGTTTCAGCTAATTTTCGTAAGGCATTTAATGAAATCGTAGGTGTAAGAAAAGGAGAGACTGCAACTAGTGTACCTACCTGCTGAAAGATATATAATTTAGTGGGCGTCTCTGTATCTCTAAACGGTGCAATTAACAATCCGTGTATGTAAAATCGCTTTTAGCAACAACCTGTTGCGACTGTCTAGTCTAGATCAAAGGTCAAAGACTCTGGAAGCCTTGACATTGCTGCAAAGGTTTGTTGCAAATTAGTAGTGCAATTTTTACTTAAAAATTCGCTCGCAATAACCAGGTAAAACTTAGATGAGTAATTAGATGAGATTGTTGTGAAATATTTTTCTGGATTCTTGAAATAAGACAAAAACCTGTTAATTTATTGGCAGGATAAAAAATTGTTTTTCAACCGAACCAACGTCATTTTTATTTCGAATAATTAACCAATCTCGTAATTAGGTAATCGATTTGCTGCGATACAAATTACAACACTTTGTAGTTAATTCAACTTTTAATAAGCCTATAAATAATTACATTTTACAATAATAGCAAGTTAATCTCGCAACGCGCGGTCGAAGTTACGCAAATTTAACGGTTTATCAACGCCGTTTTCGCGGGATTACTTTACTTATTTGTATTTAGCCCGGGACGCGTAAATGTTCGTAATGCGTGCATACTAAACACACGAAAATTCTTAGCTTAACGGTGAAACACTCTCAATTGGAATCGGAATCGTCGGCTTCGATACGTTTCGCCCTGAGCTAAGCAGATGCTTGACATGTTTGAATTTTTCGGTGCGATTTTTTAACTGCCTACTTCACCGTTACCGTTTTTACAAAGCGTTTTGAAACTCGCGTTGTTAATTATACGCGCACTTTTTAGGTCAACGAAGTGGGTACCTAATTCTCCATATTTTTTTATCAGTTTGTACCTTTGCTCCTTACACAGCAAGCATGTAGCTACTTGTGATACCTATCAACCTAACGATTGTTTATTGATAAAAAAAATCGTAAATTACATGTGCTGGAGCGTGTGCCATTCATCGGTGCTCAACCTTCGAGGTAAATGAACCTTGAATGGTGTACCATCCTTTTCCAGACCGGCGATGGCCATTTCATTACGATGAAGCCGATATTTAAATGCATATCAATGGCGATGGGCGTTAGCGCGTGATGCCTTGAATCGACATTTTACCTACATTATCTTCACTTATTGTGTAGCCTGTTTAATGGAGATTTTCTTCTACTTCGTCGAGATGAAAAGACACCTCATTTAAATGTTTTGCGTGCACAAAAGAGGTTGTGAGTTATGATGCATGGGAGGACTTTCAAAAAATGGTAGAGGCGTATTGGCTCCTTCGTCATTTTTTTTCAACTATAAAATTAGGCATTCACGGTTCGATAGGAATAGCTTGCAATCATTTAATGTTTGAAATTTGGTACATCTTACTGTACTGGGTTAGCAATTACCACAGTAGATAATAATGAGGCCGCTACTTCTAAATGTATCTGGTTTTATATTACTACTGGTAATAATTATATCGAGCAGTTTATTTTGTTGCACAAGCTCCATTTTTCCGTTTCCATTTTGAATACACCCAATAATTTTTGTTGCAGATAACGTTGATGCCTTTCTACAATGGTTATAGTGACGCGGGTAAGTGTTAATTACGAAAAACAACACTTTGGTGCTTGTTTTATTGTCGTCGAGTTAGCTATACAATGAAGAATGTATTTTTGAAGTAACTGTTCAAGCGTTATTAAAATGTGTGTGCTTACAAAATAATAAATTTATGTGTTTGGATAATACCTGTACATGTTCAGTTAGTTACCTATCGCTTTTTCTTCGAAATTCGCCGGGCTATTGTTTGTGAAAAGAAAACTAAACATGACCATTATCTTCTGGGTTTTATGTCGCAACATAAAATGTAAATTAGATAAATACTAATTATTGAATTGTATTTTGCAAGTATAAACGAAAGATAAAAGTCCGAATTACACGAATGTTAAACGATAATTTTGCCATTTTAATGCTCATGCTATAATTTTTGCCGTGGTAAATTAAATAGCTAGTTTGTACAAGCATTTCCCATAAACTGCACATATGCATGTAGTAGCATCTCTTGTACATTGCGCATTATAATTAATTTTTAACGCGTTTTTTTCTGTTAAGTTAGTATAAATCGTTAATTACATTAAGCACAATAAGTATTCTATCATTGCTTTGGAAATACTTAACCCACTTTGCTGATTACTCGCTGCTTTCTCATCCGAACCGAAAGATCATGAATAAGTGCCTGCATAATACGGGTACCTACTTAATAAAAAAGTTGGATTAAAATTTCGAAATTTCGTTTATTATGCGACATTAGTACAATGTAAGTTTTATCGCCTTGTTCAAAGTTAAAAAAAAATTATTAAAGATATAAAATTACCTACTGCACTAAGAGAATGTGATGAAATAACGTACGTAATTAATTACAATCACGGCGTAATTACAGTGGTTTTTGTACTATTACCGTTTATTCCACACATCTATTCGTGACCTACTTAGGATTTTTTACGTTATCAAAACTCGAATATTTTCTGAAAATTCCCTAAAATCTACACGTACTAAAACAAGCAAGTTAAGTAATTTTCCTCAGACATTACGAAATGTGTAAATTTTTTTGAATTTCCATAAATAATTACAACACTCCAGCGCCGGTAAAAACGAGCATTTACAAACGGTCAACGTTTAAGCGCCTCCCTTACCGTAGAAACGAACAGGAAACACAATTTACGCTCTACTGGACATTCTCTGTATCTCTCATTTTTTTGTTTGCTTTATTTCTACATCTCTTCCTCGGATTCGATGTGAAAACGCCGGAACATCCGGAGTTTTGACTCCATTACGAAACGCCCGGCTGTTCTACCGAGCGATTTTACATCGACAACTCCGCGATTATCCCATTAAAGAACAAATTCCAGCAGCAAAAGTGTGTTAATTCAATCACACTTCGTTATCTGATAAAGATTAATTCATATTAGATTTTTTTATCTATAATATTTACGCCTGTTTGAATTTATATTGTGTTTACTTTCGTTTTACGGATGTTAGGTAGGTATATTATTTAAAGTTCATTAAACTTAATGATTGTTTTATTTAAAGTTAATTAAGTACCTACACTTCGACATGAATAGCAGTAGACGTGTCATGCGCAACTTTGGAATGCAAATACGCAATATAAACTACTGCGCAAACTATTCTCTTGTCTCCAGCTATTCTTATAAGACTGTAGCTAATCCAAGAATGATTTCAAGCAACTTTCTACATCATTTTAAAGGATTATAGCACACACTATTCGCACGTCTCCAGCTATTCTTCTAAGGCTGTAGCTAGCTCACGAATAATTTAAAGCATGTCCTTAGCAACCTTCTGATGTTCTTCTGATGTCTCCAGCTATTCTTCTAAAGCTGTAGCTAATCCTAAAGAGTATTTTCAAGGCGATTTTTAGTATCTAATTCTCATATTAGGAACCTTTTGCAGTCTTCTAAAGGACTATTGCGCATACTATTTTGAAGTACCCAGCTATTCTTCTAAGACTGTAGCAAATCCGCGAATATTTTCAAGTTTATCTTTATGCCACTTTTCTCAATAGGAACCTTCTATAATCTATAGTCTTTTAAAAGACTATTGAGCACACTCTTCTCAAGTCTCCAGCTATTCTTCTAAAACTATAGCTAACCCACGAATATTTTCAAGGCGATTCTAAAGCACTATTGCGCGTCACTCACGTCTCCAACTATTCTCCTAAGCCTGTAGGAAATCCAAGAACATTCTCATGTAGGTCCTTAGCTATTATATTACAATGTAGACCTTCTAATGGACTATTTCTGTACTTTTTTTTCTAATCGGTAACATCGGCATTTACAGGGTGATTACATATGGATCGAGCCGACGGCCGGGGGGGAGTTCGACGTGGCGATCGGGGCGTGCGTGGTGTCGGCGGAAGGCAGGAGGATCGCCGTGCGAGACGACGATGGCAACGAGCACTGGCTGTCGCCGGAGCGGCGCATCAAGGCGATGCACGCGACCTCGATACACGGCGTCGAAGACATGATAGGCCTGGGGGATCTGCACGAGGCCGGGATACTGAGGAACCTGCACATCAGATACAACGAGAATCTCATATACGTAAGTACTGAAAGATTGGCCGCGCGAATCGTCGGGTTGATGGCAGTTGATTTTGTAGACTTACACCGGATCCATTTTGGTGGCGGTGAACCCGTACCAAATTCTACCGATCTACACCGCTGATCAGATCAAATTGTATAAGGAGAGGAAAATCGGAGAGCTACCTCCGCACATTTTCGCCATTGGTGACAATTCCTACGGGCACATGAGACGGTAAAGGAATCTAAAATACTGCATTCTCTAACTACATCCAAATCATTGTAGGTATGGTCAAGATCAATGTATAGTAATCTCGGGCGAATCCGGCGCTGGTAAAACCGAAAGCACCAAACTCATCCTGCAATATCTAGCCGCAATCAGCGGGAAACACTCCTGGATAGAGCAGCAGATCCTCGAGGCGAATCCCATTCTGGAAGCCTTCGGTAACGCCAAAACCGTGAGGAACGACAACAGTTCCAGGTTCGGCAAGTACATCGACATACACTTCACGCGAGAGGGCGTCATCGAGGGCGCCAAAATTGAGCAGTATTTGCTGGAAAAGAGCAGGATAGTCTCGCAGAATCCGGACGAAAGGAACTACCACGTCTTCTACTGCATCCTGGCCGGACTGGGCAAAGACGACAAGAAGAAATTGGAGCTGGGAGATGCTAGTCAATATCGATATTTAACCGGGGTAAAAACATAAATCTGTGGATAGATGCCAGAACTTGGTATGGTGACCTTTTGTCCAAGTTTAGTCACCAGGTTATTATCATTGATGTCTACAAGATGGTGGCATATAACAGTAAATGTGTTAGTTTAACCACGTTTAACTGAAGAAATTTGGCTTTTATTCACAGATATCATAAAATATTATTTATATTTATTTTACCTGTAACTTAAAATGGCTTACCGTTTTTTGTTACACTAAAATAGAAAAAATACAACCTAAATATACAAATTTTTAGGGCGGATGTATAACATGCGAAGGAAGAGACGATTCGGCGGAATTCGCGGACATCCGAAGCGCCATGAAGGTACTTCTATTCTCCGACTCGGAGATCTGGGAGGTGATGAAACTCCTGGCTGCCATCTTGCACATCGGCAACATCAGGTACAAGGCCACCGTGGTGGACAATTTAGACGCCACCGAAATCCCGGACCCCACCAACGTCCTCAGGGTGGCCAATCTGCTGGGCGTACCGCCGCAGCTGCTCATCGACGCGCTCACCAGGAAGACGCTCTTCGCCCACGGCGAGACCGTCGTCTCGACGCTCTCGCGCGAGCAGAGCGTCGACGTGCGCGACGCCTTCGTCAAGGGCATCTACGGGCGGCTGTTCGTGCTCATCGTCAGGAAGATCAACAAGGCCATCTACAGGCCCAAGGAGCGGCAACGCCGGTCGATCGGGGTGCTCGACATATTCGGCTTCGAGAACTTCGATCACAACAGCTTCGAGCAGTTCTGCATCAACTTCGCCAACGAGAACCTGCAGCAGTTCTTCGTCAGGCACATATTCAAGCTCGAGCAGGAGGAGTACAACTTGGAGGGCATCAACTGGCAACACATCGAGTTCGTCGACAATCAAGACGCCCTCGATTTGATCGCCATTAAACAACTAAACATCATGGCCCTCATCGACGAAGAAAGTATGTACTTTCACCCGGATTAAACCAAAGCAGCGCTTTAACCAGTTCTATTTCAGGCAAGTTCCCCAAAGGCACCGATCAAACCTTCCTGGCGAAGCTCCACAAGCAGCACGGCCGCCACAGGAACTACCTGAAACCGCGCTCGGACATCAACACCAGCTTCGGGCTGAACCACTTCGCCGGCGTGGTGTTCTACGACACCAGGGGCTTCCTGGAGAAGAACCGGGACACGTTCAGCCCCGATCTGCTGCAACTCATCAGCGTCAGCGGCAACAAGTTCCTGCAGCAGATCTTCGCCGAGGACATCGGCATGGGCTCGGAGACGAGGAAGCGCACGCCGACGCTCTCCACGCAGTTCAAGAAGAGCCTCGACTCGCTGATGCGCACGCTGTCCAATTGCCAGCCGTTCTTCATCAGGTGCATCAAGCCCAACGAGCTGAAGAAGCCCATGAAGTTCGACAGGACGTTGTGCTGCAGGCAGCTCAGGTACTCCGGCATGATGGAGACCATCAGGATCAGAAGAGCGGGTTATCCCATTAGGCACAGTTTCGCTGAATTTGTCGAAAGATACAGGTACTAGAAAATTAGCAGCCTATCGAGCTAAACATACAACCATGGTCGTTTATTTCTAAGGTCTGGAAACAGCCTATGCTTATGCTTATGCATTAGAGAATACAATTACAAATACCCAATCAATACCTTATGGAGAAAGTTGTTTCTAAAATAACGCTTATTTTGTAACAGTCGTTACTGCATCTCTATACCAAAAAATCGATTCCCACCTCTATTCAGCTTCTGTCATACGAAATGTCATTAATCTCAATTTTGACATTTTTATGGCCTTTATGGCCGCGTTTTTTTATTCTTAACCACGGTCGTATATTTATAAGGTCTGGAAACAGCCTAAGCTTATGCATTAGAGAATGTGATTTTCTATCTATTTTTAGTTTGAATAAAACCCCTCTTAATGCTAATTCTAAATAATTCGTACGCAAAAAACCGGGGTCTTTTACAAAATGGCGGCCGTTTTAGGAACCCTGGTTAATCCTCAAATAACGGGACACTTTTTCGATTCATGTTTAAAGACCTTAGAAATATAGGGCCGTATTACAAACAATTTATACAATTTTTTGTTGCAATTTATAGGTTCTTAATATCTGGCGTTCCTCCTGCGCACAAGACTGATTGCAGAAGCGCTACTTCTAGAATATGCTCGATAGTACTAGGTAGATCTGATTATCAACTCGGTCACAACAAGGTATTCCTTAAGGACGCCCACGATCTATTTCTGGAGCAAGAAAGGGATCGAGTAATAACCAAAAAAATACTCATTTTACAAAGGTAACATCTCCACACCGAACTATAAATCAATACTAACAATTCCGCTTCAACAGATCGATCAGAGGCTGGGTGTACCGCAGGCGGTTCTTGCGCCTCAAAGCCGCCACCATAATCGTCCAGAAATACTGGAAAGGCTACGTCCAACGGCAGCGCTACAAGAAGATGCGCTTGGGGTACATGCGCCTGCAGGCGCTCATCCGCGCCAGGGTGCTCTCGCACAGGTTCCGGCACCTGCGAGGGCACGTGGTGGGGCTGCAGGCGCACTCCAGGGGCTACCTGGTGCGCAGGGAGTACGGCTACAAAATGTGGGCCATCATCAAGATACAGTCGCACGTGCGCCGGATGATAGCGCAGAGGAGGTACAAGAAGATCAAGTTCGAGCAGAAGAGGCACGTGGAGGCGCTGCGGCTGAAGAAGAAGGAGGAAAGGGAGTTGAAGGACGCCGGCAACAAGCGGGCCAAGGAAATCGCCGAGCAGCACTACAGAGAGCGCATCTACCACATGGAGAAGAAGGAGATGGAGCTGGAAATGGAGGAGCGCAAGCAAGTGGAGGAGCAGAAGAATAAAATTAACGAGGCCGCTAGGAAGGCGGACGAGCCCGTGGATGATTCTAAATTGGTGGAAGCGATGTTCGATTTTCTGCCTGATAGTTCCAGCGAAGCGCCCACACCAGGTCACTACACTAACTTTTCTAAAAGTAATGTATTTGTAAATGTATGAATCGTAGGTCGAGAAACTTCTGTCTTCAACGATTTACCATCCAGGCCTGCAGAAAATGAAATCATCAGCCCCCTGGCGACGGCTTCCGAAGACGAGGAAGACCTCAGCGAGTTTAAATTCCAAAAATTCGCAGCTACTTATTTCCAAGGGAACATCGGTCACCAGTACTCGAGGAAACCTCTGAAGCATCCTCTATTGCCTCTGCACACCCAAGGCGACCAACTCGTAAGATTCCAAAAAATAATTACAACCGTTCAACTATAATTTTACTTATTTTAGGCTGCTCAAGCTTTATGGATAACCATCCTTCGATTCACCGGGGATCTTCCGGAGCCCCGCTATCACACGATGGACAGAGACACCACCTCGGTGATGTCGAAAGTGACGGCCACTCTGGGCCGCAATTTCATCCGCAGCAAGGAATTCCAAGAGGCCCAACTCATGGGTTTGGATCCCGAATCGTTCCTCAAGCAAAAACCTAGGTCTATCAGGAACAAACTGGTATCCTTGACGTTGAAAAGGAAGAACAAACTAGGCGAAGACGTCAGAAGGAAGCTGCAAGACGAGGAATACACGGCCGACAGCTACCAATCCTGGCTGGAAACCCGACCGACGAGCAACTTGGAGAAGCTCCACTTCATCATCGGCCACGGGATCCTCCGGGCCGAACTCCGCGACGAGATATACTGCCAAATATGCAAGCAACTCACCAACAACCCGTCGAAATCCTCGCACGCCAGAGGCTGGATACTCCTCTCGCTGTGCGTCGGCTGCTTCGCCCCCTCCGAGAAGTTCGTCAGCTACCTCAGAGCCTTCATCAGAGAGGGCCCGCCCGGTTACGCTCCTTACTGCGAGGACCGCCTCAAGCGCACCTTCAACAACGGCACCAGAAACCAGCCGCCCAGCTGGCTGGAACTCCAAGCCACCAAGTCCAAGAAACCCATCATGCTGCCCATCACCTTCATGGACGGCAACACCAAGACCCTTCTAGCCGATTCCGCTACTACTGCTAGAGAATTATGCAATCAGTTGTCGGATAAAATAGGCCTCAAAGATCAATTCGGGTTTTCTCTGTACATCGCGCTGTTCGATAAGGTGTCTTCGTTGGGCAGCGGCGGCGACCACGTCATGGACGCCATATCGCAGTGCGAGCAATACGCCAAGGAGCAGGGCGCGCAGGAGCGCAACGCGCCGTGGCGCCTTTTCTTCCGCAAGGAGATCTTCGCGCCGTGGCACGAGCCCACCGAGGACCAGGTGGCGACGAACCTCATCTACCAGCAGGTGGTGCGCGGCGTCAAATTCGGCGAGTACCGCTGCGACAAGGAGGAGGACCTGGCGATGATAGCGGCGCAGCAGTACTTCATCGAGTACGACAGCGACATGAACGTGGAGCGGCTGCTCACGCTCCTGCCCAACTACATACCCGACTATTGCCTGGCGGGCGTGGAGAAGGCGGTCGACAGGTGGGCCGCCTTGGTGGTGCAGGCGTACAAGAAGAGCTACTACGTTAAAGAGAAGGTTGCGATTGCTTAACAAACTGTAGTAGGTTGTGTTATTTCGATGAAATATTGCAGGTGGTTTGCCTGCGAGTGAAAGAAGACGTAGTGAGCTACGCTAAATTCAAGTGGCCTCTGCTCTTCTCGAGGTTCTACGAGGCGTACCGAAACTCCGGCCCGAATTTGCCCAAGAACGATGTCATCATTGCCGTGAATTGGACGGGGGTGTACGTCGTCGACGATCAGGAGCAGGTCCTGCTAGAATTGTCCTTTCCCGAGATAACGACTGTCGCTAGTCAGAAAACCAACAAAGTCTTCACACAGACCTTCAGCTTGAACACGGTCAGAGGCGAGGAGTTCACGTTCCAAAGCCCCAACGCCGAGGACATCAGAGACCTGGTCGTTTATTTCCTAGAAGGTAAATTCTTCACGTCTTTAGAAGCTAAAAGTACCCTCCCAGACCTCCTCCAGCTCCCTCTGTTCTTCACTTTGATGTTTAATACATTTCTTTCGCAGGTTTGAAGAAGCGCTCGAAGTTCGTGATCGCCTTGCAGGATTACAAAGCGCCGGGAGAGGGTTCCAGCTTCCTGACCTTCCTGAAAGGCGATCTGATCGTCCTGGAGGAGGATAGTACCGGGGAGACGGTGCTGAATTCGGGCTGGTGCGTCGGAAGGTGCGAAAGGACGCAGGAGAAAGGCGATTTTCCTGCTGAAACGGTGTACGTTCTGCCCTGCATGTCGAAACCGCCCGGGGAAATTTTACAACTTTTTTCCGTGGAAGGTGAGTTTATTTTTAACGCTAATCCATCAACTTATTTCGTTGCAATTTTGTTGGAAGATTATAAAATTTAAAGGTGAAAGGTGAAATTGTTTTACGTAATTACTTTTCTCGAGAGATTGTCGTTCTTCAAACGATTACTATTCCATAAAAGGTGTTGAACATATTAACATTTTTCGATTCTCTTAACAATCTGCACTCGTTTTCGTTCTAATTGCATATCAATAGCTCCTGCTAAAAGCAGCACGAAAGACAATAGAGCAATCTAATCGGCCGAACCCATTGCTTGTAATTCACGGGATGGAATGAAATGTGAAGGCCGCTCGTACGAGCACCTGAGGTCAATCGAACGATCTTTTACTTCCATCTACAAGAAGTACCGGTATACCGCTTAAGTACGTAAATATCTCCTCTTGAGCGCCGATAGATTAAATTATATACAGAAATATATTTGTCGTGAATTCTTAGAGTGAAAGTGAGTTGTGCATATTGGTGGTGTCGGACTACTTTTGGCATTTTCGTTAGATGAAATTACGAAATCGCCTTAACCGCTATAATTCGATGGTTGTGATCGGTCGGGTTCGATTTGTTTGGTGATCGGTCGATTGTTTTCCGATTTTTTCGGCTGTTTTATTAATATTTTTCAATATGATATACATGGGATGGGGGCACCAATGTAAGTCTTTATGTTTTTGTTTTAATGATTATATCAACATAAATAATAAAATTTAAAGAAGTGTATAGTATGCTATCAAAGTAAAAATATTATCATTTGGGTATGAAAAAAAAATCTATTGAACTTTAGTTTCAAAGCGTCTATTGAATCAATCAATATTTGTTATAGTTTTAGTGGGTATTAGATATTTTGAATTAAAAGAATAGGCTTCAAAAAATGAAGGAATTGCTTCAAGGTATATGCATAAAAGTAGTGAAGGAAGAGAGGATTCGCTTCAAAGACCCTGGTGTTGCTTTAAAGCGAAATGTTTTACGGTTTTACCTTTGTATAAGGTTTTAAAACCTTTTTCTCTTGTATTTTGCCTCTACCTTTTACTTTAAAGTAAATGCTTCATTTTTATAAATATTATTATGGACTAATATTTCACTAAATAATTAGACTGTACTTACAAGCCTATTTTTTTTATTAAATTTATTAACAATTTCATAACTAATTTACATGCTTAAACTATTCTAAATTCATGGATACTTTCATTTGTAACTGTAACCTTGATAATAATTTTTAATTACCAATACTCAGTATGTAAATTTTATATGCATTTTATACTCGAAAAATGATCTTTGGAGATGCTAATATCTGCAGAAGAAATAATGAATCGATGATAAAAGCTTTAAGATAGAAACGAGAATTTTTGAACGAGTTTTACAAATTTCTCTTTGCACAATGTTCAATAAATCTCGTCAAAAATCGAGAAAGTTCCGATCAAAGTTTTGCATACAAAACATCTCATCGGATAATTCGACGACAAATGCACCGAGAAAGTTATTTTCTTTCAATTATTCATTCCTCAAAAAAAACATTTAAAATTTTAATTTAGAGAAATTACATTATTTAACTCGATTTTGTGCAAAAAAACTATCGACTTTTTGTTCTATTTTTAGCTCGATACGTGCAAGTAATCGCCTATCGAATTAAACGGTGTTTTTTATAAGTTTTGATTACCGAACGAAAGAAAGTACTCCCATTTCTCTTTACAATCTAAATACACGATAGTAGTACCAGTAACTACCCAAAATTTGAGCACCATTAGCAGCACACCGTACATCCAATTTTTGCTCTAGGGGCGGAACACAGCCGCAGATTGAGCCAGCAATACGCCACCAACGGCACCGAGACCCGCGACCGACCCCACAACCTCTCCGACTACTCCATCGATCACTTCAGGCCGCCCGTCAAGCGCACCATGTCCAAGGCGCTCACGCTCACCGCCAACCGGCGCAACGTCGACGACCTCTGGAAGCACTCGCGCGACCCCATCAAGCAGCCGCTGCTCAAGAAGCTCCTCGCGAAGGAGGAGCTCGCCGAGGAGGCCTGCTTCGCCTTCAGCGCCATCCTCAAGTACATGGGCGATCTGCCGTCGAAGCGGCCGCGCATGGGCAACGAGTACACCGATCACATATTCGACGGGCCCCTCAAGCACGAGATACTCAGAGACGAGATCTACTGCCAGATCATGAAGCAGCTAACAGATAACAGAAACAGGTACCACTTAAACCAGCCGCATCAATTCTTATTATCTTGTTAATATTTCGTTAGATTGTCCGAGGAAAGGGGATGGGAGCTCATGTGGCTGGCGACGGGACTGTTTAGTTGCTCGCAGAGCCTGCTGAAGGAGCTGACGTTGTTTTTGAGGAGCAGGAGGCACCCGATATCGCAGGACTCGCTGCAGAGGTTGCAGAAAACGTTGAGGAACGGCCAGAGGAAGTATCCCCCGCATCAGGTCGAAGTGGAGGCGATCCAGCACAAGACCACGCAAATATTCCACAAGGTCTACTTTCCTGATGACACCGACGAAGCTTTCGAGGTGGATTCCAGTACTAGAGCTAAGGATTTCTGCCAGAATATTAGCCAGCGGTTGAATCTGAGGTCGAGCGAGGGGTTCAGTTTGTTCGTTAAGATTGCAGATAAAGTAAGTTTTTTTTTGTAGTGGGAATTGAGCTTCGTTTATTGAACTATAATTTTAGGTGATATCTGTACCAGAGGGAGACTTTTTCTTCGATTTCGTGAGGCACTTAACAGACTGGATCAGAAAAGCGCGCCCGACAAGAGACGGGATCACACCGCAATTTTCTTATCAAGTGTTCTTCATGAAGAAACTATGGACAAACACTGTACCAGGTACTTGTAACTTTAGTGTTTGTAACCCCATAAACTCACTCGATACTTTAATAATTTCAGGTAAAGACAGGAACGCAGATTTGATCTTCCACTTCCACCAGGAACTCCCCAAACTCATCAGGGGCTACCACAAGTGCACTAAAGAAGAGGCCGTTAAGTTAGCGGCTTTAGTCTACCGAGTGAGATTCGGGGAAAGCAAACAGGAAATGCAAGCGATACCGTGAGTTGACTAGTACGCCAGTCGACGTAGTACTCACTAATTGTTTTCAGTCAAATGCTAAGGGAACTAATACCGGCGGACCTGCACAAGCTGCAGAACTCCAACGACTGGAAGCGGTCCATAGTAGCAGCGTACAACCAGGACGCCGGGATGAACCCCGAGGACGCGAAGATCACATTTTTGAAGATAGTCTACCGCTGGCCCACCTTCGGATCGGCCTTCTTCGAGGTGAAGCAGACCACGGACCCCAACTACCCGGAAATGCTGCTCATCGCCATCAACAAGCACGGCGTCAGCCTCATACATCCCCAATCTAAGGTAACTAACTCTCGTCGAAACGATTATACGACGGTCAAAGTTGAAAACCGGTCGTTAGCAGGATCTTACATAACCGTATTCACAATACATCTTTAAAACTAAGAGGTTCCCACATGTATAATCGCGGCTGTTTCCTGTTTTCGTATAATAAAACGTCTTGCTTTAGTCGTTATTAATGTGTTTCGTTGATTTTAATTATTGTTATTAAGTTCGAATTGTTTCGTATAATACGGTTATTTTCGGTTTCAGGATATTTTAGTGACGCATCCCTTCACGAGAATATCGAATTGGTCTTCGGGCAACACTTATTTCCACATGACCATAGGTAATTTAGTTAGAGGATCGAAGCTGCTGTGCGAGACTTCGCTGGGCTACAAAATGGACGATTTGTTGACATCGTACATTTCGTTAATGCTGACTAATATGAATAAACAGAGGAGTTTGAGGATTAAATAGATGTGTGGAGGAAATAGTGTATAGGTCATTACGTGAGGTGATTCGTATGAGAATTAGCCGTTAATGTTTTCTTTTTGTTTTATTTATTTTTAATAGGAAAAAGTAATAGATCGTTAGAGATTATTTTGATCAATACTTAAAATCATTTCCTAGGAAATTCATTTTTTAATCTCGCATTTTTGAATAGAAAATTTATATGATAATTATTAATATTACTCATAGCCAATTTTCTAAAGTACTCGACTTGTTTACAAAATGTTATTTTAACAACTATATACACGTTATGATGTTTTTGTAGCGTTTTTACATTATTTTACCCAGTAATTTGTTTCATTAGTATTGTTTAGATATTCGTATTCTTATTGTATCCAATTATTTATTGAAAGAGTGTATTGTTATTATTATAAAAAAGTAATATAACTTCCGAATCTCCCAATTTACCTGTTTTCGAATACCCGTCAAAAAGTTGTCTATTTAAAGCTTTATTTTATTTGTTGTCGACTATTTTTTATGTATATGCTTAGTGTAAATACATTCACATCACTTAAGTACTATAAATTAGATGTTTTATATTGTGAGAATGGTTGTAAATAGGTGAATGACAATAAATTATATTTTTAATTGTGGTATTTATTATCGTCTTATTTGCTAATTACCTTGATTTTGTAGTGTTTTGTGCACTACTAAGTGGAAAATGAAAGGCAAGAAAACAACCTTTTTGGTTATTCCCTACTATCTAGTGATCCTGTTTTATTTTTAATTAAAAATAGACCTTACTGTGATCGAGTGATCTTGTTATTAATTGCAAGAGAGCAAGATCATTTTATATTATCTAGTATACTATGATATATGATAAATAAACTTCAAAATATACCTTGATATGATCTACTAGTGATACTGCTATTAATTTTATTGCGAGAAAGCAAGATCATTTTATATTAGCTAGTAAGCTATGATCTGGGATGAATAAACATCAAAATATAACTTACTGCGATTTAGTAATCCTGTTATTAATTGCAATTAATTTGATACTATCTAGTATGCTATGATCTATGATGAATAAACATCAAAATACACTCCAAATAATCAACATCAAATAAAGAAAATACTCTGATGTAGTAATCCTGTTATTAATTGCAAGACAGCAAGATTTTATATTATCTAGTATGCTATGATCTATGATGAATTAACTTCTAGTTCTTGTTATTAATTGTGAGAGAAAAAAATCAATTTGTATAAACGTTTAAAATAATAGAAGTCAAAGTGGTATAAACCCAAAAACACAGACGATGAAGCGACAACAATAGAATTAAGTGGCAATTTCGTTATCACCCCTACAATCTGAAAATCACTGCTTAGACTTGCACATTAGCCAATTCCTCTTTTTTTCCCATGATCATCAAGACCGGAGACCTCCTTCTTTTTACCTTTGACTCAACTGTGGGAATCAGTTCAACTAATTAATATACAGGAGGAAACAATTATTAAAAATGATTCCATTGTTACGCGAGTTCTCCCACATTTAACTATAAAATAACAAGTGTACTAAGAGATTTTATATATTTTTCTTTCATTCTCGACCGGCCCGTGAGAAAAATCTTTCCGTATGAATATTATATGAGAGAAAAAAAATCGACTTCCTCGTTACTGCCTTGAGAAATTATTTATAACATACTTTCGATGATTACTCGCGATTTAGTTTAATTTTCGCGAAATTTAATGGGACGTTTCAAAAAATAAGCCTCGTCATTTTCAATAGTTATATTTCTACAAAAGGACTTGCATCAAAATGCAATTTATCTTCTATGGAAAAAAATTATAATATGTACATATATCATTAGTTTGTTCATTCGTTGTGTCTAATTGCACTTAGAAATTAAAATACAATGCGAACCAAATTGATATAAAATATAAAAAGAGCGAATACTGCTCTTACGCAACTTTGGTTTGTCTATTAAAAAATTATATTACTGAGAATCATCACTCGCACGTCTGTCTTAAATATATCACATAAAAAGTATTCGAAATATTGGAAAAATCTATCTAATTTTATAATTTCTTACAACAAACAGATCGCTCTATTCATTGTATTTTACTCAGTAAAGACGTCTAATTAAGGGAAAACTACAGGGTGTCCTGTATAAGAATCGACACAGAGCAGGTGCATATAGAGGAGCCCAAAATATGTTGTTTAACACAATTTAATTACATTCCTGAGAAGTTACAGGCCGTCAAAGTGGAGTTGCAAATAAAAAAAAATATCTTAGTAATATTCAAACTAAAAACAACTAAATTTGGTATACGTTATGAGTGTACTATGAGCATTAATCGATAATAAAGTTGGGATAAACAAGATAATTTAGGCTACCCTAATCGCTCCTATTTTGCATCAATTCTCATGCGGGACACCCTGTATAATACCGTAGATGCATATTTAAAGATGCGTGGAAGCGAAACCGTTAAATAAATTATAATAACTTTTATGGTATTTTAAATATCTTCGCCTAAGTGAGAAAGTAAAAACATGTAAAAATCTTACATACTAAGCGTATAATTTGGATTTTCCAATACTTTAAATATTCCTCAAAAGGAATTTCCATCATTGTAGGGAGAGCGCGTGAGATTCGAATTAAATTACAATTCAAACGAAACTCCCCCCGTTAGTTAAAGCATTTTTGTTAGATGGACAATAAAATATAATTAGAGAGCATACAAAAAATGCTTGTGTATTTATTGCTTGACGTTACTTCATCCAAATTACTTACTAAATAGTGTCTTTATGCGCTCTGGGTTTAAAAATATATCGCCTATTAATTTGGGAATTTCATCGAAAAATTCCAAACAAAAAATTTATATTAGTAATCTACTCATCAAATCTTACGTTATAAATAAATAAAAAAAAATTTAAACGTATAAAAATAACACCCACAATTTTATACCGTCGTCGTTTAAAGAAACTCTAACTATTTTTACATTTACAATTCGTTTTTACTTCCAAAATGTTCTCATCATTTACCCTCAAAATCCTCAAGAGACAATTGAATCGGTGAGTTCGAAAACCGCACAAGTCCAAAATTTGATATTTTAAAGTAAGGTAGCCATTTTGTTTAAAATTTATCTCTTCATCGATCGAGCTTAAAAACCTTACTAGATACTTAGCCGTTAACGTAGCACAGTTGTTTATGTTTGTGAAATGTGGAGAATTTTTCGGAACGCTGATTTTCGAACTCGCCGATTCAATTACAAAACCACCTCGCATTTCCTCCTACCTTTAACAACGACATGTCCATCTCAATGCATCCCGTGCGAGTTCCAATTCTCCGTAATGGCCGGCTGCGATTGGGCCTGCCCGACGGCGGCGTTCCTCTGGCCCTGACCGTGCCCGTGCCTCATTATCTCGTCGGCGGGGGCGCAATGCGGCCGCGGCCCCGGCTCCGGGGTGTACGTGAACGTCAGCCCCGTCGCGTAGATGATGCCGTCGTTTCTCACCAGCGAAACGGGCACCTGCGTGGGCTGGCGCACCCACAACCATTCGCCCCTGAACTGGGAGATGTCCGGCACCACGCACAGCATGCTCTCCTGGCACCTGGAAGCGAATAGAAAACGGTTTAATAGGCCGCGTTGGACGCAAAAATGAAGAAATTGCTTCGAGGTATGTGCAGAAAAAGAAGTGAAGGGAGAGATTTTGATTCGAGGGATCTGTTGTTGCTTTAAAGCAACAGGTTTTGTGTTTTCCGTATTTATAAAAAGAAGCGTTTGCTTAAAAAGAGAAGGATTTGCTTGTAAAAATGTAATCTAGGTTCATAGCAACATTAAAATTTTTGTGTACTTTGGCTGTGTTTCCCCAGTTTGTAATGGCAGACAGGATGCATTTACGTTAAAACTGCCTAGAAAAATTTAAAACGTTCCAGAATCATTTAAAACGGTCTAGAAACTTTTAGAACTATCTAGATTCTTTTAGAATTATCTAGATCAATCTAGAGCGTTCCAGAATCATTTAAAACTGTCTAGAATCTTTTAGAACTGCCTAGATCAATCTAAAACGCTCCGGAATCATTTAGAACGGTCTATAAACTTTTGAAACTGTCTAGAATCATTTAGAACATTTTAGATCAATCTAGATCGCTCCAGAATTATTTAGAACTGTTTAGAATCATTTAGAACGTTCCAGAGCCAGTTAGAACAATCTGGAATGAAACTTTTAAACATTCTAAAACCATTTAGAACTGTCTAGTCTAGATCAATCTAGAACGCTCCAGAATCATTTAGGATGCTCCAGAATCATATAGAACTGTCTAAAATCATTTAGAACTGGCTAGATCAATCTAGAGCGCTCCAGAATTATTTACGACTGCTTAGAATCATTTAGTACGTACCAGAGTCATTTAAAACTGTCTGAAATCATTTAGAACTATCTAGTCTAGATCAATCTAGAACGCTCCAGAATCATTTAGGATGCTCCAGATTCATCTAGAACTGTCTAAAATCATTTAGAACTGGCTAGATCAATCTAGAACGCTCTAGAATCATTTAGAACTGTTTAGAACCATTTAGACTAGTTTGACGAAATCGCTAAACACTGTACCATTTAGTTCATTTATCAGAAACGTTTCCTTGCAAGGAAAATGCGGAGATTATGAATATGGATCAGACCAAAACCTTTTGCTTCTACCTTTTACTTCAAAGTAAAAGCTTCATTTTTATAAATATGGACTAACATCTTTAAAATTTTCTTCGAAAACTCAATAATCCTACTTTACTATCCTCTTATCGAATAGAACACTCAGCTCAATCAATTTACTGCTTACACGATATCAATATATAAGTTCATCTTCCTCATTTCTTTTGTCACGGTCATAGTTTCTTTCTATACACATAATTAACTACATTATTAATAAAATTCCCACCTTTGTTTCGCGCGTTAGAAGTTATAAACAATAACTTATGCAAATATAATACAATTACTCGTACGTCTTACCTGTACATGGTTTCGGCCTCGACGTCCCCGAACCAAACGTGCAAAGATGGCGAAAAGTTGTCGCCCTGTAGCTCCAGCATGGCCACGTCGCCGCCGCCGTTCAGGTGCAAACTGTGGACGATGGGGACGGGGGTAACGGGCGACCGGACGGGCCCCATGCCCTCGTAGAATTGGTATTCCGCCTTGTCGGTGGAGATGATGGTCCAGCAAGCTCCGTCGTTGATCATCTCCTTGTTGGGCTCCTTCGGGCAAGGCGTGGCTTGGAATTGGATGATGCGCTCCTGGGACAGGCACAGGTACATTCGCTCGGTGTCTTTCATGTAAAAGGCGCATTTGTGCAGCTGCGATACCGGATCGTCCGCTTCGAGTAGAGCTTGTTGTTTGTCGACCTGTTAAGATTTGTTATAAATGTCTGAATAGTAACGAATTTAGCGTGAGTATACCTTTCGTATGATTAATCGAGGTAAGGCCATACCGGTAACCGAACAAACGAGCTTAACAGTCGCCCCGTAATGGATATAACCGTCTCTGACTTGAAACTCCTCGCTCTCCGACTCGTTGTCGTCCAGCAGATGTATCGTAAAGGCGCCCCATTGCGTCGAACTGGCGTGGAAATGTCCGTTCTCCACGTGCAAATACCGAGTGGAAACAGTCTGCGATCTTAACCTATTGAACAGGGCCACTTTCGTACCACTAGCTATACACAAATCGGCGTTCTTTAAACTCTGTTTCTTTTTCGACGGTTTCGATATCACTTTGATCCGTTTACTGTGAAACACCCCGATGTCGTGGCCCGAGCCGTAGAACATTTTCACCGACAACATGAAGTGCTTGCGCTTGTCGGAGTCCGATATGTACAGGGTCTTCGCCGCGCAGTATTGCTTGCCGTTGTTGAGATCTAGCTGTTGCATGTCTTGATCCGAGTTGCCTGGAACGATACAAGACCTTATGTTATATTAATCGAAATGGTTATGAGTGATTTAACGTACCGATTCCAATAAAAGCGCAGAGCTGTGAGGCTTGTTCGGACTCGCCCTCGCGCAGCATCTGCTCCTGCCGCATCCTCCAGCCCTCGCCGAACAGGTAGATGCAAGGGGGCGGACAGAAGAACCTCTTCTCGTTGCCGTAGGACTTCTGCGCCACTTTGGCGTGCAGAATGACTATCACCATGTCGGATCTCTCCCTGAGGTAGCGCTCCATGGCCTCCCTGGTGAGCCTGCGGTCCTCGTTCCTGTAGCCGCCGGGCACGACGGCCCCCGAGAACCGGGAGTACATGGCGCCGTGCTGGGGCGGCGGCGTCGGAGGCGACTGGGCATGGGCTATGCCCGGCAATCCGTATTGATGGGGCATGGTATCGTTGAAAGTTCCTCACGATTTGCGCGCTTCCATGTTGGCTGGTATCGCGGCCTGTACGCTACGGAAAACGGAACGTAAACACCAACAATAACAGACTGTCCGCGACTGCGACTGGCTCGCGTAAATCAAATCCGTGCTACGCGAGAGACGCGAGATCGTGAGAACGAAATGCTGCCGTACAACTGTTTGGAGATTCTCCCCTCTTTTGACTTACATGCTATTTCACCTCATTCTCGTTTTAATTTGAAAAACACCTGTTCGCAGCCCGAATTTTCCGACAGTCTGGCCAACGTTCGGATGCCGGAGCGATTGTTTGGTGGGCGATTAAAGTCGGCGATTTTGTGCGAATTGCTACGCGATGTTATTGATAAATCGTTGGTTTTTAACGGTCGATTATTTCCATTGCGTTTAATTGATTAAAAACGGCGTGAGTTAACTGTTTAATCGGCTCGTTTTGACAGATTAATGATTTTTAGGTTGGTATTAAGGAGGTTTCAGATTGGACGTTATACGAGGGGAGATCGATTTTTTTAACGTCATATGCATATGCATTATTTTATTTGTTGAATCCGGAATGTCGAAGGGGGTGGACAGAGCAACCTCCTATCGTTACATTACCATGTATTTATTTTTATAAATACATACAATTGATACAATTTATATGAAACTTCATATACAATGATGTTTGTTTATTTTTTTACTTTTTTGCTTTTTTACGTGTATTTTTCTATTGTTTAATTTATTTCATTTGATCATTTTGTTATACAGAATGTTTCATAATATAGTGTCAAAAAAATAAGAAATTTATGACATTGTTGACAAAATGGTCGCCACTTATTTGCCCTGTCATCTGTCATTACATGGAATTGACAGTTCAACTTGTGACCAACATAGATTGCATTTGGTACCAACTTGACAAATGTTAGGATTCTTTTTAATTCAAATAAAAACTTTAGCTACTTTTTGAACCCTAATTTAATATTTTTCTTAAGCCAGTAGCGAATATTTAAGGCATAGACAAAATAAAAGTCTTTCTTTCTCTATGATTTAACGATTAAAATGCGTTTATTTCCCTTAGCTATCACACAACATTAGAGATTCAAATAACCTGTATAAAAAAACTCTTTAATAATTTATAACACAAATTATACTAAATATTTATCGATTTATTGGGCAGTGAACACCCGATTTGCTTAATAATCTCCCCGGCAGCATAACATGCCAATTCTATGCACTTTTCGATAGATTTCCCTTCGCACATTCCACCTAGAAATCCCCCTACAAACGCATCACCTGCGCCCGTAGTATCTTTTATTAGGCTCCTATCGATTTCCTCCACTTTGAACTGGAATTTCTGCGAATAATTGTTTGCGTAACCATAATAACAGGTACCGGGTTGCGCACCATCGGTTATTATAACAACGTTTCCATATAAACTCAATTTTTGTTTACCATTTTTTAATAGTGTATTCACTAATTCTTCTGTATCGGTTAATCCACACATTGTTGCTAGTGCTTCGAATTCCCTCTTATTACCAAATAAAATATCAGAATTATTAACGAAGTATTGCAATGTTTTCGGTACCATTTTACAAACGTAGTCGCCTGATATATTGAAAGCGATTATTTTATTGAGATTCTTGCAGTAATCTAAAATATACAAAGCTGCTTCTTCGCGTTTCGTTAGAAAAAACCCTTCGAAATAAATGTAGTCAGCAATTCGAATTATATCCGGAAAATTACTATTATTAGAAATATCGCTCGGTTTTAACACTTCCGCTGCTCCTAACTGACCCACTAGAGACCTATCAACACCTTTAACCAAAGAAATAGTTTTTCCAGTGGTATAACCACTCTGTACGATGTAGTGGGTATCAACACAGTCTTTTTCCACTAGGTTCTTCAGCAACTTCGCGTCTTCATCGTTTCCCACTGATCCCACTATCGAAGCCTTGTGCCGCTTGTTCGTCAGCCACTGCAGCACCCTCATCGAATTTTGAGCGCAGCCCCCCGCTATGTACGTTGTGTTCTTTGATTCGTTACGAACATCTTCAGTGATACGTTTCATTTCTTCGGAACTCAATTCTTTTTGACCGTCTTTTTCTAAATTATATTTATCTAGTAGGCTGTTGTCGTTGATAAACACTATTGTATCTAGTAAGGGGTTGCCGAAGACCACTAGATTTTTCATTGTAACAGCGAAGATGTGCGAAGATAAGGGCCAGTAAATTATGCAGTATATTACCTAATGAATAAATGAGACATGATAAAACGTAAAAAATGCTATAGTTTAACTATTAATCGAAATTATGTTTAAACATGTAATCAAAATAAAAAATCAATAAACATAACCTACAAATGTCAAAACGGCAATTATATGTCAATAACTCTGCTTTCATGTTAAAACGTAGTGACCTTGTTCAAGTAAGTAAAACAGTCATTTTCTTAAACATTTGAAATAATCAAGCAAATGCAAATAAGCATAAACAAAACAAACATTAATAAATAAATCCAAGTTTTACTAAATAAAACCAACGATTTGTCTGATTTAATCATCATTTTATGCTAAACAGGCGCATCATATCGTACGGCCCCGGTATAATCGGCCCAGAGAGCGATCAAAACATCAATTTCATTCATATCATCCCCTCTCCGCGAGAGTTCTCCTCTCCGCGTCTAATTATTTTAATGAGGGAAGAATGTGTTGGGGTTACGATTGGAGCGTGGGAAAATACCTTGTGGGAACGAGTGGGAGGCCGAACGAGCATTAATTTGATTTGGTCAACAACATAGATTTGTTCGTAACACGAGTGTATTTGCATTTAAATCTAAATTTGTTCTTTGTCGACTCGAAACTGTACATCTTTGTTTAGGACGATTTGTGCATGAATTATTTAGTTAGTTTGGTCGAAGGAAACTTCTCTTGAAATTCGGAAGGCTTAATGAAATAATGAAATTTGATACAAATATTGATTTTAATTATCAAGTGCGTATGGAATTCACTGATCAGTTTGGATTAAAAATGGCTTTGTTACCACATCTATGGCTTGTTTTTGGTGTAATTTTGCTATTCCTACTGCTGGTGTTCCCAGTGTGTCTCTTCCACTGTAATGGATCTACAAAATAATTAATTTTGAGATAAAAAGGTGCTTAAAATAAAGGAATAAAATTTAATTTACCTGCTTCTTAAGGAGGTTCTCAAATCGTGGTTTTATAAACGACCAAGCTCCCATATTCCGGTGTTCCTCCTGGCACCAAACGATAACTAAAAATAAACAAATAAAATCTATTAAACTTTTTGAATTTTGTAAAATAATTGACCATATTTGTAACAAACTGAATTAATCGTGAAAACCACTTAAACTGTATTTAATTAGGGCAGTATCAATTCCACTAACCTTTGGCTTCCGGATATTTCGAAATCTCCTTCGTCAATTCCAACACAGGAAAAGGGCAGAACGACTCGACTCGAATAATAGCAGTATCGGTGACTCCCATCGAAGACCTTTTCTCCATCAACGAATAAAAATGCTTACCGGAGGTGATTAGAATTTTCTTCACTCTCGAAGGCACCACCATCGAATCGCCTATATTGTTTAATTAATATTACTAGTTAATGAAGGATTAGATTGTTTTCTTATTTACCTAAAACAGGTTTAAAGAACGTTCCAGGCGTCATATCGGCGAAATCCGAAACGCAAACCGGAGATCTAAGCAGAATTTTCGGGGTGACTATTATCAAAGGTTTCCTAAAATTACGAACCATCTAAAAATATTTAAAAACTGTTACCACAATATCCCAATACATGAACCACTTATAATACAGTGCGACGGGAATAACTGGAGACGTAACCTGCGCGACAAATAAACCCTATGGCGCATCTACAGCTATTCCTGCATCATTAAAATTCGAACCTGTCGCCTCAACAAATGGAAATATTGAGCGGGCGTGCTGGGCTGGCAAACTTGCATGTTCACGTCGTCGCTATCCACTCGATCTTCCCTGGAATCCGTCATTTGAAGGAACCTCTCCACTCTAGAGGAGCTGTGGTCCGGTCCAGCCCCGTCGTACCCGTGCGGCAGGAGCACAGTCAGCCCGCTCTGCCACAACCACTTACCTGCAACCAATCAAACCATTTAATACACAATTCATTAATATAAATTCGCTTATTACTTTCACCCGAGCTGACGAAGGTGTCGAAGACGATCTGGGCGCCGTTGAAGAAATCCCCGAACTGCGCCTCCCAAACGATCAGGTTCCTCGGGTCCTCGACGCTCATCCCGTACTCGAAGCCCAGCACCGCCTCCTCGGAGAGGATGCTGTTGGCCACCTCCAGGAAGGCCGATTGCTTGTCGTGCATGTGATTCAAGGGAATGAACGTGCTGTTGGTTTTCTGATCCACGAGCATGGCGTGCCTGTGGGAGAAGGTGCCTCGCCCGACGTCCTGACCGCTCAGCCTAACGTTGAAACCTATGAGAGATTAGAGAATAGAGAGAATGTTGAGGTAGAATAGAGGGAATACAGAGAAGAAACCAATTAAATAGAGTATTGGGAATAGAAGTAGTACCTACAAGGAAAAGAAAGAACAGAAGGAATAGAAGAAGTAGAAGGAGTAGAATAAGTCGAAGGAAATGAAGGAGTAGAGAGAATTTAGTACTTGCCTTGGAATAATAAAGAACCAAAGGCGAGTGTTTCAGCCGTAGGCCAGTCAATATTGATCCCTTCGGATATTTTGTGAATTCGATTTTTTACATGGCTTTTCAGCAGAGTTGGATGGATTTCCTGGAAATTTTCAGAGTTATCCTGTATTCAGTAGGCATAAATAAATTGTGACACATACAAGCTATCACAGTTTATAAATTGCTTAAATCTAATGGTAACTTCTTATGATTTTTTTATCCACTCCCTGTAGATGATATAGGTACTTAATAGAGGTACTTACGAAGTTTTTCGGTACTTGCACCGATTTAGTTCCAACGAAAGTCATTAAATCCATGTCGATTCCGGTATCCCAAGTCGTAATTACCTCGCCGGCTTGAGAGAAACCGTCCCATTGTTTTTTGAAATAGACGTCCTAAACAATAAAAACTTGTAAATATAATTAATCCGTCCATTTGCGATTTTATCGCTTCCTAACCCGAAGTTCAGTTCATTTTATTTAGTTAATCGCGGTTGGTAATCGAGTAGGTAGCCTTTTTTCCTAATTATCCTGATAGACCTCCCTAATTACAGATCTTCTTGAAAAAAATTAATGGAATTTAACATGAAAATTCTTTTACTTACTGGTGGATTGTAATTTTCGGAAGCTTTTAATTCATCGTTTAACCATCGCTCGTGGTTTTGTTCAATCTTCTCGGCATCATCATTGCTCATAACGTTCTCTTTAACGAGCTTCTCCACATAGGAATCCGGCACTGTTCTAGAATAATCGAGTTTAGGAGAAATTTTTACACTAAATTTTACATACTTTTTGGATCTTATGATATTATACAGAGCTGGATTCGTAAAACTCGGATCGTCCAGTTCATTATGACCCCACTGCCTGTAGCAATTAACATCCACAAATACATCTTTCCTGAATTTCCTTTGGTACTCGAACGCCAATCGCGTGGCTTTAAGAACTTCCTGGAAATTATTCCAAACTCTTACAATCAGACAGCCAGAAATATTACACTTTTAATACCTCTGGATTGTCTCCATTCACATGTATCACAGGCACTGCTATAATTTTCGCCAAATCAGTACAATACCGCGAGGATCTTCCCCTATCACCCGGCGTGGTGAAACCCACTTGATTATTGACCACCATATGAATAGTACCGCCTACTTCGAAATGAGGCACTTTGCAAAGATTCAAGCATTCTTGATTGACTCCTTGCCCTGCGAAAGCTGCATCACCATGTACCTGTTAAATACACTTTTAATAGTAACTAACAATTTATTGTGTGTATAATATACCTGTATATTAAGAACTTTATCAGACCAATTTTTATCGCCATAATCTCCATCTTTCAGGATCATCTGCTTTGCTCTGGTTTTTCCCATTGACACTGGATTTACGACTTCCAAGTGGGAAGGATTGTAGAGTAATGAAACGTGTACTGATTGATCGTCGTATGTGAGATCAGTAGAAGAAACTAGAATGTATGAATGTAGTTTAAAGTAGTACTAGATGATGTGGTACTCACTGAAATGACTTACAACATCACCGCTCGCCTTGTAATAGGGTGGAAAATCCGCGTTGCCCTTTAATTTGCTGAAAATTTTAGCAGGAGGAAAATTCAACATGCCTGTTAGTAGATTCAACCGTCCTCGGTGCGGCATGGCTAGTACGATTTGTTCAATATTACCTAAAAAAAAACAGAATTTCTGGAATAGGTAAATTTGGGTATTATCCCATTTCACCTTTCGCAGATAATTTGAATATCTCCCCGAAGAACATCATCGTACTTTCGGCCCCTTCGCCTCCATATCTTTTGACGCTGGTGAATTTTTTCGCCAAAAACCGATCGAAACATTGCGATTTCAATAATTCTGTTGCGATGTTGATTTTTGTGGCATCGTCGATTTCTTCTGTTGGTAGAGCTTCTAATTGTCTACTCAACCATTCTATCTCCTCCTCGTCCTGTTGGATAAATTAATAATGTCTACATGAAGCTAGAATTATACTCCGTTCGCCATCAGAAGATGATGAGCTCGTTTATAAGAATATGATGGCGAACGGAGTATACATTTGAGGTAAATTTGAGGTTTACTTCGAGATGTAAATATTCCGCTCCGATGGAGGAGCAATAAACGCGATTTAAAAATTTCACGGCGTCTTTAATGCTGCCCTCTTTTCGGCTCGCGTGGATTATTCCATCGAAATTGACGTTGTCGCTTTCGCTGAACCCGTAACGGTTTATCAACAATTCCGGCATCGAGCTGGAAATAGTACAGAAATTTGTATACAGTGCGAACCATGTGCAATGAATAAAATCCATTTTCTCAGTTAATATTTGTAACTAGGCAATAGAATAAAAATTCATAAAACACTCTCGAATGGAGATTGAAATTTCTAATCTGAAAAATTAGCCGTTAACACCGAGGGGTATCAATTAGGAGTGAAAATTTGAAGGTACTAAATTCGATACAAAAAACAAAAATTGACCTATTTTTGCATTTTATACCTGAGAAAATGAATTTATTTATTACATATACATCTGGTTCGCGCTGTATAAATATAGGTATAACATGTTCTGATCGAAATAAATTACCTAGAATGCGCCGATAACGACACGGGGTTAATATTAGAATACTTGTGGCCGTGCTGCCTGTACGCTGTAACCAATCGAAAGAAATTGCTTTCCTTATTTTTGGCCTCGGCGCTCTCCCGAGATTCTGAAACAAATTTTATGTGCATGATATTGGAGTAGCTGCATAACGAGCAAGTTAAAGGCACCTGGCGATTAATAGGTAGGTGCAAGGACAACGGAACATTGGTTAATTATCATGCAAAGTTGGTTATAACCGTGCGATAGCAACAACGAAACAGCTCGAATAACAAAGATAAAAAGCAAGTGGGGAATAGTGATTAGACAAAAATTGTGTTTAACACGTCCAATTATTTGTTTAGAGTTAATTAACGTTGCATTTATAATAAAAAATATTGTGTGTACTTATTTAGGATTTTATTTCATCCTTACCTTCATAAATTTTTTTCTTTTTGCTTCGAAATCCGAATACGTTATCGCTGTGATACTGCCTTTTGAGATTGGAATTGATTTCCTTTAAACGGCACAATTTGAAGGATTTCTTGTACATTTTGCGTTACGAATATAATAGATTTTTGTAAGAGAATGTAATACTTGTTATTCGATAAACATGACCCGTTACGCGCAACGTTGGAATCTCAATTGGGCAACCTATTTATCTCTGAATAATGCCTGTTGCGATATTATTATGTGTTTGATTATTTACACAAGATTTATTTATGAATAATTATGAATTAATGTGATTAGTTTGGTGTGAAAAAATAAGAATTTTCGAATACGTTTTATATAGTTTTTATTCGGTACTTAAAATTCAATTCAACGTTGCCATTGAACGAATAATTAAGTTGATATTTTTAATTACAATGCGGAATTATTTCAATTTTGTCGGCTTTTGTAGTAATCCGAATTGTTGGGATTCAATTGACGTGATCGATTATCTACATCTGCCTTGGACATGTTCGATGAATTAGCTGAAAAAGATAAAAAATATAATGCAATATTTAATTAACTCATACTTATTATATTTGTTCAACTTGTATATTTTATTGAATTGTAAATGTATTGGCTTAATTAAAGTTTCAAGTGTATTGCATAAATCTACGAAACTGTAAATATAATTAAGTTTGTCAAAATGTCGGGGATTTACAGGAAAAATAATATTAAATTTTTTCCAATAAGTATAATAATGCTCAATAATTTGATAGGGGATGCGACAATTTAAAAATATATAATTCTTTGTCACTGAATTGCTTTTTAAATTCAATCGGGGAATTCCAGCGAGATGTCATATATAAATTTCAAGTTTCGCTGTATATGGACAGAATTTAAGCACTATTAGATATCGAAGAATTCATTGGTAACAAAGGAAATTACAATCCTTCAAAAAATTAGAATATTTGCCATATAACATCTTTATGATCATTGCAACGTTTGGGATTCCCAGCGGTTATTAAAATAAAATAATCACACGATTTTTGAAAAAATTGGGAAAAATTTTAAGCATATATGTTATTTGTGAATCTTTCAAATTCTTAATCTATTTTCTACTCACTATCCTCGCAAATCACAGTCGTTTTTTAACTACCTACATTATTGTTGGCTGTGAATCCCAGGATAAAATGCATCTACAATCGACGGGAAAAAATTCATCCACAGGAAAAAATAGTGAAATTACAATTTCACTACACATATAACAGTAAATTTTTAAGCTACTAGCATATATTCGTAACCCAATTCCCTTATTTTGTTAACCAACCTACATTCTACGTATTATTTTCAAAATCAGTAACTTCGGGAAATCCCAGAGAATTTTCGAGTCAATAAGTATATTAGAAAAACGTACCATTCGGATTTTCCTGTCCTCTTGACGAATAATAGGCATCGTTGTTCGGATTCTTCTGATTCGATCTATTGTCAGTAGCTCTTTGGTCCATATTTCTTCTCGACTTTCGCTTTCGATGATAAATCAACCCAACGTCAATCGGTGGAAAACTGATAAACTACGCATTTCTGGCTCGCGCTTATATACACCTGACCGAAACCCGTGAGGGATTCACAGAACGAGCAGGTGATCTCACGCGACCCCTCGACTGACTGGTTACTCAACCTCCCGGTGGTTCCCTGGCAACAAGATCGGACCCACTTTAATTGTGATATGGAAAATAAAAATCGTAAAGCAAATATTAGATTTTGGAGTGTGATATTTTCGCTTTGAAGAGAATTCCGGGAAATCGAGAAATTTCAATATTATCTGCGTCCGCTCAAGTATAGATAAATAATATTGCTGTCGCCAAGGACAGAGTCGAGTCCCTATTTTTTATAGGGCGAACAAACGCAAATAAAACCAACGAGTATATAATGTAATTTAATCAACATTTTTTTATAATACAACAAAACCACAGTTACTTTTTTAAATTTTGCAATTTGGGCGCGGACAGTTTCACTTTGCCCGGTATATTCCTCGCCACCTGTTCGTCTCTCACGGCCTTCAGTAAATCCTTCTCCCTTTGGATGATGGCCCTTTCCTTCAGGAACATAGCCACCGCCGTTTTGGCTGCTTTACCTCTCTTCGCTGTACCCGGGGTTAATTTCACCTTGAACCTAAAAAAACAAAACCATTAAAGGCGTTGATGATTGGTAACCCAATTTCAGTTGGCAGCAATGGAAATTAGCACGAGATTTAGGGGGATCCCCAGCTAGGGATAGCGAAAATGATGCAATTCGGGTAATGTGGGTTGCATACACTCCAGTAGAGATGAGCTCTAGTTTTATAATGACAATTAAAAGCTTACTTGTAATTGGATAGAGTATTGTAAGGAGCAACCACAGGTACGGCGAATAACAGCTCATCTTCGGAGACAGGGATACCCGTGAGGGCATCTATCATGTCGATATCGGTTTGAATTGTTAGATCTTCATCGTCGATGTTGTCTTCTGATATTTCTTTAGGGGTGAAATTTTTTATGGTTTTCACTGGGGGTTTTTTGGAACCTTTTTCCGACGAGCCGTCTTTCTTCTTTTTACCTTTTTTGGTGTCCTTTTCCTTACCGGTACCTGAGGACTAGATAATATGGTTATTATTAATCAACATTTGTGGAGTGCTAGATGATTTACCTGTAAGATGTCCATTCTTAGTTTTCGCTCTTCCTCATCTTGATCCTTGTATTTCTCTTTGATCTTCTTCAATTTCCCTTTTTGGCCTCTTTTAACTTGCTGCTGTTTCAAATCGTTCTTAATTTCGGCTAGAAAAGTACATAAGAAGTACATACTTAAAAATTGGTTAAAATTCGACAAGATTTCGATATTACCAACCCTTTTCGTTATTTTTTTGTTGCTTGACAGACGATTCGCTGTTCCCTCTGCTTCGATTTTTCTGATTGGACTTTATCACAACCGGTTTATTATCACCTAAATAAAATACGTGATCTTCGTTATTTTCCTCATTGGCTATTTCCGATGATTCAGTTATGATGTTCCTAAAAAAATAATTAGTTAATAATTATAATCACTCTACTCTACACTACTCTGCACTGCTCTCTCTTTACGCTACACTACACTAAATTACTTTACTTTGCAATAGTGTGCACTACTCTTCTCTACTCTACTCTATCCACTCACTTGGTTCCAGAGAAATGCTGAATTTTGATTTGAGTATCAGGAAATTTGTTATTCTCTTCATCGGAATCGGTTGATTCTTCATTATTGTCAGCATTTTCGACTTCTTTGTTATCAGCATTTTCAGATTGCGCTGCTAATTCATCTTCTGCAAAATCGATTTACTCTATAAGATTTGTACACTTGGGATTACAAATAACTATACCATCACTTTCGTCTAGAATTTCCACTTCTACGTCATCTTTCCCCATGTCTATCTCTGCCAGAATAGCGGCATCTTCCTCGTTAGCAGTTAATATTTTCCTTTCGTCTTTATGCCTATCGACGCTGCTATCTTCCAAGCGAAATAGGAAGCCTAAACCTAGTATCAGGTGCGATTGGGGAAGGAAATTCTTCTTGCCTCTTATCATGAAACTACCGGTGGATAAATACTCTCCGGTAGGAGCGGTTTTGCTGACTTGCTCGCCCCATACCCAGTAGGCGTTTGTTACTACTTTAGCTTCCCAAGCAACGCTGAAAAATACAAATTTAAGCATTAAGTAAGTTTAATATGCATATTTACCTGTAGCAAATAGCCATGGTACCCGCTTCGTTGAGGGTTTTAGGCGGAATGGGATTACCCGTGGGGTTTTTGATGACTATACTGCTAGCACCGTGAATATCGGCGTGTACATAAGCATCAGTGGGTTTCATGTATCTGAAAATTATAAATCTTTAATACTACTATTGCAATTGTATGCTGATGATCACCTTTTAACAATCAACTCGTTTTGTTGTTGGTCTCTACCGCCTATAACTAGGTAATTCTCGGAGCTTATGAACCAAAAGAACTTTTCGAACCAGTACGTTTTCCGCGCTTTGTTTATGTTCGTTATCGTTTGCATTTCTTTGAGGGTTTGTTTCGTCTTTTTCTCGGCGGATTTCAGCGCCTTGCTCTGCGATTCTATGGTCTTTTGCTGTTTCTTAGCAGCAGATCGTTTTTGATCGTAATATCTGGAACCGATACAATGTAATTTATGGTTGACAAGTGAATAATATCATTTACTTGCGCGCGTTCGCGAATGCGGATAAAGCTAAGTCGAGATCGATGATCATCGATGGTAGGTTATCGTTGTTTTCTACATCGGATTCGTTACTTTCCGCATACGGATCGGTTAATTGAAGACTAATGTGGTTGATTTCTAGTTTGAGTTGTTTGATGCAACAGGCTACTGGATCTCCTTTCAACGATGCCTCTTTTACCATATCCGTAATATCTTCCCACGATATCTTAAACGTCCATACAAGCTTATTAAGTTCAATACAATGCTAATAATCTTTTTACCTGATTAGCTAAGAGCGTTTGCACAGCTAAAATAGCCTTATCGACCAATTCTTGGTTCCTGGTAATCAGCTCGGCTTTTTGCTTATCGACGGTCTGAATTTGCTCCAAAGCCACGAGTCTTTGATCGTGGTCTTTTCTGACGTTCTCTAATTTCTTCATGGCATCCTTCTCTTGTTGCACAGCTTTGAGTTCCAATTTTTGGCTCTCTAATGATGAAAAAAATTCGTCGATGGCTTCGTTGAACGTCGGGTACTCTTTGTGTGTCATTTCTAAATGTTGCTGGAAGAGCATTGGATGGAATTCTTGATTGGAATAGAAAACTGTAGTGGAATTTGCATCGGATGTTGGACGTTCTTCTTTTTTCTGTATTATGTAGCCCTGAAATGTAACAAAAATAAATATTTACGTAGTTATATTTAGATATTTTGTTTACCTTGATTTGTTCAGGTTTTATATTTTGGAAGATATCCTCAGCTTCGTTCAGTGCTTCTAGGATTCTATCGATATCTTCGTTTTGGTTCAAGTTTTTTCCGATTTTCGTGGAGTTTGGGAAGTTACGTTTAAGTAAAACATGCTCAATTATAGCAGGTCCATATTCTATAAAAACAAACATTTAGAACATTTATAAAAAATATAAATTATAGTTATTCACCTAAATTTGATACAAGAACTTTCTTCAACTGGTCACCAACTTTGGCACTAGCCAATATCTCGGATAATTTTTCTTTACTTATAACTCCGCTTTCCCTCGCTCTGTTGTGAGGATATTTTTCCTTCGTAGCAAACCTAAATTTATCGCCTTCGGTGTGCGGACGGAGAACATACAAAATCGTATGCTCAAAATCAGTTAAGAGTAAATTCCCTTTATCGAACAGTTCTAGGATTATGTGATATGCAGCTTCGCCCGAGCCAAATTGGAAATTCACGATTCGATCGGTTCCCAATTGCGTGATAGATTCCAAGCGTTTATTTTTAAGATGTTTCCTCATCTAAAATTTAGAATATTGCAGTTTTGAAATGACAATAATAATATGTATCCCTACCTTCATACTGAAACCAGATGGAGCAATATTTTTGGGCCATTCGAAACTTGTTTTGTGGAAACGATCCCCTGATCCAATCAGTAAAACTTGCTTCTCTTCGCTCCTCTGCAGCCTGATCAAGTATGTTTTGCTATCGATATCGTATATATTATTCACTCTCATACCAACAAGGCTAAAATATTCGCAATTAGTAAGAATAGTAGTCATTATTTACATTTTTTAATGTCCATACTGTTGCAATTCCGCTATAACACACACGATATCGTACGTGTTAAACCTGGTCTTCATTTTGGCTGGTTTAATAAATAATATCACATTAATTTCCTAGGTCTTTTTAAACTATGATCGAATTATCTCAATATTTTGATAGTAGAAACGTAAGAGATAACCTTAAAATAGTATTGTCAACGACTGTCAATTATATGTCATTCTTGTCAATGTCTAATTAAAAGTTTTGTTCCACTGTGTTGTTTTGGTGTAATTTTAGTAAAGACCCATTTATAAAATTAATTATTGGATAAATTGATGTGGGGAGTTCGTCAAAACTTGCAGATTTATATAAAACAGTACTTAGTATACATAATTTGATAGTGGAGTAAGTAGAGACGGATGTGGAGAAAAAAATTCTTGCTCCGGGCTAAAGCGATGAACAGACACCGAACGAGCAACGAACGCAGTTTTAGTTTAGTCACTGATTCCGATTACTCCGGTTAGTGTGAAAAATCCGAACAGTCGACGTCCGAAATTCGACTTGTGCGTTTGGTGTGTCTCCGCGTACAACATAAACCTGCAATGTAGTTTTGAACTTGTGTTGTTTTAAAAACAAAATTTTTGAATGAAAACTTGCGATACGATGCCCATTGCGCAAATCTAAACCATGGTCGAGCTAGATTTTTCTTCTGCGGGTAAGTTCCCTCGCGAAAACTATTAATTTGTTACCACCCTTTTAGTTGAGGGTGTCTATTATTGATATTTTGCATGGTTCAGCTGTTGGATAAATTGCTTCGGATTTTACAGCGTTAGCGACGATTTTCTCGCGTTTTACAGCTGCTTTCAATTCATTTATTCTATTAAATTTGATATTATGTTGTGGTGGAAACATAGCCTAGGTTTAGGTAACACCTATTTAATTGATTGTGATCTACTAGAGGTGTAACACCATTGCAAATAAATATTTATTAAAATTTGATCAATTATTTAGAAACTCCGTGAGTGCACAGAAAACATTCTTTATTCAAAATTAAATTGGGTTTTTTTATACAGTGTGTCCCATGATAATGGACGTGTTTCTGATAATGTTAGATAAATGACTAAACCTAGGTTTACCCGGGTGAATTGCGAAATACCCAAGAAACATGTGTAGAGTAGGCTAGAATAGGGTAGGGTAGGTTTTGTTGGGTTTCTTGGGTTCCCATTAAGTCACTTGAAACCTACCCTACCCGTATTTTGAAATTTACCCTGGTAAAACTTAGGTTTAGTCTAATTTAACCTAACAAGTGCATTAATCTAGGCTGAATTAACAGAGTGGAAAATGTTCAATTATTGCAAACTAATTTGTTATTTCCACCCTGTATATTTCTTGTAAACAATCATTAAAACCAGTATATTCTGTACTTTTATTATCCCTTAAGTAATGACTATTTTGAGCCAATCGACAAATTCAGCACTAACTATATCCATTTATTTTTATACCCTTATATTTAATTCAATAATGACTAATGGTGGAGCAGTGGAGCTGTCACCTGTAGTAGTAGAATTATCCGTAAAGATAAAAAAAAACCCGGAGAGCCTCTCGTCTCCGAGCAGATGGTGTTCCGATCGCTCAAATAAATAATCTCATTTGCCCTCGGGGCACAGGCTGGTTCACCCATATAAAACAAAACTCGCCGAGTGCATCGGGCATCGGTAAAAACGGGCACGTGGCCGGCGAGTCTCCAAACATCTGCCTCCCGCTTTTAGCTTTCTTATTCTCGAAAATGCACCGTCTATTTGTGCAGGTAGTTTTTCGAATAAGCGCGTGGATGATTCGCTAAATGCACGAGCGAAACGAGACTGTAATTTTTGTTCCAGGTACCATCCCCGAAAATGGAGTTCCCGACATGACCCGTCTGACTGTCCTCAACGAAGAAGTCATCAACAAGAATCTAAAGATTCGCTACGAGAACAGCAAAATTTACGTATCCTTTTACATGTGATTGAAGCCAGGAATAATAAACAAGGTGCTTTCCGATATTCGGGGAATTCGAACAGTTGTAATATGTCGACAATATGGACTTAAAAGCAGCCAATAAACGGTTCTAAAAATAAACAAAACGCACAAGCGAAAGAGTACATAATGTAACGCGATGAATTTATCGTTTAGAATGGAATTTGTTCAAAGAAATGTTATCGTAATTGCTCCTTCAGTATCGGCTAGTAATTGAAGCTTTTTATAAACATGCCCTGGAATGTATTGTTCGCGACACCGAGGGTAACATGGTTTATTATTAAAATAAAACGATTGTTTATTACAATTTGCGCAGATGATTCGAATTATTACGAATGAATCGGTTATTACAAGTGGCTTTTATAAGTTCCAATCGTTTGTAATATTTTTTACAATCGCTTATAAACTCTTAAGCGTTTAGTCATCCACTCCTTCTAGCCCTCCGGGCATTCGAGGAATTCCGAGCTATCCGGAACTGTAACAGACTCGTAAGAAATAGTTTTTAGATGATTCATTATTTAGTTAAATGACCTAGATTTTTCGAATTTTTTCCCTTTCGTTTTCGGAAATTACTTAGTAATTAATAGGCGAGTTTTGATTGTTTATTTCGAGCGATTATTTATAAAATAAAAATCGCAGGTATTTAGGTAATAACGTTGTAAATAAACCGCGCTCGTCGGAATTCCATTAGGCATTCGAACGTAATCGCTAAAAGTTGATGATGACACTGACATTATTCCCTGAAAATTCGAATCGATAAATCCCATTCCGTTCCCTTTATAATCGCCCACCATTATACATGTTGTTGTCAACCTCAACGCGGAATGTGTGTTATCTTTAAGGTCGCACAAAGAATATTTCCATGTCATTCGATGTATTTTTTTAACAGGCCAATTCAAAGCGAGAAAATTATTACATTTTTATTAATTCGCTATAAATCGTTTTAATAGAGCTTCAAATAAATTAAAGCAATCTTCTAGAGTAGATTGCTCCCATATACTTAGAAACCTTATTCTGAATTGCCTGGTGATTCCACAAGCTTAATGGGTTGATCTACTTTGAACGCGATACTCTACTTTATTCGACTTTTTTACAATGATCTAGATTAAAACATCTGTTTTCGTCATCTGTTACAATAGACTTTAGAATTTTTTAGGGCGCGTAGCTACAATTTCAACATCCCCTATCACTCCAACGCAAAAACAATTCACCGGCATATTTTAATTAACAACGTAATTTAATCATCTCCAATTAGATAGCGTTTTGTCTGATAGTTGAGGACTCGGTGTGCGTTGAAAGTACACGATTTAGGTAAACCGGCGACATCGAAAAGGGCGAGCTGCATAATAAAAGCCACCGAAACGAGTCTCATTGTTTGACTATAAAATTTGTTTTACGAGCATCCGAGTCACGGCCTACGACTATATAATCTATTTGTGAGGCCTACACGCCGGATTATCCGAATGTAGAAAAGACGTTAATTTTAACGAGCTTGTCACAAAATTCTAACGAGATTTACCGGTAATTGACAATGAATAATCATCGACGATGAAAACGTACTTTGGTATTATTTTTATGCGTTTTGTTTGTTTACCATTCGATAAATTATTATGCTTTGGGGAAGGTGCATAAATCGAGGAACTGCACGCTACATAGGGCATTAGAATGAATGAATTTTACAACTAACATTGTCTGTTTTTTCCTTAATGCGATTTAGACATACACCGGCACCATTTTAGTTGCAGTTAATCCTTACAAGGACATTGACATCTATTCACAGGTAAGGGGAAATATATCCCAAAATCATTTTTAATTGACGAATTTTTGATTTTGCAAATTAAATCTTACAACGGGTAATTTTCATTAGCATTAATAATTTTGTATCTTTATTAAATAATATTACATTGCAAAATACGTGCGGATATCCTTTTTGATTTGCCAACATTTATCACAAATTCGCCGGGTTTTCGTACTTCCTCTTATGGAAATTTTTTAATCTAATTCGGTGTTAACATAACATAAAATGGCCCTTAATTTTAAGCACTTAATATCGCATTCCTACATTCTTAAAGCGCTCATTAATCGTGCCGAAAATAAAAGCATTTCCTATATAACAATATCAAAAATAGACCACAATAATTTCTTAAAAATAGTTTAGGGCTATATTCAACTGGTTCGAAAAGGAACCGAGCGGACGGATGCATCGTAAAAATACACTTTCGTTGAGATGTTAATTATCTTCTTTCCTTCTATTTACTGGCATTAATCAAAGGATGGGAATTTCGTTGATATTACAATGACTTTTCGTCACAGTACTTGAGCAAAGCGCGTTTCCCACGATTTAAATAGAGGATGTACGAATATTATTTGCTTCGAGACGACCTTTATAGGCCGCTTATGCAAACAAAGAAAACGAAATTGCAGAAAATCATACTCCAATAAACACCCGACCCGTTATTGGAAAAGGAAATAGGAAATTAATTTGCATATTAATAAGCTCGGTAAACAATAGAGAAAATTAAATTGGGAATCGGTTCACGTCGAAAACTTCGATAGGTACATCCTGGCGAATAGTTTAAATGCATTATTTTTACACGTTCAACTCTTTAGCGGAAGACAACTGAAATAATAATTTCGTGGAAACTACACACGAAATATCTTTCGGTGTTGAGTTTCAGTCCGAAAAAAAAAGTACCGAGTATGACGCATTTAGAAAACGTGGGCATGGGAACTAAACGGCCGATAACCAGGGCCGGTGTTCGATATATTACGGACGCTTCCATCGCTCTATATCTACCAAATAGATTGCTTCTTTCCATTCGGTCTAGCGCGATAAGAACGTACATAAAAAAAATTCGCGGTAATGTAATCGAAACAACAAATTGCCTTTTCATGACTTGATAACTCCACTGAAACGCAGGTATCTCTCCAATTGGATAATTGCAATCGAATCATTCGGCGATTTGGACGTCTCGACTAGTCGCAGAAACGGGAATTGCAAAAAAGAAAGATTGTTCTATCAAGAAATTTTTATTGCCGACATCCTGCCGTCGCGTGCACTTTGCAATTTTAAATTGAATTAACTCTTAACTATACTTTCATTTAAATCGTGTAATAAATCATTTTTATGCGACAGATCCTGATCCAACATTATCAATTCACCGCAACGTGCAACACACCCTCTTTGACCGCGTTAAATAATTACATTGTTTGTTTAACTGACCACTTTGACCTACATACATTCCCACCTAATCCCTCGGTTATCACGGCGATATCTCGTAATATTGCAGCACTACGTGTACAAGTACCATGGCAAGAAGATGCGAGAGATGGAGCCGCACGTCTTCGCCCTGGCCGAGGCCGCCTACACCAACCTGCAGACCGACAATCCCGGCAAGAATCACAACAACCAGAGCTTGGTGATCAGCGGCGAAAGCGGCGCGGGCAAAACCGAATCCACCAGGTTCATACTGCAGTACCTTTGCTCCGTCACCAGCGGCGTGTCCACGTGGGTCGAGCAGCAGATACTCGAGGCCAATACCATCTTGGAAGCTTTCGGTAAGCGAGTCTGCGAGTCGTTTAAATCCTATCCTAGGCTTCAGAAAGTCGCTCTAGAGTGCTGGTCCTGCTTGCAGAAGCAGTGTAAAGTCTTGTTTCGACAGGTTTCCTTTGTCAATTCTATAAGGCTTGTCGAGGAGTGGTCTTTAGGAGATATATGAGTCCTTTAAATCTGATTTTAGGCTTCAGAAAGTTTCTCTAGAGTGCTGGTCCTGCTTGCAGAAGCACTATAAAGTCTTGCTTCGACAGGTTTCCTTTGTTAATTCTACAAGGCTTGTCGAGGAGTGGCCTTTAGAAGATAGGCCTTTGTAAGGCATAAATGATTCATTTAAATCTGGTCCTTGGCTTCAGAAAGTCTCTCTAGACTCCTCTAGAGTAAAAATCTTGCTTCACCAGATTTCCTTTGGCAATTCCATAATACTTGTACAGAGGTTTAGTTTAGTTTAGTGGTCTTTAGGAGATATTTTTTTAGGGAATGCGAAAACGGTGAGAAACGACAACTCCAGCAGATTCGGGAAATTCATGCAGGTGTGCTTCGATTCGAGATGGATGATAGCCGGTTGCATAGTGCAGGATTACCTGCTCGAACAGTCCAGATTGACGTTCCAAGGACGCGGGGAGAGAAACTACCACGTGTTCTACCAACTAGTAGAAGAAGCAACGGTACTTGTAATCCGATCTCTCGATTTCGGTAAATTCATTGTACGATTTTTAGAGTAACGCCGAACTGGCCAAGCAGCTGCACCTGAAAGAGGCGAAATTCTACAACTACTTGAACCAATCGGACTGCATTAAAATCGACGGCGATTCGAGGAAGCTCGACAGCCTGATGCTGGCGTTTAACGTGCTGCAAGTGCCCGGCAACAAGTGCAACGGGATATTCCAAACGTTATCGGCGATTTTGTGGTTGGGCAATTTGACGTTCGAAGACATCGACGGGGAACGGTGCCAATTGACCGAAGGCGACGAGAGTATCATCGAAATTTTATCGGATTTGCTCGGCCTCGAACTGGAGCACATCAGACAGGTCGTGTTGATCCGGCAAATCAACGTGCGCGGCAACATCACGGAGATTCCGCTCAAATTGCAAGAGGTGCGAATGTTAATTATAGTCTGTTCGCCAGTAGGAGATAGTAATGAAGCAGTAAACTATAGGCGCCTGAATGAATAATTGAAAAGTAGTCACAAAATTACTATCTCCTGATAGCGAACGGAGTATAAACGATGTTTTCTTAACGGTACATTAATGGGTGTATTTTAGGCTAGAGAAAATCGGCATGCGATGGCGAAAGCCCTGTATTCGCGGACGTTCGCTTGGCTTATAAATCACATAAACACGTGCACGAATCCAGGGCAGGATTCGACGAGGTTCATCGGCGTGCTGGACATCTTCGGTTTCGAAAATTTCAACGTGAACTCGTTCGAACAGCTGTGCATCAATTACACGAACGAGAAATTGCACAAGTTTTTCAACCATTACGTGTTCGCGTTGGAGCAGGAAATTGTAATGCGACGTGTATTTGTTATGTGGTTTGTTGATTGCGCGTTTTTTTTAGTACATACAAGAGGAAATCCAATTTAATCACATCGATTTTACCGATAATACTTTATGCTTGGAATTGCTGGAGAAACCGCCGAGGTGTGTTCTAAGACTGTTATCCGAACAGTGCCATTTACCGAAGGGTTGTGATGCTTCCTATATTTCCAATCTTCATTCTGAATTCGAAAATAACGAACGATACGTTAAAGGTATACATCACCTCTATTGTACTATAATAGGCAATTTCTATAGCGAATTATTTTAGGTGAAGATAGGCGAAAATGGGAGACGGAGTTTGGAATCAAACATTACGCTGGCTGTGTAACTTATAATGTTAAAGGATTCGTAGACAAGAATCGAGATGTTCAACAAGATGTATTTTTTGATATTCTATCTAGAAGTAGTAACGAATTCGTTCAGGAATTGTACACCTTCCAGGATTTGTCCAACACGTTGGCCCAAAGGACGAACATTAACGGAGTTTCGACCGTATCGAGGGGCACCAGCAAAGGGAAACCCACCGTTTCCGATACCTTCAGGCACCAGCTGCAAGCTCTCGTCGACGTGCTACAAGTAAATCATTCAATTTTATCATCACGATTCCAATTAATTATGCATATTCATAATTTTAGTCGACTACTCCTTGGTACGTTCGATGCATAAAACCGAACAAACACAAACAAGCGGATAGCTACGACGATCAATTGGTGTTGGATCAACTCAAATACTTAGGAATGTTAGATATAATAAGGATTAGAAAAGAGGGCTTCCCGATTCACATGAGCTTCGAAGATTTCGTGATCCGCTACCACTGCCTGTCCAAGAACCGCCTCCCTCCGGACATGCCGAAGGCCTGCCTGAATCTCGTCGAAACCCACAACGTGCCGAAAACCGAATGGCAAATGGGCAAAACGAAGGTTTTCATGCGACCGCACGTCCACGAACCCCTCGAAGAAGCCAGAAACAAGCTGGTCAGATCTCGGGCGATTCTCATACAAAAAACGTTTAGGATGTACGTGAGACGGAAAGAGTTTTTGAAGGTTTTGAACGCCACGTTGAGGATCCAACACGCCTACAAAGGCTGGAAATTGCGGATCGATTTCCTGAGGAAGCGAAGAGCCGCCGTCGTCATCCAGAGCCATTTGAGAGGGGCCTTTGCCAGAGAAGTGGCGGCGGCGTTGAGGGAAATGCGGCGCGTGGAAGAGGAAATGAGAAAACGAGAAAAGCTGGAGGAAGAAAGGAAGCAAAGGGAGGCCGAACGGGCCGAAAGGAAACGAAAGGAAGAAGAGGAAGCTAAGAGATTAATGGAGGAGAATAAACTAAACGATATTCCACCGCCGCCGCCGCCTTCTTTCGCGCAAGAAGAAGATTTAGAACGCAGTGAAAAGTAAATATTTATAATTTATAATTGAGTAATGTTAATATTCGTGTTTTTTAGAGCGGCCCAACAAGAAATAGCGGCTCTATCGCAAATGGCCGAGCAACTGAAGCACAATCGAACAGAAGGTCCCACCGAATCCGTGGACTTGGACAATTTGTTCGCTTTCCTATCCGACGTTCAACCGAACAACCGAAACCACATCATCGAGGAAATCGGCGAAAAGATGAACGAGCTCGTGGAAGATTTGGACGTCGAATTGGAAACGGTGATACAACAAGAGCTGGAAGGCTTGGCGCAGGAGCAGCAACAACAACCGACGCCTCCTAAGATGGGCCTGCCTACTCTACCGGAACCCACGGGGCCCCCGCCGCCGCCGCCTCCCATTGATTTTACAGTTAACGTAAGTAAACTCTTTTGTCTTCAAGTATGTACCCTCAATTTGCATTATAATGGAGAGGAGTACGACTTTTTTTCAATTTTTTATGAAACTATGTATTCTTATGAAGTCATTGGTGAAATTTTTATTTTCTTCGTTTTCTATTAAGGCCACACTTAATTTTTAAAGTTTGAAATACGTCACTAGTCATTAACCAATCGCATTAAGAATTGGTGATAAAGATTGTTTTTAGCGACGTTGTCAATTATTTTTTTATTCTGAAAAAAATATAGAGCGAACTCATATCGAATATAGAAGCGAATATACAGCGAAATATAGAGCGAAACTATAATTGTTAAATAATAAAATATGCCTATATTTACGAATTTCTGTAAATACCTTAAATTCTAAATTATTGTTTAGTAAAAATGGTAATGTGGCAACATCGAATGTATACTTTTGACTTTTTAAACTCCAACTAAAGCAACTTATGCAATTTTAAAATGTCGCATCCGAAGGTAGTAAAAGCCTGTTTCATGCCGTTTTGTGAAATTCTTCATTGTATTCTAAAAAAGGGTTTATTTTTGGCCAAGAAACTTAAAACAAAGAAACTACCTTAGATATGTCATCTGTCATTTGATGTTACATTTCACTTTTGTTCGTTTCTTCTACTCTTCCGTAGAAGTCTTGTTCAAATTCTTATGCCACTTATGATTCAATACAACAAAGTTCTCTTATGATTGGTTAGTATCTTACACGTTATTGGTCAAAACTTTAAATTTAAAAGGGCTATATTTTTTAAAATAATGATAATTTTCAGCAACTAAAAACTGCTTTGATTTCTAATGACTTATTTCTACTTATATATCTGGTTAAAAACCGTATATCTCACATCATACTCCTCTCCATCGTAGGCAAACCCGGAACCTCAACCTCCTCTAGTACAAATCGAAACCAAAGCAACAAAGGACGAGCCCATTTACGAAGCCGTGCTTCCCCGAGAAGAACCGGTTCCCGTGTGCGTGTCGCCGCCTCCACTACCAGCGCCTCCTAGTCGCCTAGCATCGGAATCTCCTAAAACAACTCCAGCAGTATCCAGATCAAACAGCGAAGCCGTAAGTTCACCACACTCACCAAATGCCGGTAAATTTATAAACTATTATCCAGCACCCGACCTGGCGGTACTCGCAAGAACATCCGCAGCAAGTCGCGCAGCTGCACCAGGAGGTGCCGAACACCGAGCGCGAACAACGGCGCAAATTCCGCGTCGAGAAGAAACTGCAAGAGCTCAACGAAAACAGCGAGAAGGAGAACGCGTTCGTCGAAGAGACCAAATTCGATATGGTGGATTTCGCGAATACGTACTTCAACGCGCACGAAAGGAGCCCCGAAGGCACCATCATGGCGACGCTGACGAGGAAACGGCAGAGTTCGGAGATGATCCCCAAAAGCGAAATGGTCACCTACTACAAGGGAAGCATTCCCAGTTCGCACCTGCATCTGTACGATCCCGATAATATAAATATCGCTTGTAGTATTTTTAGAGTAAGTAGCTTATATTCGAGTAGAATAATCGATTTATAATGTAAAATTCGTAGGATTTGAATAAGTATATTCGAGGGGAAATTAGTGGCGAACGAGAACTCCAAGTCATCCAGTCGATAATCGGTTATGCTTTGGAAAGGGAAGAGCTCAGAGATGAAGTGTTCGTGCAATGTATGCGTCAAGCTACTAACAATCCGAGCGTAGAAGGAACTGAAAGAGTTTGGTTGTTGCTTTGCCTGTGCATAGTTTCATTCCAACCGTCCAAATTACTCTACCGGTACTTCGTAACGTTCCTGAAGAAGGACCTCACTCAACCCGGAAGGATCAGTCAATACGTGCAATGGTGCTTGGACAATTGCAATAACAACAAAGTTTCTGTTAGAGAACACCCGCCTTCTTCTGTAGAGATTGCTGTAAGTCGGAGTATTTTAAGCATTAAAAATTGGTAGTAATTTTTCGGTTTTTTTTTGAAGGCGATGAAACGGTTGGGTACGATAGTATGCAGGTTTTTCTTCCTCGACGGGCGCACCAAAGCCATCGACGTCCATCCCACGGATACCGCCGGAGACGCCGCTAAGAAGTTAGCGGAACGGTTGGGATTGCGGAATCTAGACGGCTGGGCGATCTACCAGAGCCGCCCGGATGGCGAGGAGCACGTGCGCGCGCATCATTATTTGTACGATATCATCGCCCAATGGGAATTGTAAGTAGATTTCCCTGGAATATTGACTGAATTTGTGTCAATTTTAAAAGTATGGCAACTCCATGGAACCATTCAGAATCGTCTAAAATCATTCATAACGTTCCAGAATCAGTTAGAATACCTCAGAATCATTTACAACGCTTCAGAACTATTTAGAACTGTCTAGAATCATTTAGATCGTTCTAAATTCATTTAGGATGCTTCAGAATCATTTACAACGCTACAGAATCATTTTGAACTGTCTAGAATCATTTTATGATTAAATTTTCAAAAATGTTTTAGGAATCAAAATAAGTTAGTGCCTCCGAGCAGTCTCTCCACGTTGGGCAGAAGAAGCGGCCAGACGGTCAGCGGCGGTGAGAATCGGTTCATATTCAAAAGAAGATTGTTCAAATCTAGTCGTGAGCTTAGTCAAGATCCGGTAGAAGTTAATTTGATGTACGCTCAAGCGGTTCATAGCGTCGTAAAGGTTCGTTAATATAACTACAATTTCACTTCAAACTATAACGTATTATTTTAGTGTGACGATTTCCCGGTCACCGAAAAAGTCGCTCTGCAACTGGCCGGTCTACAAGCACAAGTAGCTTTAGGAAATCCCAAAGATAATAATAAGTTCGAATATTATAACGATATCGAAACATATCTACCTTATAGGATAAGCAGAACAAGAGGAGACGACGTTTGGGTACGTTAATTAATTATACAGTACGTTAATTTATAACGATAAATCTCATTGTAGGTTTCGATTATCGCTCAAGCTCACAAGCAATACGGCGCGAATCGTACAGAACTGACAGCCAAAGCTCTGTACTTATCCTGCGTGATGCAGTACCCTCTCTACGGCACCACCATGTTCCCCGTCACCTATCGCGGTTACTGGTCCTACGGGAACGCCCTGACTCTAGGCGTCAACTGCGAGGGCATCATGCTGATCAAAAACGACGATAAATTCGTGCTCAACGAGTTCCACTACCAAGACGTCGAGAGCATTCTGTTGGATCCCAGCGACAGTTTCATTACAATCACGCTGCAGCGACACGTCAACGACAACAATCACAAATGCTACGTGTTCGAGACGCTCCAGAAGAACGAAATCGGCTCGTTGATAGCCAGCTATTGCCCGTCGCTGGCCTGCTGGCTCACCGAAAACGAGGCGCCTTTGAAGAGAGTCAAAGCCATCACTAACGAGGATCGGGTTCGCTTGTATCACAACCTGGTCAACTGCAGACGGGCTCTGGTCGATTTGGATATCCTCAGGAAACCCATAGATTCGTCGGGGAACTTCTTACGGAACACTTTAAGGCGATTGAGCAAGCATAAATTGGATAAATTAAGGCAGGAACACGGCGGCGATACCGGGGAGACTTACAAGGGTTTTCATTACTCGTTTTGGGCGTTTAGCAGGCAACAATTAACGCAGAGTATCAGCAGGATACCCGAGCCCGACGAGCAGATCATGCTGCAAGTGTTTCAAATCATTCTCACTTACGCCGGGTTAGGTCAAAACGGTGAGTTCGACTCTAATGGGAAAGTTTAAACTATTATAAATGTGTGATTTAAATCAGGCGAAGTCATCAGGCGAGTCGAAGACGAACACGTTACCCTTCTGCAGACTATATTGGAGCGCTGTATGAGGAAGGAATCGCTTTTGTGCGAACTTTACCTGCAACTAATCAAGCAAACCACCGATCATCCCGATCCTAATTCTCGAGTGAATTTGAGGCACTGGGCGCTGCTGTCTTTGGCTTGTTCGGTGGTGTTGCCTCCGAACAAAACCATACGCAGGTACTTGATAGCTCATTTGAAACGGTGCAGTTCGGATTTCGTTACCGAAGAAGGAAAATACGCAAGGTAAGGGCTAGTAAAGTGAGCGAAAATGGGGGTTGTAATTGTAATTGTGTTTGTTTAGATTCGCAGAGAAGTGTTTATTGAAGACGCAGGGGACGAGGAGGAGACAATGGCCCCCGTCGAGAGAGGAAATACTGTGCACGATAAACAGAAGACCGGTATATGCTCGATTTCATTTTATGGACGGGCAATACCACTCTGTGGAATTCAATCCATCGGCAACGGCTAAAGATGTTCTCGAGGTTGTTCGAGATAAGATAGGGCTCAGCGAGAACGCTAAAGGTTAGTTAATTTATGAGTTTGTATGACTAATTCAGGTTGTAATAAATTCGATCAATCGCAGGTTACGCCATATACGAGGTGCTAGGAAATTCCGAACGTAGCTTAGCAGCCGAAGAGAAAGTGGCCGATGTAATGGCTAAATGGGAAAGATACAGAGCCGCCACGACGGCTAACGCCATGAACAACGGCGGTACCACCAAAAGGGCCAGACCTCAAAACCACTTTTTCCTCTTCAAAAAACACCTGTTCATGGACAATTTCATCAATCTGAACGATAACGTGGAAAAGGAGCTGCTGTACCATCAAGTATTGCACGATTTGAGGACCGATCGGTTCCCTGTTACCGATAAAGAAGCTGTAAGTTTACCAAATTATAGAGTAACAAACTAATTTCAATGTACAGAAGTGTACAAACAGTGCTAGTTGATTTTTGTTACTATACTCTCTTATACTACTAACAACTCTTTTATACTCTGTTCGTTATCAGGAGTTATAAACCTTCTTGAAGCAGTAAATCGTCTGGTTCTTGAAGTAGTTGTCGCTTAGTAAAATTAGATTTTACTACTATCTCCTGATAGCGAACGAACTATACTTATTACAACACTTTATAATTGGTATTTTTCAGATGATGCTAACAGCCCTTCAAGCTCAATTGGAACTGGGCGATTTAGAGGAGGTAATTCACGATTACAGGCCGATAGCAGCGCATTGTTTACCGGCTCGCATGGTACCGATATTACCGAACGAAGGCGTACAAATGCACCACCAATCCTTGAGGGGAATGACTCCATCCGAAGCCAAACAAGCGTTTCTAAACTTGATCCAAAGCTGGCCCCTACACAAAGCCACCATCTTCGATGTGATGGTAATTAGAAACCTTCTCGAACACCAATTACTCAATCACTACGAAACAATTTATTTGCAGCAATCGTTCACGTCCAACTGGCCTCGCGTCCTCTGGCTGGCGGTGGACCAAAAAGGCCTCCATCTGCTGGAGCACCGTTCGAGGAACACGCTGTGCACGTACGACTACAACAGCATCATCAGCTACTCGCCCGCCCTGAACTGCCTGATGATAATCACGTGCAACGATCGCAAGCAGAGCAAGGTGATCCTGACCACGGCGCAGGCCTTCCAGATCGCCACGTTGATCAGGGAGTACACGGAGGAGTTGCACGGCCAGTCGGTGGAGCTGCGGAAGGCCGAGCAACAGCCGAAGAGCCGGCCGATCAGCGGCTTGCACCAGAACATGGCGCTGGTGCCGCCGCAGCCCAGCTAGAAGAGGGTCACTTTCGCAGATCAGGTGAGCAAATCGGGCCGTTGACGGCGCTCGATTTGCGGGTAGGGTCGCTTGGGTTTGCGATGCGGGTTGTTTCGTGAGTTTAGATGGAGCATTTTACAATATTTTATGCATTTAGGTGTACTCTAATTCCAAAATAGTAGGCACTAAATTCTCGGAAATGATTGTGAAGTTTTCGTTATTAGTTAGCCGTTGTTCTATGGCTATTTAGCAGCTGTAAATTATTTAAATAGAAGATGCTTAAATATCTAGAATCACAACCTGACACAATGTTTTACTTTTAAATCCATATTTCCGAGAATTTAGTGCCTACTATTTTGGAATTAGAGTGTAGTTTTAAATGGTTAAAATATTGGGTTTTTTTCGACGAAACAGCCTGTGCACCACAAATAATAGCGTTAAATATTAGAATCAGGTAATGTTATTCAATTAGCACAAAGTTTAATGGGATATTCAAGCGATTCTACTCGATTTGTTTTACATTCAACGATATAAATGACAAATATCGAGGTGTTTTTTGTGTCGTTGAATGTAGTGATCTGCGAAAATTTTTTATACTGTTAAATACATATATAATACCGTATATTTGAAAACGTTAGTATTGCTATGTACAATAAGGTAACGTTGTATAAAAATGTTACCGTCAAATTAAAATTAGCAATTGAGATTTTGCGAACAAAATAATAGACTCGTATTGCATTACATTTTTTTTTTGTAAAAAAGACTGAATAGCAGAAATTATACACCAACACGCTGCGTAAAAATCGTATTTTTTGTACGTTTTGCCCGCGATTCTTTAAAATAATTAGAACAATATGTGGAAAAGAGTCGATTCTCGAAATATCGAAGCCACTTTGACTTCCAAGCAATACTCGAGAATGTATGAGGGGCTCACCTTGCATTCTCGCTTCTTTTCTAGTACAATCCTCCGCTTATATCGAAGGTAGAAGAGCGAGAATTCAAGGTGAGCGATAGTCCATTTTATCTGCAGATATACAGAATTTGAGAATATAAAAATATATTCGATGTTAGAAGAAGAGTCCGGGTAAAATGTACAAAACCGTTCACTTGTTTACAATTATCTAACTACATACCAAATAACTTATAACGTTTGGCGATAATAATATTTTACATTTACAAATGTTACAAACTAGTCAAATTGTATATATTACCTATGGAATAACAAATGGAATATTTATTGTACAGCTTGAACTGTACGCACACAGGATGCCTCGGCGTTGTTTACATCTGCATTTAATTTACATTGAGTATTTAATGATATTAACATATTAATTTAGGATTTAAATTTACATCACTTAATTCATTTACGCGCTCGAGGCATCTTGTAGTTTATCATTTATGATGTAATTTTAAAACTTCATTTTAACGTTGTGATATCCTTTTTTTTATATAATATACACAATTTTCGTATCTAATTTTTATAATTTATGTTGTGTTTAATAAGTATTTATATACCTAACCTAAAGTAATAAAAATTACTGCCAAAGTTTAGTTTCTTAATCTCACTGATATATCCCGGCTATTGTAGCGTACCCAACACAACGTAAGGACATGGTTTTAACGTTATAATTAGAGTTATAACTAATTGTATCAAAATGCGTGTATAAAAATGAGTTATACCGATCAGAGCATGCTATAATATCGTAACTTTTTCGAAACGGGGTGATTTACATGTGCATCGTCGAGTTGTTGTGGTGTAATAAAATAGGGAAAAATATGCACGCCCATACCGTGAAGCATATTAGTAATACTATAAAACTGTAATGCTTTTGTTTGCTCCAGGGATTCATCGAGTCTTGGTTATTCGCCGGCCTGGTAGGTGCCTGTGGAATCGGATTGCTCTAAAACAATGGAGAAATATATCAGATTAGGATAAAAATAAATGAATTTCCAATTGGTGATAGCGAAATTGGGTTATAAAAATACATAAAAACATTACCGTGCATTACGTTTGATGATATCTAAGGTTATACATTACTTTTTTATGGAAATGCGCTGATAGGCTTACGTTTGATTATGTAAGTGTCTAGGGTGTTAAAAAAAGGTAGATAAAATGTATTAAAAAATCTATACCAGATTAGATTGAAGATTAAACTAATCGCTAATTTAAAAAAAACAGATAATTTAACAGGAATCCAATATTTCAGAATTTACAAAACGTGCAATCCTTTTTTTCCAAAAATTTAAATATCTAAATTGTACTTTGTATTACAACGAAATTTTGGTTAACAAACATTTCGTTATCAGTTTTAAATTTTAAATGACTATCTAATTTTATTTTAATAGCCATTTAGATTCTTTATTTAAACTTAATCTTAACATTGTTTCTATTATTTATTTTAACAATCACCAACTAATTTGGAAGAGTAGATTCAAAATTTTCAAAATTTTAATGAGCAGAAAAATTTCAAACAAGGGTTTATCTGCACCTCAATATATTGTGCAATTTTATTCAGAGAGATTTAATCAAGTATAAATGTTCTTATTTGAGATGATATTTTATCTAATTACGTGATAATAATTGCCTAATTTTTTCTATATTTTTTATAAAACAGGTTTCCCTAACTGTGTTATTATTTGAAAAACTATACACGATATTTAAAATCAAGAAGCGAATAATTGCACTCAATCTAGATTATAATTTATTCAAATCTTTGTTAGAAATGCTTTATAATGCATTGCTCCTAGTAAGATATGCAGGTCGATTCATTTTAGTTTGCAATATAGGTCATACAGGCTATGATTTATAAAGGAAAAAGAAAGAGTGATAGTGTGTCATTGCAACTTTTCACTCTAGCTCTAGCAACTGTTATTTTAATAATCGTTCTTTGTTAACTCATAGAAATGACCATGTTGCAAACTGAAATGAACCAACGTGTATCTATAGTTGTTTTAACATCTAATTTCTCGAAAAAAATGATTACAAATTCCAAATTAGAGGAGTACGAAATAACATATGCAATTTCGAATTGCCACAGTATTAAAAATTCCACATAGGAAATTCGAACAAACGCAATACCACAAATTCCTGCAAAAATCCCAACACTCGTAATACGAATTAATAAAATGCGATGCTCTGTGCCGGATTTATACAGCATTTTACTACACACTGAGTGCCTGCGCAAAAATAAATTAATTAAAAAACTAAGTACTTACTTCGATGTTAGCGGAGGTGAGGGTTTCCGAGCTGCGGTTCATCTCGTACGAAAATGAAATATCAACGGATTGCGTTTACCTGCGTTCGCATTCGCCAGGACACTCGATTTTATCTGTTTTCGTTAACAATAAGTACCCGATAATGGCGATTAATAATGCATAATAATTACTAATTCCTTTGTTGCTTATCGCGGAGTCGTTGCGCGCTCGATATAATAAACACAGCGTGAAACGCTAAACAAATATATTATTCTAATGGTAGGATGAAATGCCTCACCTCGCCTATGTATGTGAGTATGGTCGACTAAATGAATAAATGCGTCGATTTGCTGTTGGTTTGTTTGCACATTCGAAAGTGAGAGTGTTGTTGCTATTTTGTTATTTTTTCCTATTCCGATAAATTTATTGCCGGCAACCTTGGGACTGGTTATTATTAGGCACGTTAAAATTTCAAATTTATACGCAGCAGTGTATGCTAGGATTTATTCACAGGATTAATTCTATACAGAGTGTCTACTATAAAAACTTCCAAACTTGAGGAGGTGATTATACAAGTAATTTCGAACCAAAAATGTCATATAACACTTTTTCGAAAAGTCGATAATTTCTCTTTTATTTAACATTTCATGGTTTAAATGTTATTTATTTTTTCCATAAAAAACGAAAATATTACTTTTATTCGTATAGTCACATTTTAATTTTGATGACATACCGTAAAAGTGCATTAAATTTGCTATAAGAAAAGTATTTATCAGTTTAAAAAAAAGTTCAATACCAGGTGTTATAAAAGATATAATTGTCACGATTGTAAAGTGAACATAATTATTTGTATCTTTTAAATCCAAAATTTACTATCAACCTTTCAAAAAAGTGTTCAAAAGTTGTTCAAAATGACTTGTATAATCGTACTGAAGTTTGGCGGTTTTTATAGTAGACACCCTGTATACACAACGTAATGAATTATACGAAATACTAGATCCTTTTTTGTTTGCATTAAATTCTTCTTATTTTGTACATCAATTAATTACTGTCACCATTCTACGAACCCTTCAAAATATCATAAAAAACATTAATCCGTTTAATTTACGACTAACCCTCGTATACGTTTCCGCATTCTGTAAGTACAAATATTGTATTTTCCACAAACAGTCCATATCGAATTATTTAAAGGTTATTAATTCATTTGCAGGTGTTTGGGCATCGAACATATGCATAACAAAACGAAATTGATATACTATCGAAAAATGAATGTATTAGATTGAAAATAAAAATGTCAAAATATCATCAATTATCGTCATTATGTCGCAATTAGCCAGCATGATGAAGGAAAACAGGACGAAATTGGAGCCGGCGAAGGAGAAACCCGTTAAAATCGTAAGTAATTTTGATAGACTTTAAACAATTAAATTGAATAGGCACAAATTAATTCTTCAAGTGCCCACTGTTTATTAGATTTTATACTTTTTTTAATCGTACTTGGTACTTTATTACTTTTTTAATACACCTGCACATCAATAAAAACTGAACGAATTTTTTTAATATAATACTTTATGATTTTTATTGCAAGTTTTTGTTTAGTATAAAGGTAGGTCAATTTGATGCTACAATACTGTCATTAGTGATTGATTAGTTGGTATTCATGTCGTATTTCAAACCAGTGGCGGAAATTATCGTTTCGAAACATTTCCTGTACCCAAATAAATCACGCAAAATAAAAAAAATAATGTGTGTATTTTTAAAAAATGAAATTTTAACCTCACGATACCCGGGAATAAAATTGTACAACAATAAATAACCAAATTGATATTTAAATGGGAACATATACAGGGTGTTTCTCTAATAAAATGACTATAATTCGGAAATTTCTCGAGCACAGATTTTAGTTATTCTATAACCAATTTTTATTAGCTACATTACAAGACATTGGAGTGTATTTTCCTATAAACCAGAAATAATTTAAAAATTTGATTACAACTACGCGAGCGAAAGTGAAAGCAAATTCTCAATAATTGCAATCTCGGCCGGTTATTATGTCACAGAGGCGCTCGTCGAAGCGCAAGAAAAATCCGAATCGATAAATTAAATTCGGCGATCGTCGAAACAATTTTTAATATCTCAACGTTTTTTTGAATTCCCATGCCGAATTACGAATTGCAGTATGTAAAAACCACCAATAACAATGTAAGTAGCACATAGTAGATAAGTTTTTTTTATGTTAAGATGCATCGAGAGAATGTTAACGTTTAAAACGCAAATTACACAAGTATTTCTAATTAATTTATATAAGTAATAGGTCGTGTGATTTTCCAAAGAATTTTTTAATAGAGAAGTGTTGCGTATATTGTTAATAATTTGTGCTGGGAATTGCCGTGAATCAAGGTACTTGTTTTTTTATTCATTTTGTTGTTATTTTTCTTTCTGTATGACTAGAGCTTGTATGAGTTACATTTTGATTAAAAATTTGATTTATTGATTAAAAAAATTACAAATGGTATACAAATATTAGCTCAGGACCGCAGTATTCTCATATTTGTTTGTTTTTATGTGATACCGAGGTGTTTGTTACTGTTATGTAGACTGATAACATAAACCACATCAACTTGTAGGTAAAAATATAACATTTTAGATGAAAACAAACACTACACATTCGTTCTAGTCCCTTAAAATGCTATCTTAGAAGATCAATAAAATACCCATATTTATATGAATATAATTCTTAATTGATAGGTAGGTATCTAAATATTACATTCATTAGTATAATACTTTTCTATTAAGTTAGTAAGTTTCCCTTCTAATTAATATTTATTGACCTGTTTGTATGTATGTAAGTACATACACAACAGTTCGCAATAACAGACTAAGGTTAACCTTATCTTAACAATATTTCTTATCGTATTAGTTTTCGGTGTCTTCGAATCAGTCTTTTGTGTATATCGGGATCGATTGTAAACTTACAAAATATGGGACCACGTTCCCCCGTTTATCGATTTTAAATATTCGTTTTCATGTGTATTTATTATTGTGATAATTTTTTTGTTCAATATGAGTAATGTTGGTTATAAGGACCGAAAGTACACAGTTTTGGACAGTTACGAGGTTAGTTAATTAAGTTTTGTTTAATTTGTTTTAAATATGAGTAATGTGGTGAGGCGCATTGGAACTCCGCACTGAATTTATTATCTATTGTAATCTCTTTATTATTTACTCCTACTCTTTACTGTCTACTATCTATTCTCTATTTCTGATGCTCTACACTCTGCTCTCTACTCTACTTTAATTTACTCTACCCCTTCTTAACGGCAAGAATTTTCGCATGGAGTTTTTAATCCTCATCCCATGTAATTAACCTTTATAGTTTTGATAGACTTATTTAGATAGACTTGCGCCAGTGTGGTGGATAATTAGGCATTAAATATCTAGTAATAATTGGATATTTATTTAAGTAATTAGTAATAAAGTTGTTATTAGTGTGCGAAATCTCGCAATTTTCATATACAAATCTGAACTAATTGGACCAATTAATTAACGCTACAATGTTATATCAAAAAGTCAAGAGATCACTTTATTGGCGCGATAAAAAAAACCCATAAACAAGACCACCCAGACTTATCGAGGCTAATCCAGTGAATTTTTTTTCGCACTTAGATGTCCACCAAAATCAACGTGATGGACAAAAACATCCAGACGGAGGGCGACTCGTCGAAGGCGGGCGGCAAGGTCGTGGTGAACGGCCAAACGGCCGGCACCAGCACCGATGCGAACGTGTGCACGCCGCACGTGTGCCGGCAGGCCAGGCAGAACTACGCGCCCCCCGATTTGGCCAACGACAGCCCCTGGAACAGGAAGAAAACCTACTTTTTCGTCGGTACGTTTTGCGTTTTCATTGCGTGGATCGTCATCTATTCGACAATCAGTAGCTTCGGATTATTGTGATCGTATATTTTACATTATTCGTTATATGTATGTAATGTATTATTATTTTCTGTCATTTTATCGATTTCATTCGTTCAGCTTTTTATAGAAGTAATTTCTTACCAACTTTAGAGTACGTGCGGTGGATAAAAGCCATTTTGTTGTAATCTTTTATGCAGAATAAATCGAATTGTAATTGTTGATGTTTCTTTTAACACTGTTTAACCTACGTATGTCAATGATTAAAGGAAAGTTAAAGGAATTGCTCAAAATTGTCGCCATTTTGATTGGAAACGCTTTGGAAACACTCTCTATAAATAATCAGCATGTCCACCAATTTATTATTTGTATAAAGATGAGTCATTTTCAATTCAACAATAGAAAAATTATTTTTTTTGTCATTAATAATTTATTATTTTTTTGACACCTGTGTGGTAATGGCAGGTACGTTTTGGAAAATATTCGAAATTTAAAAAAATTCCATTTTTTTTATTTTCCAGAATATTAAAAAAAATACTCGAAAAAGTTGCTTAGAATAAAAAGATCTATACGCAGTTAAAAAAAAGAATCAACTTATGAAACACCCTATATACACTTTCTCATGACTCACCCTGTAGAACCAGCAACCAATAAAAATTGAATGATTAAAATATAGCAATATACTTTCTTCCTATCAATTTTCCTTCGCATTTCTCTTGCACCTGCCACATTATGCAACTTAATTTAACAAAAATAACTTAATCCGTTTAATTATTGAATATTTCCCACAACTTGGCAACATTGCATTAATCCTAACTCAACTGTATAGTAATAAAACATCTCGCTGTACTTCCCAGAGTAATGAACCCATTACAAACTTCGGGTTGCAGCTCACTATTTTTTTTTTTAATCAAAGTACATAAGTACGCGCGAGATAAATTTACCAATTTGAACCGCTCGGCGAAATTAATTTGAGGCACGCGATTTGGCAGGGGAAGAGCTTTGGCAGTATAAATAATAACGACAAACAAATTTGTAATTAAAATTCAAATGCAAACCGAACTTCGGTCGGAAAACAAATATTATGTGGGCGACGGTGCGTGGTAGATTCTAGTGGAATCGTGGAAAAAAAATCGAAGGGAAAAGTGTCGTTTTGAATTAATAGGTTTACTCGCCCGGGCATCGCCATGATTTTGGAGGACCAGCTACATTTGAAGTTGATCGAAGTCAACAATGAGGAGGATTACAGGTTTGTGTTATGCGCGCATTTACCCCTCATTTTATGCGTTATTTTCGATATAAATAACGCCAATCAATACTCGTTATATTAAACAACATCACCTTGATTTTGACTGATCTGCAAGGCTCGGCTCGCCTTGATTGAACAGCTATTTCGGTATCGAACCAAACATTTCAACGCGTATAAAAAATCACTCTATTCGATAACTCTAAACACTAAATCCATTTTATTCTTAAAAAAAAATAAATTCTACGCACCCAGACAAGTTTATTTCCCCCTTTAATAAGCCTTCCCATCTAACGATTCGTACAAAAAAAAAACTAACACAAGCAATAATCATCTTCATAAAAGTAAGAGCGCACTTAAATTCTCAAGTGAACGTTCGAAAATAATATGAATTTTACGAGAGTTATATGTAGATGTAATCTGGCGTTATAGCTTATAGCCTTCGGGAATTTATGGCCCATGTCGTAATGAGTAACGCATTTCTGATACCGAGTAATTGGAAAATTTTCGCGAAAGAATTTTCCCGACTGTTTCAGGCTGATGCTGAGGAACGAAGAGGACGCCCTCTACCCTCCCTGGTTCTTCACGTGGGTCGAGAAAAACCAGCTCTCCGCGTTCGCCTGGCCGCAAACCAGAGGCAATCTGGAATACCTCTGGAAAATCGGTAGGCAAGCTTTACTGTTATCAACTGAATGTAACAGCCAATCGGTGTGCGTTTTACCCGTTTTAATTAAGTAGTCTCATCGGTTTCTTCAAAGGGTCTTTGAGGAGCGCTATTTGCATTCGACCGCACACCGACCTTTAATCATTGAATTACTTCTTCGATTACCGCTCGGGTCCCTTTGTCTCAGCGAGGTTGTTGTTGAGATACAAATAAAAATCAATGAATATGAAATGTTGAATGGGGTAGAAGAAGAAAATGCGGGGAACAACAAACCAACAAATAAATAAGAAGAGAAAAATTAAGCAATGAAATTAGAGATTTTGATGAGTGTGTATTAGCTGGATTGAGCTGCAATAAAGGCGAGAGTGAAGTTAGTCATCGATAAATAAAATTATGAAGATATTAGCCAAGTTTTTGCCATAAAGATAGTAAATTTAATAAAAACGTACCTTTTTTTACACGAATGCGTCATGTTCCTAGGAAAATAACTTTTGAAATTGCAGAAATCGAACAAAACAATTTCATATATCGAGAATAGAAATCGAAATCGAACGAAAATATTTTAAATTGACAGTTGACATTTTCAATTCTAGTTAAAAGTGGCCTCCACCTTAATGAGAAAGGAAACAAATTGTTATAAATGAATACCCCAATAATTAGACAACCACCATTACGCATAAAAATTAATATTCTATAATACTTGAATAAGATAAAGTAAAAATACTTAAAGTAATAAAATTAAATACTCTCGAAGTACTTTTTGGCCTTGTCATGCAATAAACTTTTTAGGAATAAGACATTTGGTAACACTTTGCCCGGAGAAGATACCGGACATAGAGGAATCGAAATTCAGCTGGACTTACATCCCTATTGAAGAATGCCACGCTCCTACCATCGATCAAATATTCACTTTCATCCGAACCATACAGAGATGCAAGAAATTCAAACTAGTAAGTACCCATCACAAACAATTACATATTGTATGATGGTCGGCAAACCTATCGCTCATTGCCTCACCATGAATTCTCGCTCTTTTACTAGTACACACCTCCACCCATATAGATAGTAAAGGAGCGAGAGTTCGGAGAGTTCGACTATCGTACATACATGTTTCTTAATTATTTTACTTACTATAGCCTGTAGGAGTGCACGATCGAATGGGTCTGGGCAGATCGGGCGTGATGGTGGCGATTTATCTAATGTATTTCCATGGTATGTCAGCGGAAAGAGCCATTTTCAACCTGAGGTACAGCAGGCCTGGTTCTTTGGACAGCGAGTGCCAGGAGGAATGCGTTCTGAATTACAGACCTGCTGCTAAAATGGCCAACGAAGAAAGATTGAGGAGGATCACGAGCCGTGGGGAGCACTTCTTGAGTTTCTTGAAGGCGGATGAAAGATCTGGTACATGGGGGTTACCTAAAAAAGAATATATAAGCGGTTAAAATAGAACTAATGAGATTTATGAAATGTTTTGTAGATGAAATTTCCTTTTTTCTCGCAGAGTGTTTATAAAAACATCGTCTAGTAAATAATTGAGTAAAAACGTTTTTAAAAGCTTCGAATTTCCCCAAATTTGAAAGGAATTTCGTCGATAAATTAACGTTTTTACGTCTATTGAATTTCTTCGACCTCTCAGACTCAATTAAACATTTATGGCTTCCCTTCTCTTAACAAGCTAAGTGATAAACATTTTACTATAGTTTTTTTAAAAAAAGCGGGAGACGTCTTCTCGCAAATGAGTTGTTTCTAACATTATTATGTTAAAAAAACATCGTGACGCAAGCTGTTTATTAGTGTTTCATTAGTGCATCTAATTGCATGTTCTAGTTCTTCTATTACCCGAGACAGTTTTAGAAATACAAATGAATTCTTTGCGATTTTGTATGTACTTTTATTAATACTGTAGGTACAGTAAATTCATTGTGATTGCCGCGTAATTGCGAATTAGCGCAAGTTTGAAAGTTTTAATTTTTCCATTAAGCGCTAAAATAAGCCGAATTCAAATGGCTTGAAATAATTCACCATTATTCATTCGTAACTTTTTCAATTCACCTGGGCTACAACTTGTCAAGTCTGGTGCACTTCGCTTTTGTGATAAATGTGCAAATTCTTTGGACTTTCTTCCGCGACTTTATCCCTCGTTTTACATCCCAACCGCTGATATTTCAGCGCGGTTATCCGAGCGGAGAATCGTCTGTTCCCGCTTCCTATCCATTGGATACAAAACTGTTGTCACTACACAGCAGAGTGTATATTTTTTTATTCAAATCTAATGCAAATTGACCAATTTTCGGATTTCCCTTCGAGTTTGTTTTGCCTAAACACACACCCACGACCGGTTGTTCCATATTTTTCTTCATTAATCGGAATAAATTACGAGAGTAAACAACAGAACAACATTAATATTTAATGCACCGAAGGCCCTTCGGTAACCCCGTTTCTTCGGGTCCGCCGAAATCCCCGATTGAACGCACCAAGGTACATGATAGATAATCGATTTCTATTAGAATTTTAGCTGAAGGAGCCCTTTAGTCACTGTTAATAGGACACCATTTACCAAATGTTATAGACAACTAAATTAATTAAGTAATTACATCGACAATACACGCTCTCGGTATTTCTGAAGGGCCTATACAAGGGTGTACGAATGTCATTTAAAACGACAAAAAAAATGAATTGATATTAGAGCAAACTAATAAATATTAACCGATAAAATAAACTAAATAAAAAATAACGTAGACTTTATAGGGTGAGTTATTTGCAGTGGATTTGCAATAACTGCAGTGTTTGCATTAAAAAAGAAAACATTAGTGCAAGGTTAGATTGCATTAAAGGGGCTGTCACTGGTTTTGTAGGGCTCGGTGAATACCCCGCTTACACAAACTGAAACTCAGGTAATTAGAAGTTATCTTGAGTTTGAGCTACAACAGACAAGAAGGATAGATCGAATAATCTGTTCGAGTGAACCGAATACGTTTTGATTAACTGAAATGAGTACGCATCAAAAGAGATATCGACTGACTTTAATCATCCGCTATTTCCTATTGAAATGGTGCTGTCAATAGTGCTGGCGGTCCGGGCATGAGATTAAAATAGAAGAGTACGCTGGGAAATTAGTTGGGTGGAATTAGATGAAATTAAAGGTCCCGAAGTGGTCGTCAGGTTTTATCTAATTCGCGGTAAAAATCCGGTAAGATCGCGGAGATAAACCGTTTTCTTTATCGAGTTACGGTTAGTGCCGGTGAAGTGGTTGAAAGGATGAAACCGTCCGCGTTTATATTTTATATTCAAAATCACTTTAGGGGATTTTCGGAGAAACAGAACGTCGCGAAATAAGGCTTTGTTGTCGCATTGCGTTCGAAAAATACACGTGGATTTCGCCCGAAGAATCCCGCTCGTTATTATTTTCCTAGAATAAAAATCATGCACTTTCTTTAGCTTTACTCTTCTGCAATTCTTTTCCATTTACAAAGAGTTTAATTTAGAATTAATTGAAGCGGGAAGTTGATTAAAAGTTCTGCTTGTCTGATGGAAAAATTAATGCTCTTGTAAATGTTTTCTGGACTTTTGCAAAAATCCCATAAATAATTTATCACCGAGAGGTACACGAAGGTTAATTTATCGACGGATTAATTGGATTAAAAAACGAAATAAACTCAACCAGATATATACAGGGTGATGCGAAAATCAATCGAATAAGTTTCATTAACGCGCCCCAAAATATTTTAAAAAAGTCCTATATAAATCGGTGTAATTATGGGACACCCTGTAACTTCAAGCTACTTTGGAAATCCATCTGCAGATCCACAGGCTTTGATCAAAACTTTACGGTTTTATTGATGTTTGATAATAATTAATGATTGTTATTAATTAAACTTTAAACTTTGGAATGTTAGATTTACAAAGTTCAATTAAAATTAAATTATCCTTATTAGAGCTTCTATTATTCCATCAATACTTTTAAACTGTAACAAAATGAATGTTGTTTAGCTTCAATTCGAATGCACTCTTCATTAAAAATCGAGTTTTTTTAGCAACAGCTCGATACAAATCAGAAGACACGACCGGCAAAGAACACTAAAAAGTGAAAAACAAAATGGGGAAAACAAAATGGAACGACGGGCGTTTTTAATTGAATCAATTCATTTACCATCGATTACTGCCGGTTCCGGCCCGACAGAACAGACGTTGAATCATTTGCATTTGAAAGAGTTAAATTACGTGCAATTTTCAAAGGTGTCTCACTGCAGATCGGGCGCATCGAGCTCGATATTTGCTCAACGAGATTAATCAACAGCAAAAAAATTGTCCCTGAGTGTAGCTTTTACTGTTATGGATACTCTACCTAGTACAAAAATTTAAATATTTTTCTACCCAATTATAGTTACTTTAACGTGTGAATATTTAACTGTGAATTATTGCCTATATCACCTCTAGTAATCTAATTTTGGCAGGCTTATGTGACAGTTTCCAGGTCGTTTTTTTTATTCGAAAATAATCCATTTGTATCCAAACAAACCAAGTAAGTTCTACATTAGTATCCGAGCAAATCCACCAATCAGCTTTGTTTAAAAATGCAGTGTTTTTCCATCGGCATCGAAGAGCATCAGGAATTACTGGCTTGTAATGGAATGGATTCGCCTGTGAATTAATGGGAAATGAATATGGCTTTAAATGGACAAGGTACTTTAATTAACTAATTTAAAATGTAAAGAAAGTAAAGGCTTCTGATATAACGAAGAGATGCCGTTTCCTGGATTATTACCGTGTTATTCCCGTAGAAATTAGAGATTTCTGGTGATAATTTGCGACTACCTGGTCGCGACCTATTCGTTGCTTAATTAAACTGCTTTATAATTAGGTTAATATGCATCCACTCCATTCACCCTGAAGCTAAAAGCCTGTATAATTTTGAATTTAAGGAAATAGTGGTGTAATGCGTAGACAATATTTATCCGAAATCCGGCTGTATATTCCGAAAGGTGAAGGGGTAGTATTATATTCGAATTTCGATTGCTTAAAAGTAGGTGTAATTTCATCAGCATTTCCATTATTGGCGCGAAAATCCAAAAGGGGAATTAAACGGATTTACTCATTTTACACGTGCTTTAATTAATAAAATATGTCATAGGCATCTAAAAAGGGGGAAATCATTTTCCTTCTACTCCAAAGGACGCGAAATAGCTCTCAAACCGTCGCCGGAGAAGAATATTATTCAAATATAATTCAAACCTAATTTATGAGTTCTGAATATGAAATTCCTTGTAGAAAGTTTGTCATACAATATTCATTAAAAAAATATTCCTCAAATTTTTCGATAAATAGGAGAATATTTACGTAATATAACGCGAGTGTTATTAAACGATATGAAATAAACATTTTTTATAAAGATTTCAGCCAGCAGCCTTCGAATTTTTCGTGGATAGTCGAGGACCAATTGGCTGCAATGGCATTCCCGAATTCCCTTGCAAACTTGGAATATTTATATCAAAATAATATTAAACATTTGATAACCTTATCCGATGACTTTGTACCGCCTGTAGACGAATACAAGAAAATAGAATGGACTTTAATACCGGTGGAGGAATTTCGCCCGCCCAGCTTGGAAGATATAGAAACATTTATGGGGATTTGCCAAGAGAGTTTCGCTAAAAATCAAGTGAGCACAACTTTTTTTATATCAATCAAGAAAATCTATTAATGTTACTAACGTCTCTAATTTACTTTATCGAGTAGAAAAGCCGGATTCGGGTTTTTTCCCGTAGGTAAATCCCCGAGGAAAAGGAAAGGTCTCAAAGCAAACGACAAAAAAAAAACGGTGCCTGATTATTTTGATCGGCCCTTTGATACCGCCATTAGTTGAAGGAATCAATAGTGGTTTTCCATTAAAAGAAACTTTAATTTAAAGTAAATTTCCACCGGCGGAGCTTTCGTTTTCCGCGCCACCCCTGCTGGCTCGATGAAATTTTCTGATCGCATTTTAAAAATCAACGAGATTGGTTTTTAAAAGGCTAGCAATCTAGTGGAGAATTTAATCAAAACACGTATTGTGCGATAATTAAAAAGTTGTTTTCCAGGCTGTAGGCGTACATTGTCGTCAAGGTAGAGGCCGAACAGGCGTTATGGCAGCCTGTTTTTTAGTTAAATACCAAAATTTGCACCCGGAAAAAGCCATTACGAAAATCAGGTAATAGTCATTAATATTATTTACAGGAACGAGACGTACACGTGTACTTATTTGTTTTAAATTTAACGAGTAATAAGTACAGGGTATTAAATTACAATACGAATATCTCGTTAAATTCACGTACCTATACTTACAAGGGTAACGAGAAAAGTTCTCGGCCTGACAATGAAAGACCGCAATTTTCAGTTCAGAATTTATTTGAATACTCTTAAAAATGGGTTTTTAGGTTGCAAAGACCAGGCTCAATTGAAACCTACGAGCAAGAAAGAGCTGTCTTTAAATATTTCGATTATATTAGAGGCACTAAAAATTAATATTTTTGTACTTTAAAAAAATAATTAATAACATTTATTTTTTATACAATAAATTTAGAAAAATTTACCTCGTGTTTTCCTGTTATATTAACTTGTCTTACAAAGTCTATTATTAAAAGAAACCATTTAATGACAGTAACGCAAGTGCGACAAGTATCCTTTCTCTCTGATCGGTGTTTTCGAAATAAAAAATTATCTTTATTTATATATTTCGTTAATGCGCGTTGCGAATTTTCCTCCGGCCGTGGAACTTCGAGTTTTCCGTCAAACAGTTTTCCGGCGACCGGCCATCCAGTCGCGCCATTCCAGCGAAACCGCCTCGCGAGTTCCCGAGTTTCGCGGGCCCGAAAAAAAACTTTGGAAATTCGCGGACGTCGCTCGGGAGAACGCCAGAAATTAAATTGCCAGACGTATCCAGATGATTTAAAGTTTGATCGCTTCGTACGAATTATGAGTTGCGGTTTTGAGTAAAATTTTGACGGATTATGTTGCTGTAAGTTGGAACTTTTTGCTCGATTTCGGGTGATTTATAATTTATTTCTAGACTGAATTTATTGAGCTAATTTTTTATTAAATTTTAGATACTGCTCAATATAATTTATTTACATGTTTAAGAACGCAGAATTATTTTAATTAACATTTATTTAACTTTATAACAAATTCACCTTGAAATACATTCTTTAAAATAATTGTTATAAATCCTCCCTCCCTATTATTTTTTGATTCCTGACTGTTATTTGTTGGTTATCCTATTATTTTTTAAACTGTAATTACTGATTACCCAAATAACGCTAGCAAGTAGTTTAATTTGCTCTCTTTTGTGCTCGCGTTGCGGGTTTGTTAAGGAGATTTATAGAGCAAATTCCCAATCGAATTTAATCCGTTGGAATTAACGTGCTTAATAAAACGTAATAATCGTAAAAACGATTGTTTAGTATTGTTGCCCATTATCTTCTGTATCTATCTGAATATTTTTTTATGCATTTATTAAATTAATTCGTTATGTAAGTCTCACAAATTCATGTTCGAAATAAAGTACTTCATAATTGATAAATATTACGAAAGGGGGTCAATAAACACTATCGTAAAAATTTCAGCAAAAATTCATAAAAAAAATTGTTGAAAGCTCATGAAAAAAAATGTTTAAAAATCTCGAAAAAAAAACCTTGAATTTTCATTACAAGATCCTTGTATCAATAAACCTCCACAAGCGCAAATTGCTAGCATGAAATAAATAGGCCAACAATCAGAAATAAACTAAAAAAATCTCGACAGAAAACTATTGATTGAAATCCAAAATATTTACACAGCCTATAATACGACAATAAAGCCGCTTGCTAAAAGCTCTCTTACACTGAAAAAAAATGCGTATACACATATTATAACTCATCGGGGCTCCGGTAAAATTTCATCAGCCATCAGCGTCGAAATACAAGCCCGTCGAATAAGTGGATTATTACTCGCATTGATGTCATTTTCAGCGAAAACACATCACGATGTATTCGCAACGGCGGATTTTTTTGTCGATTCGATTACGTTTGGACGCGGACAGGATTCGATTCGAAATTCGAACATTTAGGTGTAGGTTTCAGCGGCGCGAGAAAATGTGTCGAATATTAGAGTTCAAGAGCTCTCCCGTGCGATAAACCGGATTTTCCCCAGTAGCAAATACCCGGCGGGATTTTCGGGAACTAGTTAATCAAAGCCAATTAATCGTTCAATCATTCATTAATTTTTTTTTATTAAATGAACTGATTTATAGAAACAGTTTTCGTAAAATGTTCAACTATGCTATGACTATACATTTAATAAAATTGCGAGTAGATATGGCAAGAATAAAGCTACAATTTCTTAAATGTTACCCCGCATATCAAGTCTCTTTATGAGTAAATTTACTACATCAGAATATTTCCTGAGACAAACTGGATTGTAAATAACCACATTTTCTCTACCATCAACTTTTATTGAAATGAAAATTGTATAAAAATTCGAAAACACTTTGTATGTTTTGAGCATAAAATGAAAGCAACCGAGAGTGGAGCTTTTTACATACCTACCCGTGTTTATACATGCTATTAACTAATTGAAGTCCATTTAACAAAAGCTCATATCATGCAGGTACAGGTACTCTAGAGTTTCATCAAATTCGTAACCCAATCGCTCGCTGGATCGTTCGAGGAGCTCTATAGTTCCTCTAAACTAAAATTCCGATAAAATCAGCGAATCCCGTTAAATTTGATTCCAGTCGACGGAATATTTTCGAAGTTAATCCGCTCGGCATATGGTCCAATTAAGGTGTTAAATAATTAAATAACGTATTTTTCGATTGATAGCGCTTTTATCTCGATTAGAGGAAAAGCGATGGTTGAACTCGAAATTGATAACACGCTGGTAAACATCCATATAAACGGTAATTTGTGTTTGTTGCAATTTTTCACGGAAAACAAAGGGATATTTATTTATAAGTTAAACTTTAAACGTGTGTATCAATCTAGCCAATTGAGTCGCGGTGCGAGGTTTAGGTATTCATTTTTTGTAATCAAGAAGGATTTTTAGACACTTTTTTAGCTTTTTTTTCTTCGGTTTTTGTTGTCTTTTTTTGTGTGTTTAGGTATTCATTTTTTGTAATCAAGTAGGATTTTTAGACAGCTTTTTTCTTCGGTTTTTGTCGTCTTTTTTGTGTGTTTAGGTATTCATTGAGGCTAGAGCTAGTGCATTTTAATCGGTCTGCTACAATCGGTGACACTTAAAAATGATGCAATAAATCTCCGAGAGAAGTGTAATCTATTCGCGGTTTTTGGGGTAAACTATATTTGGATAGTGGCCTTAATTACCTCGTTCGTTAAATACACATACCGTATGTGCGATCCTTATTTATAGCCATTATTTAGCTCGTGTTTTCGTTTGATTTTCTTTCTTTATGTTCCCGAATGTACGGTATATTTACACAATTTGAGTACAAAATGGAATACGTATTGTATTGTGCATTTCTAGTGAAATTGGAGCCCTTTTAACGAAATTGCCGATTGAACAATTTAAGTGGATAATTAACAATCACTGTGTTTGGAGTAAAACGTTTTGTATGTAATTCAGAAAGGAAGGAAAAATAATCCAATTATGTGCGACTTTGTTGTTTAGTTTTTCATCAACCAAAAGCTTTTATGAGTTATATAAGTTATAGGTTGAGGCAACGTTGTAATTAAACATGCTAAAATCAGCGCAAGAGTATATACTTCAAGTTCAAGATACATTCGAAGAACAAAGTTGCGGTATGCCACAGAAGCGCGTAATTAGATAAAATGCCTTTCGTGGAAATAATTCCAGAAATGCGCGCCGTGCGAACCTCCTCTATCCGTCGAAATATTTATGATTTATACGAGGTTTCTCGAACAACTAATTTTCGGGAAAATTTCGAGAATTCGATGAATCTTTCGTCCTGTTGGCTTTGTCGTAACGCAAGGGAAGTTTATGATGGGGGAGCGTTTGAAGTTCGGGAAGTCTAACAGCCCTAATAGTTCAAGACACTTTCGGCCAACTCAGAATATCGGCATTTGTGTATTTACACCTTTTCCCATATATCGCGACCGAGAGCAATTTGTCGAACAACCATACAATTTTAGGGCTAAAAGCTTCTCGTTTTCCTCGACCATAATTTGATTGGAGTTTACAATTATATTATTATATTAATTGTACCGGATTTTCCGCTTTACCTTAATGCACTACACAGGGTGCCTCACACAAACTATACAGAAAAGTTTCTATTATTACAATATTTCACAATTATTTACCATCCCAATATTCATAAGTGCCTAGTAAACGTCCTTAAAAGGATCAAGCGACTAACTAAATTCGGATCAGGGCGCAAAACATTTGTAATTTCATCGAACCCTCTTAATTAGTCAGAGCCATGTTTGGTCTTCGAGATTTCAGACACAATAAGGATCAGGACGGTCCTTAATTGAAGCAAAACACAATCGCTCGGATCTGGATTGATAGTGGGTTAAGGAGTTTTCGTTAATATGAAAGTGGACTTGTCCTCTACAGGATGTTGTGACCTTTTCGTATGAAAAACAAACAGAGCCGATCCGACTTTAATAAACCCGCTCAGGAATGGCAATTTCCTGGTATCGTGCTAGAACATAAAATTCGGATGGGACAGCTACATAAAAAAAACCCGCTGTTTACAAGCCGGAATAAAAAAATCCACTACCCGTACGTTTTATTTTCGTTCGTAAATAATTCGCTATGATGTTCCGGGATTCTCAAACATTTAATACCTATTATTCCAGGGACTGAAGATCGTGCTCTTTTAGTCCATTACTAAATTACTTACTCAATTCGATCAGATTTTAATTTAATTCCGCCAATACAAACCACTATCCCTACACCCATTTTGCACAATATCCCGGCACTCGAAATGCTATTTTTATATTATTATGACGTCCACTTCTCTATTCTCATTGCTGGAAATAATGCTTTCAATTATCGCGACAATTTCAAATGCAATTATTCGTTTTCCGGAAAATTAATGGAAGTTTTGTAGAACTTTTGTCTTATCTACAAACTAGAAAGAAGAAACTATAAGAGACTATAAGAAACTTAAGAACTATACAGTATGTACGAACTGATCCGCTGCAAGCATATAATGAGAATAATGAGATAGCTAATTTAACTTTTGCTATGTAAGGAATAAAGAGAACATACGAAATAGTCACGCCCGCTATCCCCGCTATTCGCTAGTGGACGAAGCGAAGCGAATTGACGAATTCTAATATCGGCCGGCAATCGATAAACAAGTTTCTGTTCTTTACTATCTTATAGTATTGATTGAGATTCTAATTCTAACGCTTGCAGCGGAAGAATTCGTACACTCTGTATAAGAAACTGAAAAAGATTTGTTTGAGATAGCACCTCGATTTGAGATATGCACTATCTTTAATATTATGGGATTACCTTAATACAATTGAGTTGAGATAGTATATCAATAAATGTCAGATATATCCCTATACCAAACCTTTGGTCTATGGATATATCAATTTCACAACTATCTGAATTAGAGATAACTAATTATTAATTATTACTCAATCTTTAACTATCTCTATTTGATATAACATATGGCATAGATAATAGCATTTGATAGAGCATAGATAATATTTATCTATTTGAGATAAAAATAGTAGGTATAATAATTCTACAAAAATCAGGTATAAAAATAGCAAAGCAAGATGCAATTGTCAGTTTCCTTATGGAAAAATATAGAACCTGGATATATTTTATTCGCTGCATTGACTACTTTATCGTAGGAACGGGAAAATACCTGGAAAATCGTCGATCGGAAAGTGACAATATCAATTCGAACCACACTCGAGCGACATCGCATGCATCCTGCATTTGCACGTAACTTTTGCATATAACAGAGAGCTATATGTGAGGAAATTCGATGAAGAAGTTTTGCCAGTTTCGCGTTCGTTCGAAGGAGATTTTATTCGGTTTAGAGTTTAGATGGAATATATAAAGCGGGCAGGCAGCAAGTCGCATTTTCCGGGATTGTTTTCGGGGAAATCGTACGCCAATTCGAAACACTTTTATTCCTGTTCCTGCGAATAAAAAACCCTCCGCAGATTATTGCTAACGCAAACTCGGGAAATAACAATAATACAGTTTGCCTTGTGTTTGCGTTTAAGGAATCGCGGAAAGGAAAGCACGGAAATAAATTTTCCAATGCCTTCGGGTGTTTATGGTTTTGATTTTTCGTTCTTTTGTGCGTATTTATCCACGAAAAACTCCAGGTCGTGTCTCTTTCGGCTATAATCAAATTCGCTTGTCACGACAAACCGGGAGCCATCGGCATGTTGGGACCGAGTTTTTTATTACACATTTTTTTTGGATAATTACTAGCAATTTATCCTCGCCTAAGGGATTGGTTTAGTTCCCTCATTGGGGCATTTTTTACATATTTTAGCTGTCTTTTTGGGGCAATTTAGTTTTATTTGGTTTATTATTTACAATTAAAGAACTAAATGAACTAAAAATTATACCTCATTGATCATTAACGAATTTTTTTGCAATTTCCATGTTTACCGTAACAAAAAAAATAAACTCGGGGTTGTTAAAGCGGCTCCTTTTGATGCACACCGAGCGCCGTTATCATCTAATTCCGCGCCCTTATCTATTTTGTAAATGTATTGCTTCACTAATTAGAGAACATTAGACTTCCACAACTTTGATTAATTACACGGAAAACAAAATTACACGGAAAGGAAGCACGTAAAGGAAAATTTTATATTTCCATTTAGCCGTCTGTCGGATATTCCAGATAATTAGGGATAGAACCGACGCTCGATGGACGCAACCAGCGGCGCCCCCTATTTTCTCTTTAATTAGCCTATAATTAAATCGTTTCTCCAATTTTATTTTTGTGCAAATTTTTACGTAATTATAGAGCTACGTTAATTTGGCTTACGTTAAATAATTTTACATGCAACTAATTAGCGTAACGGTATTCTAACGTGAGATTACTTTTGAAAAAGGCAGGTCCAATATTAATTTAATCTACTATTAGATATTTTTTTTCATTCTTAATATTCTTCTAGCTACTTTAACGGCCACTAAATTAATAATAAACGATCACGTATCGCACTAAATCTTTAATAAAACTCCCCTAGTTGGAACTTCCGCCGAGATATTAATTTTGCAACACGTGAAAAATATAGTCTCGTAATATAATATCAAATATTAAGTTAATGTAAATTTTTGTTGGTTATTAACGAACTCGCTAACAATTTGTCTTACAACTCCGAAATTAATCACGACAGAAAGTAAGCTCTTTCTTGTAGGAGAAACTTCACCATTTTTTTTCTTATGCACAACTTCAACTTGCAAAAGAAACGAGATCTAAAATTTCGTATTGAAGAAGAAATTTCAATCTTCAACTTTCCTATTTATTAAATTCTTCTATTAAACTCGTCCAGTATTGGCAATATAGTAAAAGTAAAAAAAATTTAAAATATAATTTTTTGCGCCGCCCTCGTTTAGGTCAATTCTTGTGCACCTACGCACTCTTGATCGATACACTTTTCTATCGAACGAGTAACTATGCCTTTGACCACTCAGCGTCGCGACGCCTACCTACCGTCGGTCGTGTAGAAGGGAAACTTGGCCTTTTCTTAATAAAAAATAGAGGGCACGTTTTTTTGAAACTTGACATGCATAATTCAGACACATTCCTCCATTGTTAGGGAGACTACCCGAAATATATTTCGACGAAAAAATGTATATTTTGGAAAAAACTGGCGCAATATATGAAATTTGAATTTTATTAATTTATCGACGTAATATTATACTTTGAAGTATTTGCATAATATGAGATTCTATATTGCGGGAGTAGTTAAAGAAATTTTATATTTCAGCGTGAATTCAATTACCATTCGGCAATTTTCCTCGCCGAATAAATTTCCCAATTTTCCACTCCTATAGAGGGGTCAAAAAAAATAACGACGAATTAAATATTTGCAAACCTCAAAAAAATGTTTCTGACTTCAATAATCTTAATTACTCTTCCCTAAGCACTTTAGGGTCTTTTTTCCATTTCCCCGGCGATATCTAAATTTATTATAAATGTTTCATACTCTCTTGCGTACATTACAGAAATCCCTTTAATTAAGGTAGCGCCAGAAGCGTAGGTCCCGGTACTCGATAAAAAGGCGCCCCTAAAAATGCGTTCGGTTTATTATCGAAATTTTTATTTACCCTCCGCAATCCCGAAGAGTTTTTTTCGCAATTGAATTATATTCGTACTCCATCAACGAAGGGTCAAAATACACCCAAATAAATCCTACAATACGCACCCCAATTAACCGAACGAGTCGTCGAGCGGCATACGAATTTAATCTTCCTTTTTGCGGCCGATTTATTCGCAACGCGAAAGAATATTTAAGGATTTGAGCGGGGCAAGATTGTATATCTAGTCAATTTTCGCGAAGATAAAGCACCGGCGATATCCTCTTATCGGCGCAATAGCAACGGGGCCGTTTTCGACTAGTTATGGGATCCCCGGAGCTCCGAATTATGTGAGTCACGCACCGACCATTTTCCTTATCGGATTTACATAATATAGCCGATGACGGCTGTCGAAAAATTCGCTCGACTTGACGAATCGCCCGGAAGATTATTTGCATAAAAAAGTTCCGGGTTTATTTATTCTAATAGCTGTATTAATCCATATACAAAGGCCAAACGTAGATCTGAGTAGATACGTTTTAACTACAACTTTCGCCCTTATTTTGATAAGCCGTTGTATTTAATAAGTATAATGATAAGAAAATTAGTAATACAAAAGCCTAAACATGGATAGACTTTAACTATAACTTTCTCCCTTGTCTACACCTTTTTTGATGTCACAGAAATCTTTAATAAGTTTATTATTAATTAATTTGATATGCATTATAAAGTCCTTCCATTCCATTAATACTCTTCATACTTACCACCTTAAACCAGTAACTAAAACAAAAAGAACCTACACTTTAACAGCCCCCACTTCCTCCAGATTTAGCACCATTAGGCTACATTCAAACAGTGTTAGCAATCATTATAGACAGGGAAATGCAGAGTTTAATTGCGGTTTACTTTTTCCAGTCACCTTCTGCTCTGGTCGACGTGCGGGATCCTCGCGATTCACCCTTTGGAAAACCCTTCGCTTTGTACTTCCCGCAATTCCGACCAATTGGAAAGATTCTGCATGTGCGACGACCTTCCGGTGGAGCCGAAATGTCAGTGCACAGGACCGGAGTTGGTTGACGTGCCCGCCAATCTCACGAAGAATTTGGAAATTTTGTAAGTTATATTTTAAGCGTTACGTTATTTTTGAAAGCGCCCACCTCTAGTACAATGCAATTTTTCCTATCTAATGAGCATCTTTAATAAACATTAGAGGTGGAAGTTTCGATGAGTAACAGGTATATTAAATTTAACTTCTCCGGTCTTCGATCAATCGGTATTACAGTCAACACGTGGGTATTAGAGGACGTTGGAAATTCGCCTTTTCGAGAAAAGCTTTTGAGTTTATGTCGATTTTATTTTATACAATTTGTATAGATTCTGGGTTATTTGTAATACACTTTCATTGGGATAGATGGGGTGTTGTATTCATTGCCAATCGAAAGCTTTTACGAGGTAATCACCGCAACACTGTAAACCTAAACTGATCGACTGAGTAAATGCTAAAGCAGAACCGAACTTTGAGCATTTTTGGCGCTATTTAATTAATATATACTTTTATTCACATATTGTATTCTATTGATAAAGGATTAGGCGTCTAATAAATGTAAGTAGATAACTATGAAATAAATATGAATGAGCTGATAAATAATTGAGGTTTTCGAATTTAGCACGCAATTGCATTTCAGTTCTTCCATCGGAAATACATAAATCAGTGCAATTTACCCGGAACATGCAGCGTTCTTGAGCCAATGCTGTTTGCCCGAGCTATAAATCTCGTCCATAAAAATAAATGAAAATTAAAGTACAAAAATAAACTGAAATGAACTTCTGGCCCATAATTCCTGAAAGGCACGACATTTTATCGCCCGTCAAAAGTGATGGACCATTTTATTCAGTTAAAAGAAAAATCGGAAATTAAGTTAGAAGGCGTAAAGTGCCCCTAATAGGATAAACTCCCTTCGAGATTTCGGAAGACTCTCGACCCGGAAAAGGGTTGGGAAATATTTGCCTTATAATAAAATAGAATTTTCGCCCGATTGAATTTTTGTCGAAACGAAAAATTGTTCTAAATCGAAGATAGGCTTAGAAACGAAGCCCCGAAATTTCGGAATGCCGATAATGAAAGTAATGCTTATTAATCTTTCGACGTCAAACTTGAACTTCGCAAGGTTATTGGGTAACTTGTAACCTGCTGAAAGGAATTAAAGTTCTCCAGGTTTGATACCTCCGCCCACCTCCACTTTTAACGTTGTCAGTTTACTGAAACTTTGATTAAAATTGCGGATTGTTGTTTATTGCGAAAACTTGTTAATTAGCAAAACGCCGACGGTTCGAACATTTGTTTGGACTTTAGAGTTTATTATTACCTACATTTATGACGCCCAATTACAAAGAAAATTGTTGGAAAATTCAAAAATTTTAGTTTCCTAAATAATATTCGGCTCAATACTAAGGAGTCTCTTTGAATATTATGCCTCTATGGACATTACTAAATAAATATTTGTACCTAAAGTATTTTTATGACCCAGTTATTTTTCTAAATCGAATTCGAATTTATTTTTGCAGGGTGATCGAAGACGCTGAATGCTTGGAGGTATTAAAGAGCGACTCCTTGAATCCTCACTCGAGGACGCTGAGAGAGTTGTGAGTATAAATGGAGCGATTTTCTTTCCGTCTCTCGTGCATATTTCACTAGCGTTTTGCGGAAAATCTACGACCCTCGTTGTCGTTTTTTTGCCGTACGGAAGTTATTATTGGGGTATTATTCGCGTGCTTAAGTTTTCCTTCGATTTGCATTTCGGTATATAGTTAAATCGGGTCCCGAAAATAAATTCGAAATGTGTGGCAAGCCGAGCGCAAAAATAATACTCTTTCATCTTCAATTAGTTTAATTAGTTTTTAAGTCGCTTTGAGATACGAATTTATAATTTCGACCGGACCAAGTTTCGGAAAATACGCAGATATTTGCCCCGAGACCATCGGCTTCCAGCATAAAGAAATTAATATGTATGTGTATTTAAATTGTTTCCTTCGTTTGCAGAACTTTGGCGAACTTGGAGAAGTTTTATTACTTCGAAAGCGGAGTTTTTCACCAGCTGAAGCAGCTGCAAACGTTGTAAGTATTTATCGGAAACGATGTTTATTTCAACAACATTTCCCGCTCGAAGTTAAAGCGAATAGTTTACCTCTACTCGCGTAGATTCCGATTCGACTTTCATAGCGATTTTGAGTTTATATCCGAGAAAAAAGAGAGCCTTTTCGACGCAAATTTATTGCCACTCGGCGGTGTTTAGGCATCGACTATACGAGAAAAGTTTAATTCGAACCGGCTTGAAAGGGCGGAGATCAGCGGATGATATAATGAAATTTCCCAACGCAATTTTTGCGGGCCCTCAGTATTCGAAACAATTTGCATAAATGAAAAAATTTATCATCACACACCGAAAAGTAGAATTGCCACTTAATGTGATATTGTTCCGCTGATTTAATTCCCCGCGGCTCTTCACCGGATCGCATGAATTTTTTTAGGACTTTTTAAGTTTTATAATATGCGCCAAAAAGTTGATTTTTTTTTAACAACTTAGGCAACTCAATATACACTGACGTCATTTATCTTGTGTTTAATCAACGCAATTAATACAAGCATTGTGTTAAATGCGAAATTAAAACCGGATAATTAAGCACCCAATAGGGTAATTAGTAACTTTAGACGAAACTTGTTATTTAATGCAGTTTATAATTTCTCCTATTATGTCGGCGGAACTTCCATCTAACTTGGGAATGCGATTAGTTCATAAACTGCACATTCGACTTTTGGTACAGCAGCGAATTTTCGGATCGTTATACATTCTATTTCTAACTGTTATTTTCCAGGTACATACAGAGAGCTCCGAAGCTGTTAAAAATTCAGCCCGACGTCTTCCGAACGTTTCTGCCGAGACTTAAAATTCTGTAAGTAAACTATTCGATAGAACTAAAAAGTTTTTTAATCGCCGCGACGAAGTTCGACGGTATTTAGCCGGTTAATCAGAAATGGGCGAGTCGAATAACGAGATAGACTAACAAAAGTTTTTTTTGCGAGTTAATCCGCGCAAGCCGAATACTAGTACAAAAGCCGGCGTAAGGTGTACGGTAATCCGGGAAATTCGATTAATTAAGTTAGCAAATATCCCATCAGCAGTAAAATATTCCCGTAACTTGTTAGTTTGAGCGCACAGCGGCGCAAAAATAAATTGAAGTTCTTTTGAAATGCAAAGCTCGCACGCGGAACTCAAAGCCCTTTCAGCTCCATTCTACACAGAACTCACTGTCGGTCCTCTACATCACGCGTAATAAAACACTATTTACTCCCGTCAACTCATTAACTTGCACGAATTTGTTTTCTAATTCCGCATAAACATATGCACAGGGTGACAGAAAAAATTAATACAAAAGTATATTAATTCACATATTTTAAATATATTGTGTCAATACACAGAGTAGTATATTATCAAAATCTACCTGCATTTAAAAATGTTTAAATGAAACACCCTATATATTAAGGTACAAAATCTTCCTATTAAATTTGTTACACAATCTTATCATTAGTCCAGATACAATTTGATACCATACGCTTATGGTTAACAAGTAGATAGAATTTCGGCATAGAGATAGGGGATTCCCGTAAAGCATAACTGTTATTTCCCAAATAATATTCATTTCAAGGACCCTGCGGACCATTCACGTGCTACCTACTTATTTAATAATATCCCATGGCACTCGGAGCGTTTCATTAAGTTCGATTTAATTAGAAAATATGAAGTTTCTGTTAACTCTAAATTTCAGTTCGACTAACAGGCAATTTGATGTAAATTTGTAGTGAAAAATACACTGAAAAATATGCGATAATAACAATGCACGATAGCCCATTTAATTCTTATCTATGCGTTTAATGTAGTGGGAATTTAGTAGGATAAACTATAAATTGTGAATAAATTTATCTAATCTGTAGTTACATTAATCTTGTAGTTATTGCGGTGTGTAATAATATTATCTTTAAGTTTAGATACACGATCGATTTTGCTAAAACTACGGATGAAGTTAGTGATGCATACTAAATTATATTGAACAGTTTTTTATAAATTACAGCAATCAAATTTTTAATATTAACCTTTAAAATATTCAATGTCTTATCGTTCTTAAATAATCTTCTAAAAAAATAGACTTTTGTTAAATATAACTTAATCTTTTAAAAAGGTACAATGGTAAAAATTTTTATTATTAATAACGGGCTAAGAATGTTCCAAACAACGGGGATTTACAAATCGTAAAAGTAGCAAAAAAAGAAATATATCTTCAAAAATTAGGTGAAAAACATGGGCAGAAAAATGAGGGCTTTAAAGGGTTGGACACCCGTTAAATCACCCCACGAATCGACAATTTAAAACAATTTTTTCACACAAAAACATGTCATCAACCAGAGATATTTCTATACAAATTTTCAAAAAAAAATCTTTTGTTTCTAACTCCATCTTATAGCTTCTCTACTAAACACTTTTGGATATAGTTCAGTGGTTTGGATATGATATAAGTTAGTAGTTAGGCCATGTCCTAACATTTTTGCGATACTCTGTATATTATAATTAACGTAGAGCAAAGTAAAATATGCATGTCAGTAAGTGCGTATATGTTATATTAATTTCTAGTAGTGAAAGTCGCGTCTCTCGCTAATCCTTTCCGTAACATTCGTAGTTAAGTTACCGTTGTCGAGGGTCCTTAGAGCTTCGACTTGACGATGCCATTTCTGCTTAATTTACGTTTCTCCTTAACGTCCGTAACGGGCGCATATATTCGCTTACAATGCCCGGAAAATCGCCGTTTCTGCGAGGGGAACCGCTCGGGAAATCTAATAATTAGGCCGCCGATCGGAATCAAACGAATGGATTGGTTCGATTACCTGTAGGATTTGCGTTTATGCTGTTGAATATTCATTGGTGACTATAGGAAGCTTTTAGAAGGGAAAGATTCAGAAATCTTGTAAAATTGATCGAAAGCTGCTTTAAAAACGGCTAAAAAAACTTTAAAAACAACTGACTTTGTTCAGAAGAAAGCTTCAAAAAGGAGCATAAGCTCATAAAATATCCTCTTATTTTTTATATAGTGAACTCCACTGTGTTATTTAGTAAATGATGATCGAAAATAACCGTACCAAACTCGATTAATATTCCCTAAATCTACGTTAATACTCCATTTACCTAGATATACAAGTAAATGATTAAATTTTACTACTCACGTCCTAATTGCTCTCTAATTTCAATTCCGGTCGCGCCTCCTGCATTAAATTCCTAGCCGAAGAAGAGGCGTATACATATAACGAGTCCCTTATTACCCGGCATGTTTTCGGATTAATTAAGCCCGCATTAATCGGCGTTGAATAACATAAAAAATGGATATATAGGTAAGTACGCTCGATCGATTTGTTTGGATTACGTCGGCGTACCGGAGCTTTTCAATTTTCATTTTCATTACCGTCAAGGAAGTTTCACCATGATTAATTGTTGCTTTTTTCCGGCGGAGCAATTTGTTGCGATTAAAACGATACGTCTTTTCCGTTTCTGTCGGGCGATTTTTCTTGCGAAAAAACAACAATATTAATAACGGGGATGACGGTTGATTGTCGAAACGCTCTGGAAATTGCGTGCAACGGACGTGGAGCGCCGAGGGCGTAAATATTATTTCACAAAAGTCACTGACATGGAGGTATTTTGCGTGTAATTTAGATTAAAAAAACAACGGGAGTTTGAATTTATCGCCTTGCAATGTAAAATACAATCTTTTTGTGCCTTAACGTTCATTAAGGGATACTTTATTCAAACTATTATTGCATTATTCAAATTTTTTATGCAGTAGTTGATTGTTGTTTGAGAAGAACTTTTATACAGAATATATTAATTAGTTAGATGAAATGTAATTTATTAATGAGGTACAGGATGTTATTATTTTTGTTGTAGCGTGGAATGTAGGGTTGAATATTGGAATATTTCATGATTTTTTTTTATTTTTATGTTCAAATTATTCTGAACAATTAAACATCATTTTGTTAAAACTCACAGCAATACAAAATAAATCCCAAAGCCAGATAAACAATATGCAAAAAATTACTTATTCTTTTGGACTGAAAAGTTTACAATATATTCCAAACATTTGGACATATGTATGTGTATTTATTTTTTAGGAGAATAGTTAACACAGGATTAGAAGAAATGCCAAATTTGTACCATTTGAACTCCACATCAGTATTACATATGATGTAAGTATTGCACATAAATTTTTAATTTTCATAGAAGTTACCTTAAACAGTCTAACTAAAATTACTAAAATCCCATTAGAAAATGCCTCAAAACTTCTTTTAAAACCTCAAAAAACACCACAGAAAACTGCTGAAAAATATCCCTAATAACTAATTTCTAGAACAAAGAAATAAATTTCTCGTGTCATAAAAACACTTTAAAATATTTATATTCACATAGATCAAAAAAACGTACATACATTCGCTATTCATTGCGAACGCAATTACTCAAATCAATACACGGTTAATTCTCCGGCGAACGTCCAATTTTAATTTCAAACAATCGAACCTTTTGTGACAGTTATACCGGCATTAATTTCCGTATCCGAGCTGCGTTTCTGACCTTTCGAAACCTGCCGGTTTCATAATTCAACGGCGGCGTCAATGCATCGAATACTCATTCATAAAGGGCTTATCCGCCGGGAACTTGCCGGAAAAGGCTCCTTTTTTACGCGAAAAGGCGCACGAGAAAGTCCGGTTTGGAAAAAGGATCATTTGAATTGATGCTTCTAAAAAGCGCAAAATCGATAGTACTTATGATAGGATCTACACCTGCATAATTTATAAGATGAAGAAGACGTGAATGGAAATAATATGCTACGGATTTCATTTTTATGTACGAATGTAGATTTTAAATTGAATGATAAATACCTACAGCGTGTTCATAATTGATTATTTTCGAGATGTCGGAAATCCTCCACTTTTAATTTAGATTTTTATAATTTCGTTATTCGCAATATAAGAGCATGTTTCTAAGGCAATGCAATCTGGAACACTTGTTCTTTGATGCTCGTAAATTCAAACGTTTGAGACATCCCTTAAGACAAAGGCGGGCGATATTATGTGCTCTCGGTGCTCGAAATGAAAAGGTTTACCCTTCAGCTCGATTTTTCTCGTACTTTTCCGATTTCATTACGCCGGCGAAACTTTATCATTCGACGTATCCGAATCGCTTCCGAGGCGGAACTTTAATAAAAACCGCCGAAGTTGTATCGTACGAAAATGAGCAGCATTATCCTCGAATGCGTTTGCATACACAAAGTCGATATAGGTGGGCATTAAATCGCTTATAAATCACCGCTTTCCCGTCGACCGTTGTAAGTTTGATGTATCATTTTAATCCCACGTATGGCCCGATACAAAGCGTCTCGCCCAAACTTCATACTAATTTTGTGTGGCTGTCACGCCTTATTTATTGCGCGGATTTTTCACTGCAGCGATCATGGTAAAAGAATAAGTTTAGAGGTAATTTCCTCTGGGGGTAAAATGTTCTACGAACAATTTTTATACACCAAATATACAGGGTTTAGATTTAGTGGAGGTCTCCATGAGGTGAATTGAGTAGAGCAGAGTAAAGTAGGTTAAGTAGAGATTTATCTACATTTTACAACACTCCGTCTTATTGTTGACCCTCTACAGAGTGTCGCAATAAAGTGCTAAGTACCAAACTATAACCTATAAACTTTTATTAATTCGCACTGTATATGCGAAATTTCCTGGTGAATCTGAATTAAACTGTGCTAGCAATGCTTTATTCAGACGGGTGGCAACAATTTGCAATATTTCATGATTTGCATTACTGATATCGGATAGATTATAGAGGGAGGCTGTCGAACGAATAGTAGAGATTGAGATAAATAAGGTAGAATGTTTGAAAAAATGTACGTCCGGTATAATGAGCGAATAAGTACTATCGATTTTCTGTTACGTTCGAATCCATGAAATTATTATGATTTAGAGCATTAATTAATTAATTATTAATTAATTGAAGAGCGCAATTTCGATTGTAGCTTCATTAAACATCACGATTCGTAATAAATTAACCAGTGTATTTGAATAAAACAAAAACAATTATTCCATTAAATACTGAATTAAGCAAAATATTAATAAATAAGCAATACGGTTTATAACGGAGGAATTTATAAAATATGTTGAAAAAAGTGACTCCCTTTGTATGCCATATTTTTTTTAGTATTTATCTGGAAAATATTGGAATAATATCAAATCAATTTAAAAAGTTTTTCGATTATAACCGCCGATTTATTAGTTTATTTTTGTCAATTCCGCTTCCGTCGTTTTTTTTCCAGAGACCTGGAGCACAATCATATCAAAGAGATCCAGACGAGACAAGTAAGCAACGTTAGGGCCGAACAATTGTAAGTATTTCCCTATATTTTTTCGATATAGTTTCGAGACAGTACGGCTCGACGGAAATTCTAAAATAGGATTTCCTTTTCGTCGTAATCAAAGTATTATACCGTTTTCTTTTCAGATTATTGAATTTCAATGATATTCGAGTAGTTGAAGAGGCCGCGTTCGCCGGTTCGGAAATCGCCAATTTGTAAGTATATTTTACATTCCAACATTTCCGGATTCATACAGGGTGATCCCTCGACAAGTTCTAATAAATGGAATGCTCTAAATCAGTCGCTGTTTTCGACGTTTAATCAAATTTCAATAAAAGCCGAAAGGGCGGCGTAAAAACGTCGGAGTCCTCGAAAATGAAATACACCTTAAGAAACAGTCGCTTAATGTATAGAGTCTACATCGGATCCGAGAACGCGATGAAATTGTTTTATCGATGTTCCAGGCGCGAGCTTAACTTTTTATTGGCTTGCCGTAGCCATTTGCCGAGCCGTAATAAACGAAAGCGTCGATCAAAATATGAAAAATTTGACGTGTTCTCTTCGGATTACATTCGGTTCAATTTTTCAACAGAACACCGACAGTAAAAAGTTCACTGTATAATCGAATTTCGTTACTTTAGAGACGGTTATTTATTTATACACCTCTCTCATAAAATCCACTTATTTAATAAGGTGTTCTTACCCAGTGCTTCATCCAGAATTTATCGCTTATCTTAGTCTGGCAAATTCCCAAAAATTACTTATTGATGTGGAAAAGAACACACGCTGAAATATAAGCAAGAAAATAAAGAACACCTTGTATCAAGTTGGTATATTTTAACGCTGTATTGTATATTTTGATTGAACTACGTTCTGGAAATAATATCGCACCTCCATATCGTTTATAATAAAAAATAGGCGCACGTTTCGGATTCGAAATTCAAATTAGCGTCGCGTGAACGAAATACACAACATTTTTATTAACGCTATGTGGAATCAATTTATCACGTATGACCAGCGTACAGTCGGTTTATTTGTCGTGAAAAATCGCCTCGTTTTGGGCCGCCTCGTCCAGAAGAAGATGAAGGACCATTTTCCCAGCTATTTATCAATAACGCTAGGCAAAGGCGCCGTAAATCAACGTCTTTCGTTAATCGAATCCGATGCAATTGCATTATGAATCGCGCCGACTTGAATCCGAGCCTGATTAAGTAATCAGCGCTAAAGTTAATTGTTGAATTAATAATCGGCAGGGCTGTTGCGATAATATTTTCATTGAATGTGTAATAGTTACTGCTGGATGATTGATAAAAGCGGTAAATTCTACAGGATTTAGTTTTCTAAAGAAGCTTCAATAAGTGATTTAAGCTATTTTTGTAGAATCTAACACTCTCTATTATCTGATATCAAAGTATTTTGTAACATAATCCTCGAGTAAACTCAACAGAATTTCGAACATCTCGTACTAATTCCAAATTTAACTATAAACTTTCCATAAACAACATTAAACTTTCCCACCTGTTAAATATACCCTTAACTAGTTTAGCTACGAGGGGGCGTCGAAACGTTCGTTATAACGGCGAAAAAAATCGAGCTAAACTTCGAATAAAAACATCAGCGTATACCGATCTAATTAATTCGATTAGTTTCCAACTTCGGAGTACTGTTGGAAAAGAGATTATCGGAGCGGGTTTTTTCCGAGCTCGTTTGATGGAAACGCCGCCGGTTCGAAATGCAGTTACGTTTAGCTTTATTCGGGAAAGTTTGGTTGTCGAGTGGAAAGGCAAACCACAACAGCCGATATAACTTTGACGGTTTACTTCGTGGCTAAAGAGATTTCGAGTTCTCACGTTCCGGTATGAATCGTTTCTTACGGGAATTAAATAACCCCAAAAAAAGTTTCATGCTGACCGATAAGTCGGTAAAAATCGTATTTTTCAGGAGCTTGAAGGGCAACTTTCGACTTCGCCTGCTGCACAAGAGAGCGTTCGCAGGACTGCAGAGCCTGCGATACATGTAAGCTGGTTACATCCCCGAATGAGTTTGGCTTTTAATTGAAACCATTGCCTTGCAGAGATTTATCGGGCACCGCCATAACTTTCCTGCCGATCGAAGGCCTGCGGGAAATCGATACGTTGAAAATCCAAAACACCAAGTCCCTGAAAGTTTTTCCGTCCGTTTTCAATTTTCAGGTATGAGTAAAAGGGTGTTGTAAAATCATTAGTCTAGTAGAAAGCACGATCAATTGAAGGGATATAAATTAAGCGCAATGGGGGTAGCTTATAGGTAAATTGGGGGTAAATTTCCCACAGGAAAATAACCACAAATTATGTTGGCTGAAAATTGTACTCTTCTACTTTCTTCTACTCTCTATATTCTAATCTCTTCTACTCTATTTTACACTCTTCTACACTCTTCTACACTCTTCTACGCTCTTCTACACTCTTCTACTTTCTTTTACACTCTTCTGCCCTCTTCTACTGAAATAATCCTCTTTTCTACCTGCAATATTCTCGCTCCCAATTTACCTATAGGATTAAAACACCCTTAAGCGCTTAGGTAATAAATATACATATTTCTGCGCTCTATTTGACATACATTTTTTTACATAGTTCATTCGTTATAAGTGAGCAATATAAATCTGGATCGCCTTGTACGAGGAAAATAAATTCCTCCTACAATTCTTCGTGCGATATATTCGCTCACTTAAAAATGTTTACAATCCTGTGAAACCCACGCTTCTTACAAAGTGTCTGCGTATGGGTGGATAATGTTACGCTAATGCCGAACCTTTTTCCCCTTTGGCAAAGCGAGGGAATGCGCTCGTTACTTGGAGGATATTATTGCTGCACGACACGTTAAAAGCTAACAAAACATACCAACTTTATTTCTATCGATTTTCGCGTTCGCGTACTAAATCCCCCCGAACATCATAAATTTATAAACGCTGAACAATAAATGTATTAGTTGCAGGATAAATTTTCCTGGATTACGGGTAGGACATTCGAAAAAATAATGGAGGAAGTACGAAGAAGGAAATTACTTCGTGTTATTATTAAAATAAATGCTTACTGTACCTAAATTGGAGTATATTTTTAGATAAAGAATCGGTGATTTAATTAGAGTAGGAATTTTGTGAAAATTATTTTAAGTGTATTTAATTTGTAATTAATTTGCAATTAATTGTACTTTTTTAAAAGCATATTATGGACTGTTCAAAATGAGAAAACTTTTTATAGAAGTAGAGGAAAAGTGTTTGTAGGAAGGTAGTGTTATTAATTTGCAAAATATTAATATACAGGATGCAACAAAAAAGTAGGTCGTATATTCTGAATGAATATTCTATATTCAAAATGAATTTATTAAAATAGTGCAAGGGCATATAAAAATAACCTATATCGAAAGTACAGAAAATAATGGGGGGGTTTAAATGAACACGACCCCCTTATAATTTTAATGGGGGACCGGTTTTGTAAATTTTAAAATCCATTGGAAGTTATTGAAAAAATGGATTTTCAGATAGCCTTTTTGAACAGTATATAACTTGTTTTGTATGGCATTTAGGATATTGGTTAAAACCGTCAATCCACTTAATTTTGCCCCCAGAATACTACCTTTTTATAACACCCTGTATATCGGTAGTTAGTTTTTGGTTTGGAAAGCTTCCCGTGAAAAATCTTCTCTCATCGAGCGGTTATCGCTTCCAATAAAAAACAACTTTATTTAACGGTAATACGTCCCGGCGAAAATTGAAGTAGATCCTTCCGTCGCGAAAACCAATTATCTCGTCAAAGCTACTAAAAATTTCCTACCGAATATCTAATTTGGAAGACTTAATTCGGCCCTCTGTTTAACACAACTTCCCTTTTAGGGACGCCGTTACATCGAATGAAACGCTTACACGAATTTCATTGGTTATTAGGTAACTCGTTGCGCTAAGGGCGACAGTAAAACCGTTACTTCTTCGCGTTCTTTCAACAATAAAGCCAATCGTTAAAATCTTTTTAGCGCCGAACGGCCACTTTTTTAATTACAATAATCTTCCGGTACTCGGGAAAAATTACAACGAACTCCCTCTTCGCGCATCCACGGCGTTTTTGTCTGATTTTTTTTTTAATTCTCGACGCAATACGATCGGTCTGTGCGGCAAAAGGGCAGCTTTGTATCGGATTGAATATTTTTTTACTCATTTCTGCCATCCAATACTCCATCGGGATTGAATTCCCCGTAAATTGATACATAATTTCAAGGGATCGACGACGCAGCGATTTCTTGCGACACGTTTAAAACCATTACTACCAAATTGAAGAGATATCGGAACAGGTGTTGAATGATTTTCCCGGAGGCGAAACTTGATTTGATATTTTTTTATCTCTTGTTTTTATTCAATTTATACCAGCGGATTTGTTATACGGATTTGTTATACATATTATACCCAAAGAGGGGATTATTTTTTACGTTTATTAAATACGACAAAATAAACAAACCCTTATAATCAACCCGAAAATTGAATTTCAATTGGTACGTTCCAAACAAATTAATATGGCAAATAAAACTAGAGTTAAACAAATATAATACATCAACTAAACAAGCCATTATATTTTTACAACAACTCCTCGTTTTCCAAGTAAATATATGCTTTAATATGCACATAACAAACGCGTAATAACTCGTTGCGGTTTAATGATGCGCGAATATTACTTCATAAGCCGTAAAAATAAACGGGAACAAAAATACTCGGTATGCGAAGCTGGTCAATTTCGTTTGGAAAATAGTTTGCAGAGTGGGCCTTAACGTATAAATTTCGGCCCGTCGGGCTTTCATTGGAAAATTAAAGTGAAAATTATCCTCGTTTTAGACCGAATACAAATCAAATCCAAACGGCGAAACGTCCTCCAGAGAGGATGCTCGAAAAGTTCGAGACGCGGAAGGGACTATTACGTTAATTGCCATCGAGTTTAATTACATTTTTTTAACTGTTTTCAAAGGAACGAGAATCGAGGAGCCTTTTGTAGGTATTTATCGTGAAGCTTATTTACCTGTTGTTCTCTTACTGATTGGTTTTTTCAGTCACTATTGTGTGAATTTATGAAAGGAATGATTCAAAAAGGGGAATTTTTAGTCCTTAAACAAGGCGATTCATTGATAAATGTAATCAAGTTTGCACATTTTTTTTGGTAATTTTTATCTATAAATTTTCACAGTTTCTGAAAGAAGCCTGGTTGACCTACCCTTACCACTGCTGCGCGTTCAAATTCCCGAGGACTCACAACCCCTGGGAATACGAGAAACACGTCAGATTCATAAAGGAGCTCCAATCCGCCTGCAATACCAAGAACACAACGGTGAGTACCACCTACATATTGTTCCCGAAATGAACTCCGCAAAGATTCCACTCGTCTCACATTCGAATTCCCTTCGCTCAGTTCAAAGGAGACAATTTAATTTAAATCTAACGCCTTCCGTCGATTATTTTCCAGAGCAACAAAGACCTCAATTCCGACGGTTTTCACAACTGGCTCCCCGCCAATTTGAGCGTCAACACCGAAGTGCAGAGCGAGGAGTTCTGGGGCGAGGAGCACGAAGTGTTCCACAACGCCTCCAATGACGAGTTTTTCGTCAAAACGGCCTATTGCGGCGAATTGTCCAGGAATTATCACGAGGTAAATTTACACACTTCTAGTACCGTACGAGTACCATAGTACTCGGACTACTCACAGGACATGTAGCATTTAAAGCACCATTGACAGAGCGCTCCTAAGGTTTATTGATAAACCTCTGGCAGAAACAATGAACTTACAACAGCGGGAAAACCACAGAAGATCCTATGATATAGGTGGTTACGAGGGTGAAAATACCTGCCAAACAACAACCTATTACAATATCATACGATACCACAACTTTATCTACTCCAAAAACCTCATTAATTCTTTCTATTTTAACCATTTCTAGATAAAATGCGACCCGATCCCGGACGCCTTCAACCCTTGCGAAGACCTGATGGGCAACTGGGGGTTAAGAGTACCGGTGTGGTTCATATCATTCTCGGCGGTAATAGGAAATCTATTCGTAGTCATCGTCATAGCCACATCGCACTTCAGGTTGACCGTCTCCAAGTTCCTGATGTGCAACCTCGCCATCGCTGACCTTTGCATAGGCATCCATCTCCTGCTGACAGCTGCTGTAGACGCTTGTTCCATCGGAGCCTACTTCAATTCAGCTATCGACTGGCAGGAAGGTAGGTTTTGTTGAGAATTTTGGAATGTATAGGATTGCTCAATCCTCCAGTATCCGCTGTAACAGGATCTTCCAGTAACTTCCAAAGATTGAGCAATCCTTCGTTATCAGTTTAGTAGTTAAATTTTCTACTGGTTTGACGGTTTTCAGGAAACGGGTGTAACGTCGCAGGATTCCTCACTATCTTCGGGAACATCCTGTCGGTTTACACGTTAACGGTGATCACGACGGAGCGTTGGTACACGATAACGTGGGCGATACATCTGAACAAGCGGTTGAAATTGAGAAACGCCGTGAAAGTGATGATAGCCGGGTGGATTTGCGCGGTTTTCATGGCCACGCTGCCGCTGCTGGGCGTGAGCAGCTACTCGAAAACCAGCATCTGCCTGCCGTTGGAGAACAAGGGCAAAGCCGATACGATTTATCTGTCGACGTTGTTGGCTTTCAACGCGGTGGCATTCGGGCTGATATGCGTCTGCTACGGAAGCATGTACAAGTCCATACGTGAAGGTAAATATGCCGGAGCTATCGCTATCGATCGGACGTTTCGTTGTATCGAAATTTAATTTATGTATAATCGAATTATCCACTAACGCTATGCAGAATGGTAATGAGGCTTCAGCGTTAGTAATAAAATTACTTTCGAGCAATGCCGGTCCGGTAATGAAAATGGTAGATTTGCGGTAGAGAAAATAGAGCCACGGGATGCAGGATGTAATCCTCTGCTTAATCACCATAAATTCGTTGGGAAAATATAAAATGTCCTAGTTTCTCCGAAGAATCTACATTAAAGATAATGGATCAAAGTTAAATTTTCAAAAGCTCGAATTTTATGCACTAACATAAATTAAACCGAACGAATCGATAACAAACTTGTGATTTTCTTTACTTTATATATTGAAGCTTCATTTTATATTAGAGTCATTTCTCCACGATTTACAATTTTTTCTTAAAGATGTGCTTCTATTTTCTCTCATATCTGAGTGGATTTTTTGCCCCTACCTCTACAACTCATACTAAATTTGTCGATCAAAAAACCTGCAACTTTTTAGTTTATCTCAATATTTGTAAACTTTCTTAACTTTTGTGGAGCAGTATATTTTAAAATACTTACAAACAATTCGACATCAGTATGACCACATTAGAAGAGGCCAGATTAACAATAAAAATCGTTACTAGTAGAGCCAATGGGTATTCAGCGCTCTATGGACATTATTAACGTTAAAGAGACTCTCAAAGCAATTGAATAGCGTTAATAAAGAGCGCTGGAATACGGTCCAATATCATCGAATCGCAGGAAATTTCACACTCACACAGAGTTTGATGAGCTTTTCGCCAGTTCCCTCATCGCAACCTCATAAATTCTTTAAAACTTTTAATAGAATTCAACATTCTAGGCGGTCGCACCGGCTCCACGACGTCGGTGCGCAGCGACTTCACCGTGGCCAAGCGCATGGCGCTGCTGGTGTTCACCGACTTCGCCTGCTGGGCGCCGATCGCCTTCTTCGGCATCACAGCGCTGCTGGGCTTCCCGCTCATCACCGTCACGCACACCAAGATCCTGCTGGTGTTCTTCTACCCGCTCAACTCGTGCGCCAATCCCTGCCTGTACGCGCTGCTGACGCAGCAGTACCGCCGCGACTTCTTCATCCTGATGGGGCGGTACGGGCTGTGCAAGGACCGCGCCGAGCGCCACAAGGGCGCCATCGGCGGCAAGCCGCTGCCCTACGGGTCGGGGTTGCAGTACAAGAAGACGTACGTGGAGGGCGGGATGAAGACCGGCGGGGCCAACAGGGCTTCGACGATGACCAGCATGACGACGGTGGTGTCGGTGGAGTGCTCGATGAGGACTAGTTCGAGGAACAATTCGTCGCGGTACAGGCCCGAGTCCGGCCTGGCTTTGGCCGATTTTTCGGTGAAGAACAACGCGAACAACTTCCACGAATGCCACAAGTGCGTGGGAAGTGATAATTTGTAAAATTGTGCGCGGTTTTTTTTGGTATAATTGGTTATTTAGCCCCATCAAATTACTCACTAAATGAACCAATTTTTAGTTCTCTTGGTTCACTTTGTTCTCAGGAAAAAACTAATAACCCTCTACAAAAATCTTCTTTAGGTATCTCAACAGTTTTGATTATACATCATGGTGAAAATTGAATATATTTGGCTAATTTGATTGGGTTAATTAGCTTCATCTGTGATTGTAAAACGTTCCATGTTTAGAGTAATCATTTAAAACTCGATTTCCTGTTGAACTCTAGTTGCACATTTTTGTGTTTTATTAGAAAACATTGTATGTAAGCACTATTGTAGTACCATTGCCTAAGTTATAGTTAGTCAAAATAAAATGTCCAATTACAAAGAGATTCTTATTGCAAATTATCCACAAAGAAATAGCGAAATAATAAAGAAAATATATTTCAAATGAAGGAAGAAACTGATTATTTGTTCAAAGTAAGCTACCTTTAATCCACTGTATTATAATCTTGACAATTAAAAAGTCAATTTAATGTTTCCCAAAATTTTAAATTCACTTGCGTTTTTTCCCACAAGTTTTTTTAATGGTTCTTTACAACTTCCCTAAACATAATTTACCAAATAAATTTCCTGCGTATGTATAAACCAACAACAATCGTAAAAAGTATAAACTGACCCAAATCTGAGCGTACAGCAAACATGGTGAAACCACCCCGTCCTCCGGAGGACCCACCAACATCCTCCCCCATCATCCTCACCCAAGTCATGGACACCATAGCCCAGCTCAAGGACACCCACGGCTCCCCCGTGGACTCCATCGTCAAGTACATGTCCTCCCACGGGCCCGAGTTCGTAAAAAACTCCAATTTGAAGATCAAAAAAGCCTTGAAAACCGGCCTCAAATCCGGCCTGCTCAAGGAAACCCACGGGAAATTCAAACTAGGCCTCACGCCCAAGGACTATTCGGTGCTGAAGAGCTTCTGCAATCCCTACAAAACGGGACACATCGCCGTGTGGGAGATGAAAAGAAGAAAGGGCAGACGTAAGCGCAGCAGGAGCAGGAGGAGAAGGAGAGGAAGGAGAAGGAGCGACTACCGCTCTCTAGGATCACGGGAATACAGTGAGTAATCGGCTTCTAATAGGTTTCTAAAAGAGTAGTTTGGGAAATGTGGGTTATTTGTGTGTATGTTCACAGGCGCTGATGAAAATCTCGATGCTTCGAAATTGGGAGAATTCCCATTTTCTGAATCCAGACGACGCTCCAGAGGCAAAAGAAGGCGCAAAAGCCGCAGGCGCAAAGGAAAAAGGCGAGACGACGGTTATGCCAATAGTGAAAACTCAGAAGAAAGTAAGTTTAGGTGGAAAGATAACTTTGTCACCTCGATCTATTCTGGGTATTGCTCGGATTCAAACTCTAGTTCCTGTGTAGGTACAGTCTTATATTTCTCTTGGTTTCAGGTCGAGGGGAACCGGCGGATCGCAGTCGAAGGCGCCGACGCCGCAGCAAGCACGGACGGCGCCGGCGTCGCGGTCGAAGGCGCCTCTACGACGAGGCGTTGGAGACGCGCCGGTCTTCCGTCACGACGGTGTCGAGCGGGTCCTCTGGCGTCGAAGAGGGCCGGAAGAAGAGCGACGAGGGTGACTCCAAAACGAAGATACCAGAGAAGAAGGACGTCGGTAGGTTTTGAGGCATATTGATGGGTATTGAGTCTTTGTTAGAGAAATTCTGGGTGAGCGATAAGTCTGCCAACCATCATACATGACTTGTTTAAGAATCGATACGAAATTGGAGGGTATAGGGGAATTCGAAGTGTAACTACTCAATTTAATTTCACCGAGTAAGTTTTTATGTACAATTGATTCACTAGCTTCGAAATCATGCCCGATTTAATAAAATGGTGGCGAGTTATAAGGGAAATTGAGAAAAGTGTAATATATAGACTTACATGTTGTAATTTTCGAAGAATCTTCATCACAATTTCACTGTATCACCAACACTTTTTAAACAAACACAATTTATAAGCCGTAGGGTTAAGATATACAAATCAAATGTGTTTTGTATGTTTAAACCACGGTCTTACATACTGCAGGACTGCAGGTCTGGAAACTCTGATTATTTTGTGGTATGAAATTAAAATTGAAATGAATTAAATTAAATTAAAATGGAATTAAAATTGTCGTAAATTAGATAAAAATTAAATTTGGAAGGCAAAATGGCGGAATGAAGGAAAAGTGGCGTTATGCGATTACAATTAAACAACTCTACCTGATACTAACGCCCTCTGCCGAAAATCACATCCGCAACAACTAACTTAAGTTTTCAGACCTTAATGTATACGACCGTACCGTGGAAAAAGTGACATTTACGAATGTCAATTTGGACACGCTCGCGATGTTGCCAGATTTTCTATTTAACAGGTGTTAAATGGTCATTTATTGGCTTCCTTTTAGGTTGTTCCCTGTCTTCTAATGCAAACCTATTAAATTCAGTTCCAGCGGAACCGCAGAGGGTTAACGTAGATAATTCGGAGAGGAACGACAGCGATCATCACTGCATTCACCTCGATCATCACGGATGCACGCAAGACGATCCTTACGTGGCGCCCTGCAATCGTCATTGCCATGATCACGATTATCCTCATTCGCCGTATTGAGGGTGTTATGATGTATTTTTTTGTGCCGTTATTTGAAATTAAACAAGGTAGAATATCATTGTTGGTTACGTTTTTAGGCAAAATGCGGTAATTCTACAAATACTTATATTACAAACAAAACAAAAAAATATACAAATATACATTGTACAAAACAAAAAGATTTACATTCACGAATTTGATACCCTTAAGATTACGGTCGTTATTCTAAATTTATAAAAGTATAAAAACCCCAAAAATATTAGCAGAAAAATAGGGATCATTTTTTTTGTATCGACTTTATAAAAATTAGTGTCTAGTTTATTACTTACGTCCGAAATAGGATAAAAACGGCTCCTAGCGATATCTAACTTGATATTTACAATAAACTAATATGGCTGTGTACTGGCAATACGTAATTACTTATACGAGTTCTTATTTAAAATATTTATTCCCTGAGATTCATCCAAATTTACAAAATACTTAAAAAAAACTGAAAAATTAGTAAGATAGACATCGATAACATTTTCCTTCTACTCACTTATTCACATCCATTTTATTTTGAAATAAACTTGGACCCAAAGGGTGAAAAATACAATAGAAAGTTATGGAAAAACCAGCTTTAAGTAAACAATCCTTTTTAAGGGAGTTAACTAATAATTATAAGCAGTATTACAATTAAAAATTAATAGGAATCAATTCAATTAACAAGAAATAAGAATAAGCTAAGCATGGATGTTGCATTAATTTGTTGTGTATTATTCTTATCGAAAGAAAAATTATAATTAATAGTTAAACACAGAAATATTCTAGAAGAGCGATCTGAAAAAACGAATCATTCGAAAATAATGGAAAATCTAAAGATAAATATTTTATAATAGTAAAGTATTCATGAACACAACGTATAAAGAATTGTCAAAGAATTCATGCTAATAAATATTTTGGAGTGTAAAAGAAAATTAAATAAATGCTCCAAATTGATTGCATTAAAAGAATGCTACAGATATTAGATTAGATTAGACAAAAAGTAGCAAGTATGGACGAAAAAAAAAAGCTTCGAAACAACTAAATCGATTAAAAATAACTTGGTTTTAAAACGAAAATATATCTAATTAAACAAAAAACTATATACAACTTCAAAAAACTGTAAAGGAGTTTCTTGATTCCTTGAACGCGCACGCGCCGATCCGAAATGAACACAATCAAATATTTTATTTGGCATCCGAGTTTACAATCAGCCTCGATAAATCATCGAAATGAAAATAATTTCGATCAATCGTATCGCCTACCGATTAAAATCGGCGTTTAAGTCTCAATAGAAAAGGTTACAATCAAACCATAATATATCTGTTACGGGTAAAGTTAGATAAACAACTAAACCTAGGTTTACCCGGGTAAAGTGCGAAATGCCGGTAGGGTAGAACCCAAGAAACCCAAAAAACCTTCGCTGCCCTACCTTACCCTACCTGTTTCTTGTGTATTTCGCACTTTACCCTGTTAAACCTAGGTTTAGTCGTTTATATCCAGCTTTATCCGTAACATATCGATTCTACCAGTTACCAGCAAAATCGAATTGAACACAAAATTTCAATCATCGTCTCCTTTATACAATTACTGTTACCACTAAATGATTTGTCTCAGTGCAAGTCTAGCAATCTAGTAATACTAAACGAAGGATCAACGATATTTCAGCTGGGGTTCGAGGACGACCGGTGAAACATGTCAGGGTCTCTGTCGCCCCTATCTCTTCGTATTACCATCTGAAAAATAAAAATCAACGGTTCCATAAGTAGTTTTGCGGCGATCACGAAAAACCCTTTCGCATGTATCTTCTCTCATACTCGCCCGATGATTCCACAACCACAAAGCAATTAATTATTTCGAACACGATATGTTAGTTACTCCCAAGATAGATGAGATGAAGTTTCGCCTCCTAAGCCTCGAAATGTGCATAATTCGCTTAATTTAGTCTTTAGAATTCAATGGCATTCCCTCAAGCGATGCGGCATGAATGAAAATTGAGAGGAAATACCTGTTGTTGTGCAGAGGGCCCCGGCCTATCGTACAATGGATAAGGTTGCGGTCGGGGCGCTGAACGTCCGCTACTATCTGCATTTTGTCTGTGCAAACTACTATTGGGGTACGCTCCCGCTGGTGAATTTCTAAAATAATTTCAACCAACATGAGCCCTACACGTAATTATTGGATTGCTCGATACAAAACCCGAGAGTTTCTTACAGACAAAATGAGCTCGACCAAAATACACCAAACTGTTAGAGGTTTCAATGTTGCCGCGTTTCTATACATTGCTCCCCTTTTACCCCAACAAATTCACGCTAAAATATTGACAGTGACACCTCTAACACTCCACGTAACGTAATCTACTACCTCATATTAGGACTCTGTCGATTTCCGGGACTTCGACTGCGATGCGTACTGGTCGAGTACGCGTCCGGCGGCAACCCGTTCTCCATGGGAGGATGTTGGGCCGATGCCTGGGGGTGAGTGGGGTATCCGGACGCACCGCCGCTATGCCGGGAAGATCGGGGCACCTCCCCGTGAACGGCGGCCACAGACGGATGAATGTTGTTCACTATAACACAAACTACATTATAACCGGTATTATCGATGCAACAATCGAATTTTCGGGATTATCGAAGCGTTAAATCCGTACCGGAATGGGGATGGGACGACAGCGGCGCCGCCGCCGGTTGGCCGGTAAGGGGAATTGCTAATCGAGCGTTGACGGCCAGCAGATGGTCCCTCCGTTGGATCAGCGAGCTGACGTGTTCTTCTAACCTCAAATTCTCCGCTCGAAGTTGATGCAAACACGACAGAAGAGAAGCTACTGTAAGTAGATTAAAAATCGGTAACTGATACCAATCGAATAGAAAAATCTAACCAAACGTACTATCGAAATGTTGAGCTTGTTCCATGAGAAACTGGGAGCCCTGCTCCCATTGTCTTTCTAACAATTGATCTAGTGTTTGGGGAATATTGCCGCCGCCTCCGCCTAGCATGTTCGATAAACCGCTACTGCCGCCCGAAGCGGTACTGGAAGCGGTACTGCTCGCTCTCGCCTACGATTTAATCGTTTATTAAACAAATACTAAACAAATTTCGTAATACACTCACAGATTGCAATACTCGATGGTGCAACTGGGGTCCTACGAGACTAGAACCATGTTCATGGGGATTGAATATACTATGCGCTTCCAATTCGTTACTGAGATGATCGCTCATTTTCGAATGCATGGTGGAATTGGGATTCAACTGGTTACCCAGCATGTGAGGCGCAGAAAGGCCATTTTGGAATCTACAAAAAAAAATACACAATAAACATCAATACATTATAATAATCACTCGACTCACATTTTAACATCCTTAGATTCCTTCGGATCGCTTTTTCTAGTCCTCAATCTTCGAGAGCCCGTGGTCGACGGTAGACTTTGGCTCTCCGAGCTGGGACTGCTGGGAGGCGAGTCCTTGATTTGCGCCTGCGTAATGGAACTGAAAGCTCCGGGGGATTCCGGCGGCGGCGTAACGTGCATGCGAGACAACTTCTTCGACGCGACGTTATTAATAACGGGAGCGGGTAGGGGATTCGAATTCGAGCTGCCCGTGCTGTTTCGTTTCTTGTTGCGATTAGCCCGATCGGCCTTCTCGTTCGATTGGGATTGAGATCTACGAAAACCGTTGAATATTAATAAAAAGTATGTAAGATCTAATACAAAGTTTAAATATTACCTTCCTCGTTTCGCAGGTACTTCAACGTTAGAAGAAGGGACGATATCGTGCTCGATTTCCATATCGACCTCCGTGTTAATCGAATCCACTTGTTTCTCGTAGACGATTTTGAGCCCACCCGTATTCATCTCGGGAGTCAACATATCTTGATTGCTATTGCCGCCTATCATGTTCAAGTTTTCCGATATCACCGGCGTAGCCGACTGGCTGGCGGTTCGTTCTGGAGCAACGGGGATCAAACTGACCGTACTTTGACTGCTGATAACGCCTTTGTGCGGACTGAGGCTCGTGTTAACGAGGGGAACGGAGACGACGAGCGATTGGGAATGTACTTGGGACGTTGTCTGGACGACCGAAGACGTCGAGACCACCGTGTCCGTACTGGTGGTTGTGGTGGTTTCGACGGTAACGACGGGCGAAACCGTTTTTATCGAGGATATGGACGTTAGAGCTACCACAGGTTGATTGGATAATATCGATTGGGTCGTTTCCACTTTTACCTTAAAATTAGACATAACGTTAAATTGGGTAGTCAAGAGAATTGTTTTAAGAGCGTACCGGACACCTATAAAACTGATTTTACTTCTAGAATCGTTAGTTTTTATTCGATTTTTATGAAATTTTGGGTAATTTCCACCTTTTTCTCTTAAACCCTTATAATATGCTACCACCGCGTATTTTTAGGTTTTCAGTTCAACTATAAGCATTATTGCGTTGCATTACAAACCAATATCTTGTGCCCCGAAATTCATATAATATTATAAGGTGTGAAAATCAGATTGAAATTTGGTTGCCCGAGAGCTCCAGTACGCTCTTAATACAATTATATTTCGAGTAACCCAGTGGTTAAAAGGTGAGTGTAATACCTTTTTAATTTTGTCAGGCTCCGAGCTACTACTGGCTTTTTTATCAGTATTCGCTGAACTACTGATAGCATTAACAGTAGTCGTAGTGCTTGTACTAGAAACGGCCGTCACGCTGACCTCACTGGGCGTTACGGAGACCGGCGTCGGCGTCCTCGAATTAACTTTGCGTTTCTTCGACGAACCTTTAGCGTCTTTGGAGTCTTTGTCGCGTTGTTGTTGTTCACTATCGGGTTCTTTCTTATCACTAACTTCCGCACTAGCGTTTTCGTCACTTTTAGCACTTTTGGCGGCCGTCGAGGTGCTCCTGCCGCCCTTTTCGTTGGCGTTTTTGCCGTAGCCCTTCTGCTGCTGGTTCGCGACGCCTTTCGAAGCGTTTTTGGCCGCGGGCGGTTTGGCGCCGCCTTGCAGAGCCTTCCTTTTGCCAGACGAAGGGGGAGATACGCCCGTTTTGGAGTTGGACGGGGCGCTATTGTCCGGCTCCCTTTCGGAGTTCGAGTCCGAATTGTGGGCCTCGGACACGGGCTTGTACGGAGGTATCGTTTTTACGTTGCCTCCTTTTTTCTACGGAACGTAATTAAATTATTTTTACTGATTTAGAAGAAATCATTGACTTACTAATTTGCTGTAGTGGTACTGGCAGTAGCCGCAATATTTGACGTTATCTAAATAATTGCCGGCTTCTTCGCAAAGTAAACCCAAACCTTGAGCACAAGTTACGTGGAATTGTTGCTTACATCCAACTCTATTGCATTGCATACACGCACCTACTGTTGCATTGGATGGCTTACCTTTCTCTTCGCAGATATAACAAAGCTACAAAACATTATCGTTAACACCAAGTAATTATGTACGAGAGTAAATCCGAGGGGGAATACTATAGAACGTGCTTGCTTACTACCTTATTGAATCTCTCTGGAGGGATCAATTGCAGCTGGATTGGTTCCATAGTAGTAACGTTTCCAAATCGAACCTCTGGAATATACAAAGCACAGACGACGTGCGCCCATCCCGAGTTGTCTGTCCGTTTGAGAGCGCCATATTTGCTGGGACACAATTCGCATTTCTACGGACAAGATGAAAATGTTAACGTCTTTAACCAAATATCGATATTCGCAACTCATACATCGTACTGTTTACAAAACTGGACCACTGACCCTTGTAACACAAAAAAAACGAAAAAGCACCACATTAGCAATATAACTCACCACTTTAACAGATCTCTCTTGACTTTCACATTTACGACAATACCAAGGACCAGTAGGAACAGTTACAATACCATAACAAGCTGGAAAAAATTTTTATTTTAATTGTAATTACAAACATTTATCGATCAATCAAGCGTGTTTACTAAAAAATATAAGTGATTTATTTGCTATTTAAATTTACTACACTACTCTGATGAGTTCATATTTATAAATTAAACGTGTGTGACTTTTGCAGGGTCGCACATTTTCCCTCTGTTATTTTTTTTTTTTAATTCAACCACTATTTTCGACCCTACAATTTCTTCCAGGGCGAATTTTACACTAAAGAATAAAAAAAAATGTGGGCAAGTACCCATACAATCCAACCCCTCCATTTACCCTTCATAAATAGGTCCGCTACCTGAAATTCTAGGTAACAGCAATTGAAAATGGATTTAACAATGTGCACTAAAAAGTCGGGCCTTTTACTGTTGAAGTTATTGGCTTTTTTATATTCAATAAAGCTGTTTAGCTGCAATTACTACAAGTGCCTCTACTTGCCTACTGTGTAAACAGAATATTGATAAGTCATTAATAATAATTCATTCAGTTTAAGTACAAACATAATTAATCAGTTTTGAGTGTATAAGTCATTTAGGTTATATTATAGTTAAAAAAGTTATACTTATTTGCCAGTAGGTTACGGCTCGATTATAAATGTCAACAATGGTTAAATTTAACTGCGACATTTACTTACTATTACGGAAAGGTTGCATTCTAATACTTATTGCACTATAAACAATGGCCCATATTCAGCGCCCTATTTTAACCTTAAATACTCTAGTCGGGTCTCTAAGTTGACAGTTCTACATTGTTGTTATGGAGTAACTAGGGACTTTGTTTACGTTAAAGTAACCCTTTAGAGCCATGTTTAAGTTAAAAGTGGGGCGCTGAATACAGGCCGATGTTTCAGATAAGTATTAACCCTTAAGGTGGTACACTACGGTAAACTCGATCAGCTGAGTGTTACTCGTAGAGCGTTCCGAATACTTAAAACTACGTTCGTGTGGGTGAGTAATTAATGGTAAAAAGTACCTTGATGTACGGCTACAGTACAAGATTGCCCATCGCAATAAACAAGTGGATTTTCAGACCAGCCTCTATCGTCAGAACAAACACAACAGCCTCCTACCATTTCCCTCATAATGCAGAAAAACAGGATTTGCTAAACTAGCGATTCGACAATCCCACCCCACAGAGCCAAAGCAACAGGTTCACGTTCATTTCTACGTTTTCTGTAGTTTTTCCAAGTTAAAATCGATCCTAAAAACAGAAAACAGTTGTAGTATCGCCTGTACAATTCGAAAAAAAAGCTGATGCAAATTGGAACAAGGTTATTACAAGCATAAACAATTGGCCATTATGTAATTTCGCGTTTTACCGTGGCAATTTCGAAAATGCAAACGTTCGATGAGAGAACGCCGCGCCGTTTCCATCGCGTAGTCACCGCAAAAGCGCACAGCAAGAGAATAAATCGCGTTTATTTACGTTTTTGTAGGCATTTGTGATGCACCATGCCACCCGCAATCTTACCTCCTCCGAGCCGGGAAATCACATCCTACTCGACCGCTTCAATTCACTTTCATTACCTCCCAACAACGGATACGCTCGTAATCGCATTACGCCATGCGATCGTGCGTAAATATGCAGAAAAACATTGAATCAAGTCGACACCATTTTGTTTTTTATGATTTGCACGAAAAACACATCGCCGAGAGCGGCCTCTTTGTGAGACAGCGCACTCGCCGAATCGCCATTGCGCCGGCGCGCGCCGCAACAAAGGTGGATGTGTATACTCAACCTAACCGACGGGCTGAGTTTTGGAAGTGTATATTCTAACGACGGACGGATTTAAAAAAAATGATTTTTAATATTAATCAAGGTGTGTTTGAGTTGTTAGTACATAAATAAATTAATGTCTTTGGTAAATATACAAATTTACAATGCTACGGACTAAACAAAGCGTATTTTGTATAGATGTGTTTTTTCGCATGACTTTATTCTGTTTTCATTTTAATATCTTGATAGTTTGGTTTATCCTCAGTTTTATTTTCATCATTTTCGTCATTTTCCTCCGTTTCTCCAACATCAGGTGCCAGCAATTGATGAAATGTTACAACCAATATTACTAAGGTGAGAAGGTAATTGAGCCTGTAAATGGAGAGTGTAGTAAACACTAAGACAACAATCGTCACTATAAATAGAAAATCTTCAATTTTTTCCGACCATTTCCTGCAAAAAATAACTGTTTAATAAATCCGGTAAAATTAAGTTTTACGCTTACTTCTTAATTTTGGGAAAATCAAATTGCCACAGAAAGAGCGAACAGAAGCTCAACGCAACTCCGGGTAAAAAAGAGGTATCCGGTGTCAATTTGGTATTGTATCTAAAATGAATTAAAATATGTATTTCGTTGGAATCGGGAACTTATTATTAACTTACTTGAAATTGTGAGCCCAAGTAAGTACAGCAGGTATGTTAATGACAGTAACAATAACCCACAAAAAGAAAATAGTAGAATGGAAGAATATACTATTATAAGAAGTCGAAAGATCTAGATTTCCCAATAATGTCTCATCATTAGATTCATCCGGTTCCCTAGATGTTTCCGTTTGATTTAATCCCTCTGCAGAATTTTCCTCACTTTCATCACCACTTGTCACCTTTTCAATAACATTATCTACTTTACTATCACTGCTAATCGTGTCTTCTGTCTTTTCTAGTTCGCTATTCTTATCACCATCGCCTTTTTCTGTATTTTTCGCCTCGATTTCATTCTCTTTTACCCGTTCATCGAACTTTTCCACACTACTTCCATCGTTTTCGCCAGCGCCTGCTCCTCCAGAAACACCAGTATTTACATCAGATTGATCGAGTACCGCTAAATTAGCCTCGCTACTTATAACTAATTCTCCAGAAACAGGATCCCGCCTTTTCCTGAAGAACCTTTTACATTTTTTAGCGAATCTCTTTACAACAATCCAAACTATTTCCTCCACGAAATCTTGCGACATTTGCGTCAACTAAAACAGATCATTGCTGTACAGTAAGTTCGTAAATTCGTAATGCACTTACTCTCAAAAAATAAAACACTGTACCCAGGCACAATGCTAGCCCTCCGCATACCCCAACAGACAATGATATTAACGTCAGGCCCACTATAACCGGTAATTTGTGAAGACCATTTAAGATATAGCCAGACCAAGACATGTTGAAGCTTACAGTAGCTGCTAGTAATCTACAAAAATGGTAGACTAGTAAGTGGTAGCCTAGTGAGTGTTGGGTAGTATGTAGTAGTCTACATTGTTAGATAGTAAGTGCAGACTGGTTCAAGTTAGTATATGGATAGTTCTGTGTAAGTGTAGACTTGTAGTTAGTTCGTAGTTAGTTCTTGTAGTAGTTCGTACCTTAAGCACAATTTGTGCATGGTAGACTCCAACGCTACTAGAGATACTATGAAAGCAACAGTTAATATCCATGTTAATCCAACGCTACACAAATAGAGCAACAAAGGAAGTAGGAAAAAGTCTGTCCCTTCGTCCATCAAATACAAATTATCTGGCGCAGGAAGATAATAGATGTTGAAAAAGCTGAAACATATAATATTATTAGTAAGTAACTATCGAATAATCGCAAACAGTACCTAAATAATTGCGAAATTAACTTAAAACCGAATAATACATATAAAGGTTTCGCTCCTTCTAGTAAAGCTATCAGCATAATTGAGCAATATCCCTGGTTCAAATTGTTGAGCTGGTACCTTAAGGACATCAAAACTACTGCTGCGACATTGGCTAGCAGTAAAGGTGAATAAGTCCTCGCTAATTGGCCCAACGTTCCGAAAATCGAGCTTTGTATGCTGAAATGATACTCGATAAAAACGAAGAGGATTGTAAATAAAAGCAATCGCCCACCTTATCTTATAGGTACAGGACGGATCTAAGATTAATTTTATCACAGCCGAATGGTTTCGAAATTCACCGGGTTTCGAATTGAGTAATCTAACTACAAAAGGCTTCTTCGCGTTGTGCCTGAAAGTAACTGAATTCAACAACAGTCGTAGGTCATTTGTACGAACTTACGTAACGAATCCGTGATAGTTTTCGTGACTCCACGGACTAGATAAGGTAATGGATGCATGATGCTCGGATTTGGAACATCGCAAAGGTTCCAAATATAATTTGTAATACTGCATTACGTGATCGAGTTGCTTCAATTCCAGTTCGAAGTACAGCGATTTATCGGGAGTTCTTTCCATTATGACTTTATTGCTCAACGAGAACCAGGATGGTAATTGCACGGAGAGTGATCGTTGATCTGCACCGTGCACATCAACGTGGTACTCTAGCTAAAATTAAATTGAATAGGTTATATGTAGTGTTTCATAAGGTATTTTCTTACTAAATCATCGGTAGGTAAAGCCCGGAAGACGACATGAGTCAAATCGGGGTTCTGCTGCTTCAAATGCTTCAGATTTACTTCGATGAATCTTCTTTTATAATTAGTAGACGGTGCGATATCAGATTTAGGTGTCAAATGGAACGCTTCACGGCTACAAAAATTATACAGGCCTCTTACATATTTATATTCAGCCAACTTTTGCTAGATTGTAGCCACTTACCACATTCTACTGGAGCCTTTAAGAACGTAGGCGTTACATGCAAACACCCAATCGACAATATCCATATTAACGGCTAAAATGGAAAGCTTTTCGTACCCGGAAAACTCGGATATCGATACCATGTACCATTCTAATTGATTCAACCCAACCGGGTATTCTACGGAGTACTGTTTCTGTATATTTTCTATCCATTTCCCTTTACTGTTCAGTAACGAAGGCGACAAATATTTGCTTCGATCCCTAAATTTAATACCGGAATGCTACAAAATAATCGTTATTCGACGAAATCGGGTTATGCAGCCAACGTACGTGATGAAGGTGATGCTGAAATGCTGATTTCCGCAGAGTATCGTTAGATGAAATTTGATGAGTTCCCGTATCAACGCTATCGAATAGAGCCCTAATTATTGCCAATACGACTTGTTTGCACCATAAAATTTGTACGTGATCACATTCGGTCCACGAAATTGGGATATGCGAGGTCTATAAAACAATACGAATTAAAGCTAATCTTACTGATTGAATTAAAGTTTTTTTTTTACCGCAACAGTAACTGCATTATCTAGGTTATTCTTTGTCAAGAAAGGTAAGATGAGCAAGTCCCTGTAACCACCGTTGACGTGAACCAGCGTGGTAGAGTTTAGGCGCTCGTTTAAAATATTGTCATAAAACCGATTAAAGTGATAATCGAATAATAAAGGAGGCCGTTTCATAGGAGAAGATAACGTTATCAATATAGGCACTAAAGCGGGATTAGTTGTTTGAGATAACAACTTCAAAGCTACTGATCCTCCGATCGAATGGCCGATTAATACGATCGATTTAGGGCGGTTTCTTTTGTCTTTGTATAGCTCCAGGATTCTGTATACAGAGGAATTTACGTAATTTAATTGGTCGTATAAAAGCGGGCCGTATGCGCCGGAATACTCGTCGTTCAAGTCCACTGTAAAGTAGTCGAAATGAAAGGGTATTCTGGAATTCAGCCACTTTCGCAATGCAATCGAAGAGAGGGAACGAACTGAAATATAACGATTCAATACGTTAAAATATTGTTATTTAAATTATAAATGTACCTTGTTTAAAAGACCCCTTATTGCCGGGTATAAAGAGGACTGGGATACCATCAAAGTACATATCTCTGGTTTTTTGGGTCAACCTCCCTTCGCTGTAAGCGTACAATCCATACCTTTTGTACACTTTGTCGATTCTATTAGAAATTTTCTAAAAATAGTGTCAGGTCAGCGCTTAAAATAATTCATTAAGTCAACGCTAACAAACTTACCACAAATTGGGGGTACTCAAACATATAAGTCATCTCGCATTTATCTTCTCCATTTTCAGTTAGAAACTGAACGAGCCCCAGGAAATAAGCGAACGTCAATGCAGTTGAAATTAACAAAAAGCTACCGGCCAATTTCATTTTTAGAGGAAATTAACATGTTCACTCGCGAAGCAAAACTCGTCTCTGATAGCGACAAATAAAAATATTTACATTTATACGAACGTCAAATTTGAGGTTAGGTAATTGATGTGATTCAAGGCAGTGTTGCCATCGCTACCCAAACCTGGCAACTGCGATCTTGAGGTAAAAACTCACTGCCAACTTGAATAATTTGGAAGAAAATTATAGGGGAGTAATGTTGGTATTACCTACTCTTTTTGTTTCGGTAAATTTGCTTTTACCACCTTATTATGAAAAATTGATAACTTCATTTTCATCTTGTTTAAGATTTGCCATGTTTTAAATTCAGAAATATATAATCATTATGGTTCCAAAACCATTTAATTATAAAAAAAATTCTAAATACGGGAGATACAAAGGCATAGTTGTCCGATCCGATCCGAAATTCAGCAACATGAAATGTTTGAATAAGGAAATAAAAGTTAATTAGTTGAAAAAATGTTCATATATTGACAGAGCAAGATCTATTAGGAAACAAAATTAAACAAAACAGTTTAATTGTATTAATAAATCTAGAAAAATCAGATACATAGAGATAGTTTTCTTGAATAGCCAAAAATCTTGTTTTCTTTGAATACAAAATGAGTTGCAAAGACAAAATCAGAATTTTTAACAGTACTTCTCAAAATTTATAAAAATTATGTTAATAAATAGTCATCCAATGAATGAAGCGTTCGAAATGAAGCAAATTATTTAAAACGAAATTCCACAAAAATATAGAATAACTAGCTAAAATTCGATACCATACACTTCGTAATCACATAGCAATTATGAAATTTCGTTTTCTAGAAATATTTGTCTCATCTATACAATGATTTCAATAATTATTCCGTCATAACACAAATGATAAGGTAAAACATAAAAGTTTGAAACAAATCTGATTTACTTACAAATGAATACGTTGAACTTAATTATGTATGCCGCGTTAACTATTATTCATATCAAATAACAACTTTTTGTTCTTCCTAATTATTAAATGTCTGCACTATAAATCTACTCCTAAATTTTATAAAAATAACTTAAAATGTTTACGTACATTCACTTGTATTTTATCATTATGCAACCGTAACTTCAATAATACACTTTCCACCGCTACCAGTACCTTAAGCAATGGTCAAAACAGTACCATACACAACAAGAAACCGCCCCCCCCCGCACAATCCCACCGGCGGCGGCGCGAACTAGAAAGCGGCGGAATAACTCAAGTTAGTTCCGTTGGCCGGCGTCAGATCAGCTTCCAAGTCCATAAATTGCGCTATGCTGGGCCCCATGAACGGCACGTTGTTCCCGTTCGTCTGGGACGCCATCATGCACGACGAGGGCGTCTGCTCGCCCGGCGGCGGCTGCTGCTGCTGCTGCGGCGGCGGCGACCTCGGCGGCGACGGGCTGTCCAAATTGATGACGGACGGGCTGGCCGGGTAGCCCGAACTCGACACCGACGAGCTCGTCGTTATGCGGGCCGCGTTGCTATTCGATGTGGCGCTCGTCGAATCTACCGAACAAATTCACCCGATTAATTCGCTAACCGCCGCTTTGAATTTCTATCTATACTTTGAGCGTTTTACCAACTAAGTAAACTTGTCATGATTTGGTATTTACTGAGTAAACTAGTCACATGTTGATCTAAGATATGTTATGTTAATGTACCGGGTTTAGGGGCGATTGCTCGGATTTTAGAAGGTGGTTCTCCTTCTTCGTCGGAATCGCACGTTAGATCGACGATGTCGCGCTTTTTCGTTTCGGCCGCAGGCGGTTTATCCGTGGTACTACTTGCTATAGTAGTCGTATTCGAACTTACAATTTCTGTAATTCAAAATAAATATATTCAAGATGATTATCGCCTACTAGTTTCTAACACTCACCAATATCATCGCCAATAATCTCAATGGAATCATCGATGGCTATCGATGCGGGTTTTTCAATTTTCGCCACCACTTTCTTCTCCAATTGTTGGATACACCAAGTACCGTCTTTGTTCAATTGAATTTCGTTACACTCGGAAGGCAGCACCATAGAATTTAATACTTCAGTAAAATATCTAAAAATGCGTAATTAATACCTACTAATTCTTCGAATGCAAACAAACTTACCCATCGATGACCAAATTATCGTAGAGAGCAGGTTTATCACAAACCGGGCAATTCCAAGTCGGTTTCCTTTCGTTCATTTGTAGAAATAGCGAGGCATCGAAGCATTGCAAATGCGTGCAGGTTATGGGACGACAGGGCGTCGCCATTCTCATTTTACCCAACGGGCACATCAGGGACACCTTCAACGAAGTCGTAGCTATTTCGCAATCGCCATCGTCGCTCAGTTTTTCCTTAACTAGAATTCAGAATTAATACTATTCGCCTCATTATTGCACTGTCTAACTCACTTATAGCTCGAGTATGATCCGCATTCTTGATGCCTTTATTCTTCAGCCGTTGCAGCAGATCCGTAGAATTCAATTTGTGCACTAACGATACTGATATGGCATAGCCCCGATTATACTCAGCTGCCCAGGATACTGTTATAGTATTGGCTACAGTAGGACTCAGTTTCACCATTTGCGTTATGTTGACAGGCCTTGGTGGTCTCTTTGGTTCAACGCCGGGTTTGTTTGTAGGAACAGGATTCTAACAAATAAATTATATGCGTATAAAAATCCTATCAAATTTTAGCTGCACTACTTACAGGTAAAGGGCACAATTTGTTATTAACTTTAACTATAACGTTCGGAGGGAAACAGTCTTCTTGTTCACAGGTCGTTTCTAACAGGCAAAATCTCATCTGAACTTGCTTCACGAAATCGAATTTTGCACCGGGCCTGATGTCCCTCGAGCTGGCGATATCGGTGGCTTGTTGGGGGGTTAAATGGAAGTAGAAGGTGCCCTCTTGCATTCTGAAATTACATCATTTACTCGTTATTAACTGAACTATTCGTGGTATTAAAATTACCTTTGGGTATTTACTGGTACTAACGATGACGGCTTCAACAAATCGGCCAGTACATCGTAGAACGGCAACCGCCTGAATTTCACGTCGGGGTGAATGGGGTAATTTCCTAGGACATTCTGCTGTTGCTTGGCCGTGGAATATTGCGGGTACGGTGAATAAATGTTCTGCGGATACATAGGGGCCCTAGCCTGAAATTCAATTATCAGTATTAAATCTTTGCATAAAATAAAAAACCATTATCAATAGAATCTTCTTACAAAACTAATTCTAATGACATTACTGACAACTTACAGACAACTGTCTATTATCTAAAGTGCTATTGAAAGGATGAACGTTGGTTACTGTCCTAGGCATATTGGCTTGCACTTGGGGTATACTATTAACCGATGCGGTTTGTAGATCTTGACTTTGGGGAGAGGTGCTGGGAACTTGCACGCCAGTCAAAGCACCGCTTTGTCTGGAACAAAACCATTATGATTACATCGATTATGTAATTGTATAGCAGAATAAACTAGCTAATTCCCGGCTCGATGAACTTACTGTATAGTTTTGTACAGATCCCTGATTTTCTGTTGTATCGGATTAGATCGGACTCTGAGGAGTTCAAGAGCTCTTTGTTGCAATTCTGTTTTCCTTCCAGACTTGTTTCTGCCAGCAAAACCAAGTAGCATTTGCAATTCTGAGACACGGAAAGCAACTAGCATATTCTGTAATTAAATCATTAATATATGTTTATTCACAAAAAATACGTTATTAAAAACGCGGAATATACTAGATCAACTGATAGCGATACAATTGAACTATTTAAATTGTTCATATAAGACAAAAAATAAAGTTAAATTAAAACCCGCACAGCCATATGTAATTAAGCCCTGCAGTTTATAATATAAAAAAATAATTACCTTTAACTCATCCGTGTTGTCGGTCATTTCCTTCGGAGGGAATAGTTCTTAAACTAACTGCCCAATCGGTTGTAAATTCCACCATTTAAAAACTTAGAACTTCTCTCGTCCAGATTAATCAAACGATTGCAGCCAGTATTTTTTTAACCTACTTGTGGTATTTTCGAATTTCGAATTGGGCCGTTTTTAATGTTTCCCACCCGCCTGGAAGCTTAGAAATAAATTGCAAAAACATACGCGATTCTTATCACGAATTTCTTTTTCTTGAAGCTTGCAGCAGAAGAAATGTTTTCGACATCTGACGTTAGGCTAAACGTTCATTTAAGGGGAACTACAATAACTGCAATTATAATGTTTAATATTAGCCAATCATAACAGAGATACCACGTTTGCGATTTGCGTTATTGATATTACGAAGGTAGCTTAAGAAATTTATGACGTCATGTTGTCACTTGTCATTGTGTGTTTTCTATGGTTCTAAGAAAATTTTCCTCTTCTTTTTTCATTTACAACTGTCTAAAGTTGGCATTTGGCTATTCTCATTATCTTTTTAATATTAATTTGAATAGTTTTTTTACTAATTAAGGAATTTATGTTCATTATGATCAAAATAAACGGCTTTTTAAGTGTAGTAAAATTATTAATTAAATAAAAAATGTGTTAAAAAGAAGAAATAATTAACTGTCACTTGACTTGTCATTTTTGACAATTAGGACTTGTCATTTAAATTTTCAAGATGGTTTTCGAACTATTTTCGTAAATATCTTTGGACAAAAACTAGAAATTAACAAAATTCCAGTGGATTATAAAAAAACCAGCGCAGAAAAATTACAAATGGGCGCGTACGTCCGGACGAGCCGGTTAGAGCGACTAATATAAATTTAATTCGCCGGGATGCCCGATGTCGAGGTCGAAAAACGCAAGCGCACACCGATTATCTTAGGCGATTTATTCAACGTTTGGGTCACTTTCGGGCGTACTTCAACTTCAGTTTCGTCGTACGGCGCACGTACGTAACACTCGTAACATAACTAAATTCCTGTGAGTAAGTGCGAAATTTCTAATCCGCTTGAAAAGTGTGCCGCCGGAACCGGAGTGAGAGTGACTGAAGCAGCCCCCCGAAAATGAAGGAATACACGCAAGTTACGATGCCGAATTACTCGTATATGTTCAATTTCGAATCGGATTTCATTCATCAGAAAACCCGCACGTGGATGCAGGATAACTGGACGCTGGGGTTTTATTATTGCGGTATTTACATGGTGCTCATATTCGGCGGACAGTATTTAATGCAGAACCGACCCCGATTCGAATTGCGAGGCGTTTTGGTCTTGTGGAACACGCTGCTAGCCACTTTTAGTATAATGGGTGCTTGTAGAACGGTGCCAGAGTTCTTCCATACGTTAACCCAGCACGGATTGTACCATTCCGTATGTATTCCATCGTTTATCGAACAGGATAAGGTATCCGGTTTCTGGACGTGGATGTTTGTACTTAGCAAGCTTCCAGAATTAGGAGACACTATTTTCATAGTACTTAGAAAACAGCCACTTATTTTTCTACATTGGTACCATCACATAACCGTGTTGCTGTATTCCTGGTTCAGTTATACGGAATACACGGCCAGCGCCAGATGGTTTATCGTGATGAACTATTGCGTACACTCGGTGATGTACTCGTACTACGCCTTGAGGGCTATGAGATATAGCCCTCCGAGGCAAATTGCCATGCTAATTACCTCGCTGCAATTGATCCAAATGATCATCGGCTGTGCCGTGAATTTGTGGGCCCGGCAATTGCTCCAACAGCAACAGGAATGCCAGATTACTCCGTTTAACATTAAATTATCGATCACTATGTACTTTAGCTATTTCGTACTGTTCGCCAGGTTTTTCTATAAGGCCTACATGTCGGGCGAAAGGAGATCGAAGACGAGAAATGCACCTGTCACTGCGGATTATCCATTACTTAAGTCGAAAGTGCAGTAAATTTTTTTATCTATTTTATTAGTTTATATGCCTGCATTCCGAAAACTTTTGATCGATGCTTCAAATTCATAATTTTTCTATGAGAATGTACAAATTTCCGGTGGCTGAATTTATCTATAATTAGTCGTTATTTATCAATTTTTTGGTTACTAAATATTATTTAATAAATTTTGGTGATAGGTCCTCGAAATGTTTGCTGGAAAACCAAACATACTTGCGTTACGTATTGTCGTGTAAAACATTCAAATGGAACCAATTAATTGGAATTTAAACGATTACATTTTTTCTGAATAATCATTATTAAATTTAACGTTAAATTTGTTTCGAGAAAGGCCTTGTTTATATTTGATTAATGCTATTGTTCCAATTCTATTGTTGAGGGAAAACTGTTTGCAAAATTAATGATTCTCGAACTTTTGAATTTTCATTGTAGGCATTATGTGTAGATCGTTGCTTCAAATTCAATTAAAATCGACAAGTAATGGATAATTACGACGGTTTCACGTTTGAAGTTGCTGCTCGGTCAGACATTAATAATTTATTCCAACATTCATATTTTATTTCTAAAATCAAATGTCATGGAATTGGAATGATTAAGTATAAATGGCGCCATTCACGAGCACACCGATTGGAATGATTCCTTTGGATAGTGTTCAAATGGATTGCTGGGCCAATAGAGAGAAATTCACTAATGGATACAGTTTCTCACACTCATAGAGATATTTTGGACTGGTACCACTCCATTTGCCCGTTTGGAGTGCTCGTGAATGGCGGCCTTAAGATTAGTCCTGCCGGTGTAATAGTAAACAAACACTCGCCGTCAGAATATAATTACTAAAATTAAGCATATTTTAATATAATTATTTAACAACCGGCCAGTTTTATTAAAGTAATCACATAAATTAATGTTCATGTATAAATTGCATTAATTGATCGATTAATTTGTAAAATTAATACCGTAATTATAATTTGCGATTCAATTTAACGAAATACGTAAAATTACTTTATTTAAAAAAAAATCACGTCTCTGTGTGTACGGATATTTTCTTTTTATTGGCCAGTTTGTCGCGGGACAAAGTGGATGATTTTAATAAAAAAATACAGAGTGTCCCAATGAAAAGTAGCCAATTTAATCAGCTTGTAACTTTTAAACGCCTAATCACAAAAAAACTGCGGTTTTCGCAGATACAATGTTTTATTTTGTTATATATAAAAGGCCCCATTCACGTTGAGATCGATATCGGTAATCGCAACAAACAGCGATACATGTATGTGATATCAGTGATTTGTATCTGTATCGTAACTGCTCCTACACGTTGAGATGGGCTCATGAATCATCAGTTTCAGATTCAGAAAAAGTCTCAAAATCAAAGTCATCAAAATCTCCTCTTTTCAATTCACATTAACTAATTTTTTTCAAATGGGACACCTTCTTTTATAGAATAACATGTACAAATAATTTGAAATAATACCTTTTTGAAAAGTAGAAGAGTATATATTTCAGAATACCTCTACATATACATGATGTTTCATTTAAGAAAATGGTTACTGTATATTTAAAAGAGGAGATAATTTCTGCGGCACTGTAACAAAATAAAACATATCTGCGAAAACCGCATATTTTTGTGATAAGGCGTTTAAAAGTTACAAGCTGATTAAATGGGCTACTATTTTTTATTGGGACACCCTGTATATAAAACCACACACATGCGAATGTGTGCACATTATTTAGTCTTCGAAATGCCAATAAAATAAACGAAATATTACAACTATATGGTAACAATGGACTAGTCACTAGGGTTATTGCTTTAATAATTATTTTGTTAGATATTTCATTGCCGCATATTTTTTGTTATAAAATTTGAGTTAATCAACAAATGTGTACGATCTAGATACAAAATACACATAAATGCTTTTATCGGTATCTATAAAAAATATTGATATGGTAGGAACTAAAATAATTGTCTTCGATACTAAAAATTGTTAACGAAATTGAAGTTACCTGCCAATTAGAAGCGCGACTTGTAATTAGTCATAGAAGTAGTACTACCATTATTAGAATTAAAAAATATGTCGAAGGCTGTGCACTAATTATTATGTACCTACAAACATTAATTCAGAGTCGAAATGTAATTTGGAAATATGCTTGGAAAACGCGAGTTGCGAATGTGGCCCGGCAATTTATGTATATTTTCGAAATACGAATTTCGACGGTTCTGCGAAGGGATTATAAACTGTTGTAATAATAATTAACTGTGGGTTGGTCGAATATTTAATTTATGTAAGACTATTTTTCGATTATTTATTTAACTGATAGTTGTGTTTTTAGAATTGTTAATGGTATGTGGTGAAATGATTTTCTAGGACGTCAAATTGGTTTCTTTGCTTGCGCGGTTGTGAATAGAGTATACACATACGCTATAAGTTTAATTAGGTAATTTTTTCCAGTAGCAAATTTGTTTAACGAAGAAAACAAGTTTAAATTCCAAAAATCACATATGTATTAGCATAATAATGCAGGTACTGTAAAAGCACAATGCGTTATTCTTATTTTTTATCAATTATTTGTTACGTAGGTATACCTATGTAATTTGTAAAGAATTGTGTCAAGTTTACAATACGCGTCTTTTACGTAATTTATTTATCACTGTAAACGGTCAACATTAAGCTAAAATCAAAATACATTTTGTTTGTTTAGTGAATTTTTTTGTAACTGTTTCATATGATATCTATTGTTTTGCATGTGGATTAATAAATTTTTTATTTTAATAGGTTTATTCTTTATTTTCACTCCAGTACTTCACCGATACATAATATCAATTTTTTTAATAACAAAAAGTCTCGAAAAGAAATATTTCAAATGAATAATAATAACTAATATTTATATAAAAAATATTAATTAGTTTATGTTTTATTATCAATTAATTAATTATCAGTGAGAAATTGTCCATGAAATTTGGATAAAAGTTGCAACATATTCGAGAAATTTTGGTAGACATTAAAATATCTGCCCGAAAATCCGTTCCACTAACCTTCATTTTTACGTTCATTAATGTTTATTTATTTTTATTGAATCGAGATTATATGAATTTAATAAACAGCGACTTCATAATAGTTAATTTATTGAAATTTATTGTTTAGATAAACGAAATAAGTTTTACTTCGTTTTTATGTTTAACAATTTTATGTGAATTATTTTTTCTTATCATATCGTACCGAAAGAACCATAAAATGGTAAATAAATAAAGAAATTTAAATGAAACTTGAATGAGATTTTTTATTTTATTTATTGAATTCATTAATTTTCCTTACAATTTTACAACCGGAAAATTTTCCTCTGCACATAACATCAGGAATATTTTAATCGTTCCAATGATTAAATTTTCAGTATAAAATTATTCTTTTCCTTCGTTCTTTTCTGATAATTTATAATTAACTTATCTAAATAATTAAAATATGCAATCGCAGTTGATTATGAAGTATTTATAATTTTTAATTAGATTCATATTCTGAGTTAAATAACCTGCAGATATTATGTAGATTGTAAAAAAATAAAAAAAACTTTATTACTACAAATTGATTCAAGTAAATTTATTTCCAGTCATAAAAGCTAATAGAAATAATAGCAAAAAATACCTTGCTAGCCTTGTAATGAAAAAGATTTTCTACTTGCTTGTGGATTAAAGTAATTTTTTTTTATTATAAGGAGGCTGAGAGTGCAAACAATAGCAATAAACAAAAGTTTGAGATAGGTAATGATCCACGCTCATTAACCCGTCCTGTATACGTATTCATTTGTTAGATTAATTTCGGTAATTCCAGTACTTCTACGTATCTATTAATTATCCATACTGTCGTAAGTAGAAACCAAATTGTTATTTTGTTGGTAATTATTATACTTTGAGAGGCTCAGGTGTTATTGACGATGTTATCATGTAGATAGAGACTAATCTATACAAATAAGGAAACCACCTAATGGTTTTTAAATTGGTACATGATGCAGTTAAATTAACGAAAAATTAAAATTTAAAAAAAGCAATTATATACAGGTAATTGTTGGTACTTAAATGGTAACAACGGAAATTATTACCCGAGGGTATCGAAGTGTAGGAAGGAAAATTTCATTATATTTCATACTTTATTATCGATTTTTTTGTTCAAAGTTTGTTTTTTCACCACAATGCTATGTTCTAGTTCTATTTATGCGTTTTTTTAACAGTCTACAAACTGTAGATTGGTAGTGTTTTATTCTTCATTGTTTAATGATATTACATTTAACTAACAATTAAATTATAACAGTATTATTTGTACACTACTTAAATTCTTTAAGATAGGTATTATATTACGCATTACATAGAGCATATTATGTTCAATATGTATATGTAAGTAATTTTGTATTTTTAGATAATTATATTTCATAAAACAGTTAAGAATAATACATTTTATTAACCAGTTCAATAATTAAAACGAAAATCCTTTTACATGTCGTAAAATAACTCTTAAGTTTTTTTTATTACTAATAAGTATTTTATATGTTCAGATATTATTTTTTATAAAATCTAGATTGTAAAACAGATAAGAATAATAAAATTTTATTAACCAGTTCAATAATAGCATCGAAAATCATTTTATATGTTGAAATAACTGTTATCTTCGCATAAGGTGATTTCAATATTGCATAAATTTATTGTTATTGGTAACTACCCGAATATTACTTAAATTACTTTTGACCTGTTGGTTATGTGCACAAGATACTACGCACAAAAACATTGGGTAATAGATATGGATACCTACAAAAAAATAGTACCCGATAATAAGGTTAAAAGTTGATAATTCTAGTTGAAATTACCTTACACAATATATTAATTCTTGATTATTAGCAATATCAAAGGAAGGGTAGTAGGTGAAAAATAAAGTTTATTATTTTCTTTTACATGTAGAATTGTACGCTACTTGTAATGTATTATGCAGTAGGTACTTTCTCCTTACCTCACTTTCTTGTACGTGTTTGGTTTAACAATGTTTTTGATTCGTTAATAATTTTAAGTTGGAAATTAATATCCGTCCTGTAGATAACTATTATTACAAGCAACCTTGGCATTAGCTTATATTTTTTGTAAATTGCCAATTATTGTGATATTTTGTTTTGATAACTGAAAAAAGCCAATTACATTCTAGTTTATTGTAATTGTAGTAATCTTTCAGTACTAATGATAATTAAAATAGTAATTTGAAAATTTCAAAAAACTAATTTTCAGGCTAGATATAGGATATAGATAAGTCCTTTTTAAAAGTTTTTTTTTATTTTTCAAAATTGTTTTCACAGAAAGTGCGACTCGTAAAACTCCTGTATAAAATACCAAATAAATTTTTCCTGTTACTGATTTTTTAATTTTCAGGTTTTTTAACCTGTTAACCATAGTTTTGGTTTTAATTTTTTTATTCTGTTGAATTACCATTTACATACGTGTCAACTTTATATGTATGTACATATTCCCAGTTTGTATAGAAAGACATCTAAAGGTCAAAATTAAAACTTTAAACCAGTACATTAATTAAACTTTATTGACCAATAATAATAAGCACAGGTTGTTTGTTGAACTAAATTGTAAATAAAAAAAAATATTTTAACACGCCTCTGTTAAACTCATTAGCAACATACTACGAATTGACTATTTTTTTGTAAGAAAAATAAACAAATTATGTGGAAAAAATATTAAATTGAGAATGCACATGAAAATAGTATTTTCTGGCAAAAAAGAGTGTTTTTTTTATTAAATATTACATTAAAAACAAATACTAAAAAAATTAAAAAATAAATCTATATTAAGATTCATAAGACATAGAACTACTACATATTTTAGGGACTAGAATCGCCAGGGTCTCAAGTTATCGACTTATCAATTTTTTGAATAAAATTATAAAATCCATAATGTTGGAAAGAAGTTTTGAGACATTCTTTATACATACAGATTGCTCCATTATTTATTGCAACATAGGCTGTGGGTGCAACAAAGAAAACTTCAATTAGACACTTATAAAGGAAAAAGAAAGAGTGACTTGCAACTTTTCACTCTGACAACTGTTATTTTAAAAATCTTTCTTTGTTCAACTCATAGAATTGACCATGTTGCAATCGCGAATGAAGCACGGTGTATAACAAGACGTAATCAGAAAAAAACTTTGAATGACAGATACAGTAGAAGTTCTAGTACACAAGAAACTTTCGAAACTTCGAGTAACTTTCAAGAAAAGAAAAAAAACGTCTACGAAAACTGAAAATAATGGAAATTATATGAACTTACCCTACTTTTATCAAAAAGCTACATTTCTTTCGAGCTAATTACACAATTCCCTCTCATAGCCAACTTTTCTTTACATTTCTAAAAGGCCTTCGAAAGAGAGATATTATTTCATGTTTACACTAACTCGACGACAGTAAGTATTATCTTAAAAACATGATTATAAATTTTAAAGTGTGTTAAGTGCACAGTATTGTTAATTTAATTGTCTATAATATTAAACAATTTTAAACAACAAAAACATAACCAAGAAAATTCTTCTGTTTATCAATGATGGGTGTCTCTTGTCATACTCATGGCCTCGATCGATTCAACCTTAGCTGAATTTCTATATTAGCAGAGACTACCAATATGACAAAAATAGAAATTTTACAAAAAACTATAAAGAAGTTACTCCTATTATTACAACAAATTAAAAGAATACAACAATTCATTTTAGCTCATTATATAACTAACAACCAAATGTAACAATTGTAAGTCGAATGATTGACACTTCGAGTATGATCTAGCAGGCGGCCTGCCCGGAAAATTCCGCATCCCTTTACCGTGGGCGTCGGGAAAGTTGCGAAAACGGGGAGAGGAAAACGGGGAGAGCTTTTCATCCGCGGCTGCGAACTATGCAACACGAGGTGCATCGGCACATGGTAATCAGGAAAAGCCGTCACGTTGATCTGGCACGTGCATTATTCGCTCTCGGGAGCGTCGGCTATTCAAACGGCCCGCGAACTGCGGAATGAATGATCGTTTCGTCTAAATTACTTGAATTAATGTCGTTTTTCATTAATTTTCGTTAGTTTATTCACTAATTTTTCCGTTTAATCTGTATGAAATGCGGTTTGGTGTATCGTAATGTTAATTTGTAATAGGTATTCGTAAAATGTGCACGGTTTATTAAGACTTTAGAGCGTTCGATATCGTCATTTTGGTGTTCGAATTTAATTTGTAGTCGTCAAATTTGAGTAAGTTTGATATTTGTTTCATATTATACAAAAATCGTCGTTTAATGGGTTATTTGAATATTTATATGTCAAGAGCATTATTCCGGTAGATATAAATCCTATTTAATTATGAAAACATTGTGCAAAAAATCCAATAAATTACCATTAATTGAATCAAGATTGCGTGTAATAAAATTCAAATTTTGGAGACGTTTATATTAATATGACTTTTGTCCATTAATTTTGGTCTATAATCTAAAATTTAAATTGATTTAAATCTAAAATTTCAATTGATATTGCACGGCTATGGTAATTTTTTTTGGAAAATCTAAAAAACAACACACCCTTATGTTAATAAAGAGATTTAACTCTACTCTACTACACCCTATTCTACTTCACTCTACTCGACTCTACACTACACTGTTTTACTCTATTCAACTCTATTCCGCTCTATAATCTACTGTATAAAAATTAATAAAATTGTCCAAATTTTCGAAAAAATTAAAATTTTTTTAGAAGCTTTCACAGGAAAAAAAATCTTCCTAATCAAAAACAAAATTATTTACTCTCTAATATAAATTTAAACATATCGTGTGATGTAATTTGAATATTAGAGATGTAGCTACATCGCATATATTGAGTTAGGTACTTTGTAACAGTTATATTGGAACAATACTTCTCAACCAAACCGGCAAACACTATGGAATTTACAATTTTTAAATCAAAAAACCGATATAATTATGAAATTTGGAGTAAATATCAAGAATATGAATATATTATTACAATCGTAATCGTAATAATGACATAATTCATGTTAATTTGCTTTAACAAATCCTACATTAAAATACTCATATTTAACCTTTAGTAAATATTCAATAATAAATAACATCCAGCGAGCTATTTTAATTCGAATGCCCACAATAGACCTATTCAGTTTAACCTGTGCTGCGCGCGCATATTGTGGACAATTAGCTGGACATCTAAACGAACAAACGAACGCACCTCAGGTAAAATACGGTTCTGACAACCAGACAACGACAACTTAAGACGTCATTTGTCATTATCCAACAATCCGTCGGATTTAATGGACGCGGTGACTCGATACAAATTTGTTTTTACTGCCCAGAAAGGGGTTATAGGCTTAATATTTACGTACAAGTCAAGTCTAAGAAAGAGTAAGAGGGTTAGTACAAAGTTTCCGAAAATGCTTTTTGATCGGTTTGCTATAATATATATTTCAAAAAAATAATCCCATTGACCTATACAAAAAATTATTACCTTTATAAATAAATATACTAAATAATACAAAGAAATACTGTTAAAAATAATACACACTGAACATAAACAAACATCAAACGGAAACAAAATAGGGTTAAGAATGTTAAGATTGATAATGGTCTCTTCTTTTTTATATTTTAAACAGTTTTCATCTAAGAATCATTCAATGTGTCTGTCAATCAGCAATGAAATAGGCCAAATATCTCATCTCTCTTGCACTTATGTTTGCGCAGATTTTAAATGGTTCCACAAATTGCGCGTGAAACATATTTGCTTCTTTTATTCTCTTATGTTGATCAAATAACTCCATCACTCTCTTTCGTAAACTGAATAGGTCTATAGCAGTCCACCTGCCGCTTGTTGTATTGACAGCTAGACAGCTAATTACCGAGCGATATTCATCAAACGGAATTGACGCCGGTTTATTGTACTGACATTGATTTGATAAGCCGTGAAAAACCCAAACCGATATAGAAATATCGGTTTATTCATTGTTCGCTGGCCTATTCACGGGCCGGTAAACGTGCGAAATTATCAACGAATATCTTGGAATAAGATTTATATTCTATTATCTCGTCTCGTCTAGTGCCGTTTGCAATACCTACTTGTCAACCACAGATTTTTGTTCACTTCATTATAAAAGATGAAGTTCCCCCTACAAAACGAAGTAAATATTATATTTCTATCATATTTCGTTCGGGAGTTACAAAAGAATAACAAAATCAGCGCTACCAACATAATTTATGACAACCACGGCCAACTTATCACAACAGATCGCAATTAATCTGCATTCGCCTCAGCATATTTGTTGGTAATTGCGCTACATACACGCCTTAAAAATGTCGTCGGCGGTGAGCTCACTCTCGCTTTCTCGCGTTTTCTAACTGTTAATTGCTCGTTGAAAAGCATCGATCCTTTTACGGCGAAGTAAACACAATATTATTGAAAGATCAGACTCGATTTTTGCATAAAAGCGCCGTTACGTGCGCGATAATTTATTCAATAGGTACGCCCGTCTAACGGTGCAGAGGTGTTAACGGTAAACGGGTCTATTGGAAGCTGAAGCCCGACAAATAGTCGTTGGGGTTTCGTAAGTTTTCACGCGAATGGGGGTTGGTTAATTAAACGTAACTTGTTTGGGAAAATTTTGGGGTATTCAAAGCGAGTTAATATTCAATAACGTAATCCACTTTGCGATTGTTTGTATGTTTTTTAATGATTTATTATTCAACAGGCGAATAATGATCAGGAGTCGCTTGTGAATGACGTCGGTTTGTTGGATAATTTTTTCACCAGTCATTATATGTCATGTTCAAATCAAAACCGAAATATTAAAAATTCCTACATTTACTTAACATTGCAGATTAAGTTGATTCAAAAATTCTCATTAATTATTAAATAATCAGGACTTTTAAAAAATTGCTTCCATTACCTAACTTAAAATGCTACTTTTCAGGACTTTTAAGGGCTTTGACTTATGCAGGACTCGCCTGTGCCTGCAGGAATTTAGTGGCACAATGCTAGTTTAATCATTATTGTAAACAATTTCTATTTACCCCTCATACTAAATGAAGAAAGTGAACTTGATATGACCAAGGATCAAGGACGTTGCAGGATTTCTGCATATTCTGAAAATTGCAATGCCAGTTAACGTTATGAATCGCGTGATGCAAGACGAGTGTAATTGATAAGTGCTACCCCATTGGGAAATTTTCTTAGGAGGGTTAATGGAGTTTTTTTTTATTATATTTTCCCTAACAAATTTTTTAAAAAGGGTAAGTTAACGATAAAATTCTAACTAAATTTAGAAGAAGTATAAAATATTTCTAAAAAAAATTATAAACTACATAAATAAAGATAACACAATAAACTTGAGACAAAATTAAGTAACTGTACACTTTATTAATTCCATAAAAATCATTATTATTGTATAAGATTTCCAGCCTTGGTGAGTGACAAGGTCGATAATAACTCGTTCAAAATGATAAAAATAAAATAATTATTATGCATTACGGCCGAAGTGGGTCGAAATGCACCGGGGGAGTTGCTTGCTCTTGACAGTGCTCCAATTATCAAACCAACCGTGAAATTTGACTAGAATAGTTATTAAATAGACACAAATTGAATTGGAAAATCTGATAAGAAACCAACGATATTTCTCATTGATAGTTCCTGCAGAAAAATACCTATAGACTACCGCAAAATTCGCTCAATTAAGCCATTTAATGAAATATATTAATTGCTTCCCGTTCCTTACAGTGTCAATAAATTTTTATCGTAATCATGGCGTGGATTACAGCAACTAATCCAATACACAACACGTTTTCGTCGCTTTTCGCCGAAAACGGAGATACCATAACAATCAATGAAGATTGCTTGGGTAAATAAAAAACTTTTCACCGCATGCAAACACCTACAATTCAATCTTTTTAGCTATATTAGAGAAAATCTTCCTCAAGCTAATAGGCGAAGATGCCACCTTGAGGACATTTAGAAGGGCCATCGGATTCGGCCAAAATATCAGAAAGAATCTGATACCTTTACTCCTTTACGTCAAAGACGATACCAAAATTACAAACGCAACAAAAATCATCGATACCATCGTCAAAATATTGGTCAATCTTACCATACCAGTCGGTAAGTATACTTACTAATACTTGGAGATGCAACAGCAAATCTATTGCCCATTTTTATTAGAGTATTTGCTCCCCGTGGAGGCGATGTCGCGCACAGAAGTCGAAAAACACACGATATTCGAGCTGAACAACCTCTTAACCTCCAGCAAGGAGGCCTTCACGGACAGCAAGAGCACCAAAGCCCTGCTCGAGCACATGAAATTCATCGTCGAATCCTACTCGGAGCTGAATTCCGAGCAATGCGACAGCATCAACAACTGCTTGCTGCTGCTGCGGAACATCCTCCACGTGCCCGAGCACAAAGCCCCTTCGTCCAACGGCTCTTTATGCCACACCAGCATGCAGAACCAGATCATGTGGAACCTCTTCTCCCAAAACATCGACAAGGTCATCATTTATCTCATGTCTTGTCCGCAAAAGGTTTGTCACCTACGCCATTACAATCCTTACATTATTTACACGCACTCTTCAGGTTTATTGGGGGGTTACTATAGTCCAACTGATAGCTCTGCTGTATAAAGACCAGCACGTTGGTACGCTACAAAAGCTCCTCAACCTGTGGCTGGAGTCTTCCTACAGCGATAGTTCGGACGACAACGAGAGCAACACCTCCCCACCAGATAGAGGCAGCGACGATTTCTCCCCGGTCACTACCTCAGATCCCACTTCTGATTCCAGCGATAATGGCGGCAACGACCGCAACAAAGGCAACAACGCTAACAACAACAGGGCAAGTGTTAACTCGAAAATTTGTTGATGTATAGGTACTTCAATGTAGCGTATATTTTAGATTATTATTGATAGAGAAGCCATGAGAGCAGCGCAAAATAGAAGCAAAAGCCTCATTGCTATAAAAAGGAACAAGAGTACCGAAACTGAAACCAGCATGAGCAGCAGCGGAGTGTCGTCTATGGGACAAAGTATAGAAGTAAATATTACCATCCACACCGAAACCAAACCTCTGAGTGACCGGCACTCTGCGAGATCTTCATCTCACGTTGATGTAATTTTCAGAGCAACGATATGGCTCAAACGATGCCGTTCATTCAGCCGTCGGTGCAGAAAGCAAACGGTGCAAAGCGATCGATGTCGATGTGCCAGTCGAACCAAAGCGAGATATCGGACTGCGGGTACGTTACCCAGGTGGAGAACCAGGAATCGATTTCCACGTCGAGCAACGAGGACGAGAAACCGGTGCACCAGAAGCCGCCCAATTTCCAGAAGACGCGCTACGTCGCCAACAAGAACAGGGCCACCACCGCCTTGGAGAAGAAGGAATTGAGAAGGAAGAAGTTGGTGAAGAGGAGGAAAACTAATATGTGAGCGACCTTTCCATTTTCCTCGAGCAATCCCGAAATAACGGCCCGATTTCAGCATCAACTTGAAAGGCCTCGTCCATCATTTACCTACCGATGAAGATATAGCGAATATTTTGAAGGAATTCACCGTGGATTTCCTGTTGAAAGGATACGGGACCTTAGTGAACGACCTTTACACGGAGCTACTGTCTTACATGCACGTGCACATCGACACTTCGCACTTTTTCTGGCTGGTGACCTATTTCCTCAAGTTCGCCATTCAGCTGGAACTCGACCCGGAGCACGTCAGCCAGGTCCTCTCCCAGGACATCATGAACTACTTGGTGTTCCAGGGCGTTTGGATCTACGAGGAGCTGGAGATCAGCTACACAGTGCCCGGCGTCGACTTGAAACCTTGCCTGCGAAGATTACATTTAGTGAGTTACACTTAAATCGATGTACAGGTCGAAATTGAACTGGATTTTTGCAGGTGGTGACGGCCATCAGGGAGTTCCTGCAGGCCATCGAGGCCTACCAGAAAATGATGCACCTCTGCGACTCCGACAAGGACCACTTGGCGCAGCTGCAGCAGCAAATAGCCCAGCTGAAGGATTTGAAGATGCTGTTCGTGCTGTTGCTGAGGCAGTACAACCCCAACGTTCAAACCAGGCAGTACTTGCAGGACCTCATATTGACCAACCATTGCGTGTTCCTGTTCGTGGAGAAGACCTGCCAGAACCAGGAGCAGCACGAGGCGATGATGGAGCATTTGAAAAAGTAAGAAATGAGTTGATTGGTGCGAATGAGTACTATGAGTTTGTTTTTAGTTTCGCTAGTGTAGAAATAATGCGTAACTACGGGTTGCTGTTGGAGAATTTCAAAGAAAACGGCGAATTCGTCAACAATTGCATATTCACCATGATGCATCACATCGGAGGCGATTTGAATAACGTTGAAACGTTGTTTCAACCGACCATTTTGAAAACTTTCTCGCAGATTTGGGAGACCGACTACGAATTGTGCGATGTAAGTACGAGAAATTTGAATTTACCGAAGCTAATAAATTGCTGCGTTTTCTTAGGATTGGTCCGATCTCATTGAGTACGTTATACATAAATTTATTAATACTCCCGGTACCTGTTGCATAGATAATTCAGCGGATTTAGATAGCGACGGATTATCGAAGAAGAGCCAATCCGAGTAAGTATCATCGTTTAAATCTAAATAAGCACTTAACTCTTATTTCAGCTTCAGAAAAACATTAATTTTTACTAATTGTATTGGTAATTATCACAGTAATGGAAAAAACGAATAGGCACTTTAGAAAATCTTTCGCTTTTACTTACTACTGATATTAAACTTATATACAGGGTGGTCTTCGAGTAACTCCTAATCGTAGAACACCCTGTATACAAACTGAAATCACTAACCGATAATGCTTGGGAAATCAGGTGAAACCAATTAAATATCCGCAAATCAAAGTTAATAAAGACTCGATAAAAATTACTGTTTTTTTGTCCAGGTGTAGCTCATTAGATGAAATACTAATGTTATTTAGGTGGACGCAAGAAGAGAAAGAAACGCTCCTAAAATATTACAATCAAAGCAAAGAATCCTCCGACGCCATAGCCGAAATAACGGAGAAATACGAAGCGAGCGGCTTCAAGTTCAAATCGCAAATATCGGTGATACAGGAGCTGCTCGAGCAGCACATCATCACCGAGAACGAGTACCACGAACTGCTGCGACACCACCGCATCGACGCCATCGAGTCCTTGCCCGAAGAGGCCCATTCGAAGCAAACCGTCGAAGAAAACAACAACTCCTTGTGCGAGGACAACCTCATCGACAGCGACACCAAAGTGATCAGGGACTATTTGTCCAAGGAGAACAACGGGAAATTTTTAACGTGGCTGCAGAACGTTCTGCTGGAGGCCTGCTATGTAAAATTGGTGCTCTCGGAGCCTGAGGAATTCAGAGATGGGAGCTCGGTGCTCGAACCGTCTTTGTACTATTTCGCCTGTAAGTAATCGAAACTTTCATTTCGATCTTATCGTTATAGGAGTCTATTCCGGAGACTATTTTGGATAGGAGACTATTCTGGAGCGGTCTAAATTCTTCCAGACAGTTATAAATGATTTTGGTGCGTTCTTAGTGGTTCTAGACAGCTCTAAATGGTTCTGGAGCGCTCTAAATGGTTCTAGACTAGTTTTAAATGGTTCTAGACAGCTCTAAATGTTTCTGGAGCTATCTAAATGGTTCTGGAGCGTTCCAAAGGGTTCTAGAGCGTTCTAAATTTGTCTAGACAGTTCTAAATGATTCTAAAGTTGTAAACTATAGTGTATTTATTAATTGCAGTATCGAATCTACCGATGCCTCTTGTACCATGGACTTCAGAGCAATCGAGCATACTGAATCATCGACCGTTCGTAGTGTTACTCCACAAATTAGGGTTCTATCTGCCGGTAGATACGGGCAAAATGTTCGTGAGGATACCGAACTTCTGGACGCCCGATTACATGTTCAGTATAGCTCAATTACTGGGACCCATAAATAGAGGTAACGACGAGTAGTCGGCCGAATTCGGGCGAGTTCAAATTGCGTTTTTTTATTTCAGATAAATTAAAATTTGATGTCGACAAAATGAAAGGTGCCGACACAAACGGCATTTTCGAATTAAAATCAAACATGCCGCCGTCAATTTTTGATACTGGGAAATTTTCTGTGCCAGAATTAAAATTGACCCCTTCGATTTGTAGATACACACCATTGTAAGTATTCGTTATTTTTCGTTAACCTCGTATTCCGCCCCGTTAATGTGTCCGTAAGTACATGCACGAGGGTAAGTTGATTTGTTATTCTATTGCATAACAAATATCGATTTCGATCAATCGCTGTTATTTGCTGCTATACGGTGAAATTTCCATTATTTAAGTGATGTATTTTAGACCAAACTCTTCAGAATGGTTCCAAAATTTCTTAAGAGTAAGACTCCCTCCGTCTTCTATGGATTGTTACGAACCTACTTCTAGGTAATGCAGTAATTGAAAATGCTTGCATTGTTGTATTTTCTTTTTGAATTCCTTCATTGTGCTGTATTTGATGTGCTTTTCGTTTGGTTTTTCGCCTCAACTTTAGCTAGATGTATTCCTGAATTTATAGAAAAAGCTTCTATCTTCAAATTCCCAATTCACACCATATTCCTCCCTCTTGTAATGTCTGTTATAGCTCCATTTTCAACAAATCTTTATCCCATATAGCTCCTTATTTCCACATCAAACGCTTCTAAACTCGAACATATTACTTTAACATTCCATTTACAGCACGAGCCAGCTTTCCATAGCGATCCCGGAGACGGATATCTCCTGCCACCACCTGCCGCCGCCGGAATTAGCCATCGTCTGCAAGTCGAACAGCCCCGCCGCCCCCATGGACTGCCTGCAGCTGCACCACCAGTGCCTCCCGCACGGGGGCGACCTGGTGCTCAGCGACGTCGAGCGAGCCAGCAATTGTGATACCGCCTCCATGGCCTCCGATTTGACTAGGATGTGCGTTAGTGACGAGGACGAGAAAGTCGATAAAGTGATACTGGTCCTGAGGGACGGTGATAAGGTAACGTGATGTTCCCGCCTTTGTTTGTATGATATCGATGTGGTGTAATTAAAGTTGTGTTAGAGTGGATGTTTAGGTAATTATTGTATGTTTTAAAGTGGATTTATCGGCGCTTTAATTATTGAATACGTTATTTTACGTAGTTACTATAATACCTGGTAGATAATTTTATATGGGCATTTATGAATCTACTCATGAAATAGGCATTTTCATCTTGTGATGGAGGAATTTATATTAAGGAACAGTTATCTTGCCCATAAATTCTAACTAAACCAAGATGAATATATTTTTTTCAATTTTGAAATTCGTATATGGTATATTTTTTATAAAATTACAATAACTTCAACCAATTAAAAGAATGCTACTACGTATTAATTAAAATATTTTATAGCTTATTGTTGTCCCTTTTTTATATTTGTAATTTGTATGTTGCTTGTGTAATGAATAAAATGTTGTTTTGTATTGTGTAATGTTATTTAGTTACAACAGTATTTCCTACAGTTATAAATTTGTCGGAATGAAAAAAATTAGTGTATTCAATAATAAAGTAATCTTCCTAAAAATCAGTAAATATGTATACTTCAATATAAAAAAATCCCAATACTACATTCGTTTGAATGTAAAAAAGTTTTAAGGTCTTGTGCACAGCACAAATTCACTTGTAAGTTTTATTTTTCATATACAGATAAGTGCAAATTTGTACGCTATATAGGCGATACTGTGGTATTGCAACTTTCTCACTCCAACCACTGTTATTTCAATAAACTTTCTTTGTTCAACTCATAGAATTGCAAACAAATTTGCACTTACCCATCTATTAAACAACAGCATGAATTCGAAAAATCCACACCAAAAACAACGAAATTTTTATTACTTTATACTAGTTTCAACTTTTTTTTGTTATATAGCGAATTTTATTAGTTATAGCATTTAATAAGACTAAAAACAACACTAACAATCAAATGCTTAATTACAACTACTAATCGAAAAATTAACAGTCTTATTTAAGTGGATTTCTTAATCTTAATACATAAAGAAAATTCGAGATTCACTATGAGGGTGAAAGGCAATCGAGGATTAATTTACACAAACACCTACGTCTAAATCATCGCAAACGATTAGAGAGCATTTAAATAATTTACTACCTTAGATAAATTGTACTCACCCTTATTCAAAATTCGTAAAAACTAGTAGGCTGCTAAATGTCATTAACGTCAAAATGACACAATATTCTACAAGGTCTCTAAACAACCAAGGATTGATCAAACTTTTTCGTGCATTATCGGACAAATTCGCGTTGTGACGTAGTCAATTAATCCTAGTGCATTACAAAATCAAAGCAAACGTTAATTACAAGTAACCGGTAATATCACAAAGAGATTGAGGCAATCCATGGGATTTTACTAATATATCCTGCATGTGACTTATGTACATATTTTCAGTGATGTTTCAATGAGAAGAAATAACCAACACAACTCCCCAATTTTACAAACTTTGAATACGACAACAAGAAATAAATGGCACAAAATGGCGAATTTGCGAGACGTAGGTACCCGTACGATCGAATCGCCCTTCACCCGACACAGCATCAGATATGCTTGCATTTCTTTTTCCTTTTATTGTCCAACAACGAAGTGAGGCTATCGTACTTACTCGAGGCGTCGTCGTCGCACGAGGCGACGCTACGTCGCGACGGCCATTCGCGCCGCGATGATCCCTCCGATGACGTCGATTCGACGGGCGTCGCCTCAGGTCATGCGATGTTGTAGAAATTGTTGAAGCTCAATCGCACGCTCAACAATCGCAGGTTCACGTTCGAGCTCCTCGACAGCAGATCGAGGAAGTTCAGCACGATCCTGTCGTAGGTTTCCGTCGACGTTTTCACCTTCACTTTGGTGGTGTTGAGGAATTGCAGGAACTTGGCGCGTCGCGACGCGTTCGCCTTCTCTTCGATCAAATTCGTACCGAAGTCCTCCTGCGAGGCGATCATCTTCTGGTAGACCAGGTAGGCCTCGTTCTCCTTGGCGCACACCTGGTAGAGCGTCTCCTGCGACGCTTCCAGGTTCATCACGAAGTTGTAGATCGATATCAGATGGGAGAATAGTTGCTGCAACAATTCCAATTACAACAATACATTCGCACTACTCAAGATCAATTACGTACCCTTGAACTTTCATCTAGCAGCACTCCTCTTTGTATCGAAGCCAGGAAACCCGCGTGAGCCGTTATAATGTCGTCTAAACTTTCGGCTTTGTTGACTTTGTGCTGCATTTCGGCCCAAGAGCATTCCAGCACTTCGAAAAGGAAATAATACTGCGTTTGGCGGATGAAATGGATCATTTTGCTGGTCAAAATGTGGATCAGATGCATTACTGGTTTCAATTCTGAAAAGAATTAGAGGTAACAATAAGGATTACACTCTTATTACTTGTAATCAATAATCATTCCTAGATAATTACTACTTTTTTGCTCGATTAATGAGGATACTTAATTCTATTTTTATAAACTTCTGACTGACCTTTGATTCCTTTGAATAATTTCGCCATGCAAATTTGCTGCCTTCGCATGTTGGCCAGAGCGTATTCGGTGCGTTTGGCTTTCCACAGAGCGCCGAAGAGGCTCTGATAGGTCGGCATGGTGTGCTGGAAGATCGTCCCGATGGGCCCATCGACGATGTAAATCAAACTGAACACGTCCCAGCCGGAATCTCCTGTGGAGTGGCTCATAAAACTAACGTTGAGTCGCTTCAGAGTGTCTTCGTCTTCGTATTGAGCGTTCGTTACCCTTATGGCGGATTCCAAAATGGCCGATAGAGTGTGCCCGTAGATATTTTCGGCGGGTTTGTTCAACTCCGGACTGGAATTTCGGGGGAAATTAAACTTAAAAATGGTCGTTTTGTTGCGAAACTTACGCCAAAAGTTCCAGTAAATGCCTAATGAAATCACCTTGACCCAACAGTAGATACCGCCTAAGCGACTGCAAATGTTCGTATAATTTGTATTTGTTCTTTAACAAATCCAAAACTCGCACGGACGTTTCTTTGTAAACGCTCTCGAGCGTCGTGTGGAATTCTATGCTTTGTTCGGGAGCAAAGAGAGCCTCGGCTGGAAGAATATTACAAATATATAACCCCTTTCACACTTTCTACAAAACTTATTCACCTGTACTGGTCTTGAACAGTTTCTGGAGAGACACCCTACCAGGCAGCTCGCCTGCGTGTTTGCAAATTTGCCTCAGGAAATTTATACTCTTCCCCGTAGCGAGAATCTTATTAGCCTGATTCATGGTAATGAAGGACGGAACCATGGATTTCCTAACGCTGTATTTATCGTGCCACAATCGCTCGGCAGTAATTATAGATTTCGCTTCGATGAAAAACTCATCGCACGGATCGTTTATTTCCCCGTCCAGTAACCATCTCGATAGCATAACGTACAACGGTTTGCATACAGATTTAAGAACAGTTTCGGAAACCTACAATATCGAATAAAAACAAACACTCGGATAAACCGAAAGATAAATTACCTCTCTGGCACAAATCGAACCGTGTTGGAGGAATCCATGGATGACTGTGATCAAAGCACCGCCTTTTTTCTCGCTACATTGCTCGGAGAGGTAAGCCAGCCACTCGAATCGAGTGTAATGATCAGATATTAGATACAAAGCCCTCTTCAAAGTCATATCCGAATTATCATTTCTCTGCCTAACCATCTACAAAAACATTAACAATAAGTTAAACTCACATACAAAAATTTTAATAACCTACATTAGCCTGTAGCAAAGCGACAGTCTTGTAATAATCGGATAATTCATCGCTTAAAGTAGCTATCAGTGCTTGACAAATCATTCCTCTTTGCTTCTCGTTCTCCTCGCAATATCTCTTCAACTGATTGTGCAGGTAACTTATGCTGGTTATCCTTTGCAGAATGCCTTTTTGGAAGGGTGTGAGGTGTTTACCGGTTTTGGAATCGATCGTAAAGCCTAAACCGCCGGGTTCTTTGCGAAGGAACTTCCCTTCAATACCTTGGAATGAATATATTACATCTAAGAGGAGATCGTGCTCGGTTACTGTAGATAAATCTGAAACAAATTAGTGAGTAACAATCTATTAGAATATTGTTCTTTACTTACTTGATGCTTTGGAGGAAGAGGGGATATCGGATCGAGACCAGTTGGATGTTATGTTCGTGGAGAAGCCTGAATGTACTCGGCTTACAGATGTTCCGTGACTACTACTCTTCTTTATTTCTCTGGCTTCATACAAGTTTTTGACGCTTTCTTGTGAACTGGTGGGATTCAAATTTGCGTGAGAGTCGATTTTTTCTAGTTCTTTTGAAATTTGGAAGGTTGAAAATTCGACTTTTGATTTTTTGTAGTGGGAAGACAAGTGATGAAGAAAACATAAGGAAGCGCTTCGATTATGTAGAATCGTCTGAAAGGAACGGTGATAGTTTGTATGGTGATTATTAAATTTAGAATTACTTACAGATTCACAAAGTTTAGCGTAGAGAATATCGAATTTCTCGAGTTTCTCCTTAGGTAAAGAGGATAATTTCTGTCTGATATCACCAACAACACAACTCTCTTGGCACGGATTAGAAGAGGCTAAGGTTGATGAAGACAGCATATGAAACGCCACTTTACATAATTTTGAAGATCGTTCTGAAATTACATTTGCATTTTGTTTAACAACAATCTTCATACACTAGAATAAAACATTTACCCGCATTATTCCTGGACAAACTGTTACATAGTTTCAAAATTAAATCAGAAATTGCGTTAGTTTCCAAATTTTCAACCATTTCCATGTCGAAAGCATGTAATTTAAATTAAAAACGGATATTTGTAAAAACCAAATTTCTTGTAAACCAGTCTAAACGTCAATTTGAAATTTTTGAAGTGTAGGTGACGTTGACAATAATGACAATTAATTTGACATTTTCCTGAATGTAAACCAAGATAGAGGCCAATTAAACCTTCAATAATTTTATAATACAGTTGAAAAATTGAATATTATACTAGTAATTAAATAAAATATTAAAAATTAATTATAATTGGTGCGTAATTAATTAATTTTGTGCACGTAAGTATGCATATACATATGAAAAGAAAAAAAATTACAAAAACAGAAGAATACTGTAACCTCACTTTTTACGAATTATGTCATAAATTTAAGGAAAATGTCTCAAGTAAAATTATTGGGTCAACTTTGCGAAAAAGTCCTTCGTAGACAACAATCTTATCGTTGTGGTGCCAGATGTATGTCTGATTGGGTGCCCCAAGAAAAGGAAACACACACTGGACAGGTTACAAAATATATGATACCTTATTATTTTTCGACTAGTAAAATCATAAACATTTTTTAGAAATGGGACAAAGACGATTACAGATTATCCAGGTTTGTTAACAGGCCGAAACACGTAAATCCCAATTTCGCTATTAAACTAATAGATAAAGTCGCACCGATTCCCAAGAAGGAACGAGTGGTATGGTGCGATGGTGGCAGTGGCCCCACTGGTCATCCAAAAGTCTACATTAATTTGGTAATTTACTTCAATTCTATAGAAACAAAGCAGCAACTTCATGTCATCTATACTAAAACATTTTTAAAACTGATCGACATCCTGATATTCTAGCAAGAATTCTGGAGTCAAATAAACCATATCTTTTATTAATATCATTTCATCACGTTATAAGTTTAGGATTTAGTTGTATTAACGTTTCATATTTGCGTTATTTTATTTTCAGGATAAACCCGGAAATCATACATGTGGTTATTGTGGACTGAGATTTGTTAAAGAAGAAAGTCACTAATAGCCCATTTGATGTACATAAAAGTAAACGATATTTAAACATTTTAATTCCATTCTGTGGAGACTAAAATTATGTAGTGTTCTCGTTAATAAACATATAAAATTAACGTATTACATGTAGAATATTTGCAATACATAGCCCCTATCTTACCTTCAATAATCGAAAACTGAAAGCCATTTTATGTTAAATTAAAAATAAATTAACAACAATGTTATTTGAATGTTTATTCTATATAAATTTACAACTGAACAATTTCCTAAATGATGAAACGATAGATAAGGAAAGTATATAGTTTTGACTTAAATTTAGTTCATACATTGGAAATAAATTTGTAACCGAAATAATAAAAAAAAAGCAAGAATTTAGCGATCCCTAAATATAAAAACAACAGGTAAACAGTCGATATTTTTACCTTTTCCTTAAAAAAGTTCCGTTTAATGCAAACCACTTCAGTTCTGCTTTCATGCTCCTCAGAATCCCTAACTAACCTTATTAAAAATTTTACTTTAGCGTTGCCATTAGAATTTATTCGACTAGGTAATTGACAATCAACGTACCTAATAGAAAATGTCTTAGTTCGCAAATTGAAGCGTGTTTGCATTCGAACAAAAAAAAATGTCAAAAGTTAATATCATAATAAATACAATTAAGTAAAATCTAACCAAATCTGCGCATGACTTTTTATTGCATCACAAGTCTATTCAATAAATTAACATTTTTTAATCACATTTCATAAAAAAAATAAAATAAATTACCTATATATCATGCTCAGATCCTTCTGATTATGTACGGTCATTTTAATATATTAATTATGATTCTGTGGATCACATTTTCATTCATTTCTTTATTTTGAGATATAACATCCTCGAGAATATTTATTCAATTTTAAGAGTCCCTATTCAAATGAAAGTCAGATTTTACAAGTCAGTTCGTTATAACAAATAATTTCTATATAAAATTCATATTCAGTACTAAGCATTTAATTCTAATTTACACCACACAAAAAAAAGTTATCAAAAATTCCATATCCGCAAAATTCAAATCAAATAAACATTCTCAAAGACACCGGGGGTAAAACGGAAAAAACACATTTCCTTATCCCAGCTTACTTTTTTTTTGAATCATCTTATATATAAAAAATATATATACGATATATACAAGAACTTAAAATGAACGTACATATTTAATGAATGTATGTATAGACACATTGTCGTTTGATATTAAAGTAAGGAAGCAGCGCTTGCTCTCTCGCTAATGAACAACTTTAATTACTTTTAGTAATTTTTATCAACGTAAAAAGATCAAAATTTGAATCCCTCGTTAGGAACGTTGGTGTTCGGATCGAATGTAAAACCTGTCTCGCCTGTAGACGGAGCTATGTTGGAATCTTCCACTTCCTAAAATTATTAAAAAAATCACGAATTAATTTTTCTTTTATATCAACTTGGCATCATCGTTTGTTCGCTTACAAGTTACAAGACAGATGAATAGAGGCTCTAGGTTATTCCACTTATGAGACTCTTTCACCTCCTAATAAGTTTGTAAATAACATGATAGATAGAATACACCTATAAGGCTATACACGCATGATTTTGAGGCCCTAAGCTGAAACCTAGTTAGCCTATAAAAGGCTACAAGGAGATGATAAATAAATAAATTTCATTATCTTACCTCGCCACCGAAATATTGCTCGATAATTTCGTACGCCAATTTGTAAATGTCGATGTTGTCGTGATTCTGGAGCGCCTCGATCTTGTCCAAACCGTTGCACTCTTCGATCATGGTGCAAAGCTGTTCGACTTGAGGCCCGGCCGTTTTGAGCATGTTGTTGATACCGTCCAGCACCACTTGTATCACCATAGCATCCTTGCAATTGAGTAGATCGCAGAAGGGCGGTATGACGCCTTCCTGCAGCAGCCTCGCGATTTGATCTTTGCTGCCTCCTATGGTCAGATTGCTGATGGCCCAGGCGGCCTCTTTCTGAGTTTGAAAGTCGCCCTTCTTCAGGTTGTCGATGATTTTCGGCAAAAGTCCTATCCAACAAACGAATTTAATACATCTATTAATAAAAAATTTACATGTAGATAACATACCGGCGTCGATAACGGCTTGTACTTGATACCGGTTGCCGGCAGTAATGTTAGATAAGAACCACACGGCTTCTTTGCATATCTTCTCCTTGGGATGGACGAGCAAGGCTGGGAAATGGCTCAGAGCGTCGCAGTTGAGTACGACTTGCGTTTGCTCATCGGTACCGGTCACGATGTTACCGATGGCGCGCAGAGCTGCAGTTTGAACTTTCACCTCTTTATGGCTGAGAAGCGGAATCAATTTCGGCACCACTCCGCTATCTATCACCATCTGTATTTGACTGTTGCCGCCGTCGGTGAGGTAACTCAACGCCCACACAGTATCCACTAAGATCTTTATAAAAAAAAACAAACATTACACACTCCGTTACAATGTTCTCGTAATTGTATACTTACATTGAAATCGGTGTGGTGAATTAGAGCGTTAAGGGCCGGAAGTAGTTCTCCTATAGTGCGTACAGGGGGCGGTGGGTCCTTGTTTCTGCAAAGATTCACGATAACCCAAGTGACGTTGCGCAAAAACGATATAGGTATTTCGGGTTTAATGAATGATAACAGAGGATCCACGACACCCAAATTAATAACATAGTCTCTAAGAACGGGACCGTCGCCTATGATGTTGCCCAGCGCCCAAACGGCCTGTTCGCAGACGTTTTGGTGGGGCGAGTGGAGTAACATGAGGAAAAGCGGCACGGCTCCGGCCGTTACGACTTTGTCGGTTTGCGCCGAAGTCCCAGAAGCGATATTCGTGAGGGCCCAAGCCGCTTCGAATTGTAGAGAGGGATTATCGTGTCTTTCTAAACATTTAACGAGTATAGGTAAAATTCCACTAGAAATGAGGGCGTCAATCGGAGGGTTCCGGTCCGAAGAGAGCAGCTTCCTGGCGGACTGCACCGCCAGCAATTGCACTGAGGGATCGTCGTCTAGCGCAGCTTGTTGTACTAGCTGCTCGAGATTGGTGTTAGACAGTGATTTTTCAATGTCATCCTCGTCAGTCGAATCGGCGATTGGAACGTTACGGCGCTTCTGTAGGGTCTCCTCGCGTTTGTTTTTCCTAAGCTCCACCGTAACCTCGGTCCTCCGTCTTCGCATTTCCTGAAAATAAGCGATTTATGTACCAACATGTGGATGTGACCTAAAAATGTTTGTCCCAAGGACGAATGATTTCGAAAGCGACTAAACGAATTTATTCACCGCGAAATCGGCGCCTCTCGCGACGCATTAAACGCTAGATAAATCACTTACATCTTGATCTTTTCCTTTGTTCTTGAAATTTTGCAAACGATTCTTGTGCCCCGGATCCGCCATTTTTACAATTTTGACAATATCAAACACGAGGAAAAAGCCGGGTTAACGTTTAAATATGCTATCTAAAACTTTTTGAAAAATGTACATAAATAGCTTTCGATATTGTAAAATTCTAGATATCACACTATCACAAAAAACTTTTGAAAAATAATTCAACTTGTTTATTATATTGGCAAATTACTCACTATTAGAGACAGTTATTTTTAAATTTCACTAAAATTATTTGCGTATTGTTGGCATTCTTGACACTTCTTTTTGATACCCGCATAGCCTTTTACTAATATGTTACACAATCACCTAGTAGTCCATTTCAAACTCGAATAAACATAAGAGCACAAAAATAAAACACCAATAAACTATGAAAAGCATTTATTAAATTAATTAAAAATCGTATGTAAAATCCATAACTAAAATTACGAATGTAGAAGAAAATGTATTGTATTGTAATTAACTGGCTGTTGCTTCGATATCGGAAGCCTGCTGTTCAGGCTCCTCATCGTTATAAATATTCTCCGCCATCTGCCACACCTGCATGATATTATCCTCGGAAACCGAGCAAATGACCCACGGTTCGTTCGGGTTCCAACTAAAATCTGATATTTTCGCGGTGTGTCCCCCGTGGATGAACAACAACTCCGGCGGCCCGTCTTCGGCATCTTCTGGGCTTTGTTCTTCCCCGATTTTACTCAAATCCCACACGTGCAATCTTCTATCGGTGCCCGACGAGGCCAAGATGGTTTCGTTATGCGGCGACCACTGCACTTGGAAGATCTCATCCTTGTGCGACTCGAAACTGTGCAGCTTCAATTTCAAATTCCTCAAATCCCACAAAGCCACCGTCTTATCGGCGCTTCCAGTGGCCAGTATGAATTCCGAATACGGGTTGAAGCTCAAGCAATTCACCTCAGCAGTGTGAGCGTCTACGGTATGGGACGGTTTGCTGGTGTTGTTACATCGTGTGTCCCAAATCATTAGTTTCTGATCGTCGGCCACCGAGCCGAAGAGGCTCTCGTGCAGCAGATGCCAAGCCACGTCCTCCACAACAGCAGTGTGACCGGTGAAAACAGTCTTCGCGTCTATAATCCTATTTTCTTTGGGGGTGGCGTTTATGTCCCACAAGCATATGGTGTGATCATCACTAGCCGATAGGAGATATCCGTTTAAATTGGGATTCCACGATAGGCCGTATCCCTCTTTTTGATGACCTCGTAATCTAAGATCCGGATGGCACTCTCCGCTCGGATCCGGTTTGCTCGGATGTTTCGTGTAGTCGAAGACCAGTACATCACTCGATGGTGTTTTTGTTGCGATCACGCATGGATTTTGGGGCATGTAACGAGCTCGGTTCACTTCACCTTCATGGTTAATCTTTATTTCTATTTCAATTTTACCTAAAAAAACAATCATGTAATAGTTTTTTTTATATGTAAAATTAGTGGATTTACGATTAGTTTCGGTTACATGTATTCTTGTAAATTTCAATTACAATAGGTAAATATGAATGTATATAACAAGCAGATTGAGTGAAGACTTACCAGAGACTGATCCGAAGCCCCCAAACTCTCCCTTCTCGTTATCATAATGCGAAGCATCGAACTGTGCATCTTCGTTGGGCAACTGGACGCTGGCTATGAGAAGGTGGTTCTGCTCGTCGGAGGTGTGCGTTCCGAGGATCAGACGATGTATGGAATGGTCCTTACCGTCGGGGCGAGTAACGTCCGGCAACCATTGGGCTGTGAGCGATGGCCATTCAAGAGCATGGGTCATCACCAAATCGTAGAGGAACGGCGTGTTCTTCTTCCAAATCTTGTACTCCTCGTTGATGACTCGCTCTTCGACGGCATCGTCGAACGTCTCCCCGTCGCCTTTATCGCCCATTATTTCGGCTAAAACGATTTATTTCTAATCTACCAGCAAAAAAGTCGCAAACACTGGGAATCTGACAGAAAAGTCCGCGGGAGGGAGATGAAATGAAAACGAAAACAAATTTTTTTAAGCCGGTTCGCGTTGTGTTGGCACAACTGTCGCCGATCCGCCAATAAAACGGCCGGATTTTCCTACTTCGTGTATCGACGGCAACACGTCGGCTCGAATCGGGTTTAAATCTACATTTCATTTGCGGCATTTTTGACACATGTCCAATTCAACCAATGACGAGCACGTATTTAACCGCCAAGGAATTTAATATCAACTGTCAATGCCACTGCCCACTGCCACTAATGTCATTGTCACTGTCAAGTGTCACGGAACAAAAGTATTGAATATTTATTGATTTTTTTTCGCAGGTAATTTTAATTATTAATTAATAGATTAATTAGTGTACTAATTTATTTTATAAACGAAGTAATTGCGATAAATACGCTTAACATTTAATACTGCTTTTAATTATATATGTTTCAAAGTTTCGAGAGAAAATAGATAATAACAAATATTACAACAATTATGCGTTCATTCCATTCGAATTATCAATATTAGTCACATAGAGTATCCAGTAAATGCTTGTTTAATCGTGCAAAAGTTCTAATTTAGTTTTTCCATTATTCAATTCGAATTTGGCGCTTCGCGAAACTTTAATGGCCTTGGAGACAAAGCGACATCTCTTTGATCCTATCAAATTTTTTTGTAGATGATCCCATTGGTATCCACTCTGATTGTTATGTCGGAAATTATCGTTCATTGTGATAAGGTTTTGTTCGCGTCGAATGGTACATCGTCGAAAGTACTTATGAGTGTTAGAGGAATATGTCCAGTTTGAAAATCGGTAAGTAGACGCCTCCGACCGCTCGATATCGCCTCTGTTTTGGTCCCACCCCCGTCGAAAACTGCCCGTGGGTAATCCAATGCTCCCCCTCGCCGAGTATTTCTAATGCGAATTTACTTAGTGAGTCACGATAGAGGATTGTAAATAAATATATCAATTGCCGTAAAATTGATTGTTATTTATTGTTTTATTGGCTCTCGGCTTACTTTGTTGTTTTTTTTACATATACTTTTTAGCATGATCCATCACGGTTGTTTGATTGTTTTTATTTTATGTTTTTTTTAAGCATCGAAGCTGAGAAACGTATTGTAGCATAGAGAGCATGTATGTCAGCTAGCACTAGATAGTCGTGCTTGTTGTCATGTTGGAGACCAGATCTATTCGTGGAATGCCGGAACACTCTTGGAACAACTATTGTGCAAGTGCAAGAATACCTCCTCACCTAATGGCGACGCCAATCAGACACGGTAAAGAAGGCTTTGCACACTCATTATTCGTAGACTTAGATTTATCAATTTGATCGTACACCACACTAGTTTCGCTCTCGATAAATAACATAAGACTTGTTTGGTGTGGAGTGAAATATGTTAAATATTTCCTTGTTATTCGAGATTAATCACATTGTTTCGAACCGTCATGACAGTCTTTTACATTTCAGTAATCAGGTATACCTACCAAACAATAGTTATTTTATTTATAAATCTTTTGTTGATCAGAATGTTATCCTTACTGATTAAGCAACGTTGGTTAAAGTGTAAGTTAATAATATAGTTAATTGTTGCATTATCATACAATTATGACTGTTATGAGATCATACGGGTCTCTTGTTTTTTTTATGGTGTAAAACCAATATTTGTATTTATTTATGCGCAAAAGTGCTACTTGATATTAATTATCGATGCATATATTTGCGATTAAAATTATGAAGTTATGCAATAAATATTATATTCAAACTTGCTGTATAGTTAATTGTTAGTATGAGCTTTGTTTCTTCTAATTATTGGCATTAAAATATTGTGATTCACTATCGAGTGTTTTGCCAAGATGATACTATTGTTATTTTTTTCGAATAAAAATTTTAATCATCTATATGGATTCTTAAATGAATTCTTTAAAATTACGAAGTTTCGAGTGTTTTTGAACAATCTAACGAACATCAATTGGTTTAATCGAAGCATTCGTTTTTGTTTTAGGCAAAAGCGGCCAAGACGACATCTGTTATGTTGTGGCGAAGTACGATTACGAGCACCAAGGTCCCCAAGAATTAGACTTGAAGAAAAACGAGCGGTATGTCCTGCTAGACGATTCGAAACACTGGTGGAAGGTACAAAATGCTCGCGGTCAAGCGGGATACGTGCCCAGTAATTATGTGAAAAAGGAGAAACCCTCGCTTTTCGATAGCATTAAAAAAAAGGTATGACCATCATCGATCACCACTCAAACGACGAGTTATTATGCTGGATTATATTCTAGGTGAAAAAAGGATCGGGTTCGAAGACTCTGCCCTCCAACAATTCCCCGTCTAGAACAGTAGAATCTCCGAACATGGCGAGGAGGCTGCCCGCAGATCCTTCCGAGGCCATCGGCGTCGCAATTGTCAAATACAATTATCAGGCGCAACAGCCCGATGAATTGTCACTCGTAAAAGGCTCAAGAATTCTCATACTCGAAAAAAGCAATGATGGTATACATACGCAAATCTTCGAAGCGCTAAAATAGTTTTATTAATTGTTGTATTAACAGGATGGTGGCGAGGCCAGAGCAGCAACATTTCCGGTTGGTTTCCGTCGAATTACACGCAAGAAGAGGGCGAATTGGACGAGACCCTCCACACTTACGCCATGGCGGAGAACGTGCTCGACATCGTCGTCGCCTTGTACTCGTTCTCATCTTCCAACGAACAGGAATTGTCTTTCGAAAAGGGCGATAGGCTAGAAATTTTAGACCGGCCCGCCAGCGATCCCGAATGGTTAGTTATCTCGTCACTTTACGTACGCAAACGACTCCTTTATTCGTGCATATTACTTAGAATGTATCGCTTTGGTAGAGTAGAAATTGATCGTTTACTGTGCAGGTACAAAGCGAGGAATTCCCAAGGGCAAATCGGCTTGGTGCCGAGGAACTATCTGCAGGAACTGAACGATTTTCTCGACCGTCCGCTGTTGCAAGAGAGAAATCGACCGGGTCCGATGGAAACGTCGATGGAACGATCGACCGTCTCCATGCCGGACAAGCCCCATCTGATCGACAAGCCTTGGTATTACGGTAACATCACTAGGTACGTGTGCGACAGCTTGCTCAACCAGCACGGACACGACGGAGATTTTCTCATAAGGGATAGCGAAACGAACGTAAGTTTACCGTTCATTTAGTCTATTCGATGCTTACGGTTCGAAGGCGATAGCTGGAAACGGAGTACGAGCAGTCTCTAGCTATTCTCGTCGAACTGTAAGTAGGAATTCTATTAGTATTGTGTACTTGTTTTGAAAGTTTATTAATGCGTATAATTGGCCACAGGTGGGTGATTATTCCGTGTCTCTGAAAGCTCCTGGTAGGAACAAGCATTTCCGCGTCCACGTGGAAGGAGCTCTGTATTGCATCGGTCAGAGGAAATTCCACACGTTGGATCAGTTAGTCGATCACTATCAAAGGGCGCCCATTTACACCAACAAGCAGGGCGAGAAACTCTATTTAGTTCGTCCCCTGCCCAAGACAAAATAATGTACCGAATCCGGCGCACGAGAAAGAAACTCGTTAGATTTAAAATATGTGCTATCAGTGTGAGTGTTCATTTTTTGATTTTATATCGTTTTATTTTTTTTTTCGAGTCATTCGAATTGGAATCAAATGACTAACCTTTGTATATCTGGTCATATTTTATATTTTTGTTTGTTTTGTACATACGATTTTTTTTAAGTTATTCAGTTTTTTAGCGGTAGTTTCAAAGCACAAGTTTTTTTTTGTTGAATGCAAAGTGGTTTTTCTTTGATGACATATTTTGATGGAAAAATAAAATTTATTCGCGGATTTTTAGGATGATTTAACATCACTTTGGATGGAAATGATTTTTTAGTAAAATTTGATTAAAACTACGGTTGTTCCTTCTGTAGCCTTTTTGGAACATACACTTGTATAGGTAAAAGCAAGTTTGTTTGCGTTATGGTCAATTCTATGAGTTGAACAAAGAAATATTATTATAATAAAAGTGGTTAGAGTGAGTAAGTTGCATTACCACAATATCACTCCTGTTCCTTAATATGTACGAGTGTACTGGAAACAATTTTGCATCTACCTGTATATGAAATTTGTAGTTTAAATTTGTTCAAATTAAATTTATTGGTAGCTTTAAAGCTTAATAAGGTATTAATGAAATTGTAAATAATACATTTTTACCACTTTTCACTAGTCATAATTTATAAAAAAGACGATTTATCGAACAACCACTTTGCGGATTTATTGAATCATTAAAAGATATACCAAGTGATTAAGAAAACGGCTTTATAAACAGTCAAATACTCATTATAATGTAGAGAATAGTCTGTTTGGATTTTTTTATATTAGACGAATTGATTTCAAGACTAATCGGGAGAATTTTTTACGTGAAATATGTCGGTGATCCGACCCCACAGAGCGTCGTCTGAAACTATATTATAGCTAAATTGATAAATTAGAAAATTTCTTCGTAATTTACAAAAAATAAAAAGGATTGAAATTTGTTATGCGTAGTTTATAGTTCGTTTTTTACATGAATATCGGATTGAAACATCTGATTTATACGATATCGGACGTAACGAAGATTTTAATAAACTAATATAGTAATTATGCAATTTATTCTGGAGTCAAAAATTTGTCTCGTGTATTTTTAGCACAATAAATTATAGTTAGGTGAAAATTGGAGTGAGAAGAATATTGACTACTCCCTTTAGATTTAGTGTAAAATTTTAGAAAAACGAGTTTTCGAGAGATTTTCACTTGAAAATGAAAACAAAAGTGAAATATTTATCGAAATCAAGAGATATATGGGGTGTCCCGCATGAGAACCGTCTAGGGGAGCCCAAAAAGTTGTTTAACCGAACTTAACTCAATACAGAGTTACATTCCTGAGAAGTTATAGGCCTTCAAAGTGGAGTTATAAATTAAAAATTAATATCTCAGTAATACTCAAGCTTAAAACTTCAAACGTAATACTCAAACTTATGAGTGTACTAGAGCATTAATCGATAGATGCTCCTTTAAAATTTGTTTACCTGATGGATGATTTAAAAAATTATTAGTTCATTTCAAAAACACTGAAAATAAAGTCTTACACACTATCAATGTTACTTAAAATCGCCGATAGTTGAAAAGTTGGCTGTATTAAGTCCAAGTAATTGGGCTAAACGGCATCTTTTAGGCTCCCCTACACGCCCCTACTCTGTGTCGATTCTTACGCGGGACACCCTGTATAATATAGTGACTTTCTAAACATACACCGGTAGCGTTTTTGATTCTGAAACATCTCTCGTTACATCCTTTATAACAAGCAAATAAGACATGCGGCGCGATAGACATTATTGTAACAGCGTTCTCTGTAGTCTTGGCATCTTGTACATGAAATCATATCATGCACCGATACGTTTTTTTTATCCTATATTATTTACGTTTTAAAAGTGTGGTGATGCTGAAAACGAGCCGTTTCGACAGCGAGGTAAGAATGATGAAGAAGAATGTTTTTTACGATTTTGTAAACGTTTTAATAAATATATGCGACATATATGTAGGTTTATGAACGAACAATTTTCTAATTAAATTCCTATAAATTGCCATTTGAACGCCGAATACTGTTGATTTCTTGTACTGATTAATGTTGCATTGCATCGCGTGAATTGAGTTCGGACTTTTCGAAAAACTGTGATTATTGTATTTGAAAAAAATTGCCTTGAAATATTTTTGGAATATCAATCAAACAAAGCGTTATTACAAAAATTCGAATGTGGCTTTTCAAGGCAATTTAAGACTTATTTTTAGTGTACAAGTCCCGGTTTCCAGTTTTTATACAATTATACTTCCTATGTTCGGTAAAAGACTGGTTAATAACGAGCGTGCAATTTTTAGGGGCCCTTTCTTTTCTCAATTATAGCGTCAGCCATTCGTTTTGTTTAGCCATACGATATATAAGTGACATGTAAATTTAAGCTTATGGACGCTTTATGACATGATTCTGTCCTTAAAAATCTAAAGAGTATTGTACATCAAACTGTATGTGGATATTTCTCAATATATCTTACGAACATCGCCAGAATTAGTTTATTTAATACAGTGTATTCAAGCTAAACTGGTAGTGACGTCACAAGCTTCATTACCACATTGTAAGTATTCGTATATTTAAGTATTTATTTTAGAATATTTTTACAATTTTCAAGTATCGCAAGGTGTCCAAAGGAAGCTCAGCTGTTGCCAGTCTGTTCCGCATTAGTTTTCTTCATCGGCATCTTGATCAATCGTATCTTGCTTAAACATTTCCACATCTGCCTGACTATCCGCATGGATTAATGGCCCTTTAACGCCGGGCTGTAAATCATATAAGGTTATTTTTACAGATTGCCGTTTATAGTTTATTTACAAAGAACCAGTGTATTTTTTAAAGGTCTTGAAAATGCGGTATTATTTAATAAAATTGGCATTTTTGGAGACTTTAAAAACCTTTTATCTCACCTTGGGATGCATCAGAACGAAAGGTAATTCGGCGGCCAACTCGCCGCCCAGCGCCCCAAGATACAATTTCACTTTCACCGCGTACGATACGATTATCCCGAAAGCGTCTCTTTGATCAGGCGAAGCCAGTCTGAAATTTTCAAAATTTGTTTAGTCCCAATCGATTGAGCGGAAAATCTACGAGAGATGTTTCCAAAGCTCTAGAGCATGGTTAAAAAAACAGTGCGTCTGTATCAATCAAACACCGAATCAGACTGAACAATGTTGCACTGGATAGTTGCATAAACATGTCAAGACTTGCCTGTCACCAATAAAGCTCTGGGTAATTTAATTCCCATAACTTTGGAAACATCCCTCGCAATACTTACAAAGTGGTCGAAGCCAAATTGGTATCCTGCTTTTTGAGTTGACCATCCAAAGCGATGCCTCTCTTGTCCTTATTGGAAGTCAGCAACGGTACGAGATAGACTACCTTCTGCAAACTCGAGCCGGGTTGAATGGGACATCCTTCCCTACGCGACAAACATTTATTTTCAACGAAAATAAATTCAAAAACGATCTTACTGCGTTTCCAAACCGGCCACGGAGGTCCGGTACTGCCCGTTTTGGAACAACACCACGTCCACGCCCTGCTGCACCATCGCCTTAATCTTCTTCACCACCTTATTGCTGTTGTTCCTTATGCAAATGTTCACGGCGATTTTTTCACCGTGATGGTACAGCTGAAATCAAATAATTCCTCGCCTAATAGCTTACATTCATCGATTGAGTCAAGCACTACATGCAAACAATTTATACCTGCTTATCCAGGGTGACTTCGAGCTCCAGTTCCCCGGGGCTCATCATGAAGTCCTTGCGAACCACCGTGCAAGGCTGCCTGCCCTGCTTCGACGGAGCGTACTGCACCTTCCTTATAGCCATGGTGACGGTGCCCCTTTTGTGGGTGCGATCCGTCTCGTTCTCTCCCACGTAGATTTTAATATAGTAGTGCACACCGCACGGTTGCCCTTCTTCGTCCACACCTACGTATAAATAACCAATTAAATTTAGTAGGGAGTTAATTAGAGCCCTTACCCGGCTGGAGGGTGACCGAAGCGGGCGCGCTGGGCGGCAGCGTGAAGGTGAAAGGGTAGCAGTTGTCGCCCAGCTTCTTCAGCAGGCGGTCCTGCATCTTGGTGTTGGAGTTCTTCTCGGGCGGCGGGTAGATTTGCTCGGACGCCAGGAACAGGTCCTTCTGGAAGTTCAGGCCCATCACCTCGTCCTCTTCGCGACCGTAGCGGAAGCTGCAGATCACCTGCCCGAATATCTTCCGGTCTTTGTACTCGTTGTCGATGACCACGACGCCATCTGTAAGACGAAATGATATCAGAACTTCTAGGGACTATTATAGAGGGTTGTAAGAAGTTATTTGCTCTATTTCTGGTGCTCCCTTAAGATTCAAAAAGGTACCTATGGGTTCTACTCCAGAGATGTGATCGATGAAGTCCCGTTTTCCCAAGTACATGGTGAGCTTGCCATTGGGAGATTGTTTCTTGAAAACTCGAAAATTGAAGACCATTTCGATGAAATCGCAGTGGAAATAACCGATGGAAAAAGGTTTATGCACTGAAACTGCATGATTTCCTGGCAAACGGTTCTTATACTCGGTCCGTAGGGCTTCTTAATTCGATTATGCTTTCGCGAATAGAACAGATTATAATGGGGAATATAATAAGATTTCCCGGCTGTTTCTGTGAAATGTAGGAACGTGTAGGTTTTAGTAAGAAGTACAATCCTTAATACGTCGATCTTTATCTCGCTAATTAGCTGACCTTTAAGGGTCTACATCTTATTAAGTATAAGATTGTCTACTAATACAACCTGTATACTGTAGTAAAAATAACGAACTCGATGAATCTGGAGCTTATGCAGGCCTCCTTGTACAGTTCTTCCAACCAATGATACTTGAAATAAACTTATTTTAAACGCATATGAGAGTTTACGTAATTCGTCCATAAACAAACACATGTTTCATTTAATGCAAACAGATATCGTAATTTCCTCATGTACATTTAGCGTGCTCGCTTCATCGATACCACGGTACAATTTCCAATTCAAAACGGGCGCGATCGAGTGGAAATTTTCGGAATTTTCCGGCCCAGTACTGACCTGGCGCACGAGGAAATCAATAAATCGCGAACCGCCGCTTTCCACGATGGATTTCCCCCGACTCTAATCCTGTTACATTGCTCGATATATCTGTATCAAAAACGCAATCAATGAGTCAAATTCTTATCGCAACGCCGAGCCGATTCGAACTAACAGAAGAGAGCTGAATGAGTACATAACATACGAGTTACGAGTTTCTGTGCAAGGTTAAACAAGTTTCGGCGAAGGTAAAGGTTAGACAACGCGTTGTTTATTGTTATTAAGTAAGTACAAACTGTGGAATTAATTATAAAACAATAACGAACAATACAATCGGCTCGCTAGTTAATTTACTATAAGTATTCCAAGATTGTTGTTGAGTTGTATAATGTTTCTAGGTATGTATATTTTGAATATTTTATATAAAATGATTTCGTACATTTCTAATCTAATAAACATTTCATAGTACTGGATATTTTCTAAATTCAAATCTGTTTCTCCAGATGATTGATTAAACAGAACCGTACTTAAGTCAATGAATTGAATTTTACATGAAAATACTTTTTGCAAAATTTTGTGTTATTATATTTTGACAATCATCAGATGTTTTTATGAATACAATTTCATATAAATTGTTCTGCTTTACAAATTTCTACAAACTATTCAGTTTTCAGTACATATATTTTTATCGTTTAAAACCGATCCAATTCTGTTCCTTCAGCTGATTGATTAAGCAGGACCGCACTCGAATAAATTACCTCTAAATCTAATGGAAAATACAGGAGAAAAAATAGTGATTATTTTTTAGATGGATTTACTTAGAGCTCTGATAGTGGTGTCCGAAAAGGCGGCGAACATAGCGAGAGCCTGCAGAGAAGACGAGCACTTATTCCAATTACTCGTGCAGAAGAAAAACTCCAACGAGGCCAATCCGAGGTTCGTAGAAGACTTCAAGACACTAGCCGATGTTCTCATACAAGAAATGGTTAAACACGACATCGGACACCAGGTAGCCCGTTCGCATCGAGCGCTAAAACGCACCTAACAGAAGCACCATTTTCAGTTCAAAGAACTGTCTTCCAGCATTAGAGGCGAGGAAAACAACGTGTTCAAGAATAAGCTGGGGGATAAGATACGCGTTGAAGTGAAACCCACCGAAGAGGATACCTCCAATTTATTGGAGATGGTCCTCAACGGGGACCAACAAGCCGCCTCCCGCTTGGCCTCAGAAGTGCATAGGAACTTGGAAATCGATAGCATCAAAACCGATGTTCCCCAGAAGAATTTCGATATAGATTTATCGAAATTGGGCGTTTGGATCGATCCAATAGGTAATTTAAATAGAGAGCTGTAGTTTACTCTACTCCCTACTCTACTCCCTCATCTCTGCTCTTTACTCTCTACTCCCTATTATCTATTCTCTGCTCCCTCCTCTTTGCTCCTTTCTACTCCCTACTATCTATTCTCTGCTCCCTTCTATACTCTCTCCTCTCTACTCTAATGACTCTCTACTCTCTACTACCTACTCTCTGTTCTCTACTCTGAGTTCCCTACTCTCTGTTTTCTACTCTCTGCTCCCTTCTCTATACTCTCTCCTCTCTACTCTAATGACTATTGTATGGCTATTTGTAGATTTGTGGTAGAAAAAGTAATGTCAAACTTGTCTTAATATTTTTTTCGAAAATTCTATTACAGATTGCACTGCGGAATACGTTCATGGATCACCGGGCAGACGAAAACAGAACATCCATGTAAACGGTTTGAAATGCGTGACTGTTCTAATAGGAGCTTATAATAAAATTACGGGTTTGCCCGTTATGGGCGTCATCAACAGGCCATTCCTCGACGAAGACGATTACCAGTAAGTGTGTTAATTACATGTAAAAATTACGCCTCAGTCAAGGGCAATGAATAGCGAGAAAATCGCTTCAATTTGTATGATTTTTTTAGGTTGTCGCAGCGGTGCATTTGGGGCGTAGCTTTGCCGAATTTCCGGGACTCTAGCGGGTTAAATAAATCTATTAAAAGGCAAGTTGTGAGCATTAGTTCCAGCGAAAACGAGGAAATCAAGGAAAAATTGAGGCACAACAATGTTGAGCTGGTGGAAGCCTCGGGAGCCGGGTACAAGATTCTTACAGTCATTTTAGGTTTGTTTTAATGAATAATTCTAATTATTTACGCAGATAGGCGTGTTTGTTATTTTCAGTGTTTTATCACAAGCGAGGTCACAGTTAGATAACAGTTGACGGGTAAAACCTCACTCGAGCAAATAGTTTAGAAAAATAGAACATGAAATTTGAATAAGAAAATAGTATTTTTACTCTTTACAAAATTAAGCTATCTTCTACAAATTTTTATTTACAGCAGAAGCAATAATTAAGCTAGCTTCTTCAAAAAAAACCGGCATAAATTTTAACTGATTCTACTTAGATTTTTTTTAATATATCTTAGGTTTAGCAGACGCTTACGTGCTATCGAAAGGCACCACCTTCAAATGGGACACGTGCGCCCCCCATGCGGTATTAAAGGCTTTGGGCGGCGACATCCTGGACTATAAAAAAACCGTGGAAAATCACGGAATGGAAAGTATTACCTACAGCGAGGAGGAATGCGCCTGCAATGCGACCGGAATAATCGCTTACAGAGACGAGGATTTTTTAAAAGAAATCGTTGATATTTTAAAATCGTGAGAATCGATTGTTTATTGTTCGTGGAAATGTTAAAAATCGTTACGGCAATAAAGCGTTTTATTATAAACGATGTCATTTTTGAGCGCTTGAAAAAATCTGAACAATATTTATTGTGCACTATCGGCAATCGCGAATGGAAAAAATAAAATGTGGTACTCGCAGGTTTGTATTAACATTGTTCGTTTTATCGTAAATTTTCTGGCAATAATTGATTTGCAATTTTGAAGATCTAAATTAATTCTAGCGAACTGTGTCCATATGGAAAATGCTGGAGCTAATCAGTTAATCAGTCATTATTCATCCAGGACTTTTACAAATTAGGGATACAGTCTAAAAATAACAATACAACTATGTACAGGGTGGCACATTAGTATGGAAAAGCTCAATATATCTGTTACTGTAGAGTGTATGATTTAAAAATTCTTCCTGATATAAAATTTGGGTGATCCATTTAAATTAACAGAGAAAATTACTATTGCGTTTAGACTCACGTTGTAAGCAGTATGATTAAATTACGAAAAATATTTTGTACATTTTCACATTTGCAATATTGTGAAAGCTATAATTTATTTTCAATTCGATCTTTTAGTTTCTACAGAGAGCTAAACTTAACTCGATTTTCATGGAAAATTGGTCATAAACTATTTTTGGCAAGTCCTAGAGCAGCTGAATTACTTTTTGAATAAAAACCAGAACATGTAAAACATGCAGCATAAAAGTATATCTACAACTTTTCATAAGAAGTTTCTTTGAAATTGTCTATACAACTATACACTAACAGAAAAATTATGCTTTTCCATACTAATGTGCCATAGAAATAAACATTTACAGAAGTGAATTAAATATAAAATTTATTGGCGAAAATGTTGAAAGTACTCTTTCACATTGTATGTAGAAACCTCCTTCAATGAGGGGCTCCTTATTCTAATTTCAAACCTGAACCAATTAATATTACCAACTGTATAGTTTACAAATATCCCTAACCCATACAAAACAGCAATTTATCCTGTTCACCTCGTATCAAGAACGCGATCCCGTAGGTAAAGTAATAAGCGGAGTATTAATCACGGGCAAAGAAAAAACCGAGAGTTTTGTCAAACATGTCGAGTCTATTAATTACTCAGACTCGGAGATTACGAGCTACAAAACGCATGTTATTTTCGACGTCTATTTTAATCTTTGTTCTGTTCTATTTCGGAGACTCTAAACGCCTTTAACGAGCCGTATTCTTCGGCTAAGCTGTTTGAGTTTCCAAGTCGAAGTGTTCCCGAAGTAGCTGATGGTATTGTGTGATGAGGAATTCGCGCAATTCCCAACTCTCGAATAATTATATGTACATAAAGAACCCGCCTTTTACGTGGAGTTGTGTAAGTTATTACAGTTTGTTTTGTACGAAAAATCATGCACCCTTTAGAAGTAGTAAGTAACTTTTAATGGCTTTATATAACTAATAAGTTGAAGTTATTAAACGTTTTTAAGTAGAAAAATAACACCTACCCTCTCAGAAATCCCAATTTTTCTCTCCCTAATACAGATGTCGCGACTACCCCGCTTCGGGACTTCCTTCCATCCCTTTTCCCCCGTATAACGAGCGCCGGGACAAAAGGGATGAAAACCCCGTTCTACCAACACACTTTTTGCAACGTTGGTACGGAGTAATCCGGCGAATGTATCTCGTCGAAAAATTCCATCTGGGAGTGCAAGTGCCGCTCTAACAACAAATCGGCGGCGGTTTCGCGGTTGTTGTTAATTTTTTTCGTGGAAGTACGCGGGCGAATCGGGAGTTCCCGCGGGACGGAGCGTCAGCTGATAAAAGTCATGGAAGAAAATCGATAAATGGAAACGTCGGGCAAGCAAAAAGATTTAGGTGAACCGAACGGTAATTTCGTGCTAAGATATTGTCGCGGATATTCCGGTGTCTTTATGTCGAGTTGAGCATGAGGCCGTACGAAATGGAGGGGGTGAGTTTTTCCGACGTTTTTTCGCATTAGTTTCCGCATTTTCTGGCACTTTTCGATTTTTTTTCTATTGCGAATGGAATCCTCGTGTTATTACAGGTTATGTTTTAACGATTTGTAAATATGCGAGCGGGCCAGCGCTTCTTAGAAAATACCGTAAAAATGTAGATAGAAAAGTAAATTGTTGGAAATTTATATTTTTCGCTCATTTGATTATAAACTTCAAAAATTAGCTCTAGAAGCTTCGGAAATTGTTTTAAAATGCCATCAAAAATTATTAAAAAATCGTTAAAAACCTGAAAAAACCTGGATGTATGGATAGAAAAGTAAATTGTTGGTCCTATAAATTTTTGCCTAAATTTGAGAAGATTTTAAAATTTTGAATAACTTCGAATAACTTTGAAAATGAGCTTTAAAAGCTTCTGAAATTGTTTTAAAATACCATAAAAAATTACAAAAAAATCGTTAAAAAAGTGATAAGAAACCTGGATGTATAAATAAAATTATTACATAAAAATCGTTAATAAACCTGATAAAAAGCCGGGTATGTATATGGATAGAAAAGTAAATTGTTGGTTATATAAATTTTTGGCTCATTTGAGAAGATTTTAAAATTTTGAATAACTTTGAAAATGAGCTTTAAAAGCTTCGGAAATTGTTTTAAAATACCATATAAAAAATAACAAAAAGTCGTTAATAATTTGATAAGAAACCTGGATGTATAAATAAAAGTAAATTGTTAGTTATATGAAATTTTTTGGCTCATTTGACAAGATTTTAAAATTATGAATGAGTTTTACAAGCTTTAGAAATTGTTTTAAAATACCATCAAAAATTGTTAATAAACCTGATAAAAGCATAAAATTACCCAAAAAATTTAAAAAACAAAACCCTTAAAAAAACAAGCCAAAAATCACATTTCATAATTTTTATTTATTCTTTTGGAGATTAATTTTTTTTGCATGGCCATTTTACCCGAATTAATTGCCGAATTAAACGATATTTACGCCCGTAATGTCGGCGTACAATTTCCAACTTTCGTTGCGTTTTATTTCGAAAAAACTTTCATCACTACACTAGGGTAATTTATCGAGAAATTTATATTGTTCCCGGCGCCAGCGAAGATACACGAGCGGAGATAATGCTGCCAAGAAATTGCATTGTAACGCTTCTCGTTGATTTTTTTATCCATTCGGATTTATCAGTACAGTGCCAAAATCGTCGGGGGGATTTTACGGCCCTTTTTGCCGCGCTCATTTCGCGTGTTCCAGTCGTTAGGATGATTAATTGCCGCGCCGTCCTGTTTTTTAATTAGGAACAACTAGTAAATAATCAGATAATTTGCCTTATTTCACGTTTCGAGAAGGCCCCGAATTAATTGCCAATTATTTTTTTCGCCGAACGAACATCCGCGAGTTGATTAAATAATGATTAATTAGCTTAATTTCGGTTGGAAATTTACAAAGGTTCGCATGTAGAGGGCGAGCTAAATTAAAAGGTACTCCAATTTATCCAGAAAATCAGGTTTTCAGGAAAAAAACTCAGTAAATTATGGAGAATTGTTTGTGTAAAATATTTGGAATTATAGTCAATTATTTATCAGAGAGTCAATTATCTAACACTTTATCTTAAACATTATCTAACAACAGATCTTTACTCAAAAGGTCTACTTATTTATCCAATGAACGGTCTTTCTAAGGAAGCAATTTACCTACAAAAGAAATCCAGGAAGAGTGAATTTTTAACAAAAAAAAACTCTTTTATCTGTCAGGATTCTTATTTAACCATCCAGGATAGTCAATATTCTTCACAATAGCAAGGAATATAAAAATAAAGCAAGTATTTTATTTATCCAGAAGACCCAGAAGGAGTCAATTAATAATCTAAAAGACTGATGTATCATTCTTGACACTAATTAAGGATCCTGGAGAGTCAATTATCTATGTAAAAGGATCTTTCATCGGAACAATTGGGAGGAAAATATGTTTCTAAAAGAGCTATTGTTTGAAAGTAGTAATTTATATTCCCCAAGAGAGTAAATTATTTAACTAAAAAGGTCATTTACCTATTCAAGAGAATGGTATGTTCCCAAGATAGTCTATTATCTACCTAGATGAGTCAATTATATATCCAAGAAAGTTAATTATCTATCCAAAAGAGTCAATTATCTATCCAAGAGAGTCAATTATCTTCCTTACACACCCATTTATAAACCCATTTTTGTATGCAAGTCACTGGTTTTTCCAATAATCAAAAACCAACAACTTTCAAAGAAAAATCTTTAAGAAACCCCGAGTAAAATATCTGCAAAAAAGCGTCCTATTTAAAATTCCATAAGTTCCTTCAATTGCGAATATTCAACGTCAGAATCTCGACATAAATCTCCCGTTTTTTTTTCTTTTCGCCGAAGGAGAAATCAACGTTCGCGAAAAATTGATGCGATATCGACGAACCTTGAAAAAAAATTTTCGATATGTGCGCGATTTTCGTGCGGAAAATCTCGCGGAAAAAACGCGCCCGGGAGCGTGACGAATGAAAAATTAGTTTCGCCAACTTCTCGGCGGTAAATCACGCCGATCGACGGGAAAATAAGCGCTCATGTGTGAGTGTGCGGTTGTTTTTATCCAGTTCCTCCGGATGTTTTTTCTCCGGTTCCATTATGCGAGAGAGCCGGAGCCGCCGCATCGATTCGCGGCTGTGAGAAAACCAATACCGATGCGGTCCTAAGTTAGATATGATTGGAAGTTAAGAAAGAGTAAAAAACGGGTCGAAGATGGATGGAAATGCGCCGGATTTTATTTCATTCGGGCCCCGGTCGGCGGGCGAAATTAAATTTTTTTTATTCCAAGTTCGAAAGGGGTTATTAAATATTCTTTCTAATGAACTTTATGGTTAGTTAGGCGGATTTAGGGTAGACAGTGGGCTTTTGTATTTAAGGACCGGCAATTTGGTTCCGTTTTGATGATTAGGTTTTTTTTGATGAATTATTCAGGTTTTCTTGGAGCATATTCTAGTTTTTTTAAGGAATTGTCGAGGATTGTAAATGAATTTTGGATGAGGTTTTTTTGGTGAATTGTTCATTATTTTATACATAGATCGTGACAAATGA